TGTATTGGTTTGTGGTTAATCTTTTTTTGAGCAATTCTTTTTTTTTTCTTTTGAGCAAGGTTTGTGGTTTATCTATTTAACTTATTTGTTGACTGAATGTATGTGTTAACCGGATTGGTTTTGCAGATTCTGAACAATACTATTTTTTTTATAGACACAGCATAGTCTTTCCCTTCTTAACATTACTAAATATGAATTGCGTTATATATTAAGTTTATATATATATTAATGAACACAAAACTTAACATCTCTTGGTAATTAAAAAAGTGTTACATATCAAAAAAAAATTAGAAAGCAAATATACTTGTATTAATTCATATTTTAAAAACAATATAAAAACAAAAAAAAATTAATTACAATTAGAATTTCTAAATAAAAATAAAATTGTGTCTGCAACACACTATACCCCAACAGGCAGCGGTACAACAATTATTCACTACCATAATCAAAATTCTCACTGTTATACTCGAAATCAAATTCCGGAAGATAACCCTCTTAACAAATTAGAAATCTACACTTCAGAAACTTCAGAATTTAACCTCAAAAATAAAAGCTCACCCTTATAAACACGCTCTACATATAAATAAAATTAACTACTAAACAACATACAATACCTATTTATATAACATGAACTACTAAATAAACAATTATAGTAGAATAATAATACATATAAAATTTTAATTACTAATATCTAAAATTGATTTTAAAAACAAAAACCGCGGTGTACCGCGGGTTCAAACCTAATTTCTATTCTATAGTAACAACAAATATAACTTGATCTTCCCACCAAAAAAAAAAAAATATATATAACTTGATCTTTATGATTTTATTGACTTTATTTTAGTTTTTTCCTTTTTGGGGAAAATAATTTAATTTAATTTGTTTCCCTCAAATTAATGTTTCATCTTGTCAAAACTCAAAACAAAAATAAGTAGTCAGTAAATTAATTTTTAGGTTTTAGACTTGCTTAACCTTCTTCCATAGTTAAGTTTGGAAAATACTACAACATACAAACACCAATAGTGTTACGACAGCTCACAGACATAATGTGGATTTGCAACATTGTAGTATATTTGGAAGCGAGGTACACTATAATAGGGACTTTCATTTGAGTAGATAACGCAATTGTAAACAAGTTGGGCATCAAAAACGTCGCTAAGCATGCTTATGTAACTTGCTCACCAAACGCATTTGCAGCCCTCAAAATAAACCGAAACAAGTTGTTGATTTTTTTTTTTTGGTTATCTCATTCGTTTCTTCGATATTGAAATGACTTTAAAAGAGAGTATAATATTGGAAATATGTTGGGATGCTTTTATTAAGCATTCCATTTTGTATGTATTTGCATATCATAAAACCTCAGGTTCGGCGGAGTAAATGCGTTGAAAAGGGACAAACGTTAGAAGCTGGTAATACTAACAGTTGGTGGAGATCGCTACGGGAAGGATAGTATGAGTCTCCCTCTGCCATAATAAGTTTCTGATAACTAAAGAAGTCTAATGAAAACATTGACTTCAATCTTAGTTAACAAAGTAGACAAGTCTCGATGACAAAACAAAACATATACATTAGTCTTCAGAGTGTAGTAGACTTATATCAAAAATGACAAAGTAAAGCTAACAAGGATGACACCTACAAATAGAGAAATGGTCCCCCAAATAAAACAAGCTGTTAGCACTTAGCAGCTTTTCAAAAGCCAACTTTTCACTCAGAGAATCTATAGACCACAACAAGTAAATCATTTACCAACCGAAACTTGCTTTCTAAGATCTCTAAGTTCGAGAGATCTTCGAAACATGTTTAGTTGGTAACCTCTAAAAATGATACCTAAGAATCATTCAAAGAGGCAAAAATAATTGCTATCGTTGAATAGAAAGCAGAGCTGTTCATGCGAATGAATGATCACCAAAATGATTTGAACATAACTTAAAACGAGAGGGAGTTAGAGATTGATTCATCAAGTTGATGTAGTTAGTCAAAACAGGGAAAAAAAAAAAAAAAACCCCAATCCATATCAAAAGCATGGTAAGCCAAAACTATATATATGAAAAAACAAGAGTATATATCATGATATAGACCTTTTCACAATCTACCTTGAACAAGATTTTGGGAAAACTAATGATCTTAGAGCAAAGGGCATCAAATTTGTACAAGACTATCCTTTATCAAACCCAGCTTCATGGTGCAAAAGATCCATCCGAAGTTCCTTACTTAGTGAAACTAATGATTCATATATATAATTTGCCATCACAGTTACATCCAAGATTAAAACACACAACACAGAGAGATACATAAGAGAGAAAGAAGAGACAGAACAGAACACAATCATAATTACTTGAGAACATCAAAACTCAAAAAAAAAACCAAAACAAACAAAAAAGCTGATGAAGTAAAATAATAAGAAAAAGAGGGAAAAATAATAGGAGGATCACCACCAACCATAGACGACCTGAGTGTACCTATGCTTAAGCCATCTGAAACTTTTTCGAAAAGAGCCTTTGACTTTGCCTTCAACACCATACATCTTATAGCTAGCGACCCTCTTCTTCCTAAGGAGCTCAGGGTCGGTGATACCCCAAGATTTGGATCTAGCAATCGACTTCTCCTTCTTCTTGAGATCGTAGATACTGTTCTCCCTCGTCCCGTAAGAAGCGCTGTAGCTCCTGAAATCTCCGGGTTGGTTAGCGTTGTAAGGCTGGATCTGCATCCCTCCGTCTCCGTACGCTCTTTGACGGCCGAAGTCTTCCATAGAGTCCGGCGACTTCGTTCGACGAGAAGAATCTTTCCTTTTTTCTTTTTCTTTTCTTTTTTGTGTGTGTTGTTATATTACACACACACACAGCTCAGAGGAGAGAAATAATAATAATAATAATTGGAGAGGAAAGGAGGAAGAGGAGAACGCCTAGTAAGCCAAGGCCGTGTCTTTTGAGCTGGTCTCTCTATTTGTCTCTCCACGTTAATAATATTTATTGTTTCTATTTATTAAAAAAAAAAAAGATAAAAAAGCAAATGGAGATAAGGAAAAAGCAAAACAGAAAAAAGCAAAATCTAAAACAAAGGCTTTTGGATATATTTTTTTATATAAAAATATTAAGAAACAGAGGAGAAAATATAAAAGAAATTTGAATTTGCTAAGTAATCAGTATAAATTTCGGAGAAGATAAAGAAATAATGGAAATATGAAGTTGTATTTGTATGGGGTATATTTGTTTGTATGTAATTGACCGTTGACTGTTGATGTAGCTTGCATTGCATTAGACATAAGCGGTCAATGGCAAGTTGTGTGTGATAATAATGTTCACAAATCCAAAATTAATTGGCGTGATCTTTGTATTCAAATTCTTTTATTTGTTTTCATGTGAACGTGACTACCAGCAAAACCTTTTTTTTTTTTTTATGACCATACAACTTTACTCATCCGTATCTTAATGTTCTACGAGCTATCATTTTCTGACATGGGAAAAAAAAAAGGAGTAGATGATGATTTTCTAAAAATCAAAAGTATCAGAATCAGAAAGTAAAGTTGATGATATAATATTAATGTAGAGAAAAACGAAATATTTATCATAGTCATAGGCTCATAGGCTAACTCCAAACTTATCAAAAGTCAAAACATCTGGATACAGCAGCGAATAAGGCCTCTATTAGTTATTTTAGGGATTCGTAACCTGAGCCCAAGCCCAAAGTCTCATTGACATTCCGGTCTAATATGAATGAACCGGGAATACGGATATGCTGCTGGCCATATACCGATAATTAAAGTTCAACCGAGTCGATAATTAAGTATGAGAACTGAAGAAAAGGGATAAAATGATGAGATGAGCAGCGTGGTTCTGAGATGTTTCCACTTACGATGCGTGGGGTTGGTCGGCATATTCGTTCCCACCATGTGTCTATTCAGGGGCTTCCCACGTGATTCTTCACGCCGAAAGTGGTAAAACAAAACAAAGAAAAGAATAACAGAGCTTCAGTTTTGTGGAGAGGAAGAATCTTAATAGTAGTATTGTTTTTGTGGTCACTCACTCATATTCATATTTGATATATTCGATCTTTTTATTTGATCAAACAATGCTCTGCGAGTATGCCCCCTCAACATTTGATTCCCTTATCGTTCGAAAATCGAAACTATATTATATATATGGAGAGGGTAACATGTATATACAACGCACAATAATTATTTAAACTTTGTTTTGGTTTGTAAATTTGTAACATGCGATTTAGTTTCAAAATCTTACCCATTGATGAACTCATAAACGGTAAAACAAACTCAGTTTTAATTTGTTCAAAAAGTTATAACCAAAACATTAATACATTTATGCTGCGCTATTTGTGTGTGTGTTTGCCTAAAAAGGAAAGTTATCGACGGAGGAGCAAACCTATGCACATTTCCATATTTGGAATTATTATCCAACAATTATTTTGGTGGTATATACATACTATATCCCTTACTCTGACATTAAAAAAGAAGTACTAATTTCTTTTTTATTCTACTCTCTGATTGTACGCACCAATGCCGCAATGCACACCAGGTGTCATCATCATTACATATTCGCATTCTCTCGGCAGATCTCATCTCATCACCACGGATTTTAACTTTTTCTTTTCTTCTCTTAGGGTTAAATTAATATATAATGCAAACTTTTGAAATTAAGTAACAATGATGTGGCTTTTTTTGTTCCAAACGGAAAATTCTTGTAATTTTCTTTGTCTTTATGTATCCTACTAATTCTAAATTCGGATGGTTCATATACATATTACACTATAGTATAATTTACTTTAGTATATGTTTTGGTGGAAAGATTCTTTTTAGTTATATAACATTTTAATTTGTGATGGCATCAAAGACGAATTTGATGGAAGAAATTATACTATATATAAAAGAGAGCATATATATATATATATATATATCTCATACAGTTTTAAAATTGTTTTCTTTTCGGAAAAAGCATTCATGCTTTAAGATGCTTTAGCGCCGTATTGAATATTTGGGTGTGGCTGTACCTTTAATTTTCCATGATGAGGCTCTGTTGATATGTAATTGGTCGGTCCAATCTTTTATTCCACAATATTAGAAAGTCTTCTATTCTTTTCTTCCATGATTGTCGAATTAATCCTATTCCTATATGTTTTAATATGAGAATTTAAACTTCATCCAATGTTTGTTAGACAAACTTCATCCTTATGTTATTCCAAAGTTTCTGGACCAGTTGTTAGTTGTTAATTTGCATATTATTAGTTGATACATTGTTTACACATTAATCTTTGCTCATTAATTAGTTCGAGATATTCCGTAAGTAAACCATGCAACCAAGAGCCTATCTTTTAGCTTATGGTTATATATAGATACCAGAAATCAAATAGCAAAAACAAACGACGACTACGAGAAATCAAGTGGTAATAAAACCAGCATCTTAGTGATATAAGATTGCATTTCACGTGGTTAGAATATGGAACAATCTTTATCAATAATACATGAGAGAGATTTGAGTTTATCTCTTTATATATCATTTTTAATAATAAAAAATATCCCTAATTCTCTCTCTCTCTCTCTCTCTCTCCTCCATTTGGCTATAAAAGCCCCGACAGGTCTCAGTTTCTTCCCACATCCAAAGATAGAAAGATGTAAGGTCTATAGTCCCCTAATAGAACACTGATAATATATATATGCATATAAAAGTAGATACATATATAGAAATCGGTTGTTGAGGATCGACTATCAAAGGTAGTCGAGAGCATGACCGATCTCATGCGACGAAATTAAAGGTAAGAGGAGGTGACAGAAGAGAGTGAGCACACATGGTGGTTTCTTGCATGCTTTTTTCAATCAGGGTTTCGTCATCATGCTTGAAGCTATGTGTGCTTACTCTCTCTCTGTCACCCCTTCTCTCTCTTACTCTCTCGATCTCTCTATTTTTATAAACTAAAAGGATAATTATCGGCTTATAGGCTGGTAAAACTCTTTGATTTGGTTTGATATATTTGAGGTTTTCGTTATATTATCATCAAAGGTATCAAAGAAGTTAAAAGGTATGATTAGTACTTGAGTAGTATGCAACCTCTTGTTTTAATTGTTTACATCTAAAACATATAATATTTTGTTTTTATATCAAATATTTTGTTCTTAATTGTAATTTGTAAACGTTAACTCATGTACCTCATAAAAAAACAAATTTTCCTTTTTTTTCGTCGGAAAAATGGTTATATTAATTTTGACCAAATGTTATATATGTTAATTTGGACGTGGAGGATTTTTCTTACCCTCTTTTAAAAAAAATTTTGGAGTATTTATGTCAATCTCAATGAGGTACGTATGCCAATCATATTAATTACATTTAGAAGAATTTGGCTAATCATATTAATAGGTCATTTTGGTGTTCCCCGCTTTTCTAGATCTATAATATATGTATAATGTTCTAGTTTATGCAGTATACTTTACAGTTTGTAGACGATGAACAACATTTTTGGTCGACGATGGATGAGTTCACATACCGGAGGAAGGACGGGTTTTGTGGATGATGAACGAGTTTGCATGTATAAACGTGACATACATGTAACTATAAGTTGTAAAACTTTTAATTAGGTCAGTGGATATTCGTATATGATGATGTTAAGTATTTATAGAAAAAAAAAAATATATTCCATCAAAACCATTATCCAAAAAGAAAAGACTACAGTAATTTAGCCTAATCACAACATATATCATTTAACCTAATATATGGAAATTGTGTGACATACCAATCTAATAAGCTGCTCCAGATCTCCCCAAGGAAATTGCTTCTCCTTCTTTTCTTAATTTCCTTGCAAATCATTAATCTCTCCTCCTTGAAATTTGTAGACGAAATCCAAAGACGCTTTTGCCAACTTTCTCATTAATTCAGAAAATGCTCGAAACTCAAAACTGGGCAAATGCTTAATTAGATTTATGCCGGCCAATAAACTCCGATATGTAAATCTGTCGAATAGGAAGTACGGGAGATGAGGATCTTACTTGATGCTCTTACTTGAATTTTTTTTTTCTTTTAATGAAAATAGAAAATCAAAACAAAACATAAACAAGTTTTATACCATATAGATGATAATCCATTGATGCTCTTCACTTCGTTTTAAAGCTTTTGTTGTCTCTCTCCCTTCGTCCCTCGCTCTCTCTATATGTATTAATTAGCTTATCAGTCTTACAACAAAAGACAAATTTGTTAAAAATCTCTCAAGACTCGGGTGTTGTCTCCGGAGTCTGCGATGGAACGGGACTGTTATCTTCTTTCTCGTTCAGATTCTCGTCTTGTTTTTCTTCAGTTGGGGAGGCTATACCATTCTCCGGTGCTTCCTTTGTGTCGGTGCTGATGACCTTTGGAGATTTGTTGGATGGTTCTTGAGAGGACGATGCAGCTAAGATCCGACCTAGACCTTCGTATGCACTCTTGGCATCCATAACGATGGTCGCACCACCTGGATAACATCTGCCGAAGCATGTGGCACAATGTGGAAAAACCACCTGTATGATGAACAAAGGGCAATTTGAGTTACATTACTGACTTTTGACTTGTTGATACAGACTTGAGATGTGATGAGATGTAAAACCGGACCTCAACAAAAGCTCGGCAAAGTGAGAGGAAGAGATTGGATTCTTTGAGTCGAAGCATCCGAGTTGTATTGTATCTTAGTAAGGAGTCAGAGACAGCCTGAAGTCCTTTGATCAGTTCATGAGCAACAACGTTCTTCAGACTTAGCGGGGCACAAGGACGAAGTTCGTTCAAAGCAGCAGATACACCTGTGGGATCATCAATTGCAATCAGACTTTTAAAACAAATCATCTAAAAGGGATAAATTGCTTTTGCAACATTTGTTATAGTAAAAAGAGTCATCATGTGTTATATCTTCTTTAGTATTGGAGATTGATACTCTATCATTGTCTCACCGTTTATGAAAACTGCAAGAGGCGGGTGCTCCATCAAGTATGATGGAGGTGTGACATCATCTTTGCTATCTTCATTAATGCCACTTGTTGGGAAGCCAACAGATGGTAGTGGAACCCATCGATGTGAATCCAAAACTAGCTGGAAGTATAACATTATGAAAAACTTAACTGAGAAACTCAAGAGTACAGCATCTGGTTGATTGGAAATCAGACACTATGCGAGTTGAGTTTCATGCCAGAACAAATGTTCAAATTTCGAACTCACCCACCTGGAAATTCTCAACTGCTGTACTCATGTTCTTGGAGAATAAGTTCAGAACAGCCCTGTCGAACGTACTGTGAGTTAGATACTGAACTTGTACATAGATAAGTAAAAATTTATGAAAGTAAGTAAGAAGGTAATATAAAGAATTGTTACTCTTCAAAAAGTGGAGGAAGCAAACCCCGGAAGTCTAGCCCAACCCAACCAAGCCCCATAGCACAGTACTGCATGGTCATGAGAAGAAGGTAAGATGTCAATCGGAGTTACACAGTGAATTCAAAAGGGAATACATGAGATGTAGAAGAACTCAACCATGCACTGATCTAAAATATTTGATAGAGATCCTCCTTCAGTAATCTTTGGAAGCATAATTTTCAGAGTCTTCAGGTGTGATGTTATTTGATGCATGGCCCAGCTAAACAGAAGTCCACCATCATAATTTTCTTCACTTCCCGATGTATCATCAGCAAATATCGCTCGATACTGATTAACCACATCAAATAGGTGCATTCTGTGACAGTTTATCATGCCTTTTAAATACTCATAAGCATTTTTCTGGTCTAAATCCTCCAGAATTCCAGTGAGCCATGCTTCTCGGCATCTTAAGAACTGCACAGACAAAAATAACATTTCAGGATGAACTATTCCACACAAAAAAAAGGAAAACGATGTAATGAAAGGACCAATGCAAATCTTAGTACTTTATATGTCAAAATATTTTACCTGCAATCGCATTTCATACTCGCCAAAGACTCCTATTCGCCGTAAGTATCCAATAATCCGGAGACATTCTGGTAGCTGAAATAGAGAGCAGCAACAAAATATTGAGCCTACTAGATTGCTAAGCCTAAGCATAGTTCACTATATACAAACAAACTACATTCACATGAAACCTGTATATTCGAGCGTAATTTCTGGAGAAGCTGTGAGAGAAGCGCCTGAGTTGTTTGTCTAACTTCCGCTGCAAGTGCTTGGATGACAGGCAATCTTGACATTGAGAAAAGATTAGTTCTTAGGAGCTAAATTTGAAGTTTCAGGGCTTAAGTAGGCAAAGGTTAAAAATATATCGGGAGAAAGATACCAAAAACACTCACTTAGGATGCATGGTTGCAAGTTTAGATACAAATGCTTCGAGGTCAAGAGCCTCATCAAAATTTCCGTTCCTCACACATCTGCAGAAAGATATAAAATTTGAGGAGAACTGAAACAATTATAGAAGTTGCTTAAAGCCAGGAATACGTTCCGGTTTTCTCTCATGAAAAGGCATGAGCAGAGATTGACAAGAAATAAGATTAAACTTTTGGGCAGGACTAGTAGCTTACGTGTCCATAAGCTGAGGAATCTCAAGCAAGTCAAGAAGAGTGCTGTGATTTGCCAGCAACGCTTGGTTCATCCTCCTCTTCTCCAGAATATTCTCAGCGGAATCGATAAATTCTGTGCAACCAGACGTTAGTTTTGGGACTTCGCCTATCTGCAACAGGTGGAAAATACAGACTTCCAACATCAAAATTTGGTAGCAAAAGAAAACATCTCCAAGGATGCAACTGCTACAGTCAGACGATTGTTACTAAAAACATGGAGGCTCAAGTTACATTCCTAATCCCCTGATTCATTCACCTTATTCTCAATAGGTTAGTTGTCTGCTAGAGTACAACACAGCAAGACCAATCTCCCAAGTTTGGCTTACACCGAGTCTACAAAAATATAGAACCTGAAAACAGCATAATTCTTCAGCTTGACTTGATTCCAATCGACTTTCTAATTACCTAGCTCCACTTTAGACTATGTAAAGCTCCAGAAACGACTAATACTAGTCCAACCTTTACCACAACATTTCCAAAAACTAGTTCCAGATCCTAGCAATGACACTTGCACAGTCACTAATCTTAATTTCTCTACCAGGATTTAGAACTAACCAAGTGAAGCAGTAGAACTCAATGAACAAATGGAACAAACAGGTATAATATTTACCAGAGACTCGAGATGCTTATCAATGGAGGAAACTTCCTGACGGATCGCAAGCAAAGCATCAGCAGCTGTGATAAAAGCGCGGTAGTTTCCAACAGCGACCTCTTGCATTTGTCTCTGAATCCGCTCCGCATCCACTCTAAGCAGCTCCGGCTCCTTTAAAAATATTCAGTAACCGATATAAGAATTTAGAAAAAATCCATGCGCACAGAGATATCAAGAGAGAGATATACCTTGTGGAGACGATCAAGAGTGAAAGAGAGGAGCTCGGAGACGTACGGTTGCTGAGTGGCGGAAGCGAGAGAGAGAAGACTCGCCGTCGCTTCCGGCGCAGACATCTCCCCAACCTCCGTTGCCATTTCCGGATCAGACTCTTGTAGCCGATGCTGTCAAAATCTCCTCAAAGAGATTATACAGATCGAGCAAACTCCAATTTCTTCAAATGTTTCTGCGATTTGTTTCCTGTTCTTGGATCTGAACTTTCTCTTTCAATTTTCTATTATCCTCGTTAAATGAGTTAAAGAACAGAACCGGATTTAACCGACATTTTCTATAAGAATTCGGTTCGATTAGGAAAATAAACCAACCTTTTTCTTTCTTTTTTTGCCGGCAAATAAACCATCATAACCGAGAATAAAGATTTTACGTGCATTTCACTTTTGTTACATATAAACTTGAATACTATAGTGTAGGCAAAAAAATAAAATTGAATACTGTAGCTAGATACAATATCAAATTATCAATTAAGGGTAGGTCTTGGTTCGCTTGTGGCTTAAATAATAACTGAATACTGTAATCGAAAATTTTCACCCTTATTTGGACACATTCATGATTCAGCTTTGATGAGGCCAAGTAGCTCGTTTTCACATGCCTAAATACTTTGATGTTCGATGTTGCATTGATGATAAGAAGGCAATCTTATATTACACATCAACAAATGAATAAATAGTATAGTTTAGTAAGTATATAACAACAATATATAAAGGAGTTTTTTACACTAACGAACCGTTAAGAAAGATAGATAGAGAAAATGTAACAAGAGAGATTAAAAAAGAGGAAGAAAAGACAAGAGTGGCATCTGATGCCGTGTAGAAATAGAAATAAGGAAATGGGTAAGGAGGTTGTTGTTGCCCTTGTGACTGCCCCTTCGGGGATGGTGGAGACGGTGGCGCTGATGGGGGAGAGCCTTTTCCATCGGAAGAAACTTGTGGAGGTGGTGGTGTGGACTCAAAATAGTAAAACCGTGGTGGAGGAGGATGGATGACGGTAATCAACGGCGGGGGTGAAAGAGATTGTGAAACTGGCGGGGGAGAGTGTTTGCGTGGAGGTGGAGGCGGTGGAGAGGTGGATGACGGCAATGTGGGAGACGGAGGAGGAGGTGAAGACATGGAGGGAGAGGGTTTAGAAGGTGGAGGAGAGCAAATGGTGGGACACGTGGAGCATTCACTGATGCAAAGAGGAGTGAGGACATCTGTTTGATCCGAAGGTGATGATGCAACTACTACGACCATGACCAATGCAACGATGATGATGATGTGTCCCATGTTGATGATCTAGAAACGTTGTTGGTGTTTAGGAGTGGAATAATGTTCATTGCTTGCTTAGTTTAGTTGGTTGGACATTTATAAATTATCTCATGGCTTTGATGATAATAATAAGATGCTTTCTTGATGGATTGTGTTTTGCTGGAAAGTTAATAGTAAATTTGAGAATATTAAAAAGACAATGTATGTTAAGCTTTATATAGATGTTTTTACATATAATGGGGTAAAGATGCAAACATAGCTTTTTCAAAACACAATATATTTTTAAGACTATACAAATTTCAACATTTTGATGTGTGAAAATATTTTATGAAGGTGTACTTCTTGAATTTTTTTTTTTTATTATTTCAAATGACTTGTGATATTCTTTTCTCAACTCATACTCAATAATAATCCATTTTATGAAGCAACAACTAATTCTAGAACCAAAAAGTGTCACACTCCTCCAAATTTTTTGGTATGTCATTGTTCTTTTTATACTTTGCTTTCAAAGTTGGCTTTGTATCAAATTCCATTTTGATAAAGGTCGCCATTGTATTGATTCGTTCATTGTTTAACCTTTTCTTATATAATCTCTGTTCTTTTGGAACCAATTAGTGTTTTTAGTTGTAACCGGGTGATCTCATAAAGTTGAAGACAAAAATTAATTTGCACTCATTTGGGTTACAATATAAAAATAAAACCCCAAGAAGCTTTCCACACAGAGAAAAAGAATCTATGCATGTCAAAATCACATTCTCTCAAAAATTAGAAATGAAACTTAAGAAGAACATAAATGTTTGAATAGATCAATAGCTTCGACTTAGTTATGCTACGAGAACATTAACAATAACCAACTGCAATTTGTTCAATACTTTTCTTTAGAAAGCTAGAAAGGTGGAAGTACTATGTTACAGAGATATATAATATCAACAAAGGTTAGATTTTTAGTTAAGTCATCTCATCATGGCACTTCACTTACCACTTGCTTACTTTCTTTCTTGAGAATCAAGCAATCTTTCTATTCAGTTTTACTTTGATTCTTGAGAAAAAAGCAATCGTTCTATTCAGTTCCTCGTAAAAGTCTTGCAAAGATTGAAGTAAGTATATGATTCAGACCCCGTTGCTATTTTTGGCATCCTGATGAATAACAGAGCGTATTGATAGTGTAAGTAATTGAGTTAATTTCAAGACATTGTTTAGGACTCTATATGTGAGTAATATATATATACCTGATTCATTGTTCATCCCCAAGTTTCTTAATCTGAGAAGTTCTGGAACTATTTCTTTCCCAAGATCTGGTCTGTCTCTCTTCCTTAGCTCTGCACATTTTAGACACAACTTAGCAAAATTTGTAGCTTCTTCGACCGGCCAATCTGGGACGACCGGGTCAAGCAGATCCTTGAAAGTTCCTTTATCGATTGCCCTCGACACTTGATGAGCCAAACCCATTGGACTCTTTGCAGTGATGACCTGGAGCAGCATTATCCCTAATGAGTATATGTCTGATTTCGTGGTTAACTTTCCCGTTTGCTGGTATTCAGGGTCTATGTAACAAAACGTTCCTGCTGCAGATGTCATGTGGAATTGCGTGACTGTGTTAGCTACTGACGCGGGTACTAACCGAGCTAATCCAACGTCACTGATCTTGCTCACATAGTTTTTGTCTAGGAGTATATTGGCAGGTTTTAGGTCACGATGAACCAGAGGCTCTGGCTTTGCTTGGTGAAGGAAGGAGAGTGCGGTAGCGATCTCTGCAGCTATTTGAAACCTTTTCCTCCATGATAGAGGAGGAGAGTTTCCTCTACGAAAGAGTCTATCCTCTAAGCTCCCATTGTCCATGTACTCATACACCAAACACCCATATTCCGGACAGGCACCAAGAAGAAGAACCATGTGAGGATGTCTTATGCTACTCAGAACCTCGACTTCTTGTTGAAATTGTCTCTTTCCTTGAGCAGCATCAGGTCTCAAGACTTTAATGGCGACAGGAGTGTGATCAAGTGTGCCATGATAGACTGGTCCATACCCACCTTCTCCTATTTTTTTGTTGTTTGCAAACCTCTCAGTAGCCTCTTCAATCTCTTCAATAGAGTATCTTCTGTACCGGACATCGTTCTGTACCAAAGCACTAAGAGCACGATCTTTCTCCTGCGATTCTCTTCTTGCTTTTATCTCTGCTTGCTTTCTTCTTTGTCCTTCCAGTTCCGCCATTCTCTGTGCTTTCTCAGCTGCGTCCATCGCAGCTCTGCACTTGGCCTTCTCCATTTCCGCAACAGCTAAAGCTGCCTCTTCAGAAACTCTAGCTTCCTCAAATCTTCGAGCTTCTTCCACTTTCCATTGATTAAGCTCATTTGCCTTCAAAAACATGAGAGCCAGAACGTATCAGATAGAGCAAAAAAAAACATCCTCGTCAACTAGCTCTTGTACACCTTATAAATCTTACTTTCTTTTTTGCATTAAGAGCTTCTTTGCAGGCTGAGCTATACATGTCCATGGTTTGCTTGAGTTCAATCTTTAACCTTTTCATCTCAGCTTCAATATCTCTCTGCAAATAAGCATCTTCTCATTTAGTGAATACTAATCTTGTTATCATAGACATATTGCTCCATCGTTTTAACAACATACCGTTGATTGCGAAACTGACTCATCAGAAGAAGCTGATACACCAGCAACGATGTCGAAATTCTCATTGCTCAGGTCAATAGAACCCATCATCATCAGAGAACCAACATCCCCTTCATTAGTAAATGAATTTTTTGCTGAGGAGTTCTTTTGACCTCTTGCCTGCCTAAAATCATAACTGAAGTCCACTGATCCACTTGTAGGAATTTTCTTCATTTCTCTCACTGGTTTGTATCCATTACTACTATCATGGGAACGCCTCTCAGGAGTTGAGTTTCTCGTACTACTCTGCTGACCCCTACAATGTCCTCAAGAACAAAACATTTTTATTGATTGACTACAAAACCATGCATCATTCCAAAGCACATTAAAAAGACTTTTGGTTAGTAAGATCATACCTAGCTGGTAAATGATCTTGATCATTGTCAGGTAGATGAAAGCTAGATAAAGGTGCACGAGGAGGGACAAGTGTATTTGTGATAGTTCTTTGAGCTGTTTTTGAAGAATGGACTTTGCCTTTAGAAATGACGTAGATGGAACAAAACTCAGGCGTTAATTTGAGGACGGAAGCTGGAACGTCATGTGATTTGGTGAACTTGAGAGATCTTGCAAATGGACTCCTTGAGGATGATCCCAAGACAAGGTTGGTCACAAGGTTATTGTTCACGTAATCCATGACTGCTTTCGCTACGTCTGTATCGTCAAGAATTACCTCCATCATTGTAATCTAAACATTGAAAAAGACAAGAAAAAACCAAAAAAAAAAAGAGAGATATAACATTTTCAATGCATATAAATTTTCGACGAAATGCTTGAATGAGAAATCATACCCCTTTGCGTGCACAGTAACCTCTGTATGGAACAAAAAGCTGTTTTAATTCACTATCATCAATGTTTCCTCCATCTGCAACCAATGTTTCTTAAAGTTATACAAATAGGAATATAACAATTTATGGGCATGATTAGGTGAATTTGAATTTTGAGGAGAAGATACCTACGGTTTGAATTTTTAAGACGAACATGGACAAGGATCAAGTTGGGGTTAGTGATCGTATTGAAGAGATGATCAACGGCCCAACGAACAGCGTAGTGGCTGTTCTTGTCTTTGTCAATGGCGACCACCGTGGAGTTGACTGGGGATTGGCCGTGGCCGTGGCCGTGGCCGTCGTCCGATGAGTAATGACGAGCCATTAATGATACGATAAATTCAAAAACTTCTCTAAGAAATAAGTCAGGTGTTACCAGACCTCTCTGTCTAGGGGTCGTGTCTGGGAACAAGAAGAGAGGAGAGAGAAGCAGAGAAAGAGGAAGAAGATTGTAAGAAAAGCTTTTCTTCTTCTTCTTGTCTTTTAACTTTTCTCTCCTCTCTTCTTCCTGTTTCAAAGTTTGTTGCTCCGAAGACGACGATTAACTAACTTCTTTTCTTTCTTTCTTTTTCCTTTGGAACCAAAACAGAGAAAAAAGCGGGAGTCAAGGATTTATATTAACCATTGTTTTTCGTATTGTTTTGCTTTTTTTAAGGAGATTCTCTATTTCTTCTCTCTCTCTGTTAATGTTGAGGTTCTTCTAGAATAATAACATGGGCACATCTTTTTTGTTGTTTCTTTTATATTACGGATAGCTTCTAGATTTTTAATTAGCGAGATTGAATTGGATACAAATCACTTGAGAAAACATGTGCATGCGTTTCTCAAAAAAAAAAAAAATTGTGTTTGTGTGTAATTATATCAAAATCATTATGATTTGGTTAAATATCTACAACTCTTAAGAGTTAAGATATTACCACAAAAAAAAATCTAGCATGTCGGTTTGCATCTGATCTACGGGTCCGAAAATAGAAGAGTGGCTGTCACTGATTTGAGTCGATCGTTGAGTTAGAGCCACTCGACAAACGAGTGACGTACCCTGACGAATTGGAAGAAAATGACATGTGTGTCGTTTTATACTTAACTTAAGTAACATCAAAACATGTCGTTGTTTTGAGAAGCTACACCATAACACAAAAAAAGTGTTAAAACCAAACATGTTGGCTCATTAATCTCACAGATTTCACACCAGATCAGAGAATGAAATTTCATCAAAAGAGAGTGTATATAATTTGTATAGTATCGTGTATATAATTTAAGTTTCTTCTATTCCCTCATATAACATCATCTGTGAAGACTGTGATCTAAAGGTACAATAATAATACATAATGCATAAACCAAAGAATCAAAGTAAGTTTAGTTTTATCATATATAAGAGGAAACTAAATAAAGAACATTTCCACAGTCCCTTTTATAGGAAAGAAGTACCCCCGAGTCCGTGATGCAATAGGTTATGCGAGATAGTATCTCTTGCCTTCATGGCATTAACCGATCTCAATGCGTTCTCAGGCAAAACCTCATCATCTATCACTTCAACCATCAGCCCCGGATCCATCTTCTCCTCTCTTATTTCACATATGTTGTGAAGCACACAGCATGCGCCCAAAACCGTAGGCAGATCCTGCAGCTTCACTTCAGTCCGTTTCTGCAGGCACGCCCACCGTCCTTTTAACCTCCCAAACGCTTCTTTAGCCACTCTCTGCACTTCACTCATCTTCTCATTGAACGCGTGCTGCGTCCACGTCAAGTTCTGTTGCGTGTATGGAACCAAAACCCAGTCCAACAGCGGATGCCCCGGTCCACCAGCGACCCACATCCCTTTCAACAAACCTCCATTGTTAGCTCTTTGGTACAACAATGACTTCTCCAACACCTGATCATCAGGCATTGACCCGGGCCATCCGATGCACAAGTCAGTAAAAACACCTTTCGGGTTCACAACCGCTTGAATCGTGATGGAATACGAAGTCTTCTGGTTCCTCTCAGTATGCCTCTTATTGAAATAAGCAGCTACACTAATCTTAGGAGCTATAATGGGAATGTGTGTGGTATACATAGAGCCAACAACGTTTGGTATACCCGAAATCGACTCGAACCTTTCTCTAATGTTCCTAAGAGTTTCATCATCAGGCCATTGGAGGTACTTAGGCATCAGAACATCTTTAATGGCTTTACATACCTCAAGAACAAGCTTGTGGCAAGTTGAGATACCTAAACCAAACTTCTTGGAAACGAGACGGAGTGGCTCCCCTGTGGCTAATCTCCATATACAAACCGCGACTCGCTGCCGCACGGGAATCGCGTTTCTCAACGCCGTGTCTTCTTTCGCAACCGCGGAATTAAGCTCGTCGCAGATTAACTCAAACGTCGATTTGGACATTCTAAACGCTTTTCTGAAATCCTCTTCTGGAAAATCCGGTCGGCTACACTCTTCCCACCAAGCTCTGCTCCGATCCTTAACCCATAACCGCCTCTGTTGACCCGAACCCGAACCAGTACTTCGAACCGATCCGGATCCGGTTATCTCACTGCTCTCCGCCTCAATCTCCGAAGCAGCAGCAGCCACGGAAGCGACGGCGGCGCGTGAGACGCGTGACTTCTTCTTCAGATTGATGTCTCCAGTTTCCTCAGCGTCGGCGTAGTAATCGTTGAGATCGGAGTAGTAATCGGACATGGTCCTAGCTCGTTTCCGGTAATTAGATTGGAAATCGGACATTTCGCGGCGGGAAGCGGCGGTACGAGCTTCCTGGTCTTGCTTCTCGTGCTCCTCCATCAAAAGCAAAGAAGTGAAGAAACCTTTGAGCGTTTTGGTCCCGTTGCTTGTCTTGGAATCTACCTCAGCACCGTCGAAAACATTACACACTTCTTCTTCTTCTTCTTCCTCTTCCTCGTCTCCGTTTACGTCACGATAAACGGCGGCGGAGGCGGCTTTCATCGGAGTTGTGTTCTTTCACGTTTTGTTTTGAGTTCTTGTCTTGTTGTAGTTGGAGTGGAGGAGAAGATTTAATATATTTTGGGGGTTCATAAATAAGAAATTAAAATCTGAATAAAATAAAAAAAGGTTTTTGGGGAATGGAGACGAAACTTGTGGGATGAGTGTGAACACGCAAGTTGACTTTACTATAGAGCTATTCTATACTCTTTTTTCTTTCTTTTCTAATAAATTCTTATTATTTAATTGCTCATTTTGATTCTCGTTACAGATTTTAAAATTTAGACAGCAAGTACAGAAAAGGCAGAACCGGTTTGGTTTGATTCTCATGATAAAAGAGATTCAAATTTGGAAGCAAACTATGTTGAATTTGTAAACTAGTATTTATATGTCGGGAAACTATAGAGTAATTATGAAATAATTTATATGGATCATTACATGATTAGACGCTACTCTAAAAATTGAATAAACTGGACTGTAAAAACGTTAAACAGAGGCAGTTATACAAAACTAATTTTGAATGTAATTCTTAGAATCGAACGTGATCATGATCTCAAACCAAATTCTTAATTTGCGTGCTGCCTTTTTATTCAAAGCGAAAATTACATTGACTAGCATTTACTGTTTCCTTCTTGTCACTATTTATAAGCATGTCTATTAAAAAGTTGAACATTTTTAGTATGTTTGTAAAAATATCGCATAACATTTCTTCTTATCTAAAAGAATTAATTAATGATTTTGATTCGAATTGTAAGTTACTAACCATTTTATATGTTTTGGCCGTACTTTCCTTTAACTTTCTCGAATTTTAACAAAATCACCAAAGCCTGAGAAAAGAAAAAATGATTGGTGATATTTTTTTATAGCAAATTCCTTATATTGATAATTTGATATTGAGATGAACAGGACTTGGAAAGATACACGTATGTATGTATGTATAATTATCTCTATTAGTTAAACCGGTTTGGGAAAAATAAGAGTATTTAGATATGGACACACCTCTCTCCACCACTATTTTCTTAATTCATTTGTCAACAAAAATTGTTGTAAACGTTGTTTTTATGGTAGACACTTGTGGAGAGTGGGGTGTTCACACTTGAGACACATATTTGTATATATATGCGAACTCAATGATATATGTAAGTAGAAGGAGTATATATTAATAGAAAAGATATCGAATGATTTGTTACCTAGAAACTGAAAGAAAGGAGTGTGAACACGTCGAGGAAGTATCGGACATTATTTGTTTAATTATATTTGTATTTGGCGGTGTGGAACGTTAGGTGGCCGATGGTGACTTTTTTGGTCCCACGACGCTTTCTTTCTCTTCTTCTTTCTTTTTGTGTTTTACTTGAGACTTGAGAGAGAGCTGCCAAATGAAGCCATTTCTATGCGATCTAATCTCCATATTTAGATATTTTTTTATAACTCCCATCGCATTGACAAATAGTGGCCTCTTCCACCCAGCTTGGATTCATGTTATGTTTTTGTTTAATCAGGAAACTCACTAAGGTCAAAATTTAAACTCATCTTATCAACTGTTATAGTGCAACTTTTTGGGAAACTCGAACTAGTGTGAATGTGAACTCTCATTTGTCCTATATAACATAACCAATCACGCAATAGAAAGTCCTCTTTATAGAGTGAATAGTTGGTTAACGAACGAAGTTTTGTTTATGTTGCTTTTTTAAAAGGCTCAGGTTTTTCTGGAAAATTTTCAAATCAGACCACTAAAAAACCGAAAAAGATAATTCTTTTAATCAGGGGTTTGCAAATTATGGAGTTTAGCTGCTAACAGAAAGAAAAAAACATGTGAAAAGAGGAAATGAGCTTTTAGGCAATCAGAACTTGGGGGAGGAAAGAGCACAATCTCAACTGTACAGTCCTTTAGACACAGTCACACCAATATTGTAGCAAAAAACCCTACACATTACACAACTGGTTCGATCAAGTTTGAATGGTTTAGCCGTTAGCGCTAAGATAATAGTCCACAAAGTAGGCGACACACAGAATACAAAGGACACAAAAAGACTGATTCCTCCAAGACCTTTTCTGCTTTTGATGAATAAACTCATTAAGTCATAACAAAACACGGAGTAAACATTTAAAACGAGACTAACTTAACATATGCTCTGCTTTCTTGTCTCATAAAATATATGAACCTACAGTCCAAAGATACTTTTTAGTAAAACAGAAAAAAAAAGAGCATGTGGTGGTAGCACTGTGTTACGCTATTCATTAAAAGCTCTGCTGGTTAAGAAGGTTTTAAATCTGCACAAAAGACTTGTTTTCGGTTGATGGTTTCTTTGCATTCTTAGTTGCATACTTTCATAATAATAACGCGTATCAATACGACCGAAATGTCAAGACTTCACAATATTAGGACACAACAAAATACAATCACTTTCGCTAAAGTTCTGCAAAACAGAGGATAAAATAGATTTTGAAACAGAGGAATGGCCAACTGGTTTTCCGAACCGTTCACTTAATGTAACTCTTATCAGTCATAATAGAGAGATACTATACTACTGGTTAGTCAGGCGTCTACAAAGTAGCCGACATGTCACATTAGGTTAGTCTCTTAGCTTAGTGAGTCATCCGGAACATACCAATTTGTGTTCCGTGTTTCTAGAAATTTAATTTGAGAGCGCTACTTAAGATAACTTCATTGATTAGAAAGATCTTACAAAGAGAAAGATGAACAGAGAAACAACTTACTTGATCACATATTAGAACCACAAACTTATTGCTTCACTCCCATTACATCCATTAAAAGACCGAAAACAAAACACAGAACATGATCACAAACAAACTTAGGCGACTTGAACTTGAATTGTCTTTGGTTTCTTAGGCTCAGGAGGAGGAAGTTTCTGGACAGTCACTTTCAACACACCGTCGTTACAAACAGCAGAGATCTTTTCCAAATCAGCATTCTCAGGCAGCTGAAACTTCCTCATAAACTTACCCATTCTCCTCTCCATCCTCACATACTTCACACCTTCGCTCTCCTTGTCCTTGTTCTCCCTCTTCCTCTCTCCGCTCACCACAAGCACGTTCTCGTTCTCCACCTGAACCTTGATCTCGTCTCCTTTGATCCCAGGCATGTCAACGACGAAAGCGTACGCGTTCGGGTGCTCGATGACGTCAGCTGGTGTAGCAGCCATTGCCTTAGCGTCTCGCATGTAAGCTCTTGATGGATTGTTGCGGCTCTTCTCGTTGTGTTCTTCGGGGACATCGAGCATGTCCTCCAGGATTGAGATTATCGGAAACCTTCCCAAATCCATTTGTTAGTTGTTATGAAATCGCTTTCTTGATTCTTGACTCTTTGATTTTTGGCTTTTTTCTGGTTTGATTGATATTTTCTATGGAGAAGTGTCGAACTTATTATATAGGAGTGGAGATGGATAGTTTCTAGAGTGATGTAGAATGTGATCGTCTTTGTTCTTTGGAAGCGCTTCCGTATTGTTCCAGAAACGTCTTGGTCGTTCTGGTTTTTGTGATATTTGTAATTCGGTTTTGTGATAAGTATCTTATCTATCTGGGCTTTTAAATTAGGTGTACCAAGGCCCATCTTTTTCTTTGTTTCGGATATCTTGGTTTAAAACGAAGATTACTTAATTTTTCCGGTTGGGTACGATTTCATTGAACCGGGTCAATACGGTGGAACCGCAAACGCAGAGCCATCATGACTCATGGCTAAAAAGCATCATTATCATGTATATCAGATCATCCGACAAGGTCTAAAGTGAAATGAAGTCAGCAGTTTCATCGTCACTCTTCAATTCCAAGATTCTTTTAAACCCTAATCATCTCTTTCGCTTCTTCTCTCTCAAATCCAGTTTCCTCCCTAAACTATCTCCGAGATCGATCACTAATCACACCGTAAAACTCCCATCTTCGTCAACCTCAGCTCGAAGATCCATCTCCTCCTCCATGGCTTCCTCTTTCAATCCCGAACAAGCCAGAGTTCCCTCTGCTCTTCCCCTCCCTGCTCCTCCGTTGACTAAAGTTAGCTCCTTTTTTTTCTAAATTTGTTTTTTTTCTTGATTTTTTTTCAATCATTTCAGCATTTGATTGATCTTCTTCGTTTCCTGGGTAATATTGTAGTTCAATATCGGATTGTGCCAGCTATCTGTGAGCGCTGACAAGAAGAGAAACATCTCTCACGCTAAGAAAGCTATCGAAGAAGCTGCTTCCAAGGGAGCTAAGCTTGTTCTCTTACCTGTGAGTTTTTCCTTCTTATTTAGCTTAATTTGCTCTAACCTGCAATATTCACATGGCAGTGATCTTTTTTGAACTTTCGATTGAACTTTGCCTGAAAGAATTTGGCGTTACCAATTTAGTTGTTGTGAGTTCAATTGTGATGTTCTCTGTTGGTCAAATGTGTACAATTCACTAGGAGTATAAGCAAGTAATATGGGGTTTGTTTCAGGAAATTTGGAACAGTCCGTATTCCAATGATAGTTTTCCAGTTTATGCGGAGGACATTGATGCGGGTGGTGATGCTTCTCCTTCAACTGCAATGCTTTCTGAAGTTTCCAAACGTCTTAAGATTACTATTATTGGTGGCTCTATACCAGAAAGAGTTGGGGATCGTTTGTATAACACTTGCTGCGTCTTTGGTACCGATGGAGAGTTGAAAGCTAAGCATCGAAAGGTTAAGTTTTTTTTCGATACAGCACTTCCATTTCAAACTTTCGTAGAAGAATTAATGGTCTTTTCTCTGCTTTAGGCCATAAGATCAAAAGATGCTATTCTTACTTCTAAAATCTTCATTCATTTTAAAGGCCACAATGAGCCCAAGATTGAGAAGATTTGTAGATATTGTTATCAGTTGACGGGATCTAAGAGACTTTAAAAAGTAATAAGAATGATGTGTTAATTATGTTCGGGCTCAGGTTCTTCCTCCTCCACCAGTCTAAAGGACTAAAGATAGATCAAGATTAATAGCCTTAAACGTGCATGCTCAGTTTTCAAAACATCTTGTTCTTGATTGTTTTGCTTGATTTTCATTGGACTTGTGCCTACAGATACATTTATTTGATATAGACATTCCCGGGAAGATTACATTTATGGAATCAAAAACGCTTACTGCTGGAGAGACACCAACAATCGTTGATACAGGTTTCAATCTAGTTTTGCGAAATATTGTTGCTAGGCTATGCATAAACTATCATGCATCTTACATAAACTTATTGTTGTACTATCTAAAAGCTTATTGGTTTAGCATTTAGGATATAATAGTCAGTTAGATGTGGGATCTTCTTAGCTCAACGGTGAAATGATTCACTTTAATGCTGGCCTAGTATTTACGAATAATCATAGAGAAGAGAACTTGTTCACCAATAATATTAAAACCCTTTTAAGACCTTGCCAACTATTTTGACTTGGGAAACGTCTTTGTTGAGTATTGAAGTCATAGTAGGACCGTTCATATCACCTCTCACTTTCTAGTACTTAAGAGAAAATTCTTAACAGGTGCAGTGCTTGAAAGTAACGTTGATTGTTGCAGATGTAGGTCGTATTGGTATAGGCATCTGTTATGATATCCGTTTCCAGGAGTTGGCTATGATATATGCTGCAAGAGGTGAGACTTATATATTATATGCTTTATCCAAATAGTCTACTTGCTTCCTATCTTTTTCGGGTCCATAATCGTTTTAAAGAACCTCATCAATCATCAGCCACATGTTTGATTTATTAATTTCAGGGGCTCATTTGCTGTGTTACCCGGGAGCCTTTAACACGACAACTGGACCATTGCATTGGGAATTACTACAAAGGGCAAGGTACATTTCACATTCTACTAAAACTTGCTTTGCTTAGGTAATCAATAATTATATGGTTAAATGACATTGCTTACGCCATCTGTTTTGTTCCGTTTCAGGGCTACGGATAATCAGGTACATGAACCAGGTTAAATACTAGTATTGATAGTTCCAAAGAGAATACAAGCTTTAAGAATTGAGTTATTAATACAAGTGTTATCTTCTTCTCTCTGGAATCTGTACTGTACTGAATCTATCATAGTCATGGAATAGTTGATATGTGTGATTGATATGTGTGCTACTTTCTCCAGTTATATGTGGCGACATGCTCACCTGCCAGAGATTCAGGAGCTGGCTACACTGCATGGGGCCACTCTACACTCGTGGGGCCTGTAAGCACTATGTATTACTTGATTGATACTAAAGCTTTAGTTGAACACTAAACTCGAAATCATAAAAATCAATTGACAGTTTGGAGAAGTACTTGCGACGACTGAGCATGAGGAGGACATTATCATAGCAGAGATTGATTATTCTATCCTTGAACAACGAAGGTAGTCACAACAACACCGATACTTTCCTGGTTTTGACCTATGTCCGTTGTTGATCATATAATCCGTTGATTGAATCTCGCCATTTTAACATTGTAGGACAAGCCTTCCATTAAATAAGCAGCGGAGGGGAGATCTTTACCAGCTTGTAGACATACAGCGGTTGAACTCCAAATGAATGCAGCAGAAACTGTATATCTGAATGCTCTGTTTCTAAGAGATGTGCGAGCTGTGCACAACTTCTTGATCAGTCATTTCTCTGCAAGATACACGAATCTCGGTCTTTGGGTGAAATTGAATAAAAAAAGTAAATTCTGTTTTAAGATAATGTCAAACTCCACCCCACTTGCCATGTGTTGGTTGTTTATAAACTTCAATGCATTGTGGTCATTATGTAGACTTGTGATTCACAATCCAAAATAGCATTTGACTTTTATCACAATATATACTACTTCCAAGTTTCTCAGTAAATGCATTGTCTTCGTAAATCAACTCATATTTGCATTCCTCAACCATCGTATTCAACGCACACAAACTTGGCCAAAATCTAAAACTGTAATAACAGGCTCTTTTAAGTGTTCGGTATTAGTAATGGAAGAATGGTTTTTGCTTAAAGCAGGAACTATGGTTTTTGGTTCCTGTACTCAAAACGTTTTCATTACATGGTGAGATTTGTAATATGTTTAGATATGAAAAGAAGAAAACAGTATATAGAGAGTTTTGAAATTGGCTCCTCTCCTCCACAAGTGGATATAAAAGATTGAAAATGATGGAACATAGAACATTGTCAGCGTCAACTACATGATTTGATGATCCGTGGTTATTGCTGAATGATAAATGACCGGACGACAAAATGCAGTTACAACAACAACAACAACAGGGCTTACAAGATTTTTCACAGTGTTGTGTGGGTGGTTTAGTCTTTGGAGGAGACACGTGGCCCGAGCCTATTAGATGGGTAAGAGACGTAGTAGAGTGGTCCATACTCCTTGCTCACACAGTTTACAGGGGGACTCTGCTCAAAAGAAGAAGTTGCCGTACGCGTGTGGGAGGCCGCACGTGCTATGGACCCATCTGGCCATGGGGCTAAGCTTCACGTGCCAGGTCACGTGTGGGACTCCACCACACCATGACACCACATGCACCACCATCACCGCGTGAAATATGAATGAATCTTCTTCTTTCTTTTTCTTTTTTTCTGGTGTCAGCTCTTATTGTCTCTCCCTGAGCAGCTGAATCTCTGACTCACCCGTGCGAATTGTTTTACCCTTTTGTTTCTGTTTCTTTCACACATCCCTAAAACTCTCAAATAGTTGTTGGTTTCCATTGTTAGAAAATTCATCCTATTTTTAATTTATCAATAATATATATATATCATGAGTTACCATTTCTTTCTTTTTTTGTTGTTGTTGTATATCGTAAATCTATTGATTCAAATCTATCATTTCAACCTCACTTTAGCAAACATAAACCTTACAGTTTTATTTGCTTTTGCTTTTTAGTTTTTTTTTTTAATTTCTTACACGTACAAGTAGAGACACTAGTGTTTCTTGGTATGATGTACTATGTCCTATGTAAATAATACTATTTGTTGCTTATATATTACTATTTTACAACAAGGGAAACAAAAATAGTTTATGTTTTCATAACAATCTAAACTAGAAATCATTTTTACGTAAGTTTCTGTTCTGTACTATATATCTAGTTTGATTTTAAACTGTTTTGGGTTATTATAATTTGGTACAAGTATGGTCCAAACTAGAAACATTATTTACGGGGGATCCTTCGAAACTGGTTGTGATAAGGAGATATCAAATGAAAATTGAAAATACGTTGGCCGAAGTGTGACAAAGTGATATAATAGGAATAGAAACAAAAAGACATAAGTGTTTTTTCATTAACAAAAATATAAGACATAAGTGTTTTTGAAATGAGGAACAGTGAAGGAACAAGAAAGGAAGGAAGCATGTGAGACTGAAAAAGACCCAAAACAAGTACAATACCTTAACCGGTCCTTGTCGACCCAACCAATGGGTAATGGGGTGTAAGAGACACTTTGCTTATACTTAAAAACATAATAATCGTTTCATTGATTAAGACCCTACTTGTCTCTCTAATCACATCCTTTTCCAGTACCCACCTACGTTCGAGATCTGTATAGACAATCTGAGACAATCCGTTATGATTTGGCTACATCTTGAACTCGGTGAATAGTTAAAGCGAAAATTTGGTGATTCTCTAAAAATATAGATGATTGTGTTTGCTATGTTTCTACTTCTAGTGCGTTCTCGAGGCACCTTGTTCATGACGAACCAAGTAATGATTCTTCAATAAAATTATATAGTATGCTATATTATTATTGAGTCAAAAGTTGGATATAGGAAAACGATAATTTCCTTTATTCGAAATGATAGCCACAATCAGTTGAAGATCATTAGTCACTTGTACAAGATTGTGTATATTATGCTTGAACATAAATTGGGTTTATTCAAGTTCTAGTATTCAGACAGATCGATGTCCTATATCTAATATAAGTTTTAGTCGATACGATACTTGCATAATCATCTAATTATCTTTAAACATACTTAAGTGTAAAACGCACTTGAATCGAACTATATTATATTTTGAGGTCCATTCTATAGAAATGGTTTGTGATACAACCTATGATAAAATCATTAGTCCATCACATTATGAGGAAAAGGACATTGGAGAAAACACTATTAGGTACATGCACACATAAACAAATCGAATAATCCTCTTGCGTGGTCCATCTATGGATATGCTCAGCATACGTGAACAACACGCGCCGAGATCGCCGCTTTTATATATATACGAGTCCTCGTCTCTTCTAACTTCATTCGTCGTCGTCTTCTTCTTCTTCTTTCTGCTAAAAAACACACAAAACAAAACAGACAATTACAATCTCTCTTTTTGTCTCTTCTTCTTTCTTCTTCTTTAATCCTCTTTCTCGATCAAATCATCATGCATAAATCCAAAAGAAACCCGTCATTCTCCTCCACTCTCCTCGATGAAATCTACAATTCCATCGATCCTAAAACCCAAAAAACTCAATCTTTTGTCGGCTCTGTTAACACTACTACCAAAAAACAGAGCATTGTGTCAAGATCGGTTCCTGACCGTAAGATCCACCGTGACCGGTTCTTTGGCTCTGTGTCGTCTTCCTCTGATTCCAACTCCAGCATCTTCTCTTCTTCCGACACCGAACTTACTCACGGTAAGAAGGTAACTTCTTCCAGACCGTTGTGTTTCGGCCCTTCCAAGTCAAAACCAAGGAAAACAGAGGACAAAACTCTGTACCACCAAAACAGAGCATCACGAGTGTACGACGACTACGATTACTCCTCCGACGTCCCCAAATTCACGAGACACGACGAGAACTGGGAAAATAACAGATTCAGAAGATCTGCAAAGAGCTCCGGAAACCCCAAGAAACCCAAAACTCCAGCTTCACCAGCCGGAAGAATCGTCAACTTCATAAATTCGCTGTTCAGCAACAACAGTTCAAAACAGTCCAATGCTGTTAAAAGCTATCCGAGGAAGACGAGCTACGACGACTCTGCTTTCGTTAGGAAAACATCGAATGATTATCACTCATCATCTACAACGTGTTCTTCAGCTTCGTCCTTCTCGAGGTCTTGTATGAACAAAAGCTACGAGAAGTCATCTGAGCGTATCAAACGAAGCGTTAAGTTTTCTCCGGTCAATGTGATCGTCCCCGAGATCTTTACAAACAAAGAAGATGATTATTTCAGTAACATGAGAAAGTCTGTGAAGAAGAATGTGGAAGATGGAGGGAGGAGATCAGTGGAAGAGATTGCGAGAGAGTTTTTGAGAGATTATCACAAGAATCATGAAAGCAGTTTGGTCAAGAACAGTGGATTCGAGGATTACGAAGATGATGAAGATGACGACGACGATGATGTTGCAAGTGACTCAAGTTCAGATTTGTTTGAGCTGGATTTAGTTGGGAATAATCATCATCATCATAATAATGTGTACGGAGATGAACTTCCTGTTTATGAAACCACTTTTGCTGGTTTGATCTCGTGAAACTCTTTTTTTTCTTTTTTCTTTTTTTGTTACTTTACTTTAGATTTTCGTTTTTTTTTTAATTCCATGTGATTGTTGGAAAAAAAAATTCACATGTGATTCTCCACATTTGTGTTTGAGCTTGTAACTATGGTGTGTTATAAATTTAGTGTTTGTAAAAAATTGATCCAATCATGTTTTTTTTTTTCGGAATATCAGTTTAGTTTTTAATTGTTCTGTTTTAATTAAACAAAATATAATTCTAATCTAATAATAAACATTAACTACTTTTACAAAAAAAAAAAAAAGAAAAAAAAAAGCTAGTGAGAAAACAAATGCAGAAAATTAATGTCAAAGCAAACGACAAAATGCTAAGTTTAAGCACAAAGAGAATGCTTTGCGTAACATTAATATAAAGGAGCAAGGTAAACGCTAATGTTTAACATAAACGCAAAGGCTAAATGCTAGCACTGATATGTAGTAAAACACGCATATTCATGAGATATATGAAAACATAATTAAGTGAACATATATACATATATTCCAACTTGAGATATAATTATTGAGACAAATAGCTCCATTGTAAAGAAAGGTAAATAAAGAAAATTTGAAATGATAGTGTTGAGAAGGATCCGTTGCTTACAAAAGCAAAATGTGATAAATATGATAAAGTGGTTGATGATCCCAAAGGAAAATACCAACTTAGCTTTCTCTTTTTAAAATTTTATGTATCTATCACATGCTTTAGATCCAAATTCTCATGAATGCAAAACACTTTTAAAATTACATCAATCTATTTTTGAGTTGTTCATCTCCTTATATATGTATTTAATATCAAGAAAAGCTCACCGAAAAGATTTGATTAGGGCATGTCGGTGAAATGCAAATTTAGAGCAGCAACACCACAACCATAAAAATCAACTGTGTTTGGTGACACCATTAACAAAATATAACATCTAAACTATACCAAGAAAAAGAGATTTTCATAATAGAATACTCAATTCTTATCACGACTGATTATTAGGAATATCTATATTTTTCATAGGTATTAAAGATCTTTTTTTTATGTATATGTGAAAGGAACACAAGAATATTTGTGTGTGTGTGTGTAATAAAGTGTGTCGTCAAGTAGTAAAATATGGAATCGATGATATGTGAAAGTGTATAAAAAGAAAAGAAAAGAGGGGAAATCGAGAAATTCGATATCCAAATGAGAAGCAAAGGGTGATTGATATGAAGCAGATCGTGAATGGACACATTAAAGCTTCATATAAATCGAAAACACACACACAACAACAAAAAAAAGTGAATATTTTTTTTATAATTTTAAAATAAAGTGAAAGTTATATAGTATATTGTTGTAGAGGGATGGATGAACATGATGAAGTGTACTGATGCTTCCACGGGAACAGAGAAAGTCGAGAGCTTTTGCTTTACTTCTCTCTCTCTTTTTCACTTTGATCTCATCATCTTTAAAAGTTCCGATTACAATCTTCTCCATTACTTCTCTCTCGACAATGCATACAAAAACAAATCCTAATATGCATAATAACAATATATATATATATATATATGTTACACGCACGGTCGCACGTACACATGTCCCATTTCCATGTCCATGTCAAGTACTCATCATTTTGATACCCTTTAAATTTATATTTTTTGCTTTGCAATGTTAGCTTTATCATTTAGTTTTGATTCTAGCTATAGCTAGACGATATTTTTGCTTATAGTTTAGATTAGAAAATTTGCTGGTGTGATAAGGTTTTTAAATGATTAGGGTAATTTTTATAGCTATAACCAGACTTGTAAGTCATGCCTCTTTTATCAACGAACTATTCAAACATTTGAAAACCCAATGGCCCGAACCATGCATGTCCCTGTTAATATTCCTTTACTAATTTTAATACTTATTTTGCTTGCTCCTGTTAATGATATTCCTTGACTTTTGTACTATAATAATTGAAATTACTAAATATTTGTCTTCGGTAATGGAACTAACAGGAGACTCATATGTGAAGATAAGTATTTGTATATGGTTGCGTTTTATATCTTCACAAATGCTGCTTTTTGTCATACAAAATGCAATAAGTTCGATAAATATATAGATCATTGCGTATTATTTTTATCCAATTATGCGGCTGATTTAATTATTCCGTCAAGAAAGCTCATTGCCTGTTAGCTAAATCAACAACTAAGTATATTTAACGAAAGTGAATAATCTAATCAGAGATCGTGCAATGTATATGCACACAACAATACTCCCTCAAACTCCTAATGATTGGGCATAATACGTAATGTATTTAAGTAAATTATGTTGTATTAAGATCCTTCATTGGATGAGATACGCTAATAATATAAAGAGTTACATGTATATTGCATGTTAGTACGTACCACATGTGACATGTCGGGGATGTAAAAAACCGCTCTTGTTAAGTGATTGCCAAAGTATTATGGTTTTTCTGCATTCGATTTCAATTTTGTCGAGTAATACAGTAGTTCTTGGAAATACAAGTTACCAACTTTCTTAAAATCAATAATTGTTTTGGGAATAAAATACAGTGTATAGTAGGTTATATATAATATGGGTAGTTAGTTATTCTAGCTATTAGTATGTATTTTGATTAAATATGAATTTGTTGTTTAGGAATTAGGATGGAAGAACAAAACCTTGTATTAAAATAGAGAGTACGATTTAATTAAACGCGGAGCTAATAATGTTCTAGAAGTGAATAGCACGATAAGGTTTTGTAAGACGACCAAAGCGACGTATCCCTTTGAAAAAGATCACATGGTTACTTTCTACTACTTACAACAATACGTAATCAGTAATCAATCACGCAAACAAATTTCACAAACCTCAAAATCGTATTTAACCCTTAGGCTTCTGCTCGTTGATCACGCAGTGGTTTATAGTATTTGGAGGCAGAGAAACAACCTCATTCACAACCAAACTGTTGTTCCGCCCCGCTCACTGTCTTGAAGGATATTGACCGCCAGATCATCAACTATATCACTGCCAGCAGGAATCTGAAAAATTTCAGAAACTTAATGGGCCTTGGGGCTTTGCTAAAGGGTCTCTTGTTGCTGGAACCAATCTCTAGAGAATCTATATCTCAATTGATCCTTGTTTTTTCACTTTCTTTTGCCAAGGTTCAATTTCAATAGGTCCTCCAAATCTTGTAACACCTAAACTTTTCATCTAATGATATTTACTTGCTTAAAAAAAAAAAAAAAAAAAAGTCGAACTAATGAATAAAGTTTCTGTGTAGCCCAGTGGGCTCATTAGATTCGTATTTAACAAAAAAAAAAGAAAAGAAAAAGAAAAAAAAGAGTCGAACTAATGAATAAAGTTTCTGTGTAGCCCAGTGGGCTCATTATAATGCTATTAGATTTTGCATGGCCTGGTGATGCACTGATTCTTTTCCATATCTTTACAAATCTATTTCAGTCATATTATATGACTCGTATACATAACTCATAACTCTGAGATAAATTTTACAATCAATTAAATGACAGCGTTGTAATAAAAAGTGTCCGCAAAAATACTATAGTAGATAGATATGTAAACATTTGTTTCTTACCCTTTAAAGTTAATCTCTGCAGTAACGTTTGCAATTATGACGCTATTATTTTTAGAATCTCTGTTAATTCCGTTCATACGTTGTAGGCAATTGTTGTTGATCAGGTCAACTAATTTGCATGCCACCACCACCAATACCATAATACAAAGGGGGGTCTTGGAAGGTTTCATCTAGTCGTATAAGAGTTCCTACTAATTAAAAGCTACGCCATTTTAAGAAGTATATATATATATTCGAATGTGGAAAAGGAAACAAAGAAACAATTATTATTATTATTTATGCTTTCTTGGCAACAACATGTAACACATATACATAGAAAACACTAATCACCAATTGGATCACCGTTCCAGTCATAACATAAATCAAATGCATCGTCTTTTTCGTTAAACCTGCATGGCCCCTCTTTGCTTATATCCCAGAAACAGTAGATGCATGGATTACCCCTACGAACACCATCTCTGTCATCATCGTAAATATTAAACACTTTTGATTCTCCAGGCCATGTGAAATGACATGAGAATATCGTCGATCCGTAAATAACAGTCGGTCTAAACGTAAACGACCAAAAGCGATGCGGAGCGAGAATCTGGAGGCCTAGATCGTCATCTGATGACTTGCAATGGAGATTTAATGTCGAACCATCACCAAGGAGGTTTGTGATCCTCACCATTGATTTTACAGTAGACCAATTCACATCATCATGTGGAGAAATGGTTCCCACTTCTGAGAGAGCCACTTGTATGAGTAGAGTTATTACTACGACGACATGAACTGTTAATGTCTTTTGGACGATGCTTGTCATTTTCTTTTAAAAAAAGATCAAATTTTGTTTTCTGCTGAATATATCATTCATGTTTCGATTTGCGTACGCTAGTATATATAAGAAAAAAGTCTTCCATTAGTGAGATATATATCCTCCACGGTATTTAATTAGATTTGTTTCCAAAAACATAACTTCTTTTTGACTTCACCAATATAGAATGAATATATTGAAAACAAAATGGTTGAATACATTAATGATTTTCATATGGTAGAATATCAATATTTATAAGTTGTTGAAAAAAATTGGGCTCTTCGTGAATTTTAGTGTTATACAATAATTTCATAATTTCTTACCTCCATTGGTGAGTTATATATTAAGTCTCTCGTCAATAGGTTTTTTTTTTAGTATAATTTAATATTTAGTGATCACACATGTGACTAAACTTGAATATTTTTTTAAATCTTAAATGAGAAGATTTAAGATTAATAGACTCTTAATTAATAGTATCAAATTACATTTTTGATTATTTCCAATTTCAAATTAGTGTATAAACTAAAATAATATTAATTTAGTATTATTGTAATTTGAACTAATACATAATTTAAACTCATGCATAATGAAAATTGTTAGACAGATAAATCAATTTTTTAATATTATGGATTTAATTTAACAAAATAAAATATGAACCACTTGTGAAGAGAGACCCAATCATATGATTCATGATCATGAAATCGAAAAATTTGTAATTTAGTATCCAATCAGATCATGACAAATCATGTTTGACAGATTTTTTGCGTTATTTAATTTTGAAAATATAAGCTTTTCCATAGATATATTTATCTTACAACATATTTCCTTTAAGAATACATCATCAATAAATGATAATTAATTTTGCATAAAGACTTGGTTGTTCATTTCAATTCAATTACAGTATGTCGTTAAAGTGTTACCATTCTTGGTTGTTGTTTGAGAATTGAGATAGTCCAATATTTTTATGTCGACATGCAAGTAAGAACATATGGGATGAAGAGTTAAAGTTGGTTTAGAACTCGGGATAAATTGATTTCAACTTCTACTTTTAAAGCCTAAAACAAAACAGTACCGCAAAGTTTGGTAATAATAGTTTAAAAAAACGGTTTAGAAACAACACGAAACCGGTTTTAAAATTGGTTCTCAGTTCTTGGTGAGATGAACTTCTTGAGGAAGGAGAGTGTAGTCGATGTGAAGGTCCTCCAAGATTCTCTTAATCGCCAAAGAAAGCTCTGTTCTTCTGATATTCCTTTCTCTGTATTCCTGAAACGTGATGGTGTGGTTGCTGTATAGAGCCATCTTTAGCTTGTTCATGTTCTCTATCTCCTTCACCACCACTGTGTGTACTGCTGCCCAATGCTGCGGGTTCTGCTCCAAGTACCTGATACACAAAACCCAAATCACTCATTCAAAGTCAAGATCTTTGGCTCAGTAATTCACAAAAAAGTTTCAAGGTGGTAACTTACTCGGCGATTCTTTCTTTGAGATGTGCGATCTTTGAGACTGGTGTAGAGAACGAGATAGAGAACTCCACTGTTTCTCCCATATCTGGACTTCTGAAGTAATTACTTATTGGTTTTGTTGCCAAAACAGAGTTTGGATAATACACTTTCTCGTTGTCGAGCTTCAAGAACACTGTCGTTAACAGATTCATTTCTTCGACCAGCATCTGAAAAGCCGCAAAACAATATGTATTTATAGAGTATGGAGACATATTATCATACTAGTTCAAAAAAAGGATCTCTGGTATAGAGGTTTACCGCGACACCATCGACAACACATCTGTCACCGACATCATAAGGATGCATAACGAAGACAAACACAATGGATTCAAAGAGGTTTTTGCAAGTGCTTCCAATTATAAAAGCCAGAGCTACAAGTTGGGTGGAGAAGAACAGCAAAACCTTGGTCGTTGCTACTTCTAGAAGCAGCAGCCAAATGACCACAGTTATCACCATCAAAATCGCTGTCACAAGTTTGTTTAACTGCTTAACCGCTGTTTTTGTGTCGTTTAACGAATGCGCTAATGCTCTCCGGCTAGTGTACACCTTAACCTGATCAAATTGCAACACACAACACCAATTCATTAAAATCAAGAAAGTGACATACTCTCATTGGTAAAACCTCAGAACCTGAGGAGACTTACCACCCATTCTGTGAAAGCTTTTCTTGTGATTTTCCCTGTCTCAGCGGCACCATCAAACAATGGGAACACAAGATCAACCTCTTCCTTGATCATGAACCTAAGCAAGTCCTCTTCCTCTATGTAACTAAGAAAAAAAAAAACAAATACAATGATTTCTACTAGGGAATGATGCACCAAGAAAAAAGAAGGAAAGAAAAAGAGCAAATCGGACTAAGTATCTCACCTGGTTAAAGGCTGAGCAACATTTCTGAAGACATGGTAAGCAGCAGCCAAAGCCTCCATCTCATTAGTAATCTCTCCTCTATCAGCTTGCTCTTTCCCATCGCCATATGCTGTTTCATCCAATGTATCAGAGATTGTAGAGAGACCTGAAGTTCTAACCGCTTCCACCAAAACCCGCATTGTCCAAGCGGATACTTTCTCTCGCTTCATCTTATGAACTTTCCCCATATCAATCACTTTCTTCTCTTTAACCGTGCCTTTTTTCACTACACTCGTGAAACTCAGATGGCCTGTGCTTGGTTCACGCCCGACCCTCTCTGCCTCCTCGATAAGTGGAGGACCCGAGAGTGTCTGTAGAACGTATTGGTGGAAAACAGAATCTTGAATCCTATCGAAAAAGTTATTGACGTTGAAGTTCGCTGCAAGGATCTTCAATAACAATGTTTTCACCAGCCAAAGTAATGACCCCGTCAGAAGGGAAATAAGAGTCCTGGTTATACATTTCAAGACTTTTGTGGCTGCGGGGGACCGTTTCACGTCTTGGTTGAACAGTAATATCCAAGCAATAAGGATCAAGCTGAGCCATATGAAGACTTGGACGGCCTTCTTCAAGCCGTGCACAAAGTATAGCACTTTCCTCCTCAAAAGAAAGTTTGTTTCTATGAGGAACACAATCAAACGCATGAACCAATTGGTCACCAACATCCCACTGAATATAACCATAACAAGCACACACCATTTCCAGAGTTCTAGTCCCCATAAGGTATGATCTTTCAGGACATTAACGGTCAAACTCGCAATCAAAGCACTCAGAATCGCTACAAAGAAAGCTGACTCTACCAAAGCCAATGTACTTATCTTACTGCGCATTTCTTTGTTCAGCTTAACCTTCTTATAGATTTCCTCATCTTCATCTTTCTCCACAACGGCTTTACTTGGAGTTAGTGGTGCTGTTGACCCGACACTCCTGTTAGATTTGTTGTTCGGGGAACGTCTATTAAAGGAAAAGCCAGTACCAAGTTGCCCCTTAACTTCCTCCTCTAGGAGAGTTGAGTCTACAGGACCAGATGGATCCACAAACCGGGACTTGGGTTTTGAGTAAACCGACCTTGCAAAAGATTTCCTCTGAGTTAAACCCTCATTGTTGTGGTTTGGAGCTCTAGGAGGCTTGTTAGGACTACCAACAAGCTTAGAGATCTCAGGAGAAGGGCTTTTATTGATGGGCACTGCTTGCTCAGACTCAGGTGAAGCCATATCCTTAGAACGCCTTGATGCTTCCTCACCTGAAACATTGATAACAACTTCTCCTCCTCCTCCTCCTCCATTACTACTCTTTTGTTCTGCCATTCCAAGCACCAACTCTCCCTACAAATGGCTCTGTAATTTCCCCAAAAGATAAGATTAAGAACACTATAGGGTTGACAAAGTAGCAATTTTTTCAGCTTGACTAAAGATAAAGTAATAAGATATTTGAGTTATCAGACAAAGGGTTTAAGAAACTCAGCCTCTTATTCGTAGTTTACTAGTTTTTAAGTTAAGATATGGAACTTAAACCCTAGATTCCTTAAGCATATATTTGTAACAGAGTCAATAGATTTACCCAGGAAGATTATATATATATATATATATAGAACCCAAATAAATCTATAAGAAAGATTCAAACTTTCAGATTAAAGAAATCAGAACTTCTAACAGTGAAAAGAGGGAGACACTGAGCTTACCAGTAGTGAGATAGATAAAAATCTTGCAACTTCTGTGAGTATCTCAGCTCATTCTTGAAGAAGAAGACCCAAAAACTAGCAAGTAAAAAAGACGAGATTTTAGGAGACAGTACACACACCACGACCACTTGAGAATTATGAGAGATGGAATAATTCAAACATAAGATAAATGCTTACAAAGAAGAAAGACCAAAAGCAGAGGCGGTGGGGAAAGAGATGCCTGAGAAAAAGTGGTTAAACCCAGAAGGCAACAAATACCAAAAAGCTAAATAAATAGAAAACAATGGGACATGAAAAGAGGAAAGAGAAAAGGACTGTAGAGATCTTACATGAACAAAACACTCAGGCGGGTCCAAAAGAGTTTAAGAGAGTTTTTTTTTTTCAAAAATGTTAAGAGATATCAAGACTTTTTAAGCCTTAATAAATAATATTGAATGATTTGGAAATGTAATTAACATACTTTATTTTAGTTGAAGATGGCCGACTAGTTTAGTTTTAAATTCCCCAAAAAAAACAATTAAAAATTGCTTCACTTTTAACGTTTTTTTTGTCAACAGAAAAATAACGAATTTTATATTAGTAAGTTGGATATAAAAATGTCGAAAAAAAAAAAAAAAAGTTGGATATAAAAATATGAACCAAAATGCATTGGGGAAATTTTTCACACAAAACGTGGTATTTAGTCAAAGTAATACTAACCAAAGTTCTACTTATGTTTAAAAACGTGTAATAATAACTCTCCTCTGTACTATCTGACAAAAAAACCCACTGTTCTGTCCTAAATTGTTCGAATACAGTAAGTCCAAAACTACAAATTGTCTATAATCATCCAAATTTTTCAAATTTCAAAACTTTAAATGTACACGACATTCGATAAGCTCAGATACCAGTGAGAATCAAACATAAAAATCAGTTAATTTTGATTGATAAACTAAAAAAGATTTGAGGCTTTTCCAAATTATAAGACATGGTTTATTATTATTAGGTTAAACGCAGCACAGAGAAAATGATGGTTGTTTGACTACTGGGAGGGACTAGTGACCCATAAATACCACTCTCTGTCTCCATCAATTTTCCATTATGTTATGTCGTTTGCTTTCTTTTTTTCTTTTTTTTTGTCAACTCCATAATGTCGTTGTTGTTGCTGTTGCTAAACGAGCTGTGTTTTTAATCATTCCGTTAATCAATGCGTGAGCATGTTTAGCATGGTTTAATTGGTGATTGGTCATGCTTATCTCTATTGGCGTATGTGTAACCCATTTTTTTTTTCTTTTTTTTTTGGTAAAAAATGTGTAACCCATTGTCGTAGTATTATTAGTTTTATTACCAACTATCAGAGACTACTAGTCTACTACCATCGGTGTATGTGTAACCCATATGCTGAGACCTAGTTAAGTTAACCACTTGCTATTCCTTCATAATTATGATATCAAAGAGAGATTCCCTTGATTCGAACCCTTATCGTTTTTTATTGGTTTTTAAAAATAAAGATTGATAATTTACACGACAAGAATATTTAGAGATTCCACCATCACTGTACTAATTAAAGTGCCCCAAGAGAAAAAGAAAAAGAAACAAAGGTAATTTGTAAAACTTGTTTAGAAACGTACGAGCATCAGATTTCTAACTAATGGTCTAAATTTGTACCTTAAATGGGTGATTTATACAATTGTACACTATTATATTGGCTGTAATTGTAATAGTGTAAACTTCAATTCTTATTGTTTTTACTGTGTCCTTTGGATGAAATATAACCTGTTATTTTAATTTGTTAAACTGATTACTTAAAATTATTTTTATTTGGTATCCTAGCGAATGAATAACTTTTTTAAAAGTGGATAGTTTTTATACCAATTTTTTTATAAAAAAAAAGGTATTTGGCCACATTCACCTGAAGATTCATATGTCTCTTTTGGCTAACTGAAAAAGAAAAATGAATGAATCCAACGGATAAGATTTACTTTCATTGCCGGAGACACAATGGATTCCAGATCCTGAGCCGACTTGAATCCACAACCCTAAAACAAATAAATGTGTATTTTCCTTTTTCTTTTTTTTTTTCTCAAACTGCTAAAACAAAATTTCATTTTTTTTTGAATCTCTTCCTGCAATTTCCATTCTCTAGTTACAATTTCGAAAACCAGCGCCACGAAATAGTTCAATTTCCATTTTTTAGTGGCCACAAAATAGTTCAATTTCCATTTTTTAGTGCATGACTCTCCAAACATTTTTAAAAGATAACCAAGTCACCGACTTGAACCCTAGCTATCAACTCTATAAATGTTTCAGTATACTTCTCTTTTCACCACAATTTCCTTTTTTACTCTCTCGTTGCAATTTTTTCTTCAGTTTCTCTCGCTGTGATCTTTTCTAAGCTTGTAACACATATTTCGCGTCTGAAGCAACTCTAGAGCAAACCCTTGCTGAAAAGATGCAATCAACTGAAGAGTTCGTGAAATTCTTAGGAAAAGGTGCTTTTGGTTCTGTTGATCTCGTCAAATACACTAAAAGCGACGGTTCCTCGTACCATGCCGCCGTCAAAACATCCATGGCCAGAGATTACGACTCTCTCAACAGAGAGATTAAGATTCTGTCCGAACTCAAGGGATATCCTAACATCGTTCTATGCTATGAAGACGATTTGGAAGAAGCTTTCGACGTTAACGGACGCAAAGTCTACAAATTGCTTCTCGAGTACGCAAGGGAAGGGAGTTTAAGTTCTTTCATGAAGAAATATACCGACAGAAAGCTACCAGATCCATTGATCAGAGACTTCACTCGCATGATTCTCCAAGGATTGGTCGCGATTCATAGCCATGGTTATGTTCATTGTGATCTCAAATCAGATAACCTCCTTATCTTCTCGTGGAATGATTCTTCGTACGAGCTGAAGATTTCTGATTTTGGAAACACTAGAGAAGTCGGAGAAGTTCCAGATCACTGGGAAGTTGACTTCCCGTTTGTCGGAACGCCTGTTTACATGCCACCAGAGTCTCTCCACGACGGGGCTGCGAAGAAAACCCTAGATTTGTGGTCGTTAGGGTGCTTAGTGTTGCAGATGTATACAGGTAAAAAGCCATGGGCAGGGGTTGGAATTGTCGATCTCATGAATTTTCTCTCTGTTGGTGAAGCTCCAGAGATCCCTGAGTATGTGCCTTGTGATGCAAGGGAGTTTATTGAAACGTGTTTCGCAAGGACACTTGAGAAGAGAGGAAACGCATCTGAGTTGATGTTGCATAGGTTTTTGTGTCCTGACGAAGAGAAGACGGAGAAGATTGCTGTACCCGTCGCTAAAGAGAAAATTTCGTTGCTGGTTAAGTTGAAGTTGAGAATCAGACAAGCTTCAAAGATAACAAAGGATGTTAGAAAAAAGCCCTTGAAATTGAAGATTTTGCCATCTAAGCCTCTACTGTTTAAGAAAATTTCGAGTAAACTCTTGAAGTTGAAGACGTTTTATCCGAGACACTTGGATTCCAGTTTAGTATCTGTTCAGTAGTGAGCTGGATTTATCTCTATTTCTTTTCGTATGTAGATCATATAGCTAGTTATAATTGTTGTTCATTTGTATGTTACGTCATTAACTATTTGATATTGTAACGCATTTACATCTTTGATTAACTCGGATTAACCGGATTGGGTTTAAGTTCTAAAGTTAAAACACAAAGACTATTAAACCGGATAAAAACCATAAAAGAACCCGCCAAAAACTTGTGAACCGGATGACCTAAACGGACCGGTTATCCCGGTTCAATAATGTTCGTTAAAGAGTTTTTTAACTTTCACCGAGCGTCGCCGGCAGCTCATTTAGCGATGGTGGCTCACCTACGACTCGTTTCGAAATCTTCTCGTTTCGCCACCGTCAAGTTCACTGAGTCAGTCTCCGCATGCTCATGTCGTCTCTTCTCTGCCTCCACAGACACGACTCACCCCGAACCCGAACAAGCCCCGTCTACGAATTCCATCACCGGAGACGAAGAGCGACACGAAAAGCTACGGAATCTCCGGGTTCTTCTCCAGCAGAATCGAATCGAAACGGCGCGTGGCGTTCTCTCTGCGATGCTCCGATCGGATTCTATGCCGTTCACATCGCCGAAAGAACTCTTCTCCGCCTTCTCGTTATCATCTCCGTCGTTGAAACACGATTTCTCCTATATGCTTCTCTCCGTGGTACTAACCGATTCGAAGATGGTTACTGAAGCTGCGGATTTGTTCTTCGCCTTGAGGAATGAAGGTATTTTCCCCAGCTCAGATTCGTTAACGCTTTTGCTCGATCATCTTGTTAAGGCGAAACAGTTCAGAGTGGCTATAAACGTGTTCTTAAATATTCTGGATTCTGATTTTCGTCCCAGCAAGTTCATGTATGGGAAAGCAATTCTAGCAGCCGTGAAATTGGGTGATACTGGTAAAGGTTTAAAGCTGTTTAATCGGATGAAGCACGATAGAATCTCTCCCAGTGTGTTTATTTACAACGTTCTTATTGATGGATTGTGTAAATCGAGAAAGATGAAGGAAGCAGAACAGTTGTTCGACGAAATGCTTGCAAGAAGACTGTTGCCCTCTTTGATTACGTATAACACGTTGATCGACGGATATTGCAAAGCTGGGAATCCAGAAAAGAGTTTTAAGGTGAGAGAACGCATGAAAGCTGATAACACTGAACCGAGTCTTATTACATTCAATACTTTGCTAAAGGGACTGTTTGATGCTGGAATGGTGGAAGATGCAGAGAATGTTTTGAAGGAAATGAAGGATCTGGGGTTTGTAGCTGATGCTTTCACCTTCAGTATTCTATTTGATGGTTATTCGAGTAACGAAAAAGCTGAGGCTGCTTTGGGTGTTTATGAGACTGCAGTTGATTCTGGTGTGAAAATGAATGCTTATACGTGTAGCATTTTGTTGAATGCGTTATGCAAAGAAGGCAAGATAGAGAAGGCGGAAGAGATTTTGGGAAGAGAAGTGGGCAAGGGCCTTGTCCCAAACGAGGTTATTTATAACACGATGATTGATGGATACTGTCGAACAGGTGATGTGGTTGGAGCTCGTATGAAAATCGAAGTGATGGAGAAACAAGGTATGAAGCCAGACCATTTGGCGTACAATTGTTTGGTTAGGAGATTTTGTGAAGTGGGGGAAATGGCAAATGCTGAGCAAGAGGTTAAAAAAATGAAACTTAAGGGACTTCCTCCTAGCATAGAGACATATAACATCCTGATTGGGGGCTACGGGAGAAAGGGTGAATTCGATAAGTGCTTCGACATTCTTAAAGAAATGGAAGACAACAGTACAATGCCGAATGTTGTTAGCTATGGAACTCTGATAAATTGTTTGTGCAAAGGATCTAAACTTCTTGAAGCTGAGATTGTTAAGAGGGATATGGAGGACAGAGGAGTTTCACCGAATGTAAGGATATATAACATGCTAATCAATGGTTGTTGCTCAAAGGGGAAGATAGAAGAAGCGTTCCGGTTATCTGAGGAGATGCTCAAAAAGGAAATAGAATTAAACCTGGTTACTTACAACACCCTCATTGATGGGTTGTCCATGACTGGGAAATTAGCAGAAGCTGAAGTCTTGCTTCTGGAAATCTCTAGAAAGGGTCTTGAACCAGATGTCTTCACGTATAACTCACTTATATCTGGATATGAATATGCTGGAAACGTGCAAAGATGTATTGCGCTATATGAAGAGATGAAGAGATCAGGAATAAAACCCACTTTAAAGACATATCATCTTTTGATCAGTTTGTGCACCAAGGAGGGGATAGAGCTCACAGAGAAAATATTTGGAGAGATGTCGTTGAAACCAGACTTATCAGTTTACAATGGGGTTCTTCATTGCTACGCTATACATGGAGATATGGATAAGGCTTTAAATTTGCAGAAGCAGATGATTGAAAAGAGTATCGGTTTGGATAAGACAACCTATAACAGCTTGATTCTGGGACAACTGAAGGTAGGAAAGCTGTGCAAGGTTAGGAGTTTGGTTAACGAGATGAAAGCCCGGGAATTAGATCCTGGAGCTGATACATATAATATAATAGTGAAGGGGCACTGTGAGGTGAAGGATTATATGGGAGCATATGATTGGTACAGAGAGATGCAGGAGAAGGGTTTGTTAGTAGATGCTTGTATAGGCGAGGAGCTAGTGACTGGGCTTAAAGAAGAATGGAGGTCAAAGGAGGCAGAAATTGTCATTTCTGAAATGAAAGGTAGCAAGCAAGGTGATGCAACAGTGGACGAGGCTCTATCTGCAACAGAGAAGATATGAAAAAATTAAGAATGTATGCTCTAAGCTTAAGTCCTTTTGATTCCTGGCTCACCTCCCCCAAATTATTTCAATATTATTGGGTCTGGTTTTTTGCATCATTAGAGATTTCTTGACTGATACTTTCGTTAGAGACTTCAGTAATCCACAACCTTTTGTATGGGATCTATATCGTGGGTAGACTCAGATAGGTACAATGACTTTGGGTTAGGCTTAAGGTTGGTTTGTAGATTAATGATGGTAGGTAATACCATTTGTTCACGTTTTTTGGATCGGAAAACAATGATTCAACTATATTTGTGTGTTGTACACAATAATTATCAAGTTTAGAAAAAACAATTCTAATTTCATAATTCTCTCACGTCAAAAATATAAGAAGACTATTGTACTACAATAATGAGCTAACACTAGTCAATCACTTGACATATAAAAAGACTCAAAACGATGAATTTGTAGAGTTTTAAAGCGTGTGAGTCGCACGGTGGGGCGGATGACTCTAGAAAGGAAGGTGAGCCCCCACTAGTCAGTCACTAGAAGCATCTTCAAGAATTTTACAAGCAAGCAAGCGCATAATCTCTTCTCAACTCAACTGAACCTTACACTTGAGAGAGCATCCATGGCGGTTACATTTTCTGATCTACACACAGAGCAAGGTCTCAAAACCCTCGAGGAACACCTTGCCGGAAATTCCTACATCTCCGGGTAACCACTCGTATCACTTCTTTAGTAGTTTGGCCTATACTACCAATATAGCTCGGTTTCTACTACTCACAGAGTCACAGTTTGACCTTTTGATCTGTTCATGATTTTGTTTTCAGCGATCAGCTTTCGTTGGATGATGTGAAGGTTTACGCTGCCGTATTGGAGAAGCCAGGAGATGGCTTTCCCAATGCTAGCAAGTGGTACGATAGCATTGCTTCCCACCTCGCTAAATGGTTGGTATATATAGTCTCTCTTTTGTTTGCTTTTCTTCTTGTTGACGAATTGCTTTTTTGAGAATGATGACTTGTTCGGATGCTTATTTTTATAACTGTTCGTCCAGTTTTCCCGGGAAAGCTGTCGGAGTGAGAGTTGGTGGTGGTGTTGCTCCATCTGAAGAAGCTCCGCAGACTGAGGTAACTAAAGCTCTGTTTACTCCAGTTACGTTTCTTAACCAGTCAAATCTGTGAGGAATCATGTGTTTGTCGAATTGAACTATTCTGTGATAGTGTGAGATTAAGTAGGGGAATATGAAATTTTGGTGCTGTTGGAATGATGATATTTATATACTCTTAACTTTTAAGCTTTTTCCCTGAACTTATCTGCAGGCACCTGCTGCTAGAGCTGATGATGATGGTATAGATCTTTTCGCTGATGAAACAGAAGATGAGAGAAAAGCTGCAGAGGAGAGAGAAGCTGCTAAGAAGGACACTAAGAAGCCTAAAGAGAGTTAGTTTTTTCTTCTTGAGTTTTTGGATCACTGTGAATTGTTAGTAAATTCTCAGCTGGACAGATTATTTTGCTCAACACATCTTCAGATTTTATAACTGATAGAGAGACTCAGCTTGAATTTGTCAGTTTTGATGGTGAATGCTAGTGATTGATTGAGCTAGCCAGCTAGGAATGAATGTAATGCACCTTGAGATCTTGCTGATGTTTGGTTACTTCTTCACTCTCTTTACTCTTTTGTTAGGTGGAAAATCTTCTGTGCTTCTGGAAGTAAAGCCATGGGATGATGAAACCGATATGAAGAAACTAGAAGAAGCTGTGCGTAGTGTTCAGATGCCAGGTCTTACGTGGGGAGCTTGTAAGTCTAAGAAATTCAATCTAAATCTACATTTTCTTTTCACAAAAATACTTCATTTGTTTTTTTGTTTTGACTGTAAGAGTTTTGTTGCAGCGAAACTGGTACCGGTTGGTTACGGGATAAAGAAACTCACAATCATGATGACAATCGTTGATGACCTTGTGTCTGTGGACAACCTCATTGAAGACCATCTCACCTCAGAACCTAACAATGAGTACATCCAAAGTGTTGACATTGTCGCTTTTAACAAGATCTAGAGACTACAAAACCCTTCCACATGAAAAGATATCGAGTGTCCAGTTTGGTGTTCAGGCCTAATCTTGTTGTGTTTTCATATGGTTTGATATGAGGCCTAGAGTCTTTCCTTTTAAGTTCTAAGACCAACTTTGGAGTTGAAAACGAGTCGGTCTTATTAAGTTCTTGTCTTGTTGTCTTTAAGGTGAATTTGCTGTTAAAACTATGTTGGGCTTCGTAACATCAAGATTACAAAACAAACTGTGTAATAAAATACTATTGAATATATTGGTCTTGGGCTAAATACCTAAGATTTCACTGCGCTTACTCACTAAACCTATTTGTTTACCGCGCTTTTACTTGTTCTCTTAATCTGATTGAACTAAGGTTACAACAGAGAAAGAACAAGTCGCTGGGGTGGTGTGACGATGTGATTTTTTAGAAGCATATAAAATATTAGGAAATTTGAAAGATCCATTTTTGAGCAAACATGCAAGAAACACATGATAAAACCAGTAACCACAAACTCATACCATCCATCCATCATCTCTCTTTCTCTCTCTCTCCTTTCATATTTTCTTTTATTCTAGAAGAGCAAATTATCACCTTTAAAGCGAAGGAGGTACATACTGTCTAGACAAACTAAACAGATCTTTACCCTCAAAAGGCGATGTCCACTCTCTCCCATTTCCCACTAAAGCAGCTTCCTGCACTCCCAATGCCACGCCCATCCCATTCCCATTTGCCATCATTCTTGTCCTTCCATTCATGTGTGCTTCATATGGGGATGATGTTGCCACGTACTGTTGGCTAGGTCTAGGAATGCCTATGCCTCTATCGAGACTCCAGTCAATATTGTTGTAATCTAAGTGTCCCACTGACCCATCTGCGCTCCAGTCCAGTCCCGAAGAAGATGAATTTCCAAACCCTGAGAAGAGCCCAAGAGAAGCAGCTGGAGCCACAGCAAGCGGGGCAGAAGCCCCTGCCATTCTGTGACTATTGTTGTTCACTTGGCCTTGATATTGCTGATACTGAAGCTGCTGGTACATCAGGTTTGAGTTCAGATCATTAGGAGGCAGAGTTCTTGAGGGTAAGTATCCATTAGATTGAGCTGCCTCAGATCTATTTGCAGGGTACCAACCACTGCCTGCTGCTGCTCCTGTAAAGGATGCATTCATGGTAGAGACAGGTAGGACATTTGTATTAGCAGATTGTGAGCGTTGTTGTTGCTGCTGCTGCATCATCATAACTGGTTCCCTCATATCATGCTGCTGAAGTCTCTTGAATTGATCACCTAGGGCCGCCACATACTGTGTTTCTTCTGTTTGCCGCGGCAGAGGCGTTTGTTGATATGGCATGCGTTTCTTCTCTTCCAGGGCATTATTTTGTTGCAGTTTCATCCACTGCAACTTCATGTGAATTCTTTCCAACGAATTTACATTTTGGTTTTCGGAATCTTCACTAATGTAGCTGGATCCTCTGGGGTAACCAAGATTCTTTCTGTCAAGGGATTCTTCGCCACCTGCAGGATACATACCTGAGTTAGGTTGCAACTGGGCTACTGTATTCTGACTTGTGTGCACAGAAGGGACTTTGCTATTGTTAAGAGAAGTATTATCACTAATATCCTCTGCTTTTCTAGACGCAGTAGATTGGTCTTGCTTCTGTCTTCTTAATGCTTCTTCTGCTTTCTCAATGTCCCCTTCTGCTGTGACTACAGCTCTTTCTACATCCTGCTTGGTGCACTTATATTTTGTTTCCAACTCTAAGATTCTACTCAACTCTTGTGATATGTCAAGCTTTAAATTCCCAGAGGTAGGATCTAGTTTCTTATCTGCTACTTTTGCCCCACCATCATCAAGCAGCCAATTAACTGACTCCTCTATTTTCCCTTCATTTAACATAAGAGCATAAGTTGCCCGCTCATGAGCAATACCCATTGCTATTATCTTCTGAGTATGGACTTCAAGTTTTCTCGACATCAGATACTGACAGCATCGCTCATGCAACTCCTGAGCTCGCTTTTCCTTTTGCCTTTGGTGCTTTCTTTCATTTTTCAGTCGCATTTTTTCTCGCTTGTCATTGTCAGCACCAGGAATGATTTCTTGTTTTGTAGCCGTACTAGATACTTTCTCTTTGTGATCTTCTGAGTCACCTGACCAGCTACCATTATTAGAGACAGAATCACAGTCAGCTCCAGTTGAATCCGACTCATCAATGTTTCTGAACCGGCCATTATTGTGAAGTGATGAGGAACCAGTTGCTGAAAGGGAGTCAATGGTTTGAAATGTCCCCAAAAGAGGATTGTAAGCACCAACCACAACCCCAGTACTTGCACCCATAGATCCTGAGGCTTTACTAGGTGTCTTCTGTGAATCGTTCATAACCTTCTTGTCTCTCGATTTAGTCTTGGAAGCGCTAGACATCTTCTCAGAGCAAAGTTATCCTACAGTTCTCAATCAAAACGAGACAAGTCAATACAGAGATTCATTAACAATCTTCTCTGAGCAAAATAAAAAGAAATTCATTCTTATAGAACATCGAAGATCAATAATGGTCATTTGAGCAGTAATTTCGAAGCTAGAGATTCTTCAATAAAAAAACAAAGATACAGAGATTTCACAGAGACGACTATTATAACTACATCGTCGATGTCGCAAACGTATGGATCCGTTACAAGAATGAATCAGAAATCAAACAGGCGACAACAATCTCCGGTCAGATACATTTCTGAATCGAATAAGGTCAAAACGTAAAATCACGGCGACAAAAAGAGCTTAGCAGTCGAATCGAATCCAGAAACAATACAAAAAAGTCATGTTGGAGCAACGAAGGGACGAAATTGAAAGGAATCACGAAAACCTAAAAGGCGAAAGAAGGAAATGCGCGATTCGATTGAAGAATCAAAATCGAAGTATAGATCAGTGATGCGAGGGGAGAGAGAAAGAGAACCTGGCTGATCGGAGTCGTTGACGGTGAAGCGAGATCCGGAGAAAATGAAGAAGAAGAAGAAGAAGAAGAAGAAGAAGAAGGAGGGTGAGCTCTAAGGTAAGGCGATGAGGATGAGGAACGAGAGGAGTGCGATTATATGAATAATACCAAAAAAAAGAATTAACTCGGCGTTTCGAATCCCCAAATCGAAACACCTATTGGAAAATTAGGGTTTGGTTTAGCAAACAGAAATTAAAAGCTAATTTTTTTTATTAAAAAAAGTAATTTTCTAACAAACAAACCAAAAAAGAGTTGCAAAAACCAAACCAAAGTCTTCGAATTAAATAAATCTGAGCCGTTGATTTCTTTTACAGATTTTTGTGTTTTCAGTTATATTTTTTTCTCATTTCACGTTCATTTCCAGTTGTCCTTGTTTTAATTTCAGTTGTAAAAAAAAATAACTAATTAAATATTAGAAAAAGACATTAGGGCCTTGATTAGTAACGGCGGTTATTTTTGACTGTAGAGACTTTGACTTTAAAATTTTAGCTGCAGAGAATTTGGCTGTAAATGTTTTGGCTGTAGAAACTTTTACTGTTAAAATCTGATTGGTAATGCAACGCTTTTAAAGTTGTGACTGTTATTTTTATTATTATTATTTTATATTAATAATAAATATAAATTATGCTAGAAATAAATTTATAGAGCAATTTAATGACTAATTTTCGCTAACAATACATTTGAAAAATAAATTAAAAGATAATAATAATACCATTAGTAGATATAAAATTTCGCTAACAAATTTTTTTTTGTTTTTTTTTTGTTTTTGGTGATTGATTCTTAATAGATTATTATGTCAAATAATAATGGTGTTTTAAAACTATTTCAAATGTTTTTTATTTAAGCAATCTGTTAAACATTAATTAATGCATTGTTTTGAATGTTATTCCCTATATAAACATATAAACATAAATTTCATAACTCTTTTACATCATCATCTTCATGAAAATAAATTGATTATTATTGAAATGGATCTTAAAAGAACAAGAAAAAATAAGAATAATTAATATGTAAAAAATAAAATATATAAAATATATTTATAAACTTCTAGATTGTTTTAAATATAATGGGATGTGAAAAAATAAATAAGTTTAAATTGTTTAGATTTTAAATTCAGGTTTTTGACACTTCTAAAAAAATGAGATGGTAAAGAAAGAAAAAATAAAAGTGGCTTTCAATACTTAAAAAAAATAAAAGCCAAAATTTTTGATTGGCAAAATAATTGCTGTAGAATTATTTAAAACCTTGAAAGCACACAACCAATCGGCCACTAGATTTACATGGGCAGGACTCGGACAGAAGTATTGTAGTTTAAGGATTTCGATTAAACAGCTAATAACGTTTGTACAAAAATTCAACAAACAATTAATAATTGATGATTTTTTCTGTTAGTGAAAAGAATAATACTAATCCAAAACTACATAAAAAGTTGACGTCAATTAAAAAAAAAAACTACATAAAAAGTTGACGTCAATTAAACAAAAAAACTACATGAAAAGCATAAAACATAAATGCCCTTTACTGAAAAATAAAGTCTTGTTGAACCGGAATCAATCATATAACCAAACCAAATGAGGGGGTAACAAACATCGGTCTAATTTTTTTTTAATTTCTGCCATTTATTTTTCGGTCCGGGTCGGGTCAAACCCGTCCGGCAGCATAAGTATGAAACGACAACGTTTTCGTTATCCTAGGGGATTGATAGAGGTGGTCACTCACTCGCTGTTAGTTTTGGATTTGACGCAAACGGCAATGAGCTTAGCTTCAGTTATCCACCACCATGGAATCCTCGCTCCGGCGACATCGGATCGAATCTTTCTTACCATTCCGGTGATTCCGGCGGATCTCCGAGCTCGTGGTTGGACTGAGCCTCGCTTCTCTCTCCTTGTAAATCCCTCTCTCGTCTCAGGTCTCCTTCTCTCTTCTTTACACATTTTGCGTATTTCATATATCTTTGTGAATGGATTGGATTCATCTATCTGGGTCGTGCTAATGTGCTTTTGGGTTACGATTGTTTCAGCTGCGAATCGTCGTCTCTCTCACCTTCCTCCTATTGCTTGCTCCAGAGATATCGATCAGGAAGATGATGTTTCTTCTTCAGGTGAATGCTTCTTCTCCAAACTTTTCTTCTTTTTTATATTCTACATTTTTGATAGTGAAACACAATTTAAACGTCTCACTTCTAGTTCTAGTAGAGTAAAAAGGAAGAGGCTTTGTCTTGTGACAATAATTTTTTTTGTGGCATGTTAGTACAGAGAAGGAGAGCAGAGATCTTCTACCACATAAAAGCGATGAGGTTGCAAGCACCTCTCGCTCTTCTTCATCAGTAGATAGTGGAGGTCTGAAAGATTATCAACAAGAAGAAACATATAAAACTTCCTTCAAGACTGTTGCCTTGTGTGTTAGTATTCTCTTGCATCTCCTAATAGATACTTTGTGATTTATAAACGGAAACTGATGTCACATTTGTCTCAATAGGTAGGCACTGCGGTGGCATTTGGAATTGGAATAGGTTTGAAGGAAGGTGTTGGCAAGGCATCTGAGTTTTTCGCAGGGTGCATAGACCTTAGATATGTTATATAGAGATTCATTTGACTCTCAAGGAGATATCTTAGCTCAACTTTTTTCACCTCTTGCAGCTATTTACTGGAGCAAAGCTTGTCAGTGGACAACTTGTTTGTTTTTGTTCTTGTTTTCAAGTACTTCAAAGTCCCACTTATGTACCAGGTATCAAACTCTCTGTACAGATATTTAGCTCTCGACAATAGAGTATTCTGATTCTGTGGCCCTTTCTGTAGAACCGCGTACTTACCTACGGTGTAGCTGGTGCAGTTGTCTTCCGCTTCGTGTTAATATTACTAGGAACAGCAACTCTTCAGGTGATTACTATCTTTGGATCAAAATGATTGTTAGTAAAATTTATTTTCATTTTTCCGCCTATTTTGTTCTGAATTCTTTCCCCTAATCTTTCAGAAATTTGAAGCAGTCAACCTACTGCTTGCTGCCGTACTCTTGTATTCATCTTTCAAGGTGCCTTTGTCCTCATCTTAGCATTTATATCCATAATTGCACCCAACTATCGATATGGAATATAAAGGTGCTCTGTCATTGTTTTTTCTTCTGCTCCCAATATGTTAATACAGTTATTTGCAAGTGAAGAAGATGATACAGATCTATCCGACAACTTCATTGTAAAGACATGCCAGAGATTTATTCCTGTCACATGTAATATACCCGGTCACTTTCTTCATGTTCCTCCTAGTTGCTTTTGTTTTTTACCTTCAAAGTTAATTTGGCTTGATTATGAGTAGTTAGGCGTCAAGATTTTCTGTGCTGGTACTGTTTACCATGCTTAGATAACTGAATTTTCCCTCCTCTCTTTTGTTTATAACTGCTCGCAGCAAGTTATGATGGAAATCGATTTTTCACAAAGCAGGATGGCATTTTAAAAGTAAGTATATGACAAAAGATATTTCCTAAATATTCAAGGTTTATGTACAAGTCACTGTTAAGTATTACTGTATGTGGATTCCGTGATCAAAATATTTATCATTGTGTCTTTTGACTGGGTTCTAATTTATTTCAAAAATAATTTGGGCAGGCCACACCATTGCTACTTACAGTAGCAGTGATTGAGCTCAGTGACATAGCATTTGCGGTATCTTCCGTCACCACTTTGTGAATCTGTTTTTGTCTCTTTAAAAATGAAGCAAAAGACTTATATACTGGTTGCTCCTTCTCTAAGGTTGACTCAATACCAGCTGTATTTGGCGTCACTAGGGATCCTTTTATTGTCTTGACCTCTAATCTCTTTGCAATTCTAGGTATTTGTTTCCTGTACTTGATCTTGTTAACTTCTTGCATCTCTCTTTTAAATACTCGTGGAACTTTGAACTGAATTTTAGTTGAAGATTTATACTTTTTTTACTTCTGGTGTTTGAATTTACTACAGGACTAAGGTCTCTCTATACACTGATTTCCGAAGGAATGGACGAGCTAGAATACTTGCAGGTATCTTTACCACTTCGTACCATTTTCATTCAGCTTTTCTGTTACATACTCGAACTAACTAACCATTAAATACATAAGAAGACTGCCAGTAATGCTCACTACGTACACAGGGACTAGTATGATTTGCTTCTAATCTTTTTTTTTCCTTTCCCAGCCATCAATAGCAGTTGTTCTTGGCTTCATAGGATTCAAGATGATTCTTGATTTCTTCGGTATATATATCATCATCTCTTCTTCAGCAATTTCTGATTGAACAAAGCCAAGCAACTACCAAAGAAACTAACCTCTCTCAACATTTTTTCCTCCTTGCAGGCTTCCACGTGTCGACAGAGGCATCACTTGGTGTTGTGGCACTTTCTCTCAGCACCGGAGTACTGTTGAGCCTAACAAACAAATCCAGCGAAAACTAAACAAGACCTGAGAACAGATTCTAGAGGAAAACAATCAAACAGTTTCATAAGAATAATTTCGCATTGTTCATCAAAGCATTTAGCTGATGTGTTACTGTATATAAAACACAAAGAAAGGGCCTTTGCATTTTGCAAGATTGTTGTATTGCTGTTGAAAGCTGCAGACAGAATAAGATATTTGGAACGTCTTTAATCTCTTTGTCTGGAAGACATGTGGGTTGTGTTGGGTCGGTTATGAAACAAATTGCAAGATAGCAATGAGAAATGTTGAACTCGTCTTTGACGGTCAAGTCATCCCATGTGCCGTAGTTGCTCTCATTCATGGAGTTCATCCTCATGAATAGTCTGCCTCCCATTTCTCTACTAAAACAAGTCTTCTTTAGGCATCAAAGGATCAAACAAGTCTTACTTTTGAATTTTACTCAGTCTTCCCATTACTCTGTCTCTCTTAAAGTTGGCGTTTGGCTGATAAATTGTTCCAAGAGGAGACTGAGAAGATTGATCACATATGTTCTCTATATGTATGATGGTTAAAAGTAAGTGATGGTTCTCTCGCCCTTTACATCTCTAGTCAAATTTCTGATACTTTTAGAGATAGATACCGAATTACCAAGTTAAACATCTAATCTTTTAAGATGATTTTGTAATGTGATGTAAATATATATACTCATCACCTCTTAAGCTAGCTATAATCATGGGATTTATTACCATCGTGATGTTTTGCAAAACCAAGGGAGATAGATATTAAGTAAGAGTTTGCTAATAGCAAATAGACAAACGAAAATCAAGAGAGATACATACAATACCAGTTCAAACACATAGACTGGATTCACATTCACTTATTTCAAGAAGTTAACTTAGTTAAAACCGTAACTCTTATCACGTGGTTTGAGAAGCACACAAGGACCTCACTCAAGCCTGGAAAGCAAAGCAAAGGCATCACAGACAGCTCGGGTGTCAGATTAAACATCGTGAAGGTGGTTGAAACTCTCCAACTGCTTGAGATTCTCCCAGGCTTTCTCCAAAACCTTGGCCTCGTAGACCTTCTTGGTCTCACCATCAGCCACCTCGACAGTGAGATGGTGCATTGTTCCAGCCACAACCTGTGTTTTTGCACCAAGGAGCCTCTTGTACTCCAGTGTCACGTTCTGCATAAACATAAGAGCAATGATTGATTAATCTGATACCTCAAAATGGTTTCCCTCGAAATTCGCTACCCAGAATCTCAAAACCAATATAGGTGAAAACTGATGGATACTACAAGAAGCAAATGATGCAATCCCTAAATTCTCAAACCAGAAATTTACAGTTCGTGATAACATTTCAATTAGGAATATGATCGATTCAACTAGAGATCGGACGGAGAAACTCAGCGATTAGCGACGAGATAAACTCTTCGATCGGTTGATCGAGCAAACCGAATTTTAGGAAAATGAAGGTAGCGAAAGATTCTTCGTACCTCGTTCTTGTTGTGCTCATCGACAGCGAAACGAGCGAGACTCTCGACTTGAAGATCGTTAGCATTTGCATCAACATCGCGAATTCCCCCGACGACTGCTCCTCCTTGTTGATCCGCCATTTCCGACTCTTTTTTTTTACTTCTAAATTATCTCAAAAGATATTTGTTTGATCCGTATCTGAGCTTAAAAGTCTCACCTCATCTCTTCTGCCGTATATATATACAGTAAAACCTTTATAAATTAATACTCGATAAATTAATAATCTCTATAAATTAATAAATTTTTCCGGTCCCAAGTCGGGACCAGTGTAATTTTAGACATATTTCGATAAAATAATAAGATAATAATTTTTTTGAAAATCCTTTGTAAATATATGGTCCCAACAATATTATAAATTAATAATTAGGTAAATTTTTCAAAATATATGCATATATAGACACATTAGTTTTTGTTATAGTTTATTTCTAATATTTTACTATATCAAAAATAGTTAGCATTCTCTTTCAAGACATAATCATTATTATTTTCTTTGTAATTGATTATATAAAATATTAATTCTCATGATTAAATTTTATTTTTAATTATTTTTTTGAAAAAACTTTCCAAATTAGGAAAATCTCTCTATAAATTAATAATTATTAATTTATCGATAAATTAAAACCTCTATAAATTAATAAATTTTCATAGTCCCAACATTATTAATTTATAGAGGTTTTACTGTATATATATATATAGAGGGAGTCGTAAAGCGCGTATTTTTTTCTTTTCTTCAAGAATAATTCTTTTGGAATAATTAAAATATTAGTATGACTGTATGACTCATCGTAGCACTAACTAATTTAGAGAATCTTTCCTTTTTTTTTATGTCGGCCAGAAGAAAATAAATTAACTATTTTTTCAATTGGGTATTTAGAAATATAAAAAACAGAGGTATTACATATAATTTTTTTTTAACAAACTTTTATCTAAATCTCACATAAATCATACTAACATAAATAAACAAGAGCTTACCATTTCTCGATCAATCTCGTCGCTAAATAAATATACTCGGTTTGACCTTAAACCGGTTTTACAAGCATGAAGAGTAGTCTGCACAGACGAGACTTTTTTACATTTTTTCTAATATTTTTTTTGGACACTCACAAAAGCCTAATTCCACGGCGGAGATGAGGGTCGGTGCAGAGAAGAGGACGAGGAACCGTAGTTGAGGTCAAGATTCTGAATCTGTTCCATAAGTTGTGAACGTCGTTCCTTGAAGAAATCTAGGCGGGTGGTTAGTTCCATGAGAGCTGCAGATGCTGCAGGTGGTGGGTGCTGATGTCTTGTGTAATCCATCACCTACAAGATCGTATAATCGCACACTTATACTACTGAGTTCTTATTTATATATATATATTGAGATTCATTTTAAATACACGATAACACTAACCGGAGAAAAATCTTCCATTGGGATGCCTAAGGATGCTGCATTCAAGCTCGGTGACCCTGGTACTTGTCTGTTGTTTCCTCTACCGTTCCTCCAGTCTGATCTTAGGCTAGTTTCATCCTAAATATGATTCAATGCAAGTGAACGTCACTAAAAGATAATAATATTATTGGTTACAAAATGGAGGGTAAAGGAGTAGTGAGAATGAGACTCCTGAGTTATATAATAAGATTGTACCGTTCTCTGGTTTCTTTCCTGATTAACGAAAGCAAGAATGGAATCAAAGTCCTGCTGAAAAGTCTTCCTGCGACATTGTAAAAATAGAGGTGTTATTTCTCTTAGCGAGTTTACATTATAGCTAAAACAAGGCACAGTGTATGAACTCACAGTTGAGTATTATGATTATGGAGAAATTGGTGATGGCTTTGAGCATCTGGGAGTGAACTTAAGTGATTCTGTCGCTGCTGATTAAGCTGATGATGTAGTTCTGCGACTTTCTGCTTCAATCTCGCGACATCAGCTTCGGCAAGAGCAATCTCCTCTAGCTCAGCCCTTGTCTTCGCATTTATTATCATGTTAGCACTAAGGAAAGAAAGAGCTATAGGGGGAAACAAAAAAAAATCTTTCTCAAGCTAAAGCGTACACTGACTTTGGAATCCGCAGCTTGTGAGCTAAATTGTCCACAAGAAATGCTTAGACCAACTTCAAGAGCGGATCGTAGGTCTCTCTCAGCTTGCAGTTGTTCTTGTAATCTGCCCACCTGATAATTCCATGGCAAGCATGGTCAACAAAGTAGAAGTTTATTTTCCCGCAAAATTATACAGAAATTTGGAGGACAGAAACACAAATCCCAAGAGAGGTTTAATACATCTTGTTCGAGTGCCAACCGTCGTTCATGCAAAGCCTGCTTCCTTCTCTCCAAGCTAGCTTGTAGAGCCGCATTTCCTTTAGCCTGCAGTGGTCTTATCAATCAATATAACAACATTATGTTATCAGCATATAATATTTTTACTACCGGAACAAGTACCTCCTTAGCGATTCGTTGCCGCAGTTCATCTTTCATGAGCTCGAGCCTCTGTATAAGAAGCCTACAAGCGACGAAAGCATTTGGTGTCAGAATACGTCAAGCTCATAAGAACAAAGAGAAAATTTATTCTCAATTTAAAAAGTGAAGTAGAACGTTGCTTCAGTAAAACCCTTTTGACCTATTTAAATATACACATCTCATATGGACTTCAGGAATAGAATATATATTTAAACTTTTCAATCTTGTAATGACAAATTAAAAAGGTGTCGTCAATAGGAGGGTTATAGACCCAAAATGTATGCATTCAGGATTGAGTATCTTACTCGTCATTTCCTGAGGAGTCAAATGATCCTTTAGCAGGTGTTTTTTTCCCCTGCACACAGTAAACAAAGTAAGGAATTGAAATACCACCTTTAATTTTCCTAGAACTATGTACGTGCAACTAACTAGTCAGAAGATAACTTGTTCCAAATAGATGGGACTTCCAATAACATCTAAACTTCCTAAGATGTTGATAGTTAACGTTCTTCTAGGATTATGCAAGTCGTAACAGCCCATCTTGACTGTAGCACCAATAAACATGGCACTAAGATTTCGAAAGGAATTATAAATCATGACCTGATAATGAAAGAGAAAGAGAACTAAAATCGTCTAGTGGTGATAAAAGAGTTCTAAGGACAGATAAAATATTATATTTAGAATCTCATATCTACTTCATAAATGTATTTGTCGCAAGTCAGCTGCAGAGACTGACAATAGAATTACGACTTTTCATGCAAGACAATGGAAAACTTACGTTGCCTCTTCCCCAGGATGAAGCACGCTTCGCACTGACTGGTGACAAGCCAGTAGATTTATTTGCAGGTTTCTCAGCTGATGTTGTGTATCTAGGTGCAGTGAGAGGAGTACTAGGAGTCACTGAGGGCATAGCCTCTCTCCCTGATTGATAACAATTTTCAGTAGGTGATACGCTGGAAACTTCTATATCTTTGATAGGCTCTTCGATTTGATTTTTCACTCTTGTGGAAAAGTCTGTACTCTCGACTGAACAATGGATGTCTCTAGGAGACTCAGCATCTGAATCTTCAACACCAAATCCCTGAGAGAGCACAATCACACGTAGGAAAAAATAAGGATGGATTTTCTTGAAGCTTTAGATTCTACCAGTTTGGCTATGGAAAACCCAAGTATTCGAACATATCACTTATTCAGAATTCCGAATGCAGGTTTACTCTGACCAAGATGTATGGGGCAGTGGGATAAGATGGCAAGAACAAACCTTGTAGTCATACAGATCACTGCCAGCATAATCACTGCTCTCACTCGGTTTTCTGCTCAGCCTAACATCATTATCATCATCTGTTCCCCCTTCTCTTCTATCTAGATTATGCAAGTCAGGACGTTTGACCTCTATGTCCTCTTCATCACTTGAATTCTCAGGCCCACTGTCGCCAATATGAGAATCAGTAGAAGTGGAGCATCTTTTAAGATATTCATCCTGCAAAACAAATAGTTGAGAAAATAGCATTGTGTGAAACCAGATATATTAACGGATCAAATAGAATCTTACATTAATCATATTCTCATAGTCTTCCAAAAGGGCTGTGACAATGGCTTGAGCATTATTAGCAGCATTAGCGGCAGCAAGAAGCTGGGCAGAGTTATCTCCTAGAGTGTCAAAACCTTCTAGATCACATTCTCCAGCCAGAAGAGGACGTAAGAGCAATGGGGACATACAGGCAGCTACAGCAGATGAAGTCATCCGGTTCTCACATGAATGAGAGGTGATAGTATGCATCATCTTTAGAATCCTGCAGAATCCAACCCAGACTGAGAACAAAGCTGTTTGAAGTAACCAAAATATAGATTTCCAAGCAGCTTTACAAGGGAGCACCACATATTTTCCATGGCATATGCAACTGAGGATTAAAATATTCTCCTAAGTTCATTGCCTAAGTAGAATGCCTAAGCCGTAATTACGATCACTCATGGATTACATCTGAGAGCATACCGCAGTAGTAGTCGCCTGTTTGGTTCTGGAAATGTTTCAATTATAGCAGAGCGTAGTGATTTAATCCGAGCTTCATTATGATCAATTTCTATAGAAAAGTATAAAACGTGAGTTAATACACAGATAAAACCAAAGGTACAAACATAAATTCCATTTATACAAAGACTTACTATAAGCCTCCAGCAGAGCAGTGCAGCACGATGCTGGAACTGGCGAAGAAGGCAACTGCCGCAGAACATGCTGCAGATACAATAACATGACACGAATATGTCAAGACAATAATTATAACATGAATCATAGTTGACACACAATATAGTACTAAAATAGTACCTTAACACAGTCTCCAACAACATGTGGGTCCTCTTCAGGACGGAACTCTGTCTTGCCTGCATTTGAAAAATTTCCGTTGATAAAGACTTTTTTTAAGAGGGAGACAGCGGAAAAATGAAACAGAAAATGAGCTAATATCCGAATCATTACATCTATATACATATACATTTCTGAAATCGGTAACCAAAAGAAACTGTCCATATGTACAAGATCAATACCTTGTTCGTAGTCTAGAACTCTGCGTTCTACCTCCTCAACATCTGCAGACTGTCTTAAGATTCCTTCTACTTTGGTTCCTGTGTAGACAAAAAGGTTCACGATCAAAACAAAAACATTTATCTGGGCACTTAGAGACAAAAACCACTTCTATCATAGCCGATATGATGAGTTCAATAAGGATAAATATATATATATATGACACTGAAAGTAATATAAACAAATTTACTTTCTAGAGGACAAACATTAGCGAATAATGATATGAGATTTAGAATATAAAACCGCAGGAAACTAATCAAACTAGGAGGCCAATACTCACCATATGTCTCAAGAAATTGAAGTGCTTTCTCAAGAAACGATGGGCTTCCGTCAATTTCCTCTAAAGCAAGTAAAATTGGTCTTCCAACAACCGAAGACTTCAATGGGCGTTGATCCCTCCCTGCGTTCCAAGATGTGATTGATATACATCTGAATTTGAAAGGAGTCATAGCAGAAGCGTTGATTATTATAAAATAAATGAGAACTAACATGAATTAAAGGACCCTTCCATGGTACTGTTTGCTTCATTCCGGAATATTCCATTTTGACCAATTACAAGTGCTGCATTGGGAGCTTGTGCAAGGGATTGCTCGAGGGCAGCCTTCCATTCATACAAGTCGTCCAATGTCTCAGCCTATGTGAGCCAAATAATTAGCATTTCATAGAAGCATAACCCAGAATCATAGCATATAACCAAAATAGAGGAATAAAAATTGGTCAGCCAAGTATATATAGAAATCACCTTGAGGGTGAAGGCTCGTCCATCACGCCCATCTGGGAATAGTACAGTCAACAACTTCTTATCTTCTCTCACCACGACACTGCAAGCGAGCATGTTAACACAGGCTATAAAGTTGGAGATACTCTTATAAAAAACAAACACAAGAAATTTATACCTCCCCGAACTGTTCAAGTCGATGCCTCCAAGAGTCAAATTTACTTCACCTCCTTTTTGTGGTAATGCACTCTGTCAAACAGTTGAAACAATGAGCGTGAGGTATATAATAGTTGTAAAATAACTGGGAGTTGATAGTGTAAATCCAGATCCTCCTAAGCTTCTAACAAGTTAATACAGCCATCTAAGTTTTTTTTTCATAAAACATTCTAAGTTCATGATAACAGTAAAAGTATTATATGAATTAGAAAACAATCACGTCAAAGGATCACAAACACTGACTGGATCATTTTTGAAGAAGACCAAAGAAGTTCGGGTAAGGATAAACCAACGCTTCTTCCAAGACGTCCAACCTAGTCCTGCAAATCGATATGCCATACAAATTTTAGTAAGCAACACGTTGGTTTTAATTAAGGAATCAAGAATACACAATGGTTGGAGTTAAAGAGTAGATAAATCTTGAAAGAAAAGAAAAATGTAGAAGTTCACCTTTTGATGAAATGAAGAGAGGACCACTCTTATAAACCTGTCAAAATATTATGGAATATAACGAATGATTATCAACAGTTTTCTTAAATCTGGAACAGTTACAAAAACCAAAACACGCAGAGCTACAGATTAAAGAACAGACAAATCTGAAAGACTCTTCCATTACCGGCTAACAAGTGAAGCTAAAATCTAATTGTTTGGCTTCAGGTTTCCTAAACTGGTATAATAAAGCTATCTACCGTCTATTTAGGAAAAAGTTTCACGGTTGACTGCATTGGACTTGATCGAATTGATGAATTTGAAGCCCAAAATTTCCAAACAAAAAATGGAAATATTCACTTCTAAATTCACTGGCACCAACTCGGTCTCGACCCAACAGAGTCGTTTGAGCAAAATCTAATCTTTTTACAGTGTCATAAATTCCTTCAATACGAAACAAACGCACTAATCTTATTTATCTCATCAGAATTATTCCACTTTCTCCACAAAGCAACCAGGAGGCAAACGAGAGACTGTAATTACCGTATTCAAAGCTCCAGCTTGTTGAGGTCGCTGCATAGCCGCTGAAGAAGCCGCCATTGCAGAAGTAATAAACACTTAATCAAAAACGACGCATCCAAAAAGATCATGAAATAAAAAATAAGCTGAAAACTAAAATTGCAATCTCTCAAAGAGCTCCCCAGACGAATCAAAAACTATACACATTAGCCCGAATCGATGGCTTTAAGAAATCCCATATTCTCTCCTAGCAAAGCCTGCCTTTACTTTCCAGCGAAATCACTACAGAGTCTAAACTACTGCAGCTAGCCTCCAAGGGAAGATGATGAGTGAAGGACGGGGATAGAGGGAAGAAGAAGAAAAGGGAAATATCAAGCACAGTAGGGTGTAGTCTAATTATTTGCATCGAACCAATCAAAAGACGCCACGATAAAGACATTTCCTACACTTTTTTTTTTCATGCTTTCACATTAACTTTTTTGGCATCGAGCGGTGGTAAGCTCGGTCGGGTCCGTGTTGGTTTGGTTTCGATATGGGGTTATTTGGTTATTTCGGTCTGGTACGATTTTGAATTAGCATGGAGCCAAAGCAAGGCATGGTTCCAAAATCCTAAACTCTTCTACGCATGGTTAACTTGGTCATTAGTCTAACTAGGTTTTTAATTAATGTTTATGTTTTCTTTCCACCATCAATATCATAACTCTAGTTGCTAGCCCTACAGTTCACATAACCAAAATAAAAAAACCATGAGAAGACGGATCACGTCATCAAGTCCTCGCAATACCATCGTGTAATTATAACCATATTGAAAATATAACATTTCAATTGTAGTTATCAATTTGTAAAATTACAATAATTAAGATGAAAATTAGTCCTCTAATCAAAAATGAATTTCATACCAGTATTTTTTTGTGTTTTTTTTGTGTGTGTCAAGAACACTTTCATCATTCTTTGTTTATATATCCAACCAATCACCAACTCAAATCCGACTAATAGATCCGACTAAGACGTATTTAAAAACCACTAAAAGTATGCAATACTAAACAAAAATAAACATCTGTCTACGTTGTCTTGTACTATATTTTATAATAACAATTTGGCAGCACTGTTAATTACTTGTAAATTGTGTTTTAATTAAAAAGTTATTTAGGTGATGTATTCAAAGTAAAATTTTAAGAGATTTGTATAGAATTTAGACCAACTCCAATGGTAAGTTTTTTAACAAGTATGTTGGTAATATTCTAATTACAAAAAGTACAAAAATTGAAACTAAAAACTTATGTAAAATTTATCCTTCCAATGATAAAGTTTTTAATAAGTTACTAAACACTATATTTTAAATAATCAGAAAATTTGTTTTCTTTTTTCTTTTTTTCCTTTACTCAATCATAAGCGGACACATGTAGCTAAGAAACAATTTCAAAAATTCTTAGCAAGAATTACTTCTTAGCTTATTACATGTTTTTAATTTATTTTTTCTCTTTTTAATTCTTAAAAATTTGCTAAAAAAACTTGCATTGGAGTTGCTCTTATAAAACCACTGTTATTCAAACATAAATTTTAAAAAGTCTCATGAAATACACTTTTATTCAATTAATGATTTTAAAATTCATCTTAAAATCCACTGTTATTGAAAACAATTTTTGGATTTGGTTTTAATGATTTTGAAGGATTTCAGAGGATTTAGGAAGATTTACTAAGTTAAAAATACAGAAATCTAAATCTCATGGTTTTTGGTGAGATTTGAAAGGATTTTACAAAAGTCATATGAACTTTCCTAAAATCATCAAAATCATTTAAAACCCCAATAAAACTCAAATCTCTTAAAATTCCAATTTGAATACATCCATCTTAAAACTTTTTTTTTTTTTTGTAAGAACAAATAAAAAAGTAAATTAATAGAAATAAGAGAATTGCGTCTCCCTCCCTTCCTCTCTTCCCCCGTCAGAACCAGTATCACTCCAAAGCCTAAATTCTCACCATGGCAACGAGTTCTCGCCGGTTAAACACCGGTTTAAACGCGACGATCAGTTCGCATTCCGTAAACCGACCCCAATCCATCTCCCTGAGTATCCGTCGAAACCTTCATCAGATAAATCCTCCTCGTCTAGTAGTAGTACCTACGATCACTCCACGTTTCATCACCCAATCATTGTCACGGGCAAAGAGATCCTCCTCGGTTGGATCGGGGATCAAAAAGCCAGGCGTATGCGGTTACGCCATCGGGGATAACGAGATCGAAAGGAGCCACAGCTGCGGCCATGTGGAGACGGCGGAGATAGTATTTTGGGCGGCGGCAACGGCGGCGTTGGGAGTGGGAAACAGGGTGATGTATAAGCTGGCGCTAGTTCCGCTCAAGCAATATCCCTTCTTCCTTGCGCAACTCTCCACCTTCGGGTAATAAACCATCTCATCTCCGCCCCTCTCTTCTATCGTCCCTCAAATGCGTCAATTGTTTTTTTACTTTTACTGTGTTAAAGATCATACACGTAACAATTACATTCTGCTAATTAAAAATAATATTACGAGAAGAAACGTAGGCGTCTAGATCTCTAGTTTTTATCTTTATAGAAATTTGTGGTGTGCATGAATTTAAAGGTTAGTAAATGCTAGGCTGCTAGCTAAATAATAGTTCCCGTCTAAATATCGATTTATTTGTTTGGTTATTAATGTATACATTGTTTGGGAGTGTTTTTTTTTTTTGTTTGTTATGAGATTGGTTATGGCTCATTGGAGTTTAACTAACATTTAAAAAAAATAAAAATTCATATACATTTAAAATAAAACTCTGCAAAATTTGGATGTTTGGAAAACTTTGTAAAGCGAGTGAATATTAAATAAATTAGAAACTTGTTGAACGGGTCATAGTTGGCTTTGTAGTAGTCTCTTTCGAGTTTGATACTTCTTCTTCTTCTTGGGAACATTATTGTTAAAGGCGCATTCTTTCATATTTTAAATTCACATTCCATTTTTTTGGGATAAATCATGATGTTCGATCGAAGTTAATATCATAAATCATTTTATAACCATTTGCAAAATAAATGCTATTCTATCCTATGATAGAATAATCAGCACTAGCAATAAGCATTAATTCGTTGAATACAAGAAAAATAAAGTACTGTTTTTAAATATGATAAGAGGAAAAATCACAAACGTTTTGTAAGTTAGTGGAACCAAAGTTATCGAAACAGGAAAAGGTGGTGGAACCAAATTGAATAATGTCCATCCATACATCACATTTCGTTATCCCCTCCCTCTTATGCAATATTCTTATTGGGTCCACTGGGCTTAGACTTTGATTAGAGAATTCCCAATGTCCATCTTACTAACCTGAACCAAACCATTCCAGAACCAAATATTATGGCTTCTTTCCACTTTTGTCACATTTTTCTCAAACCAAAGTCGACCAAACTTAGAAATACATACAATTATGGGACCAGACCAAAGTGATAATGGTGAGGTTTTCTCAAACCGGAAATCCATAGTAAAATACCCAAGTGTCCCACCTTTTCCACGTGTTTGCTGTCTGCTAGTCAAAAGTTTGATTGGTTGCATCAGATTCTTGAATCTTAACTTGTAGCTAGTTACCAAGCGACCTATGCTTTTTCTTTGGTAGTTACCAATTAGATGTCCTGGAATAATCTTGTTTTATATTTTATTTAACTTCTAATTTACCGTTTATCTTTTGCTTATTTCTTCATGTAGGTATGTAGCTGTATATTATACTATCTTGTATTTTAGATATCGTTCTGGGACGGTCACAGATGCCATGCTCTCGGTGCCTAAACCTCCATTTTTAATTGTCGGCGTCTTAGAGGCTCTCGCTGCAGCTTCTGGAATGGCTGCAGCAGGTAACACTACATTACATTTATATGGATTTGTCTACGAGAGAGTACTATGAGAAGCAGAAATGCCTTGATCATCTTACCAAAGCAACTTTTATTCATCCTTAGTGTTTTTATTTTGCTTTTTCTCTACTCAGCGAATCTTTCGGGGCCATCTACTACAGTTTTATCTCAGGTTAGATAGAATCTGTATATAACTTAATATATGCCTTTGTATGTGCAACTCTTGGTTTCAGTGTGACAATTTATATTTCCCTTAATTAAAAAACCATGTTTTCTTGATTATTATTGCTAGTTGATAACATGTATAACTCACTTCCTTGTTTGCTTATAGACATTTCTAGTCTGGCAAATTTTCTTCTCCATCATTTTTATCGGGAGGAGATATAGTGTAAACCAGATACTGGGATGCAGTCTAGTAGCTCTTGGTGTAATCTTCAGTGTGGCAAGGTTAGATAAACCTTCTCGATGATCCTCTTGCTCGATACTAAACCAAATTTCTAATTGTGGTTCTCTTTTGGTATTTCACAAATGACACAACATGAATCACCATTTATTGTTTTTCCATCTGCAGTGGATCAGGCGCTGCTCATTCATTAAAGGAAGCCGGAGTGTTTTGGATTCTTCTAATGGTGCTTTCTTTCCTCCTTCAAGGAGCAGGTACAGTATTGAAGGTTCGTTATTCCCCTGATCACAACCTTTTAGTTTACGTGAAATTATTCTCTCTAATCTCAAATTCCTTTTTTCTTATAGGAAGTCATCTTTATAGATAGCCAGAAACGATTAAAGGTATATTCCTCAATCCTCAACACACATTGGACAAAAGTTTCTGTTTGTAACTTGTTTGAAAAACTTAGAATTCATCTTCTCTTTACTATCACAGGGAGCTTCACTCGACCTATTTATAGTAAATTCATATGGTTCAGCTTTCCAAGTAAGTATTATAACCCTAATATGTCCCTTTGTTCCCCTCTCTAAGCTCCGGCTTGTATACCAAGCTAAGTAATCTTCCTCTTTGGTGTTTTTTCTTTACTAACCAATTAGGCCATATGCATCGCACTACTTCTTCCATTTCTTTCAAAACTTTGGGGCATACCGTTTAATCAACTCGGTAGCTACCTTAAAGATGGCGCGGGTTGCTTTCTCAACATCGGGACAGTAACAAAAGGATGTGATGGGGCACCGTTTTTGCCTCTATTGTTTGTGATAGTGAACATTGGCTATAACATTGCGCATTTAAGACTGATAAAGCTTTCATCTGCGGTGGTATCATGTCTTGCATCAACAGTCTCAGTGCCAATTGCAGTGTTTCTGTTCACAATGCCATTACCGTACCTAGGAGTTGCATCATCACTACCAACAGGGTTCATAGGAGGAACAATCATACTTGTATTGGGAATGATTCTTTACAGTTGGACAGCGCAAGGAGCTAACTCTCCTCGTACTGATACAGTCATTCCTTCACCTCCCCCAACATAGAGAGGGTTTAAGTAGAGGTTTCTGTTTTTCTTAATTGATTTGAGAGACTTATGAAGATTCGGTTTGGGATTAAGGTAATATAAGATTGAATAAATATTATTGTAACAGATGTCCATGATGGGATACTCAATGATCAATAAGATTTTTTACATAATGTATGATTACTTTATCCCGCCCGAAAGGTGTGAGAGAGAAACAGAGTTATAGTAGGATCAATGATAACTTAGAATAAACTCATATCAATTTAACTATCCTGATCAATCCAAAATAAAGTCTCATAGCTAGACAAACATACCATTGTCATTATCTTGCTGGATCATTTCCGTAAATTAAGTTTGTCAAAATTCATAATTTTTAGTTACGTAGATGATAATTTGCTAAGTTGTGCTATCAACAAAGAACAAATACATATCTTAAACATTTAAAAGGAAATTTAAAGCGTAATTTTATTCCCCATTATTAATTGTAATTTCAATTAATACTTTATATAATAAATCAACTCATTTAAATAACCAATTCATCTGACAAAATTTCCCATGGCTACTCTTTTATAATTTCCTTATTGAATTTCTCAACTTAATTTATAATCATCTCATACAACAACAATATTGTATTAATAATATATATGAAGGAGATCTAAAATCCCTTGCAATTTAGACTTAGTCACAAGTTAAAATCTTTGATATATTCAAAACTATAGTGAAGTATTTGACAGTTCTTTTTGGTCGGTGGGGGTACTTGACATTTGGAAGATAAGAACAGACAATTTTTGTAACAAAATGAAAATCCCAGGATTTGCTCTCAACCTTTGTCCTAAATCCTAAATGTTGTTTTACCTTAAATACCATAATTACAGACAAGCTTTTGTCCTAAACTCCCTCCCTATCAACAAACCCTATAATCCTCTGAACCGAAAGGCCAGCGAAGTAAAAACACATTCTATTCATAGTCATTCACAACCAAAACACCTAAAATTTTCTTGCTAAAGAAGAAACAAAAACCAGAGGAAGAAAAAAAAAATTAAGAGAAGAAAAACACACAAAAATATAAAAACCTTTCTATTTCTCTTCCTCCTTTGAGCTTTCACCTCCTCCTCCTTCTCCCCCCAACCCTTTTATGCAACAATGGGAAATTGTTGCTCTCATGGACGGGACTCGGCCGATAATGGAGATGGACAAACTCTGGAAAACGGAGCTACCGCTTCCAATGCTGCCAACCATACCGGTCCAACTGCGGAAGCTTCTGTACCACAATCAAAACATGCACCTCCTTCTCCTCCTCCTGCTACCAAACAAGGCCCTATAGGACCTGTCTTAGGTCGACCCATGGAAGATGTAAAATCTTCTTATTCTTTAGGGAAAGAGCTAGGGCGAGGTCAGTTTGGTGTCACGCACCTCTGCACACAGAAGGCCACAGGTCAGCAATTTGCTTGCAAGACGATTGCAAAAAGGAAGCTTGTGAACAAGGAAGACATTGAGGATGTAAGGAGAGAAGTGCAGATCATGCATCACCTGACTGGCCAACCAAACATTGTGGAGCTTAAAGGAGCTTATGAGGATAAGCATTCTGTGCATTTGGTTATGGAGCTTTGCGCAGGTGGAGAGTTGTTCGATAGGATTATTGCTAAAGGACATTACTCCGAGAGAGCAGCTGCTTCGTTGCTAAGAACTATTGTCCAGATTGTGCATACTTGCCATTCCATGGGGGTTATTCACAGGGATTTAAAGCCAGAGAACTTTCTGTTGCTCAACAAAGATGAAAACTCTCCTCTCAAAGCCACCGACTTTGGGCTGTCCGTTTTCTACAAGCCAGGTCTTTTGCTGCAATCATCACAAAGCCAATTCCTGCAATTTTGAATCAACATTACTGTAAAACATGACATGGTCATACTCATAGAAAATTTGTTTCCGCTGTGTTACAGGAGAGGTTTTCAAGGATATTGTGGGGAGTGCTTATTACATTGCACCTGAGGTTTTGAAAAGGAAGTATGGACCAGAAGCCGATATTTGGAGTATCGGTGTCATGTTGTACATCCTCTTGTGTGGTGTCCCACCATTCTGGGCTGGTAAGGATATATTCAACGTCTTCTTTTTATCTACCCAATAAAGATACTATAAACATATCTGGAGATGTTTTTATGTTCATGTGTTGTGTATTTACCTGATCACAGAGTCGGAGAACGGGATATTCAACGCCATCCTAAGGGGACATGTTGATTTCTCAAGCGATCCATGGCCATCTATCTCGCCTCAGGCGAAGGATCTTGTCAAGAAGATGCTCAACTCTGATCCCAAGCAAAGACTAACAGCTGCCCAAGTTCTAAGTAAGCATCTGTTAAACATACCAAAAATGTCAAAAGCATAACGATCTCTCTCTCTATGAAAATTAAAGTTTTATCTCTGATGTTTTTACTCTTTGTAAAGACCATCCATGGATCAAGGAGGATGGAGAGGCACCAGATGTTCCTCTTGACAATGCAGTGATGTCCAGGCTCAAGCAGTTCAAAGCAATGAACAATTTCAAGAAAGTTGCATTACGTGTAACAATCATATTCCCTACCCACTAGAACATAATATGGCTTTCAGTAGATTATCCTAACCTCAAAACCTGAAATTTTCCAACAGGTGATAGCAGGTTGCTTATCAGAGGAAGAGATCATGGGGTTAAAGGAGATGTTTAAAGGTATGGACACTGATAGTAGTGGAACAATTACACTCGAGGAGCTAAGACAGGGACTTGCTAAACAAGGTACAAGGTTGTCAGAATACGAAGTCCAGCAGTTAATGGAAGCTGTAAGTCCTCTGCATATTTACATGAGTTTTAGCTTCGGTCAGATGCGTAAAAGCTGTGAAGAAGACTCACTACTGATTTACTGTGATTTGCTATGCGTTGTATGGGATTCAACAGGCTGATGCTGATGGTAATGGAACAATAGACTATGGTGAGTTCATCGCAGCCACAATGCACATTAACAGACTTGACAGAGAAGAACATCTTTACTCAGCCTTCCAACATTTTGACAAAGACAACAGCGGGTAAGCACTTAACAGTTTGTTATTCATAAAGACTTTATGCACCACAAGCACAAAGAAGAAATCTGAAGCTTGTTATGCAACAAAAAATTCAACTTAAATAATGCCTGCTGTTACCAGATATATCACAATGGAGGAGCTAGAGCAAGCCCTACGAGAGTTTGGCATGAATGATGGCAGAGACATTAAAGAGATAATATCTGAGGTTGATGGAGACAACGTAAGTAACAACAGTCCCTTCACATGTAACAAGAAGCTAACAGTCTCATTAATACTAACCAAAATTCCAATGATTATAACAAATGCAGGATGGTCGGATAAACTATGATGAATTTGTGGCAATGATGAGAAAAGGAAACCCAGATCCTATCCCAAAGAAGAGACGTGAGCTTTCATTTAAATAAAGAATTGTTGAAGTAGAGGAAGAGAGGAGATAGAAAGAGAGCAGCACATGGGTTGAGAAATTCATCTTCCTTTTCACAATGAGAGAGATAAGGCAAAGCAAAAAATATTCTAAAGTTGTATGCTCGAACCGCTAATGCACTGGAGGAGATCTTTAAGGGAGGAGAGGGCTCTAGAAGGAAAACAAAATCATTAACTGGGGGGATTTGGGGGAGGTGTTTGATATATGTACATTTTCTTTTCTGGTTGTCTACTACTTCTTAAAGTGCCATGGGTTTCTCAATGTACTTAAAAAATTCTTTTCAATTCTCTTGTATGTGTTAGTGATTATTCGTTCTTACTTCCTAGTGAAACAGTGAACACCAATTTGGAAAAGAATCATACAGCTAAAACCAAATCGACCAAGGCCTCATCAACTGGGAGGCAAAACTCCCTAAATATTCTTTTATCAACTATGGCATTGCAGAAAAAATCTAGGAAACATGATAAACTGATATAACTACAAACAAGGTTTAATATCGAAGATCATCAACTGCATCAAAGTACATAATTTCGTAATAGCTAAATTTGGAGTTAAAAGATGTATTTTTCCATTGCTTGGTGGATGTAAAAGACAAAAGAGCAAACGTAGATAATCAAATCCACCAAATTCCATACAAAAAGAGTTTCACATCTTCCCCCAATTAAAAACCCTAAATTGCAGGACGACCAAAGGAACATGGAATCGAAGACAATTTACTTATCTTTGGTAGAGACTCCATACTTCTCCTGCAACTTGGTAATCTCTTCTTCACTCTTCTTCTGGTCAAACTTCTTGCTCATCTTCGCGTGCTGGTAATAAAGCACGATTAGGTATCGATTCGCGACGTTGAAGCCGGAGAGATGGTCGACGGCGTTCTTGGCGTCGTAGATATCCTCGTAAACCACGAAAGCCGTGCCTTTCGTCGCCTTGTCGCAACCGATCCGAATCTGGCGAATCGCACCGTACTTGCCGAAGATATCGTACATCTCCTCGCTCGTTATGTTGAAGGGAAGGTTGCGAACGTAGAGCACGCGATTCACCTCCGGTGGGAGCCTAGTGTTTGTCTTGCGAAGACTGATTGTTGTCATAGCTTCTCTTCTTTTTCTCCTTGAGACGAAGATTTGTCACCGTCGCCGAGAAAAAGATTTATCTGATATCGGGAAAAAGAAAAAGAGTTACCGTCGTTGCGCGCACGCAGACTTAAATAATAATAAAAGGGTAACATCGTCTTTGCGCACGTTAGACTTGTGGATTTATTGACGGTGTAATGTAAAACCAATTAAACCAAGAGTAATCTACCAAACCGACATCTAATCTCCGGTTGAATTTATAAATATGGTGGAGTGAGACATTTATAAACAGAGAGAGAGGGAACACGATGAATTTTTTTCTCAAATTCAGACTAGATGGACGTTATTCATAGGTCATAACGACTCTTTCAATCCTTTTTAATACAAAGAATGTTATGTACAAATATTCTTATAGAAACAACTGATATGTTGCAGATAACTGCACAACACTTATTTAGGTTGTAGCTTCAGATGGGACACGCTTAACTGGAGCTCGAAGAGAAGATAGATAATTAGCATCTGATTTCTCAATCCCATCGAAAAGGTAACTGAAAGGAGGCATCTCTATGTACTTGCCACTTCCTGGAACCACTTTAAGCTCCTCATTTTCCCATACTATTCGTCCTCCTGCTATTGTCACTTCAACTTTTCCCTGAGATTTTAACCAATCAACATATAAAAAGGTTACTATATTACTCACAAGTCTCACATTCTACATTATCAGTAAAGAGGTTTTGCAAAAAATTGTGTATTACCTTTCCTCTTCTTCCCTCATAGACGTTTGTGTCAGATCTTGAATGATGAGTCTTTGAGCTAATCTCGTAGCTTGAGTTTGGATTTAGTATGATAATATCTGCATCCGAGCCAGCTATGATAGCTCCTTTCCGTGGATATATGTTGAAAATTCTAGCGCTGACAATCAAGATCATTTCAAATGCACACACATGACTTGCTAGTTCAAGCTCATTGGAAAAACACAAACATATACTAAAGGAAGCAGGAAAGAGCAAATATACCATTCTGTGCTGGTTATTCGAACAAAATCTGTAACAGAGATTTGGCCAGAACCCTGGTTTATGTTACATAAAAAAATTAAAACTTCTGTAAAGAATAAGATTATAGACAGTCCACAAGTACTTACCACCATAGTGTCCCATATCAGGTGCATCCGTTCTTCAAGGCCTATATTTGAACAAGTTCAAAGTATTTACAGGTCAACAAAATCAATGAGAACAGAAAGAAAGAAACCAGTCAAGGCAGTTATTACCATTAACACCATTAGGTATTTTGCGGAAATCATCATATCCTAGAGATTTTTGTGTAGAATTGAAAGTGCAGTGATCAGTTCCTACAAGCTGCAGAGATTATACCAATAAAAGGAGCAAAATGTGTCAGAAGAAAGACTTTACAGTTTTATGTTATGGTCCTATTTATCTAAGTTATGCAGAGCGAGGAAAGAAACCTGAAGGATTCCTGTTGAAAGGGCATCTTGTAGGGCTTTCCCATGTCCTAATGGTCTGATAGGTGGACTCATGACATACCTGAATTATTAAGTAAAACTTTGAATATCTGAAATAGTAATTGGCTACCATTTCATTAACAGACCTAGAGGATTTCTTACTTGGACGCAATTGTGAAGTCAGGATCCCAAAGCCAATGATCATCAAGGATTAATCCAGACACAACAGGCTCTCCAATAACCTTCTGTCCTGAAATACATAACAAAACAAAAAAAAATCATTTATATTGAGTTAAATACTATATAACAATTTGAAAGTTACTTTGGAGATCTAGCCATATGTTATTGCAGTAGTGGCTGTTCGAATAAAATTGATTAAAATCCAGACAATGAGAAAAGAAAAAAATCAGTCCTACAGGAGTTGTAATTGAAGACCTGATTTTCGAGCTTTAGCAATCTCATCCATTGCATCAACACTCATCACATGAACAACATAGAGAGGCGTGTTAACAAAACGAGCCAAACGAATTGCTCTAGAAGTGGCTTCTCCCTCAAGCTGTCATTGTACAACAAGGAGCTTGAATTTATTAGCTTGAACAAAGGTTAAGAGAGGTAAGAGCAGATATGGGAGAAGAGAAAAAAGCTACGAGGCAGTATAATAAAATGAAAGATGCTGGGCTCAAATTACCACAGGAGGCCGGGAAAGAGCATGACCCTCTGGACCTGTAATGCCCAGTTCAATCATTCTTTTCTGACCCTCGAACACTGCATCTCCATTTTCAGCATGAACCATTGCCAAGGCACCGAGAGATTTGCATCTTTTAAGGCCTTCCAGTAGGAGGTCATCAGTGACCATCAGAGATCCTTTATATGCTAGGAAGAATTTGAAAGAGTTGATACCTATAAATTTAGAGATACATGCACTCAGTTTCATTTTATCAGGAAAACTTATGGCTAGAAAGACCAACACTATGAGGCATATAAATGTAGTCACAAGACATTTACCCTTTTCCTTGACCAATTTCTCCATGTCCCTGGAAACACCTTCATCCCACTTTGTGATTGCCATATGAAAACCGTAATCCATGCACGAGTTTCCCGATTTGTTTTCATAGGCTTCAAAACCAGCTACCAGATTTCCATTAACCGGTATAACAAAGTCTATATGCATAGTTGTTCCACCAGCTAATGCTGCTGCCTGACCACTGAAGAAATCATCAATAGTCTCAGTACCCATAAATTCCATGGCAAGATGCGTGTGGGGGTCAATTCCTCCTGTTTACCAAAAAACATACTTATGCTTCAAAGATCAAAAATACAGTTCTAGAAACAAAACTTCCTAACCTGATCATCTGCTTGTTTAGAAACTATCTAGGCATTCACTACTACCAATATCCACAAGTAACGAAAGCCAAACAAATCAAAAAGTATCAATTGATTAACCTGGCATGACAAACTTTCCAGTAGCATCGAGTACAGTGACTTCATCCCCAACCTGTTACATAGCAACAAGCAGATTAAAAAAACATTGGAACTTAGACTACCAAAAATGAAGGACACATTAAAAAAGGGGATAGTTAGACCTTAATATTTGGCTGCACAGCTACAATAATTCCATCTTCCACATAGACATCAGCAAGTTCTTGATGGTGTGCATTCACAACTGTACCTCCTTTGATCAAAATCCTCGTCGATGGCTCTCTCCCTGCACTACAAAACTGCAACAAACACATTCAGAGACAGTTCCTCAAAGTTGACTTTCAGAAAATTTAGAAATCAAATCAAATCTCCAAAATTCTATCTTTTCTATTTCAATTTCTCTAGAGTCACTACTGTATTGGATTAGCTAGATAACTTAAGTAATCTCTTATTTGCTTTAAGAACTACAGTAGATGGTTCAAAGACACAGACCTGAGTAGCTGAACCTGAAACGGAAGGCGATGTCAACAGAAGAAACAGAGAGAGGGCCAAGAAGAACGAATCCAGAGGTCTAAGCGCCATTGATGAAGAGAAGCTTGACACAACACAAGTTGATTCAGCTTCCTATCATTTACATTTCATTTCTCTTTCTTACTGGCCAATCAGTTTAAGTCAACGCAACGCATAATCAAAATCAATTGTCGACAAAAGAAAAAAAAAAATCAAAATCAATCGATAAAACCTGGTTTAACCGGGTTTAGTATTAATTTCAAGTTATCCCGGTTCGAGATTTCCACTGAACTCTTTGGCTAAGGAAGAGGCTATTATATATCAGAGATGAAAAGGCTATAGATTTCTTCTCTTTTCGATCTCGCCGAGTCTCCTCCGAATTACAATTTCTCTTCTCGCTCCAAGCTGATGAGCTCTACCTCTTCCTCCCAGGTAAACCACTCTTCTCTCCTGCCTTGTCCATCATCAGGTTCTTGTCTCCTTCTTAAAGGTTTTAATTCGAGTTTAGTTTGGTCTCGTTTTCGTTAATTTGAATTCAGCATTTGGTTATGATTTGAAAACAAAAGAAAGGCTCCTTTTTGATTAATCTCGTACGGGTTTGATCCTTGAGCTGCTGATTAATCTCGTACTATAGATGAGTTGATTAAGTGTTACGAAGTTACTGAATCTGCTGTGAATGTTTTATTGGTAGATGGATCAGCTCGTTGCTGACAAGCATGTACGTTACATTCTGATGGCAGAAAAGGTAAGGAACTAGAAACTGTATCTACTCTTTCTTCATTCTTACTGTTTATGTCACTACGATGTTAACTTGTGTTCTTTTTTTTTTTTTTTTTGAATTATATTTAATTTGCTAGAAGAAAGAGAGTTTGGAGTCTGTGGTGATGGATCATCTAAGAATGAATGGTGCATACTGGGGACTCACCACTCTCGACTTACTGGACAAACTGGGCACTGTTCCTGAAGATGAAGTGCTTTCATGGGTCATGACTTGTCAGCATGAATCTGGTGTGTACTAGAGTATCATATTTATTTACCATATGGATTGCGGATCAGCTCTATATACTTACTGATAGAATGCCAAAAAAAGTAGGGATAAATGGGTTAGGCAGTGAAAGCAGGTGTTTTGGAAAATCATTAGAAAATATTCATTGGCTGTGGTTTCTTAGTAAGATATTGCTTAGTAAAAACATCTATGGGACCTTTGTAGTTGTTGTAGGGTTTCACATTTTTATCCTGAATCATAAGATATTGCTGCAGTAGAAGTTGAAAACAAGTTGTTCTTTTCTGAGCAGGTGGCTTTGCCGGTAATACTGGACACGATCCGCATATCCTATATACACTCAGTGCTGTACAAATCTTGGCCCTCTTTGACAAAATTAGCATTCTTGACGTTGGGAAAGTATCAAGTTGTATCCTTTGGCACTTAACTTCTTTTTGATGTCTAACTCGTTCTTCTTCTTCTTTTTGATGTCTAACTCGTTCTTCTTCACTGATAGCCATGGGGGAACTTCCATTATTTTAAATAAGCAATGATGTGAAATGCAAAGGAAAAAACTCTGCAAATTGCTGATGATAGATATTATTATGGTTTCCTATACACAAAATTAGATGTTGCTGGGTTGCAGAATGAAGATGGGTCCTTCTCAGGAGATATATGGGGTGAAATAGATACAAGGTATTCTTCCTGGCCATGTGTTACAAAGAAAATTATATTTTTTGTTGGTGATTTTACTTTGTTGAATCTTAATTGCTAGACTGTTTATGTAGGTTTTCGTACATAGCTATATGCTGTCTCTCAATATTGAAATGTCTTGACAAAATCAATGTGGAAAAGGCTGTTGCGTACATTGTGAGCTGCAAAAACCTGGATGGTGGTTTTGGGTGCACACCTGGAGCAGAGTCCCATGCAGGACAGAGTATGATATGCTGTTTGAGTATTGTTCTGTGTAGTCTACCTGATAGTCACTTGCAATTAGTGTTATAGATGGCTTTACGCAATTTAGAAGGCTGATCCCATCGCTGGCATTTAATTATTCTATTGACTGGATACTTGGACGTTTATTGTTTCTTTAGTAGACGTGTTATTGATACACCCTTGTGTAAATATTATTTGATAGTTTTATGGTGGTAAAGAGACCGTTAACTCTTTATTTGTTTCTTCTGTTACTGCAGTCTTCTGTTGCGTGGGTGCTCTTGCTATCACTGGGAGTCTTCATCATGTTGATAAGGACTTGCTTGGTTGGTGGTTATGTGAAAGACAAGTAAAGACTGGGGGCTTAAATGGACGACCTGAGAAACTCCCTGATGTAGGTGTTAAGCTCCTCTCATTCTCCAATGAGAGAGACCTATGTATACTGGTACTTACATATTCTTTTATTGTTATTATTACCAGGTTTGCTATTCGTGGTGGGTCCTATCGAGCCTAATCATGATAGATAGAGTTCACTGGATCGACAAAGCAAAGCTTGTCAAGTTCATCTTGGATTGTCAGGTTTGTCCCCAACAAGTCGAGAAAATTCATATTGTTGCCAATAAGCTAACTTAAACTGAAATCTCTCATCTCATCTCATCCTAATTTGAATTTGAATAGGATTTGGACAACGGAGGCATCTCAGACCGACCAGACGATGCTGTTGATATCTTTCACACCTACTTTGGAGTTGCAGGTAACTTTGATTTGTCTCTCTTTAAACTGCTCATGTTGATGTCAAGCCAAAGTGGTCTCATTTTATCACATTGGTGCAGGGCTTTCCCTCCTTGAGTATCCTGGTGTCAAGACAATTGATCCAGCCTACGCTTTACCTGTTGATGTCATTAACCGGATTCTCTTCACCAGATGATCGTTTACTTGGGCGGTTTTAGAAGTTATGTTGGTCAACCAAGTGGACTGGATTCAGTGATTACAGTGATGTTGAAGTTAGATAATCTTGGTTCATTCCTTGAGCACTTTGCAAAACTCAGTAGTCTCAGTGTTGTATAACTTCTCATTGTTGCTTTAATGGAATGAAGTTGTGTTGCTACTTGCTACCTTAGACAAATCACATTACTGTTTCTTTCAATTCTAGCAAACCGAACTAAATTTTATGTATGGTCCTTACAGTTTAATAAAGTATGTTATACACAAATTATTAGCAAATTAGAGAAAATTCATTCATTAACATACAAATATATTTTCATAGTAGTAACTAATTACATGAAAGTATTTATCGAATCCTGTAAAAGAAAATAAAAGTATTTTGCAATTTATTTCCTTTTTCACAGAATATAGAAAGCAAAATAAAAGAAAATAATAATAAAATTCTGGACTACTTCTAAACCCTAGTACGCCATTAGAGAGGGTTTAGCTCAAAGTGTTCCGTTTTCGGTTTGCCAAGATTTGTTTGGTGAGCTGACTCTTCCAATGGAGGCGCTAGCGGGAATTGAAGCAGACATCGAATCGTACTTTGGCGAGCAGGATCAACAGAAATCCTCATCGGACGGCTGCAAACAGGTCCCGTGGCTGAGTTGGGAAGAGTGGGACTCAGTGAGAGAGTCACTCTTCTCTTCTTCTCCAGATAAAATCGCTTCTGCGTTGGAAAGGGTAATGCTTTGCTTGACGTGTTTTCTATTTGCTACAGAAATCGAATCTAGCTTACTGCTGTACACCACAACAGAGCTTAAATTAGTTGAATCAAGCTTACTGCTTTAGCTCCAGAGATATTAAATTAGTTGAATCAAGCTTACTGCTTTAGAGAAGAGAGCTAAATGGTTCCTTTATATCTCTAAAGTACAGATTTTTAATCTGTTTTGCGGATTTCAGGTTGCAACATGGCGAAGCAGAGGATCTCTTCCAGCGCCTGTAGATGTTACTTGTTCCCTCATTGAGATTCAACTCAAAGATGGCTTTATTCCGTTAGTCTCTCTAATTTCTCAAAACGTTGCCATGATACTTTAGAATGTTCATCTCATTTTTTTGTTTTTTTTTGTTTGATTGAAAACAAAGGAGAGAGAAACAATCAGCAGACGCATTGTATTCAGAGCATTTACTGCAGATGCTATACTGTATGGGAATACTCAGGTGACTATGAGTTTGCTCCCACTTCTTGATATGTTTTGGTTGGTTTGCTCTCTGTAATTGTTGTTGACTCCCATTTTTGATGAATGAAGGCTTGTGAACGGTGTCATAGAAAAGACAAGAAGGAGAGAAGATGTTTCAATTGCGGATGCAGCTAGAGCAATCGGTATCCCACGTAAATTAATTGATATTCGTCATGGTAAGAATCTTTTGGTGCCCTTTCCTTGGTTTTGTACAATATCTTTTCAAAGCCTGCTTTATGCTTATGATTGATTTGATTGTTCTCATTGTAGAGGGCTCTCACCGTGAGCTCCCTGCACTCTCGGTGCTTCGGGATGCTGCAGATGAGGTACACTTTTTTCCTTCTTAATTCTTGTAGGTTTCCTTATATCAAGTACTAGCCTCAGAATACATGAATGTCTACTTCCCTGTGAATCAAAACGTTTGCTCTTAACATCTTTTTAAAGAATATCTTTTATGTCTTCTTGGAAAGGTGTTTTCTGTATTGTAGTTCTTGTACAATACAGAAGATCTTAATTTGCCTGACTACATTTGTTGGTCATTGTAGGCACTGGAATGGTTAAAATCATATTATTGGGAGCCTCAGAAGTACGAGATTCCCTTAAAGAGAGATGGAACAGCTAGCATTAGAAGAGAAGTCAAATCCAAACTCAGGAAACTTGCTTTGTCCTTGCAGCTTAAACAGAATCCTCAATTTGACTCCCCTTTGGTCAAAGAAAAATGTAAGACAATTCATCTTTTGTATTTGGGACCTTGTACTGGGTAGGACTAGTAATGCCAAGCAGAAAACGGAGTATCCCATATTTTGGGACCTCTGTCTCCCATGTTTAATGGAGTTTACAAAATTATTACATAACTTAGATGATATTTTAGTTTTGGTTGCCGCTATATTATAATTCCAGCTTTTTGCGCTGGAAATAAGTTTTGGTTGCATCCTCGCATTTCTCTAAATTTGTATGGTCATATAGGATTATTTTTGTGATTTTCAGGTTCTAATAAAAGGATAAGGAAGATAGTAAGCAGCCTTGTTGAGTTATACCCTTCTTTCTCCGCAGAAATTTCATCTGTGCTCCTTGAATTCTTACTCAAAGCCTTGGATTCTTCAAAATTGACAGAACTTCAGAATCAGCCTGGCCAAGATTTCAGGGTATTTTTAGATGAATGGAAACCTGTGATCATGGAGTTCTCAAATAGAGAACCTGAGTTACTTTTGAATCTGCTCAAAGCAGTCCTTGATATGATCCAAAACAATGAACGAAGAAGATATGAAACTGGTAAACTATTGGTTTTTCTTAAAATTTTCTTACTGAAACTTGATAATGTTTCCAGATTGTTTTTAACTTAATTGACTTGTTTGTTTGTTTTTAAATGTGCATCTTACAGAAAGGTCAGTGGAAGAGGTTTCTCAAGTTGAGCAGGTTCCTTTCTTGTTTGCATGGCTTGTGAGTCTTCTCAATGGGTCAAAGCATTTTCAGAGAAACAGTTCTTTAGAAGTGAAACCTCCAAGCACTTTCCTTATGGAACTTATTCGTAAATGTCTTCTCTTGGGAGCCTTAGGATACGAGCTTGTTTTGAAATCAGCATTTCTACTCGCAGAGATTGTGGGAGGCCGTGTCTTAAAGGAGAAGCTCATTAAACTCCCTCTCATGCATACAAGCTCTGCAAGTTTTCGATTGGAACAGGGTTCTACGCTTGTAACAGCTCCTACAACTCTCCTTGAGCGAGAGAAGAATCTTAATAATGCAGGCAAGAGACTTGATATTGTCAAACTTCAACTCTCAAAAAAGAAAGGTATTGACACAGACAAAACCAGTATCAGATGGAGAAAGGCGAAAACATGGAGCCCTTGTCCAATTGGTATGTTGCCTCGGATCATTGGATCTTCTGGACGTTTACCTCTTCTGGACAATCAGAACGCTCAGAACATCTCAAAACAAGCACAAGGTAACAACAATGCTAAAAGAGGAGCTGAGTGCACTAGGCAGTTGGAGAACTCGACATGTAAGCGAGCAAAAAAGGGTGCAGAAGATTCTGAATCAAACGATGTGACATTCGAAACATGTATGGAAGAGGCTGAGATGGATATAGAACATGCTTTTGACAAAACTGAAACTGAAGCAGAAGAAAATCTGATGATGTGGAATGATGAAGAGGAAAACAGAAGCTACCTTATGATAGGTGGTGAATGGAAAAGAGTAAATGATGGAGAGCTAGTGGGGATGGCTTCGAATGTTACAGTTTGTGTTTGAAATCTCTGCCAATGTTACACTTAAAGCGACATCCTTTTGAGAAAATAGTTCCATTATTTTGATCTTTCTTTTAAAGTAAAACATATGACACAACGTACAGGTATTGGGAACACTTCAGTGGAGTGCCCTGACAAATCCTTCATCAACAATATAAATAAGGGAACAAATTATTATACATGAATATTGAATAGTAACATTATGAGTATTGCTTTTATAGACAGAAAAGATATAGAAGACAAGACCAAAATGTTACATTTTGACACCAATCAAAACAATTACGATACTAATTCTTCTTCTTCATCATCATCACAAACTTCCCCATTCTTCTTCAAGGAGTGAATTCATCATTTTGGGATTTTAACCTACAAAGCCAATCCCAGAAAGAAGCAAAACCTCCAGTTCAACACAACTTAATATATAAGAAAGTATCTGCCAAAATTTGTAGTGGACAACCCATTTCCTTAAAACAAAATTATGGGTTCAACTGCCCTTAGAAAGTATAGTATCTGGACTATAAAAGATGTATATGTTCTATGAAGGATCCCGGAATACCAAGAACACTGTGAAATTGTACAAAAGAGACAGAATAGTGCACAGATGCTTACCTAATAAGCTGTCTACAGTGAGTTGAAAAGTGCTTCTAAACGTCTCCATGACACCTACTTGAGTGAAGAATACAAAATTGGATTGTTTACAACTTTATTAGCCAGCAACCCTTATTGCACCCATCTCATCAAGCTTTGAGCTTTTATGCTGCAACAAGTTAAAACAAGAAGCGAATCAATACAATAAACTAAAGACACATTACTAGTTCTTTAACACCTTTGTGCAAGAAAAATTATGGTGTAAATTTCAGGTTGAGTATCAACGAAGAACAAGGAAAATTAGTGGGGCCACTTCACTACCATTACCTTGTTTTTTTTGTGCCTCTGAACGTCATTAAGATCTTCATCTCCATCGTGTTTCCTTTTCTGAAATATTAGTGAAACGGTTCCATGTGATTTCCATAAATTGAAAAACTCAAATCAAATATTATACTAAAACTGCTATAGAGCAGTCTCTAGATGTGCTAATTTCATGCCAACAGGTCAAGAAAGCAGCCCAACTCCAAAGCAACAAATATAAAACTTTCCATTAAGCTATTCTTCTTTGCCAAGACAGATACCTTCAACAAACAGACATGTTCTTACCTTATCATGATGTTTCTTAGAATGATCACCCGACTCATGATGGCCATTTTTGTCCTTCTTTCTCTCTCGATCCTTGTCTTTATCTTTGCTCCTATCTCTATGCTTGTGCTTGTGCTTCTTATGCTCTCTATCTTTGTCCTTATCCCTGTCCTTGTGTTTCTTATGTTTCCTGTCCTTATCTTTCGACTCACTTTTTGACTTAGGCGGAATTGTAGGAGCTCCCTTCTCTGCCTGAAAGACGAAACAGGGCAGGTTCATGATTCTCCATTAACTAAAGAACTTGATGTTACAAGAAATAACACATCCATTACTGAGCCCAGTTTTCTAGTTTAATGTAACATCAAATAGTCGTATGAAAAAGCGTCGTATCATCAAGTTAAAACTCAAAACACCAAGAGAGAGAGAGAGAGAGAAAGTAGATACTTACTGGAGGCAATTCAACAGGAGTCATATCATTTAGCTGGAAAGCCTCCTTAAGCTCATCTATATCAAAAGGTTGGATGCGAACTTTGGTCTCCCGGCTCTGGGACATGTTCTGAATAAGCTGACCTAATTCCATTCCATCTCCTTTTCTGATCTCTGTGTCCCCAACCACGTTATGAAGATAATGGGAATCTGAAAGAGAGACGGGAAGGGATTTCTTGCAAAAGAATTCATGATGTTGCACTAGTTTATATTGAGATATAAGATCCACAGAACCACACAACTCTCTTGGACCTGCAGTTATAAAAACAAGCAACAGAATGACCTCAGGGTGATCCAAAGGTAAAAAGCAAAGAACATCGGGCTACACAAAACATTTGATGGACTGAAGAAGGTCCAACTTTGACACCAATGTACCTCCAAATTTCAAACGTTCAGGTTCCATCTTCTCTATCGCACTCTGAATGTCCTTTGCATGATCACTGCATATGTATCCTACACAAGGGGAAAAACAAAGCCAATGAGGCATTGAGTGCCAAGGAAATATTACTATTACACACAAACCCAAATTCGGCTTCTATACAGCCTATACTAGCAATTTCGTACCACAATAACTAAAACTAATCACCAACTCAAATTGCATAGCGAGCAAAACTGATGAAATTTCAACAAAAACTAAGAACTAAAAAAACGTAATTTAGCAAAAATTGGCTATCAATTTACAGCCTTTCTGCTACATCTACTGAAATCCTCATACGCCGAGCTCGAAATAATGAAACTAGCATCAGGAAGAAGAAGAAAAAAAACCTAAAAATGACAAAGTATTTGTCAAACCTATGCCTTAGTAAAATCAGACACTGAGTCTATCCAATTAGGATCTAGTCAACGATAAAATCAGTAAAATAGACAATTACACACTCTCGATAAAAGCTTAAAAACAGAACATAAAATTCGAAAGGAAGAAGAAGAGAATCGAGGATTGGAAATCGAGAGAAAAAGAAACAAGAGAGTAAGAAAGAAGAATCCAAGATTGAAATTGGTAAAGAGAAACAATCAACAACATACACGGTATCAAGAAGCCAGATCTCGTCCTTCCTTAGCTACGGCTTTCTATCGCACCCAACCAAAGATACAAATCGAAACGAAAGGGAATGGGATTGGGTATTGGTATTGGGTATCCGAATTCCCGCCCAAAAAGTTTTGATTGTTGCAAAGTGATCGAGAGAGAGAGAGAGAGAGAGAGAGAGAGAGAGAGAGAGAGAGAGATGGAGGGAGCTTCGAGAGAGACTAGTTTAGGGTTTGAGACAAAGTCTTTTTTTTCTTTTGGGTGTTTGTGACCAATGACGAGAAACTATCTACTACTCTCTCTCTCTCTGTTTCCTTCCTTCCTCTCAATAAAATCAACATTTCTCAGTCAGCATTTTTTCTTTTTCCTTTTTTTTTTTTTTCTCTCTCTTAAAGGCCTCCGCGTGAGCGTCACGCGCACACGGCCCAGTTAAACCAGAGTAATTACGGTTTCCCATTAACAATAACCTAAACCGTAATTCGAACCGAGTAACATCAGAGGTGCCATTTGACAAAGAAGATACTAAAGGAAAATGGAATTATATTGATATTTTTCTTTTTGGGGATTTGAGTCTGTAGTGTAGTAGACCTGTTCGATCTTCTACAATGCAAATGATAATTTTGTCTGATGTTGAATAAAAATGAGTGAAATGGGATATATTAACAAACTAAGACCATGATTATCAAGAGTCTCTTACACAAATCTTAATGTAAGAAAAGTTAAGAAAAGTGAAAAAACTAAGAAAAATGAGTAAATATCTCTTAGATAAGATACATTTATTAACTTTTCTTAACTTTTCTTAACTTAAGATTTTGTTAAGAGGTCATTGATAATCATGCTCTAAGATATACATTAAAAAAACGTGATGAGGATAGATTGAGGAGATACAACAACATATTAGGGGTATCTATCTCTTGAAAAATGTTATTTGACAAGTTCTATATAGTTCTTGTGATATTATGTTTTTTTTCTCTTGATTCACATTACAAAAAATGCTTTAGTAAAAGACTAAAAATGAAGAAAAGAAGCAAATAAAATGGAGAGGGGAACAGTGAAGTGGGAAGTGGGGTATTTTCATGTGTGTGAGTGTGAGTGTAAATGTGGGTGAGGAATAACAAACACAAATGGGGGGAAAAAGGGAGTAAAGACAGACAACATCATTCTCCCCAAAGAAAGCTAAGTCTTAGAATCATCACTCCAATTCCCCCTTTTTGGCCCCTTCTTCTTCTTCTCTCTCTTTTCTATTTCTTTCTACTTTTGACCCTCTCCTCCACATAATTACTAATCACCATCTCTAGCTGTATCTATCTATATGCTTTACTAACACACCCTCATACTACTATATTACTCTCTCTAAAACTATATAACTCACACTATAAGTAAAAGATTGAACCTCACTAATCACTACCACTTGACCAATTATTCCAGCTAAGACCCTTCCTTTGGACACACATCATTCAACCAAAAAAATCGTACTTGGTTATACAAATATATATATATATAATGCTTCTTCCTCTTATATTTGTAGAAAGTGATGGAGAATAAAAGGCAAGGGAAAGCAACAAACTTTTGGAGCAAGTCATAGGTTAAAAGCCCCTTAGCTTTTTCTTCCATCTCTTCTCATTCTTACTTACATTCTTACTTTCAGAGAGAATTTTTTCAGATTTTTAAACCTTCTTACAATCGATTGTAAACATATATCTTATAAAGAAACTCTATATATACATATCTTGAAGATTCAGAAGAGATGGGAAATTACTACTCTAGAAGAAAATCTCGAAAACACATCACGACTAGTGTTGCCTTCATCATCCTTCTCCTTCTTTTGTTTCTCTTTCTTTATGCTAAAGCTTCATCGTATTCTCCTCCTAATATACATCATCATTCAACTCATGGAAACTTGAAGAAACCTGAAATTTTGGATCCAGAGCTTCGTGATCTTGATTCCAGTGCTACGTCAAGATCAGGATCAAGATATACTAGTAATAAAGGCGGCGGTGAAGTTGTATTTGAAGATGGCAAGAGAAGGGTCTTCACAGGTCCTAATCCTTTGCACAATAGATAATCTTTTTGCTTTTTACAAGTTTTGTGAATCTTTTTCGTCTGAATAAAAAATACATTTGTGCAAACAAAACAAAAAAAAAGAACCATCTTTATTTTCTTCTTACACTGATATACATTATTACATCGTACGTGGCCTGCCGTGATTGTAACTTCTATGTTCTATTTGGCGGAATGAGATCTTAAGAGTGTTGATGAACAACAAGTTTTTTGAATATATAGTTATTAATGTTGCGCTTCTTCTTGGTTTGATCCATGATCGAAATATCTAGTATTTAAAATATAATTAACATGGGTGTGTGTTAGTATAGTGTATGATCACGCATAATTATCTTTTTCTTCCCATTGATTTGAATATATGAAACTGGTGGAATTTCGTGTGGTACGAATATCTTGATAATGAAAAAATGAACATCATTGTTGATGCCAAAGAAAACAAAAAAAAAAAGAAAAGAAAGAAAGAGTTGAACATCATTGTAGAATTGAAATAACCATAAAGCGCTAGTCTATTACACTGAGTTGGATGTGAAAGATGTAAGATTATTACAAAGCTATTTCATGCTTACATTATTGAATAAGATTGGTTTGAATAGCATATCATTATTCAACACAAAAGCTGTAGAAAATAAAATTATTGCGATCGAAATCCCCTGTGTGACACTAATGAGCCACAGTTGTATGAAAGAGAGAGAAATTGCAAAACATTGCTCAATGTTTTCATCTGGAGCTGAAGAAACGACCATTTTTCAGATCTAAACTCAAATAGTTTGGTATTATCTTTGTATTCTGTAACAAAAAAAATTGTTTTTCACCTCGAACCATAGACTATGTAATGTATTCTACTATGACTTTAGTACTTTACATTTTACGAGGTTCAGACAGATGTAAGAAACAGAACGAGACTGTCGGAATATTGGAGATATAAAATGTAGGGACAGGAATTATATTTTTCGACATGAAAATCAAAAACGTGAAATTAGCATTTATAGATAGCAAAGACAGAAAGTTTTAAAAGGTTCCGATCAGATATGGAGAATTTGGGAAAGATTTTTAAATTCATAACTAAGACGACCACAATATGAGAATTTTGCTCCTTCATAATTACGATAAACAAAAAGACAAGGGTTGTAGTGTCTCCACCACATAACCAAACTTTTTTGGAAGCACATTGTATAGAAGAAGACACAAATTTAAGAGTTTAATAAGTATCGCTTTGCAGCTTCTTGATCCAATTCTTCGTACACCTGTAACCAAAACACATGAGAAGAAAATGTCCCCAGCATTAGTAACCGATCTTCAATAAACGTCTTTAGAAGATAATGGGTGAAACATACAAGTTTCTTGTGGAGTTTCTCGAAAGCCTTACAAAACCTCTCTGCTTCAACCTCACCAACCTGCAAGGATGAGATGTTTCATTAAGGTGCAGAAACAAGATCATATCCCCAATAGACGAGCATTTCAGTATATGTGGTAGAATCAGAGTTGAAACAAGAATCAGTTCTTTCAGTAGAAGCATCTAAGTTGACGAGTGAACAAAACATATACATCAATCTTTATTTTCTGGCAAATCTCTTATTAACAATTCCACATAAAATGCAATGACTACGGGAAGACTTTATCTACTACTATTATGAGCTCCATATCTCTATTGGTCATAGTTAGATTATAAATCCCATTCAGCAACTAGAAACGTTCGAACAAAGCCACTGGTGATAGTTACTAGTTACCTTCTTTTTAGCAGCCGCTTTCAGCTTTTCCCAGAATTTATCTGTCATAAGAAGTCCACAAATCAAGTCAAGGGATGCAAAATCAGGCAGAGAAAAAAAGAGAGAATGCACATGCTCGAAGCTATGGAAAAGGAGCAAAAGGAAACTACCCTCAACAATTAAACAAAAAGCTTGTGTCTACAGCTTAAGATCTAATCATATATGCGCATAATAGTAGGATACGGACAACATTCTTTGTTAAGCAAAAGGATCAAGGATGTATGAATAGATTGCGATATTATTGTTTTCACTAACCGAAGAATAAACAACGGTCAGAATCAGGTAATGGTCAGATCACGTAAGAAAAATATCCAAGGTTACAATTGGATCAAATGCCAGAATTCTCAAGCATTCAGACAGGACAATTTTACAGAAGATCAAGAGAGTTTTCACCTAGTCTGTCTGAAACACACAACAAAAGCTACCAAGTAGACACAAGCTTCCTTTTGCAATCTTCTTGATCGGAAAAACATATCACATAGATTCAATGAATACCCTGAAATTCTTTTGGGCAAATATGATTTGGAATATTTTAGACACATCAGATTGCTCTCTTTAATGGATATTAGCTTTCTCTATGTAGAAAATCTCTGATACATTAATTCGAAAGAACTAAACCAGAAAGCACTTTTCAGAACACAGGAAACAGCTGAAAACCGCTGGGAGCTAATGCAATTTTAGCCAACAAAAAAGAAAACCAGGAAGCTAGTGGCAGGAGTCAAAATCCCAAAGTTAGGAAGAAAAACAAAATGCATACCTTGATCAGTCTTCCGATCTTGCAAGACTTTAGGCTCAGCTACACTCGGCGCATCATGCCACTCACTTACCTGTGTTGAGTGATAGATACAAAAGTCCAAAGTCCATCACAATCCAAGCTTCTTATATCATCTGCAAATAAAGAAAAGTAGCCTTAAAGATCTGAGAACATACCTCTCGGTCCACAACTGACTGTGAAGTTGATTGCCTTGAAGAATCTAAATCAGCCTGAAACCGGAAAAAAAGAGCTCAAATCAAACAGACTGAGCAATGAATAAGTTCTGCAAAAATATAAAATATTGACATTTGTAATTGTGTATTTAAAACGATCTTAAGGAAACTCGATCACAAGCTCAGAGCAGTGATCAATTTACTAAAACTGCAACAGAGAGAATATTCAGGAGGAGAATTAGACCTAAAAGGAAAATGAACACGAGGATGCTGCTAGTTAAATCCCTTTTTTCGAAACATAAACTACTACGAGATGAGAAAATTAGGGATTGTTTTTCAAAATCAAGTTCGCGGAACAGAACAGTAGCAGCAGCACAAGAGTGATTACGGAGAGAGAGAGAGAAAAAGAGAGAAGAGAAGAGGAGATTTACACGGTGGTCGCGAGAGCGTACGACGGGGAAGAGATCAAGGAGGCTACGGAACTCTTGGTCGTCCATGGCTTCCTTTTTTCTTCGATTTCTCTCTTCCGATTCTCTCTTCCGATTCTCTCTCTGTCTCTCTTTTGAATCGAATCTGACTCAGTCTTTCTCTAAACTACTACGCCAAAATGCACACTCTTGCTTCCGTGGTGAAAAGGTTTTGGTAGAATCGTCCCAGCCGATTTCTATTTTTTTTTTTTAAAGGAAATTTTCATAAATTATAAGATTTTTTTTTTTTTTTTTCGAAAATTATAAGATTTTCTAGTTTTGTAATTCGCATCCAAACCTTCGTTAGAGTCTGATCCTGCTATTAACAAACTTCGTTTCTTCTTATTAACCTAAATTCAAGTGGTCCTTATTTGATAAAAACTCTGTTCTTAATTTGATAACTTGGTTCGGAGACAACAATATTCTAATTCTAATATGGAGTAATTTTATCATAGAAAAAGACTATAATAAGAGAGCGTTAGAAGAAACAACACAATGGACTCCATTTTATAACACCACACATAAAAAAAATTTAGATCCGACCTCACTTTTCACACAGACCATCACAAACAAGACATACGAAACTCAATAACATACATATACCGAGCAAGGATAAGATGATGAGAGGCTATTTAAAAATTGGGTAAGATTTCCCTCACTCATGATCCAGTATGTCTTCTTCATCCTCTTCTTCTTCATACTCGCCTTCCTCATCCGCTGTTGCGTCTTGGTATTGCTGGTACTCTGACACCAGATCGTTCATGTTGCTCTCAGCTTCAGTGAACTCCATCTCGTCCATTCCTTCACCTGTGTACCAATGCAAGAAAGCTTTCCTCCTGAACATAGCTGTGAACTGCTCACTCACCCGCCTAAACATCTCTTGGATCGATGTTGAATTCCCTATGAAAGTCGATGCCATTGAGAGACCTCTAGGCGCTATGTCACAGACGCTTGACTTCACGTTGTTTGGAATCCATTCCACAAAGTAGGAAGAGTTTTTGTTCTGCACGTTTATCATCTGCTCGTCCACTTCTTTTGTGCTCATTTTGCCACGGAACATGGCCGAGGCAGTTAGGTACCGACCATGTCGCGGGTCTGCTGCACACATCATGTTCTTTGAATCCCACATCTGTTGGGTGAGCTCAGGAACGGTGAGAGCGCGGTACTGCTGGGATCCACGGGAGGTGAGAGGGGCAAAACCAACCATGAAAAAGTGGAGACGAGGGAATGGGATGAGGTTCACTGCGAGCTTTCTCAGATCGGAATTGAGCTGACCTGGGAACCTAAGACAGCATGTCACCCCACTCATAGTTGCAGAGATCAGATGATTCAGATCACCAACTGTTGCAATCAAGCCATCACAAGACATCAGCAAACAGTTGAGGCAGAAAGAGTCAAAACTAAAGATTTAATCAAGGACACATTGATATTACCAAACAGCAACATTGATGGTTGCCAAGATCAGTGATTCAAATTTCATAAAACAACTTCAAAGAAGAAAAGACATGGAAGGGACTTACAGCTAGGAGTGGTCAGCTTCAGTGTTCTAAAACAGATGTCGTAAAGGGCTTCATTGTCCAAAACCATACACTCATCAGCATTTTCGACCAGCTGATGAACTGAAAGTGTTGCATTGTATGGCTCAACTACTGTGTCTGACACCTTTGGTGAAGGGAAGACAGAAAATGTGAGCATCATTCGATCAGGATACTCTTCCCTGATCTTTGATATGAGCAGAGTTCCCATTCCGGACCCAGTGCCTCCACCAAGTGAGTGGCATACTTGAAAACCTGAGAAATTCACAATTATAAATATCACCTGTTGGAACAAAATATTCAAAACCACAAAGACCTTGAACAAATTTTTCTAGGATAACATACCCTGGAGACAGTCACAATTCTCAGCTTCCTTGCGTACGACATCGAGTACAGCATCAATAAGCTCAGCTCCTTCAGTGTAGTGCCCTTTAGCCCAGTTGTTTCCAGCACCAGATTGCCCGAAAACAAAGTTGTCAGGCCTGAAGATTTGACCATAAGGGCCAGTTCTGACACTGTCCATAGTACCAGGCTCAAGATCCATGAGAATGGCACGGGGAACATATCTTCCGCAAGATGCCTCGTTGTAGTAAACATTTACACGCTCCAACTGAAGATCAGAGTTTCCAACGTAACGACCAGTTGGATCAATCCCATGCTCGTCACATACAACTTCCCAGAACTTGGAACCTATCTGGTTACCACATTGACCACCTTGAATGTGAAGGATTTCCCTCATCTTCTTATTATCTGAAAATCAAATGCACAAACAAAGATCTCGATTAGAACTCAACGTTACATGAACAACACAGAACCATCGGATATGAAGGTAAAACAATCTGTATCAAACTATCAGATCCAGATCGAATGTTAACAACTAAATCTCGAGATCGGAGATTAAACAAGTCAATCCAGAAAAGAAAATAACAAAAAAAAATAGAACGCCGGACGGAAAACTCCGATTTCAAATTCGTCCCGCAATTCAAACGGCGCCACGTTATTCAAGTGATTGTAAATCAAAATTCAAGTTACGAGAGCAAATATGAATCAGATCAACAGAAGCAGATACAGAATTGGAGGAAAAGGATTCGATCAAAGTAGCACAGTCAGTAGTAGTAGGAGTTGCATAATTATTTCACATTCCCTAGATTTTCTCTCTCAGCGTACAAAGAGGAAAAAGAATTACAAAAACGAGACTTGAAAGAGTGAAAAAAGAATAACTCACAGAGTGGAGAGAGATCTCCGGCGAGATTGGGACGATCAAGTAGGACGACGATGACTCGATCGGAGTTGGCGAGGGAAGTGAGACGGGTGAGAGTGAAGAAAGGTGGATTTATTTATGAAAGAGAGAGAGAGAGAGAGTAAGAAGATGGGTGGAAAGGGTAAAATTGATCCAACGGCTGTGGTTGGTTTAATCAGAGGCCGTTGGATGGGTGAGATATCAACGTTAGAGATTGGCGTTGGGTGAGGGTTGTGGGAGCTACTTGTGTTGAATTGGATTGTGACTGTCGGTTCTTCCTTCAGAGTGTACCAATTATGCTTGTCACATGAAAATCTCTTATAATTAATTATACATAATTAGGTTAGTCTCTTTTTATACATTGAACCATTGGTCTAACCATGTAATAAAAGAGAAACGTTTCGGTAGTAATGTCAAAGATTATTACTATTTTCCAAACGCAATTTAAGAATTTAATTCATATATGCATAAACAAACTCATCAAAAGGCGTAGGAGCAAAACTCTTCAACAAAAAGAAAAAAAAAAAAAAAAAAAAAAAGGAATTGAAACCTCGTATGATCAGTGAGTGTATGAGTGACACGAAACAGTGATCAGTATAAAAATCTGTAAGAAGTAAGAACCACGAAAAAAACAAAAGATGGTCTCTCATATTACGTACGACAAATGCGATCAGGGAATAGTAAATCATCGTACCGTGGTTACCATGGTCGGAGAGAACCTGAACTATTATTAATGGCTTTTTCGTAGATATATATAAACGTTAAAAAAATATAAACATAAATCGTCCTTTGCATGGGATGGGATAACAAATTAACAATCAGTTTAGACATAACAATGAAATTAATATACAGAAATTTAGGTCGATCATCTATACTAATTTTTTTTAAAACTATATATGATGAGATCTAGAATTGTAAATACGAGAGTTGAAGAAAGATGTAATAATAACGATCGACGATATATTATGTAAAACACACGCATTGGATACTCTCGTTTTGATAATGTAGATTTAATAATCATGATGCAACTTTGTAACCTTTTCGAAATATATTTATAAGTTCTTTGCATATCTGTCGTCGATCTACTGTCAAATCAATAAATTTAATCATGTTTCACGTTGATCGGTTTGCTATTCGGATCAGCTATACTTTTCGAGAGTAATAAATACTAGTATTATTTATGTCAACTTTGTCGTCGCTTGCACAACACTAAAATAGTAAAATGATGTTTCAATGGTTTTCGCTTATTTATAATAAATTTTCCGTGGGAACGAACTAAACAATCATATGCTTATTACTCAAAACAAGTTGAAAGATTTTCTTAAACTAATAATGATATAAACTAATTTGCTTATCTCACCAACACTTTCGTACTTCAATACACAAGACGCGATGGATGGATCTGATTAAGAGAGGCATCATGTATAAATCATAAATGTATGAATGGACTTTTGTCTTGTAAGAAGCTTATGGATCGGAATCGGACAGCGACAACAAAATAAGGTGTGGGAGATTTTATCCATAAAAAAGAAAGAAAAAGAAAGAGGAACAATGCACATGAACTAACTTTGCGTCCCATGTGACATGCTAACAACTCACCTGACTTAAATTCTAACTTTGCATTGTAGATTTGTAGTAGTTTCTTGTTCTACTTGTTTCTTCCACCTACAAAGTTTACCGAGAGTTAACGTTATGTCACTATAGCTAGTAATAGTATCTTGCTAGCTAGTTTTACTTTTATATATGTACGGTATTGTTCTTAACTAAATTCTTCTAGCTACCAAAATTTAAATGTCTTAAAGATATAATAAGTAATATGTACATAACTATACTTTTATGAAAATATAAATTATTATTCCATACGTTATCTTATTTTTTTTGTTAACATCTCATTATATATAATTGGATAGTTCATGTTTAGTTATTCTATTTCATACGTAAGTTTTTTATTTTTATATATAATCATATGTCTAGCCGTCTAGATACGAAATCTCTGATATTTTGTTTCTGAGGCGCATATTCAGAAACTTTGTTGTGGCTAAACACGAGGATGAGCGATGTCCAAAAGAGATCAATATGGTATTATGACAATTTAGAGGAACATATATATTTTTCTTGATGGTCAATGCAGCTGAGGATTCCGACGCTCTGAGAATTTATTCAACAAGAGCAACACATATAATTAAAGTTTAGCTCTCAAGTGTAACATTTGTTTTACTATGAAGAAGTTCATAGTTGTGCTTAACTATTAATTTAAGAGAAATTTTAAATTTAACACCCTCCCTACTAATAATCGTCGTCTTCAGTTTTTTTTTTCCCGCATATGGTGCGTGTTTTTTTTTTTTTTTTTTTTTTCAATTAGTTTGATTTGCAAAGCCTTCTTTATGGTTTCTCAATCGAGAAGAAGAACACTGAGATCCATGGCGATGGTGTTTACCCAACCCAAGAAAAACTTACTTCCTCTTCTTCTCTTTCTCTTCTGTATCTCCGTCATCATTCTCCTCGTTCTCGTCTCCGAGACCACTCACTCTTACGCCGGACGAGGATTCAATTCCCGGCGAAACTACAATGGTGTCCCTCCTTTCACCTTCCTCATCAAAGTCCTTACCTATAACCGTCTCCACTCTCTCTCCCGCTGTCTCAGATCTCTCTCCGCCGCAGACTACGGCGCTGCCGGCGACAGAGGTCAAATTCACCTCCACGTCTACATCGATCATTTCAACCTCGCGAGGAACGATACGCCTGTTGAAGATAACTTGAATAACGCGAGGGAGATTCTAGGGTTTGTGGATAGGTTCGACTGGAGATTTGGGGAAAAAGTTGTTCACTATCGGACTGATAACGCCGGATTACAAGCTCAGTGGCTTGAGGCTTGGTGGCCTAGCTCAGATCACGAATTCGCCTTCGTCGTTGAAGATGATCTCGAGGTTTCTCCGCTTTACTATGGGTTTCTGGAACGGGTGATTCGGAATTACTACTATGATACTTCCAATTTCAGTCCTTCCGTCTATGGAGCTTCGCTTCAGAGACCAAGGTTCGTTCCAGGTACCATTTTCTAATTCTGTGATTGAGCAATACAGGTCCTAGAGAACAAACCTACGAGAATTTAGATAGATCATGAACATATAGATTGATAGATTTCGTTTGTTTGGGATCTGATTAGAATAACTCAAAATTGATAGTGAGGAGATCAATATATCCATTGTAGTTACTAGTATTAGTGAATCTGGTGATACATTGTTCGAATAGAGAGATAACAAAGTTGGTTGACGCTTGATTCTTATATGTTTCTTGGATATTCATTTCCCAGATGTTTGAGCTATGCAAGTATAGATCAGTAAGCAGTAGGATTCATCTGTTGCTTAGTTCCTAGAAATGTCTGAAATAGTGACTGAATGATTTAGTGGTCAACTGCAGGTAAACATGGAAATAAAATACATGTAGATCCCAAAACGAATATTTTCTTATATCAGTTGGTGGGAACTTGGGGACAGCTTCTCTTCCCAAGACCGTGGAAAGAGTTCAGACTATGGTATGACGAGCACAAGGCGAATGGCAAGAAGCCTTTCCTTGATGGCATGGTAACTTTCTTCTTTGTGGATTTCATTATTTATAAATTCCCAAGTTCTGTGTCATTTATTATTCGGGATGTTTGCTCAGGTGTCAAATGGATGGTACAAGAGGCTGGGAGAACGAATATGGACACCTTGGTTCATAAAGTTTATTCATTCTCGTGGCTATTTTAACATCTACACCAATTTTCCGAATGAGGGGGCTCTAAGTGTCTCTCACAGAGATTCTGGTGTTAACTATGCGAAAACCGCTGGGCCAGACTCAAAGTTATTGAATAAAAGTTCCATCAGTTCTGATTCTCTGAAACTCCAACCCTTGAGCAACCTTAAGTGGTACGATTTTTGTTTTAGCGAAGTTGTTCCTGGTAGGGTTGTGAGAAACCTGAATGAACTTGGCACCATTCTTCCCTCTGTGCAGATAGAGAAGACCATAATTCTGGTCAGTCTATATGATGCAGACAAGATGTTCACCAGGAACTTACTCTGCCATTTTGAGAAGCTTAATACTCAAAACCACATATTTATAGGCCCTAGCTCTGAGTTGTTCTATGATCTTTCAAGAAGGGGACATCCTGTGATTGATGCGGATTTGTTTCTCGACAAGTTGATCAAAAAGAGCAAAACGTCTTATCCAAACTCAGTGAAAGAGGCTCTGGGCAATGCTTACGTTGTTAAGAAATGCTTAGAACTAGGATACAGCACTTGGGTGTTTTCAAGTAATACGCTTTTGGTTGATAAAGGTCCTCTAATTGACAGAGTGAGCTCACAGTACGACTTCTACACTGGGGAAAGCTCTGGAATTTTGATTGTTCAATCTTCATCAGTCAGTCAAAAGTTATGGAGCAATGAATTTCTACACAGCATTGCAGCCTCAGCAACTGAGAATCTAACTCCAAAACAAAGTCTAGATTTCAGTCATCTAGTAAAGGAGCTAGTGGAGCAAAAGGGCAAGAGGATTAAGACTGTAGAGACGATGGGTATTGCAGAGAATACTGTTGGCAGCGCAAACCAATCCTTGGGAGATGGCAAAGCGGTCCTGTATTGGTCACCTGAGGTTGGTTCCAATATCATTCGGACGAAGCTTGAAGAGTTAAACTTGTGGCTCATTGATGATGTTTTCTCTTGCAAGACTGTGGTTTGTCATAGGTGATTACGTTAAAAACAAATTGGCGTTTTCTGGCCGTAGGATTGCGAGAATTCGGTAATTAAGTTTTTGTTGAAAGTTATATAGATGATGCAATAGCAGGAACCGATGGTAACCCGTTTTACAGCAATACCAAGAATATATTGTTTGTTACCCAACAGTTGGATTGTTGAAAGTTAAACCAACAACATGCCAATATACACTCATTGTTGAATGACTCTAGCGTAACGTTCATAATATGAGTCACTGATCTGTAAAAGTTTCAAGAACAGTGACACAAGAGTAGTTTTAAACCAATACCAGTTCATTTTAGACTACCTGCATAAGGTGCACACATACGCTTAAACCAACCAGCTTCATTCACGCCATCTCAAATCAAATCCAAATACAGTCTGCAGCCCAGTTGAAGCTTGGGTTTGATTTTGACCCAATCACAAGGTCACAACCAAATAAGATCGTAATGAAAGAGAAGGTACGAAAGAAGATTACAAAATACTATATAGTATTGTATTTGAACAGTAAGTGAAATCAAATTTTAATAAAGATTTGTCGACGTCAAGATTATTTTTGATAGAATTAACACATATGGAGGTGTGAGTCGTGACAAGTTTGTCTAGTTCATATATAGGCGTATAGTAAATGACACTACTGTTAACATAAATTAGAAAAATCATTTCTATTTATAGTAGGTAAAACTTAGGGGTAAGATTCAGTGTAGTGTATCTTCAGATTATTGATAATTTCGTGTGTATTTTAAACATTTTGGTCAAATGTTACAAAAATTCGATATGTTTAAACTTTAAAGACTTGGCAACCAAAATCATGTAAATTGTGCCAAAATTTGGCATTGAGACAAATCAACCTTGTGTCTAAATTGGTCATCAGTTCTTTTGCTAAATGGTTTCAATTGGTCCCCATTTTTAAAATGATTGTTTGGAAACTTATAGTTAGGCGACATGATTCATTATTGTTATTATGTTTATTTTAATTTAAGTCGTGGATGTACATGTATCACGACAGAGCGTCACCCCCACTTCTCATTTAGGAAAAGATGACTTAATACCAACTCACAGTAGTACCATAGTGCATGTTTTTTTCTTCTGCTAACTTTTCATATATCATTCTTAGATATAAAAATTAAGCAAGTGCGTATCGTAGTACTAAGATTGAAATCAGGTTTAATATAATATATATCATTCCTAGATATAAAAGAATAAGCAAGTGCGTATCATAGTACTAAGATTGAAATCAGGTATCCATATACTTTCGAATCCCACACAAATGAAGCTTTATATAATATTTATTGACAATATTGCTTTAATGATTAGAAGAACCAAAAAGTTCCGAGTTATCATTGTAAAATTTGGTCAAGTTTTTATCTGTCATGATAAAAGATTATAGAATGAACAGTCCAAATTGTGGACCGTTCTTCTACATGTGACATTTTATTGCTTTTTCTCATGGCACATAGCCACATTATATGCATATCAACTCATTGACCACCACACCATGCCCAACGCTTCCAAATATATGTGTATTTCATCACACCAAAATGTTGATCATGACAATCTTTTTAAAAAGAATTTGTACATTTTTTTAAAAAAACTTAGCTTTCTGACGTGTACCATAGATTTTCTATATATCAAAATTTCCAAAAGAAAAAAAAAAATCAAATTCAGTGAGCAAATTGTTTTTTTTTGTTCAAGTGTACTTCAACTTTATTAAAGGTTGTGTTAAAATAAAACATTTTAATATAAGGATGGAATTCAAAATTGTATGTAAACCATTTATTCGATTTTTGAGAAACAGATAGACATGATTTCAAGCTTTGTAAAATCATATTATGGTAATCTGATCGACTCAATAGTCTTCTTTCCATCATGAGGTCTTTCAAAGAAACCCTTCAAGTAGTCAGAATACACAATCTTTCTATACCGAGCCATCTCATTGTTCTCTAATAACACTTCCGGTAACGGTTCAATAACTGACTCGTTAACCGGTCCGCAGAAAACCGGAATGGAAACCCGGCTAACACACTTATTGACCACCACGCAATGCTCCACGCTCCTATACCTATCATTGCTCAATATTTGCAACACGTCTCCAATATTGACCACAATTGCTCCCGGCGTCGGAGGAACGTGAATCCATTTGTCCCCATCCTCGGTTGCTCGAGCGTACAGGCTGCCTAAGACACCGTCTTCTTGTAGGAGGAGAGTGAGAGTGTTGATGTCAGAGTGGCGACCAGTTCCCATTGCCAGGCTTGGCTCAGGACATTTCGGGTAGTAGTTGAAGTTCATTCTCATAGTTCCCATTAGGGTTTTTTTATTGGACTCGTCGATGCTTGAGTTTAGATTGTTCATGAGTATCTTTAAGATCTTCTCGGCGATCGGTTTGATCCTCTTGAAATGGTCTATCACTTGTACCCTTTATACAATGTTATGAAACTATTTTATGATTTATATATATAAATTAAATAATAACATTTGTAGTATGACAATATCATATACAATCATTTGGAACACTATAACTAAAGATTCACAATACTTACTTGCAGACAAGAGGCCACGTGGCGGTGAAGTCATGTTGCTGAGAAACATACTCAAACTTGAGGAAATCTCTCCACTCCAAAACACTCTCTTTGTAAGGATTGAAACTTGTGGTCAACCAAGCCGTCTCCGACACCGAGCTCCCTCTCCAATACCTTCTTCTCTCCTCCGTCGGCAACTCAAAAAACCCACGCGCCGCAGCAATGATACCCTTCAGCTCCTCTGGAGCTATACCGTGGTTAACGATCTGAAACAACCCGAGCTTCGTGGCTGCATGGCAGATCTCTCTAGCCACTTGCGGGTCATTCCAATCGGACACGTCAATGACCGGAATTGGTGATCCCAGGAGGATCTTGTCGGAAGTGAAGCGTTCTTGAGGAGGTTGAATGTATGGAGGAGGAAGCGTGGTTAGGGTTAGAAAGTCCACGAGACCTTTCACTCCGTTTCTTTGGTTCACCACGTAATCTCTCACTTCGATATCGGCTGAAGAGGCGGAGCGATCAACGTCGACGGTGGTGGGACTCATGTTTTTCTCTTCAGTTTTTATTCTAATATATATAGTTGGCGAGTTTTTGTCATTAAGGATGCATGGTATTTATACACATGAAAATGCCATCGTGTTACGACAAAAAAAAAAAAAAAAAAAAAAATGTCATCGTGTCCAAGTTTTATGATCTCAATCTTAAATACATTATTGGACACACAAAAATTAAAAAATAAAGTTGAAGAGTAAATGATAATTCAAAACTAAGATGAAAGTCAAAGAGTCATGTTTTCTTGCATCATGTTCTAGTTTTCGTTGTTGATTAAAAAAAAAATGTTCTAGTTTTCGTTTTATTAGCAGTGACTCGGAGTACCTTAATTATACTTGGTAGGAGTTTCTCACAAAATCTACCACAAGTTAATTCCATATAAATCAAGGCACATAAGTCTTAAATGGTCCAAACAAAAACGATTTAGATTTGCAGTATGAATAAAATAACATGGTTTAGTGGTGTTAGGTTGTGAACTTTAGTCGTTAAGAAAGAAAAAAATAGTATGTGATGTGGATGCTTGACATGTAAAAATTTCATGTTGGGTTTTTCTGATTACATATGAAAATGTAACTATGTCGGTGTTTTATGATCTTAACGACATAATTGGACAAACAAATATTTTCACTTGAAAGTTAAAGAAGAAGAGCATTTGTTTGTTATTTAATAATTAAGGAATCGATTATGCAATATTTTAGCAGTTACCCTATAAAGCATATGTTATATATTTCATGCTTAATCATGTCTATACAATTACATATCAATTATTTATCCATTTGGTCATTGATCATAATGGAAACTTGACTATTCAGTCTCACCAAAAAAGCTAAAGATATTAATTGTTTTGTCTGGACAGGGTTTCACGGATTTGTGGTGACTCGACCAAACTTATCAAACCCTCCATGGAGTGCCCAAAGGACTGTTTTGGTTTATCATTCAATTATTGAAAATTCATGTACTCCTCATTGGCTAGGAGGACCTTTGATTGAAAATTGTACTCCTCAGCTTCGAAAGAATATTTAGAGTTAATTAATTACCATGGTCTCGCTGTTTGCAACATTTTATGAATTATGATCAACCAACCTACGAAAAAAGGATTAACACCACTAATTGTTGAGTTCAGTTCAAACCCCAGCACATACAACATGGGATTAGATTTTCCTGTTTAGAGAACCCAAATGTCCTAAATATATTAACAACATGCTCAATGTGACTAAACTCACCTCCAACAATCTTTCAGCACATGGAATCTCCAAGTCCACTCTTTAATTACTAGAGGGACACGCACGATTATCTCAACATTTCTGCCTTAACATCTTTTTTTTTGTCTCTCTCCTTAATTTCATTAAAAAAAAAAAACATACATGTAAATGTAAAATTCCTCAGGTAAATACATATCGACAAAGTTTGAAGCTGAATCTAAAATTCCTCAAGTAAATGTAATGATTGAATATTACTATTGGTTCAGAGAGAACCGCTTGTGATTGTTGGTCGTTTGTGTGGATTTTGACATGCAAAAGTTGCCATTTGCCAAGCTCCCGCTATCTTATTCCTTTTTGAAGGCTGTTTTTGATCTCATGCCCCATAGAAACAATTTGGATGACATTGACATATCGTAAGAGATGCTTGCCAATAAGAGGTATGTGGCCATGCATGGTCGCCATGTTTGCAACTTTTTATGAATTATGATCAACTAATCCCCAGCACAAACAAAATGGGATTAGATTTTCCTGTTTAGGGATCCCAAACTCATAATTCTCTGATTCTACGAGTCCTCACCAGCTAGACAAAAGTTTGCATGTTGGTCTCTCTATCTTGGAAAACTTTATTTTATTTGTTTTAGGCCTGAACAAAGTATCTCACCCCGGAGATTGAATCTGACAGAAAATGGTTAGAGAACATAGACCATGAATTTTAAAACTATCTTTCAGCTGTAACTTTGTTTTGCCATCTCAGAAAAAGGCTTCTTTTGGTACCAAAAACTCTTAAATGGCCGTCAAGCAAGCATTTCTGGAGGAATGATTGAATTAAATTGGCAGTTCATAAAGCAGATTAAAACCCCGAGATGAGTTATTGTCGCTTCAGAGTGGGAAGCAAGCAGTCATAAACCGTTACTAGCCGTTGTGTCACCGTTAGCTTGTATGATGTTTGCTGCTGTGGCCTCCCTAATTCAATCAGATCTTGTTTCACTCTGTTTATCAAAAACAATGACCAGTCAGTTTAGGCACAACCCAAAAGCGCACATACACAGAAAATTTTAAGGCAGGCAAAGAAAGAGAACAACCATAATTAAGCGTTTTGTATCATGAGACAATTATCACATACTGACTCAAGAGTTCACATCAACCTAATATGCTCAGAGAGGAAAAGTCGGGCAGAAAAGCTTTTGCTTACTTAGATATAACCACTATTTTTTTTTTATCAAGATATAACCACTTTTAACAAATAAAAATACTTGTGAGTTGTGATGATAAACTGAAAGCCAATGTGCTTAGTTTGCAAAATTGTGTTTACCTAAAGATTTGATGGGATCAGAGTTAAAAACTTACAAATTCCACTCATCGGTTGCTCTTGCAGGTTTCTCAACAACCCGATACAAACGTTCAAGGCTGTATATTAGCAAACCAAATATGGTTTCTGCATCCTTGTCCTGTAACAACATCAAGAAACGACCAGGAAATTTTTTTCAAAGGGTTTCTTAATAGACAAATTAGTACAATAATACTGATTAAGACACACAGAAAAGGAAAATAGTGGCATCTTACACGTCCTTGTTCAATGTAGTTCTGATACTGCATAATTCTCTTTTCAATTTCAACGACAAGTAGTCTCCTGTGAATACGTGCAATCCTTCCTCTTCCTTGAGCTTTGCTATCCTGAGATATACCAGTGAAATCAAACTGAATAAAGATAACAAAGCTGCATCAACAGTACACAACTAGTCTTAAACTATAAAAACCGGACCACATATATGAATTTTCTGTCATGTTTGGTTTCGCATGAATTATCACTCTCCTCACCGTTTTAAGCCATGTCCGAAGTACTGTGAGCATAACAATGCTGAGAAAGAATGCAGGTAATGCAGCCAGAATGGCAAAATTTATTTCATTTGCACGGAGTATCTGATCCAGTTCAAGCATCGCTCTGCAGGAGAAGATTACTCAGTTTTTTACAAAATGAGAGAGATCTACTCCAATTGGCTAGGAGCTACCAGTTTAATGAACTTACGTTTCTATATCTAGTTTAAGCTTCTGGACCTGAAAGATAGACAATTCTGATGTGATTAGAATCCCACAAACAGTAAAGTACAACTTCATGCCAAGAACTTAGATTACCTGAATAAGCAAACCACGGGCAAGCTCTCCGCTAAGGAGGTTGTGAATAGGATGCACAAGTTCCTTTTCATACCTGCAATTAAGGTAAAACTCAATTTCATACCAGGAATTTTCACAGGAAATTATTCTACCAAGTCTAACGTGGTTAGAAATAAGGATGATGAGAAAACGTCCAATTTTATATTTCATTACCCAAGATCAGAACTACTAACAATTATTTGCATGCTTGGATCAATGCACGATGTAACTGTTTTTAATGCAATGACATGTGGCTTTAACTGCCTAACAAAGAGTAATGTTCAGAGTTGTACCGATTCATAACAACTTCGAGCATTTCCTGATCTGATGCATTATCTGGGACCTTTTCCCGTGTAGCCTGTTCGCAGAAATTCCTAAGCATTCTGCATACAAAAGAAAATTGTGAGCACCAACGAAATAAGAGCATTATTAATGCAGCCAATAAACAACACATACTAACTAAATGGTTATAGAGTTTTTTGGTTATAGTTTTTTGATGACAAAAAAAAAAACAAACAAAAAGAATGAGATCAATAACTCGATATGAATATATCCAGTGAATTGCTATGGCATAATGAAAAATCAACGGGTAGAGCACTACACTAACAAACAATGGGAACCACTACAAAAAAGAATCAGAAAGGAAATGAAAATCAACCTATGCAGTGAGTCTTGCGTCAGCTGCACTTCTTCAGTTTCCATAACACCCTTGTGCCTTCTCCGGAAAGTATCAAAAAGCTCATCCCGAATGGAAAGCAGCTGTAAAGATCACAAAGTAATTCAAAAATTCCAGGCTAGCACAATGTCATGTAACAAACTAATAACTTGATCTTTTTAATTTGTCACACTTTTCTTTTGACTCGGACCAAACAGAGAGTCGCAATAACTATGACTTTGTACCTTATTTGTATCCTTTGACAGAGGTTTATGCAACAAGTCATTTGTTGGAACAAGAAAAGAAAAGTCATTGTTCTCACTTAAAACTAGCAAGGTTAAGAACAAACCGGTTGCTCAACATGATCACTGAAGAAGCTCGTTGTTGCTTCTTTTGCATCATGAACCCAATTCTCAATGTCCGAACTTCCCATCAAACTACTATGACGTAGTAGCCATAGAGAGAAAACAGAGAGCCCAACTGCACCACAAGTATACCGGACCCAAAACAGGGTCATCCTCCTTGGCTTTCGATGTTTCCCCACCTATTTTAAAAGAAATGCAAGAATGGAAACTCTCAGAGTTGATTTTACATGATGATTTATGTTAACAAGAATAATGGCACCCCTACCATAACTGATAAATACGAGTTAAGTTTATCCAAATTCTTATGAAGCAGGTTGATAGCATCTGTAAGTTCACAATCAGTCCACTGGGATCCTTCTTCGTTAACTTCAGGCAGTCGATCAAATACAAGAGGCATTGGGTAACTTCCATCAACAGAAGAATCACTCTGAAAATGGGATGTAAGTCAGTAGACGAGCAAAAGATATCTAAAACAGTAGACTCAGGAGCATCACAGTAATAAATGGTCAGGCAAATGAAGGTAGTGCCCAGAAAAAGTAAGAAATCAACGTGTTTACCTCACGCTCAGCATGCAAATGGCTGAAAGATCCTTCCAAGTTCGAAAACAATCCATTGATAACAGCCAACAATGATGGCAGTGACTTTTCTGGATTCTTCACAAGATCCTCACCACGTTTATCCAATTCAACATAAAGCTAGAGAGCCCATTGAAAGTAATGATATTAGCATATTAAACATACAGAAAATCTTTCACATGCACATTTTACAATGGTGTTACTTATGTTAAAAAGGATTTAAATTTTCAACCTGGGCAAGAAATGAAGCGAGTGCAGATCTTAGCTCCAGCAAGACCCGCATTCTATCCAACATGTGAGATGAAGACGACTGACAAAGATGCTGCATTGCAGATTCCTCACTGAGACTCTTGGTCACGAACTTCGTACTCTCGTTCAAAAAAGCTACTGGTCCTCTCTCAAAAATCATGAAATACGCCTTTCGAGCATTGGAACCCTGTGTTAAATACGATAAAAAGAAAACCATTTGGATGGACTAGAGAATCAAGTAAAAGAAAAGATACATCTCATGGAATGTTCTGTTAATTTACCTCAGCTCTAGATTGCCAAAAATCTAAACTCTTTTGGATATCATGCAAATTGGAGAGAACGTCGGCCATTATTTCCTCGAGAACACCATGAATCCTAGCTGTATCAACCGAGGTATTGCTACTAACCCTGAAGATCAACACAATGTATTAGCTCAAAAGGTCGAAAAAGTCTACATATTGTCAAATTCCGGAAAATAAAAAATGTTTGCGAAGAGTGTATAAATCAACAAAACATGAAACTCCAGTAGCAGTTCAAAGCCACGATCATCAAACAGTAGTAATGAAGGTCGAAGCCTAAGCTAACAAAGAAAGCTAGTAGAAGCTCTACCAATTGAGGAGATGAATTCTTACATAGACGAGCTTGGGAAATCGGAGGGTAGAGGAAGAGGGAAGGAGAGTTGTCGTTTTGTCGAAACGGTTTGGCGATAGAGATTGGAGATTTTACCGAGAAAAATGGAATTAGAAGTAGGGTACAAGGAAGCAAGGCGATTCCAAATATAATTTGAATAAAACGGAATCAGGTCAACGACGTTTGAATACGCCGTCGACGGGGTTGACTCGTTAGCCGGAGGCTGAGAATCCATTGAAGTCGTCTAATCAATTTTCTCAGTTCACCCTCTGGCCGGGTTGATGACCGGGGAAGTGCCCTTAATGTCGGTAGAGAGATTTTAGGATTTTGAAAATAAATTGAAATTCCTAATTGGGCTTTTAATGGGCCAGTTTTACCTACAAAGTTTGGGCTCTTCGATTTGTAAGCCCCCCTTACAATTTTGGAAATATTTTCTTTTCTTTTTTTTGGTTTCTTTCTCATCCAAAACCAAAGACTAGATGGGAAACCTTTCGTGACTTCTTCATTTGTAAATCCGTCAAATCGTTTGTTGAAATTGTAAACCCTGTAAGACTATTTAGATGTTGTTTACATATTCAACCGTGACGTTCACATCTATCCCCAAAAATACAGTAAATCAAATGGCAGTGGCCTTGTACTACATGTACTAATAGATTTGACATAAACCAATGCCTGAAATTTACATACAGTCAAGAACAGAAAAAAAAAAAAAGAGAGAGAGAGATTATCCCATAAAAGTTTAATAATGTGAATCAAACATAGAAGCTAAAATGTTAAACAACTTATTTGCAATGTTGATGTTGATCATACACCATTAAAAGAATGCTCTGCTGCCGTAATAGACACGAGATCCTTCTTTTTTCTTCTCCATTCCATTTTTATTATTAGCATTATTATTATTATTCCGATTCTGAAGCTGAGCTGAAGTGTTGTTACTAGTATTCTGATCTTCCTCGTGTGGTTTATTATGAAGATCCATTGGAAGCTTCATCTTTGCCAAAGACTCAGTGAACTGTTGCATACTTCTCATATACATCTCAGCTATCTGTTTCTGCATTGTTGTTTCTTCCTTCATCTTTTCTTTGTCTCCTTCTTCTTCTTCTTCTTCTTTGCTTCTTCTTCTTGATACCTCTGCGATCTCTTGATTCTCTTTCTCGTTTGAATCTGCTGTGTTCTTGTCGTCGCTTAAGCTTGTTGTTGTTGAAGAAGAAGCCATACAACTTCCATTCCCCCCGTAAACCTCTTTCTCCTCCGAGCACACCATTGTTATGTCCGTTTCTTGTCCATGTGTTGAGCCGAGACAGAGAAAAGAAGCGCTTCCGGATCCATTGAAGTACTCTGTAACCATCAGTTTGTTCTCGTTCACAACATTTATGTCAGGGAACTCAATCCTCGTGTAATCCACTGTTTCAGAGACTTGAGTGTCAAGCAACACAACCTCGGATGAAATCGAGGTGGTATTAATCTTGGGATTAGATGAAGAAGAGGGGTTGACAATGGAAAGCGTGAGCTTTACGGTACCAGCAGGGGAATGGAAGAGATCAGTGGAGGAGAGACTGTAGTCTTGAGTGACACTGTCTTGACCTATGATGTCTGAGATCGGCACAAGAGCAAAACCAAGAAGCTGATCTTCCATGTAATGTCTAGCTCTGCTCATCATCCAGATCTCACATTTAAGGACGGCAGCATGAGCATCGATCTGAGTCATATCGATCATAAGCGTCTGGTTGAACTCAGGGTTTTTGCCAGCTCTGTGAATGATTCTGGTGGAGATGGTGTCATCAGGATTGTATGTAAGAGAGAATTTGGCGTAGACGTCTTGGTTATCGTAGATGCAGATGTTGTGGATGTTTCTTGCGTTGTGAACAAACACTTGGAGAACACCTGAGAAGCCTTGATGGTAGCAAAACCCAGAAGAAGAAGAAACTTGCTTCAGAGATTCCATACGGCAAACAAACAGAGAGAGAGAGATGATCAAAAGAAACTAAGAAAAAGCTATAAATGGTATAACGTCTAAAATGAGTCTGAAGCTGAAACAGTAACATGACCACAAAGGCAAGTCATGAGAAAGAGAGGGAGAGAAGTGCAGGTGAAGCAAGATGAGATGAGCTTTTGCTTTGAGGGAATTCAGGAGCATTGAATGGAAGAGGAATAGGAAAGATTAGGTGTGAAATGAGAATCAATGGAACAAAAATAGATAAACGTCATGAAGATAAAAAGAACATTATGATGACCAAAATTATGATTATGAAGACTGAGATGGAGTAAATATCTAACCACACATTTCCCATGGAGCAATTTCATCAAACAACATCAAGCCAATTCAGACACTAACGACGATGAATGACCATATTGGTCAACAAAGTTGACCTGGACTAATCATCCCATGGTCTTAATGGGGTAGGTAAGGGATTGAGATGCCTATTTTCTAATCAATAAGTTGTAAAAGTTATGTTTTAGCTTGATTTTGCTTGGCATTGCAGCCTGCACCACCCAAAAATTGGCCAAAGTCAATTGCAGACCCCACTGAAACCCACTCATCATCATCATTACCATAACCACTTAATCCTCATTCCATATGATCAATTCTCAGATCATAAGCCACAGTAACATTCACTCATCAAGCAAATGATAAGTAGTAGACTAAATAAATCAAATCTAGCAAAGGATCTTTGACAAAGGTTCAGACTCTTTTGTTGTTCTACCATTATTAAATTCTACTGATATACAAATTCCCAAGTATGGAAGTCAGAGGATTTTTGGTTGAGGGTTGATTTAATTACAGAGATACAACCACGATCATTTCCTTCCCAACCTAACCAAAAGCGCCTCATGCTTTGCAGCTGCTACTGCTTCTGCAGCTTTGTTTGCAGCTTCACGCTTCATTGCCCTCTTCGCACGCCTTCCTGTTATGGCATTGCTAGTCTTATCCTTTGGCTCACGTGAGGATGAAGAGGCGGGTTCAGAGCCAGAAGCCTGGCCACCTCGGTTCTTATGTTGGACCGGTCTTGCTTCTTGGCGGCCTGCTCTGACAAATCCATTGTCACCCCACCTCCGGTTTCCTAAACGAAGATTTGAACCTTGCAAATAAAACTCGTCAAGGTCATCATCGTCCTCCTCTTCTTCGTACTCAGGTGGAATATCGAAATCATAATTAAAATTGTCATTATCTGAAACCCGCTCCACTGCTTCCAGTGGCTGAAACCACGCTGCCCTCAAAAGGAGGCATACACTCTCCTCGAACATAAAATCTTCAACACTGAAATGAAAACAAAAGATAAAATTAGATAGAAAGGAAAAGTTCAGAAAATGATGTAAAAGCCAAGAATACAGTAAAGCAAGACAAGCACAGAGCTAGTCAAGTAAATGAATTGAACAATGGGGACAAATGTAAATAAGGATGGAATTTTTACCTTCCATCGAGAGCACGGTGGACATTGAGAAAGTCAAATGGAAGCTTACATTGGGGGCAGGTAGGTTTCTCTTTGTAACTAGCCCAACGGAGTATGCACGTCACACTATATATAGATAGAAATTAATCACGCCTCTTTAAAGTGAAAAGAGAAATGTCAGTATCTGTTCTATTTCATTTCTAATCAAACATACTTGTTCTGAGCATAAAATCGAAGAAAGAAACAAACACACGTCATAAGAGGTTTACAGTTTAAAGCAAAAACCAAACACCATCTTTAAAAAGCTATGACATAACAGATATTACAAAACCAATGCCTTAAATAACAAACGTAACATTCTCAGTATCAGACTTAACGGGAAAAAGACTTATATACGAGCAAAATCAGATCACTAACAACCAATTCAGTTCATCCCTCATAAAAGGGAAAAAGGATAAACACTACACTATTAACAAAGCAAATTACACTGGATTAACCAAGAAAATCCATCAGACGTACCAGTAAGCATGCTCACAGCCTTTAACCATAGCTGTTTCTTGAAGAGGTATAGTATCCAAGCATATTGCACAACAGCCGCCATGGTTCCCGAAACTCTGCTCATTGCCCACTTCCTGAGTCTTCCTTTCATCCTAAATACAGAAAAATACATATTAAATCATCAACCTCATTAAGGAGATCAATAACTTAGCAATATCATCATTAAGAAACATTCTTTCGAAAAAAGGAAAAGAGACCGAATTCATGTAAATAAGAAAAATATTCAACATCAGACACTCCACAGGTAAGAAACGAACGAGGACAGACGTAGATCCTAGGAAAGACCCCAAATTGATACTAACCAACGTATACATTATGCTTAAATAGGGAGGTGGAGCTAGCAGAACCAAAATTCAGGAAACCATTAATTTCTCACAACACCTCATACATGATCAATTCAGAAAGTAAAGCGCACAAGCATCTAAGAATTCAAGAGGTAAAAGAGATGGACAGAACCAACCACAAAAACTTGATCTTTCATTTTGGAAATCGCAGATACTCTTTAATTAATTGTGTAAACAAAGGGCAAAACGGAGACAAAACCTGATCATGAAGAGGCAAAACATCCAATTGCTTCTCAGCAACGATCTGGATCGAGGAACTCATGGCGGCGAAAAAAGGAAAAAAAAAACTAAAATTGGATCCTCGAAATCTATTCCGCAAGGAGACGAAAACCCAAATCAAGCAAAGCAATATGATGAAGAAGAGTTGGAGCTCAAAGTAGGTATGAGAAAGATTCAGAGACCAAAGGAATAAATAAAGAGAAGAGGGATCGGAATCCTCCGGAGGAAACGGCTGAGGAGATGTAGAAGAAGATAGAACAAGAGGACCCCTAATTTAGTTTTAATGACTACGACTTGTGGTTGTGGACTCTACACCATAAATTAAACCGGTGCCATACCGACCCCCCAAAAAAAAAGGAAATTATATTTAAGCGGTGCAACAAAATATTAAATATATATATATATATTTGTTAGTTTTTAATTAATTATTTTATTTTAATTTTTTTGGTCAAAATTTAATTATTTTATGTTATTAGATTTTTGAAGAGACCCATACATAACTAAAATAAGGAAATTACACATTATTAAAACAAATATCAAGAGAAATAATTTTCATTACAAAATGACATCACTTCATCAAATTTTTTATATAATTATTTTCAAAAACTACATAATTAATTAGGAGAACCGAGAATATATATATATATATATATATATATATATATATATATATATATATATATAAGAGAGAACCGGAAATAAAATTAATTGAGCCGGACAAGAACTCGAGACTGAAACCCTCAGATTGAAGCTAGTATCGTCCGGTGGCAGGATGGGAGCAGACACGATCGTAGTTGCAGACAAGATTGAGGACTTGCTCGATGTCTGTCTCCTTCTCTTACCCCCTGTAGTCCATCCTTTTTTACTTATCCTCCTATTTTCTTTTTTGGGGGTTTATCAATTTTGTGTTGTTGCTGTTAATCATCAATCGGGTCCGCTCAAGGAATTAAGAGTTTTTTTGAATAACAGGCTGCTAGATACGATGATATCGATGATCTCAGAAGCCTGGCTTCAGATGGCGTCTCTCTTAACTCTCGTGATTCACAAGGCCGAACAGGTTTTTACATCATCTCTCTTCTTCCACAAAGTTTCAATTTTTCGAGCTAGTATAGCTTCAATCCGCCGTCTTTATAATGTCACACCACTCCTGCTCAGATACTTTGAATGTCTCACTACTCGTGTATATTATACAGTAGCTGAATTTGGAATAATTGTACCTTTAGCACATTTCATCTGGTGATATATTGGCTACTTACTGCTATGAATCCGGTGTTACGAGAGTGTTACTTACTCCTATGAAACATTGTTTTGTTTTGTCTTCACAGCACTGCATATGGCCGCAGCGAATGGACATCTGACTATAGTGGAGTATCTTATCAGTCAAGGAGTGGTAAGAAAACAACAACAATCCCTTTGCTATGTAATATCTGGTGCTTTATCTTTTGAAATGATTAAACATGATTATAAGATAGATTGTTGAGGCTTTGTTTTTTTGGTGAGCAGGATATTGATGCTCTTAACGATGAGAACAATGCTCCTTTACATTGGGCATGCTTGAATGGCCGCGTTGAGGTAACCATCACTCATGTCTGTGCTTAAAAATGTTTTGTTTCTCTGGTTTGATTATAACTGGAAACCTCCTTTACAGGTGGTGAAGAAATTGATCTTGTCAGGAGCTAGTCTAAGCCTTTTGAATCGGTTAGTCTCTTACATCTTTCTTCTCAGTCTATTGGAGGAACGAAGCTGAACCATTAGAAGCTTGGGAAATTTGTAGGTACGAGCGGACTCCGATGGATGAAGCCATTGGTGCGCAGAAGATGGAGATTATAGATGCTATTAACACAACTGTTGCACAAATGGAACTTGAAAATACCAGTGTGTCATGAATGTTCAGACACCTTCGTCATAAGCATCCTAATTTTTTTTCCTTTAATCCCTCTGTCTCCCTGATTTACAGTTGAAGTTTTGTATTTTGGGATCCTTGGTTTGTTACCTAGACTAGCAGCTGTTAGAAGTGTAATCATATGAATCTAAAAGTTTTGGTTGCAATACCCACAACGAAGGGCTGGACCAGTTTGGTTTTATTTGAATTGTAGTTTTGCATTAGCATTTTTGCAATCATGTATGCAGTTTTGGCGGTTAAACCAAACCTAATAACTAACTAATATGAAATTGTACTTTTATTTCTTCCGTAGTTTCAACTGCCTACGCTGGTTTAAGCTGTTGGTGAACCAACAAGATTTCGAAACGTACACAAAGGATCCTACGTAATCAAAGAAGACATCTTCGACCACCCTTCTCTCATACAAGTCAATGTGTATACAAACATTTGCGGGGATGCAAAAGTTTAGTAACTTACTTTTCTTGTGATCATGCGGTTCTTGAATATTCTACACCCAATAGTTTAAACAAGCTTGTAACTAAAGTTCGCCTAGAATACGATATACTTCTTTTTTATAATTTTCTGTCAAATATATGCATTATGCGAGTTTGAATCCATACCAACACTACTAATAAAACAAACCAATAAACTACAAATCCTGATCAACAATACTAATACAACAAACCAATAAACTACAAATCCTGATCCATATTCAAACTTTTTCTAATTCATATAAAGTAGATATACTTCTTTCTCTAGTTTGGTGAAGTGTTGATTTGTTGGCTAGACTGGTAGTTGTAAGAACTGGAATCACATCGATCCATCCATCCATGGAAGAATAAGATATAAAGTGATAACCTTTCGGTGCACCATTCCTTCTTTTGTTTTTAACATATGTGCAGTGCACCATTGCTTCGGTTAATATACTACTAGCAAGCAATATTAATTAAATAAAAGTTAAGATTACTAATCTTCGTTTAGTACCAAAGGGAATTAATCTCTCTCTCTTTACCAAATCCATGCACCTTAACTTATACATTTTTTTTGGCCTTCACGTTCACGTTGTTTTTGCTCGCACATGCCTTTCACTTTCATCAAATAGTTTCATTGTTTATAGTAGTGATATATTATAAAAAAAAGAGGTCATTTGTAAACGTTTTCACAGTTGGCAGCAGGGGCGGACCCACAGCCAAGGTGGTGGGGGCAGCTACCACCATCAAAAAAAAAAAAAAAAAAAATTAAATATTATTAGAAAATAAAATCTGTTCCTACCAAAAAAACTAATTTTTATCCTTTTTCTTAGATAACCCATTAATCCATGTACCAAAAAAAAATATATTAATATATAAATTAAAGACTTACTAATCTAGAACTAATTTTTTGTTATTTTCTTCTTTTTTAGTCATTTGGTTTCTTTGTTTGACAATAAAGCAACAACTATCAATTTGTGAGTTTATTTTCCTGCTTTTTTTACAATCGTTTCTATTATATAAGCATTACTTTTTAGTCAGTTAATTTTATTTAATCATTTCAAGCTTAGAACTATGTTTCATGGAAAACATTATATAGGTTTTTATGTTATACATGACAATATTAGTTTTTGCAGTGATAATTGTTTATATGTTTATTCTATGGTTAAGCTTTTATGGAAGATTGTTACATAATTCAAAAATTTTAAATTAATAAATTTTAAAATATAAGTCTATAAATTCAAAATTTTCTAAATTTTTAATTAATAACATGTTTTTTTGTTTTTAATTATTTGAATATGTCACAAATAAAAATGTGGTAAAAAGGTTTCAATTGTTAAATGAGCCTCTGAGTGGTTTTGTAAGATGTTTTAAAGTTTTTACATGACAATTTTATGTCTTTTATAATTTAGTATTTGATAGTTTTTTTTACTATATTTTTGCCCCCATTAAACAAATTTTCTAGATCCCCCTGGTTGGCAGAACATCATTTTGTAAACCTTTCGGCATAGACTCCTTCTGATGCAGACTGCGACGCTGTTATGTCTCTTTATGTGAGATGTGATAGATAATTTTTATTTAACTTGTTTTTTTCGTCAACTTATTCCCCACTCATTTTCTTGTTGTTACGTAAATATTTTCACTCAACAAAAAAAAAAATTAATTTTAATGTGAGGGTTTCAGATTGAAGAAAAGAATCTAATTTCTCATAATTTTTCAAATATTATCAAGATTTGCTTATCTATAAAACTAAAGAAAAATCTCAGTAATGCTCGATCCAACATAATTACAGTATATGTCTTGTGTTATGATTATACTATGTTTTTCGTGTAATGATAGCACTGGATGGCAAATGAATGAATCATACAGTCGTGTAGCTATGCAGCCTTTGCTTTTCCATATGTATTGTGAAAATACTCGGTAACATATTATATGGATTATAAAGTTGATTGTTCCACATGGTCTTTTGTTGTATATGTTCTGCTATACTTGTTAACCTGATCATCAAACTTGTATGGATTGCCAATGCGTGATGTTGCGATCATCATATAAAATAGCCACCAACGAGAGAGAGAAACCATTATATATGTCTCGACGTACAAGTGTATTTGGTTCGGTTTCTTAATTAGAAGGTTCAATCTTCCACTCCACTGGTTGAAAAACATGCTCATCAATATTATACAAAATTACAAATGTAACCAAAATACATATAAATAAAAAGTGCCCGAGATATCATTTTCTAGCGAGGGGGGACGAATATTATCGTTCGAAAGTTCAAAAAGGCTAAACCCTATAAAGCCTAAGACACACAGTCGAATATATTATTATTTTTCTTTAATGGTGGACAAGTGTTTGAAGGAATATATTGATTTTTTTATTATATTATTTGGCTTATTCGCGACTTCATCATAAAGAAATTTGGTAAACAAACATATGATAAGGGTTCAAATTTAGTTTGGTTAATTTACATCCAAATTTGGAAATATATTTGAATGTAGTTCTCAAATACTTAAAAATGGTTTCACCTAATATTTTGATGCTCTAGAAGTCTTTTCCATTGCAGTTCTATGCGTATCTTGTGTCGAAACAAGATATATTAAGCATGTTCTGATATTAACAATTTAGTGGCGAAATCTATGCATGGTTCGACATAATCGACATTCATATTCACGTTTTGAGTTGTAGTATATAGGCATACTTTTGTTTATGTAAAAAAGGAGATCTAATTGTGAAATGATAGAAGTTGACACCTCAAAAATAATCAAACGTAACTCTACAAAATGCAAATATGGTTCGAGCAATAAAGCTTTCTCTCGATCTGCACAAATCCATATGCTTTAATCTCATAAATGAAGAAATAGGGATCGAACAGACGAACACCTATATATACAGTATACAGTGCACACCAAACGTGCATAAGTAAGGTGGAAGCCACAAGATTACAGAGTCTCTCCTGCGTAATTTATAATCTAAGTCAGTAAGAATAGTAACACTAAAAAGTGCACAAGTAGGCTCAGTGAGTCAGTATATAGCAAAAAAAAAAAGCTTTTAAACCCCCAAAAAAGTATAATTGAATGGATGATAACTCATGAATTTATAAGAATATATATCACTTATAATTTTAATTTTTTAGATTCAAAAGCTGGAACTGATCCAATATATTGGCTGACATATGAACACAAAATCGGCCGAAATAGTTAAAGAATATATTAATCTAATAACTTGATGGAACTGCCAAATACTTCAACTAAATATAATTTCTACGAAATAATGATATGATGTTAGAAAGTAAGAAACTATAATAAAATTCTTTGAATTAGCTTATAAAACACTTGTATTTGTATAATTATATTTTGAACACGTAAAACAGTAAGTATTAATAAGATAAGTACATAAGTAAATTGGAATTTAACTATTCTAGGATTAATGGTTTGCTAGGATAAAAGAGAAATCATGATCATATATAGGCTTCGATAAAATAGACTGGTAATGTTTCTATAGACGTCTATAGTTAATACATAAATTATCAAACAAGTCTTGATCGAAAAGACGTGAAGATGGTATTATTCTTGTATTCTCCGATATCATTTTTTCCGAAAGCAAAACCGTTTCACCACCAACTAAAAAAATAAGAAATTAAACATGTGTCGATCGATAACGTTTGATGCATCATTAGATCAAGTAGTTCGTCCACATGGACAATTCATACAATAGAGAGTTAGTGAACTATTCGATCGTTTGTATCCAACCCCATGGAAAGAAGAAAAAAACATCAAAGAAGATAAAACATCTTTCATCTTTCAAATAGTAAACGTTTTTGAATTTGGTTTAACCGTAAAACCCACCGCCTGAACCACCACCACCACCGTAGACATTTGGCGGGTCAAGAATAGGACCCGAGGCAGACACTCCGTTATGGTTATTGGCTCCACCACCTAAATGCAAATCCGACATATTAGGAAAACCTTCTTTGGGTTCAAGACCTTGATCGTACAAGAATCCTTTGAAGACATGGCCACCGATTTTCACTACCGCTTGATACGCGTACTCGTCATCGCCTTCCTCGACTGCCGTTACTCTCACACACTTGAACACTGCCGCGGCTCTAATCTGCCCTGGCCATGCTTCCCTTGACCCTCCTCCGTCTTGCATACATAAAACATAATTACGATTCATTATCTCCACATCAATCTACTTAACGGTGTTTGTTACTATCAAATAAATATGAATGTTTGATACCGATAAAATGACATGAATCAACCGAGATAACTGAATCTAAAACTAACAGACTAAAATTCTAAAACTCATTTTTCCGTCGCCAAATATTATGGTTTATCTTGGTTTCAAAAACCCCAAACATTGATTGATCACCGTAACCGTCAAGAATGGCTATTAGTGTGATATGCATGTATATACATACATAAAATCATGTAGAATTATATACTAATGACAATGTAAATACTACCTTGTCGGCTGGAGCTGGTCTCGAAACTTTGTGGAGGCGTGTTAGAAGTTGAAGTGTGAGAAGTGGCTTGTTGTTGTTGAGACCCTACAATCCTCGGCTTCTTTGTCCCGGAGGATGTAGAGAGAGACGAGCCAGCCGTTGGATTAGCGCCGGAGGGCATGACCTGCCTCTCTCTCCGCCGAGCCGCAGAGACCCAAGTGCTCTTCACGTGAGTAGAACAATCAAAGCCACGGCTCTTGCAGCACGTCCTGCACCGCCTCTGCTTGCACTCTTTCTTGGCTTGGTTTCCACAGTCTTGACACGTGGCGGTTCCCGATGCGCCTGAGCCAGACCCCGAGTTGTTCGAGCTCGTTCCGACCGGTGTCTGGTTAGTACTCTTGAAGTGAAGATACTGCGTTTCGTGGTTGTTGTCGTTGTTCTGCCATCTCCGGTTGTTTCCGAGGAAGTTAATGTCGGTGTCTTCCACGTTTTGCTGAGGCGGACCCGCCGTGAGGAGAGGAACCACTCCAACGCCAAGCGCCGCCGCCGCTTCGGGTCCGGACAAAACTCCGGCGTTTTGGTGGTGGTGGTACGCCGGAGCAACAAGGAAAACGTCTCTCAGACCGACCATACCCATCTCAGTCGCCGCCGCCGACGAAGGTAAGCCATAACGAACAGAAGTTCCGGGAGGCCATGAAGGAACGCCGGCGGCGGAAGCTGAGCCTAACCCACCGTGGACGACGGCGGGACCAGCATTGAAACCAAGAGATAGATCCTCAGTGGCACGAGAAGATGTCGTCGTCGTCGTCGCCGCCGCCGCCCAGTCGGTGAAGGCACCGGAATCTGACGTTGGTAGATTATTCCTCCTCGTTGTAGCCACAGCTGATTAAACCAAAGCCCTAATCCCACAAATTACAAAAAAAAAACAAAAAACTCACAGCACAGAGCTCCAATGTACATAACCCATATACATCTATTACACAAGTCCTCAGATGGATCCTGATCAGACTTTTCTCTTTTGCTATAAAAACGAAAGAAGAAATAACCAAATCCAAAATAGATTCTTCGAAATCTACTGTCACTATCTCTCTTTGTCTGAGGCTCAGCAGAGATGAAAAAGAACACTGCGACTCTTTTTTTTTGTTCTCGCTTCCTCTCTCTCTCTCTCTCTCTCTCTCTCTTTCTCTCTCTAATGATCTAAGAACCTGTTTCCCAACTTTCTCTCACTAAAAAAACTGGTATATGAGCTCTTGTTGCTTCTGATCTTGAGGTTACTTCTGGATCTTTCTTACCTCCCTTTTAAAACAACAGTGCTTTTGTATGTTTTGGTTTCCCTTTCTTGTTCTAAAGATTGTTTCGTCTTGTTCCTGTCTCTCTCTCACTCCCTCTCTCTAATAAATCACACACAACTGCAGAAAGATAGAGAGGCAAGTGAATTTTTATTTTCTTTTTGTGTTTATTAATTTTTTATGTTTTTAATAATAATAACTAATAAAATTGGCACATGATACCTTCTTCTCCTTTGCTTTTGTATTTTAGCTCAAGTTTTTATATTTTCTATCTTTGTATCAGATGACGAAGTTCACCACAAGCGCTCGTGCGCGTGGCTCCACTTGCCCTTAAGAGCTCCCCGGTCCCGGCTTTTGTTTCCATCCAGAACCGGCTGCATCGGTTTAACTCTTTTTAGGTCCATTGTTCGGTACATACGCATATTGGCTTTTCGCTTGCCAGTCTACTAATAAGTTAAAAAAAAACTCCACACACATTTTGCTCTCTAATAAGCGTCACATGTTAGTATATGTGACCGACAAGACCGAGCCAACACAAAGATTAACAGAGAACCACATATACGGTGATATAGAAGACGTTTTGTTGTATTCTTCCTTTCCGACTCCGACACTGTTGGATTGCTTACTGTCCCATACATTACAAATTTACAACTAATAAGAAGAAGAAAAAAAAACACTACTTTAAATGGTCCACATAAATGTGATATGCTTCGCAGACCAAACAAAAGACCAACGAAAGATCCAAAATGTGGTTTACAGATATTACAATAAATGTTTTCGAGTAAATTCAACATGTATATGAAGGAAACTTCATTGCTTGATTTTAATATGACACACGTTGATATATATATATATATATATATCATGGACTTTCTAAATTTACACAACCGCCAAAGATTGCATCCATGACCATGATATCTCGATTTTATTTTCGGACAAAGTATATATAAGTTACACATACATAAACTTTTCCCCACTTTTCAACGATAGTACTTTGAGAAAAGAATGGTACTGCGTGTCAGAGCTTGCATGGGTCGAGCCTTTTGAATATGTGGTTTAGTAGTAACCAGGGTTTAGTAGTAAGTAGTAACGGTAATGTTGCTAACTTAAATCGAACATTACAAATCTCGGCCTGTGAATTTACTTCCCATGCTAAATCAGTTTCACCATAATCATTCCGATTAAATATTGTAACTAGTTTTATATGCATATTATTACGTTGAATAATTGCAATTAAGAAAGAAAGTGGCTTTTATATTGAAATTTACACTTATAATAGGAAAAAAGCTTTTGAGGAGAATAATTAGTTTGAGCAATGCACGTGAAAGAACCCTTTGAAATAAAATGTTCGTCGGCTCCTCCCAACGCTTTGCGGCCGTCGAATCATTGCTTTTCTTTTGAGGTCTTCTTCTTTTTTGATAAATTTGTCTTTGGAGATCTTTTGTGCTAAACATAACCCCACAGTTGTAAATCTTTCACAGCCTAAACCCACTTTGGTTTGTCTATTACTTGAATATTTTCCGAAGACCCTTTTCTGAAAACGATATATATACTTGTCTTTCACAGCCTAAACCCATTGGTTAATAGTATTAATTGGTTCCTATCTTCTTCATCCACCTTGTGTCCTAATCAATAGCGTGTGGCCTAATGATTTATATAAATGGGATAAAAGATTTGTCACGTGGGTCTAAGACTTAGCGATTGAGTTCCACCATCAACAAAAATCATTGTGGTGAATTCTCTTGGCCACTTACTTATAAACGTTTTAAAATTACAGGCTTTCTAATTCTATGTATGTTCAGGTTTCAACATGAATCCACCTCCAATTATATATGTGTGGAATGTATCTCGATCTTAGTCGTTTGCTCAATGTTCAAAAAAGAAGTACACCCAATTGAGGTGGTGATGACATATCCAGAGAAAAGTTAATAAGTAGGAAAAATAGGACGAATTTAGGGAAGTACAAAAAAAAAAAAGTGTTGTACAGTCTCAAAAGAAATAGAAGTAGAAAAAAAAAATGAAAAAAAAAAGCATGTAGCAGACCAGTAGATTTTTGACAAAGGAAAAGAAAAGGAGCAGAAGACACGGGGCTCGAGGCAAGAAAATGTTCGCAATAACAATAATGGAGGCGTCGAGACTCGTTTTGAGAGATATATAGAGAGAGAGAGAGACAAAGACTAATGCTTCTTTGCCTAATCGGCGGAGGTGGCGTGCTGTCTCACTTCCCTCCGACATCCGTTGGCCCTACGCGCCTTTTTCCCAATTCTAAAAGACCGGGGAACCCAAATTGGCCGGTTCGATTTATCGGTTTATGCCGGATTCTACTTTTGGACGCGAGCAAACCATTTGCTTTAAGCTCGGCTGTGCCATAGGCCCATAGTTAAGAGACTTTTTTTTATTAACGTGAAGTATGTGATGTGATCTGAGGCTCAACATACTACTGTTTACAGTAAGTTCATCTGCTCTTGTACATTTTAAAATATTGTCTACAAAAAAAAAAAAAATTGTTGCTAAAATATTTATGAGTTAAAAGAACGAGAATGAATGATGTATCTTACCACATGTAGAATATATGAGAATTTTCTTACAATATAGTTTGTTAATTACGTTTAGAGGATAAATATATTGAAGACGGAAAAAAAAAACGAAAACTGTGTCCGGCTGGGCCTTGAGTAGCAGCGTTATTGGGTCTAAAGGAAACGAATTAGCCATTTCATTAGAGTGATTAGAATCAAAGCAATAAAAAAGTTGCAAACCTAAGTATCGAACCTAGAAACTAGTTAAAATGGGCCAAGAGATATATCTCTAATAAGATCCAAACCATTTCTGGATGGTTTAGGGTGCATAACTTATACTAATAAAGAGGTGAGAAATTCACGTATATTGACAAATGCACCACACTCCTACGTAAGGTTTTACATGGGTTAACCACTCTTCTATTCATCAGTCATAGTGAATGTGCCTAGCTAATCCATCAAACAAGATATATGACCAGACTTCTTATAGCATTTCACTAAACTTTCAAAAACAAAGCCATTCGTTAGCTCGGCTCATTACATAATACATACGCAAATTCGACTCTTATCTTTGGTCACCAAATCCCTCTTATTGAAAGAAATCAATGGTTCTTAAGAAATGTAATATATATAGCTTACATTGAGAGTAATTTCTAACTTTCGCTGAGCAATATATAAGTTTGCATGTTTTTTCAAATATGAAAAGCACATGTCTGAATCAAGGCGTTTCAGTTTGAAAACCTCCCACGTAATTGTATATCAGTAATTCAGTATACGCATCATTCTAATAAATCCAATCATGCGGAGTTTTTTTTTTTCTTTTTTTTTTCTAGGGGAATGATAGAAAATTTTCAAAGTTGAAAAAGTAGCCCTTATCATGCGGGGTTATTACGAAGAATAAGTCGTTTGTTCGTTTCTTTAATTTATCCTATCTGTTTGAGGACCGTGACCATCAAAACAAAGCCAGTGACATGTGACGGAGAGTTATGTATATTAGTTGAATTTTCAAGGATTAACCATATATCAAATGTACATGTTGGAGTACCTAACAAAATTTATATTATTAACTTTGTAGAATTACTCCAAAAACATTCATTTTGTCAACTTGTTCATGCGAGACTAAATTGTAACCAAACACAATACCAACTAACCACTATAATTTACATTTCATCTTTACATTTTTTTTTCCCAAACAAAGACTACAAAGACAAAGGAGATTAGATAAGATTAATTTCGAGAGCCTATTCATATCACTTTTTCTTGCTTCCGGTTAAGACCAAAGAACTGTAATGGAGAAACCCTCATCTTGTGTTCGGATATGGTTTGCAAATTTGGTGACCACATGTGCTCTCTCGTTCCGACAAGCTGTTCATACTGCTTCTTTAACTCGGGAGAGTTACAAATCGAGCTGCTTTCACCACAAGTTATTGCTTCTTCTTCGATGTTGGTTCTGTTTCTACACATAAGATTAAGTATAAAACTCGGAGAAACTTTAATCAGAATTTTTCCGTTTGGTCCCTTAGAATACTCAAACGGTGGTGGACTCGACGGCGCCGTGAAATTCAACGGTGGAGCAGTAGTACTTGTCGAGCGAACGTTTTCAAGATTATTGGAGTTGAAGATCGAGAGACACGAAGTGGTTAAGATTTTGTAAGCAAAACGTTCGATCGGTAAGACGAAATAGGTTTGACCTGGGATGAGATAGTCGTCCATGGCTAGAGCTGGAACTTGACGACCGATGAAGAAAGAATCTGCATGGCACACGATCTGATCAGGAAACTCAAACATGATCTCTCCAGCAACATGTTTCTTGAAGCCACATAGAGTTTTGGTTGATCCTTGCTCGAAGAAGACGAGCGTGACTATTCCTTGTCGTCTACGGATTATCGGAAAACAAGAATTGAGTAGAGCCTTGCTCATCATGATTCTCAAGAGATCTTTTGTTTTCACAAGCTGGAAAGTTTTGTATTGTCTTATTATTACGAAAGAGATGAAATAGTTTATATAGAGGGATTAGTCTTTACTCTTTATGGTCTTTGTGTTTTGTTTGTAGAGCAAAAGGCAACTACTTGAAGGAGGGTTGACTTTTGAATGGTCAAAGGCTAGCTACATTGGTGTTTTTTATTTTATTTTGCATTTTTGCATACGATAATCTGAAGTGGCCTCGTTGGTCAATCCTCTCGGCTTTTCGCACATTTATTTGTTTTAGTTTGTCGGTTTAATAATGCAATTTTAATTAGAAAAATATTGCATAGAGTCGTGGAAGTGGTTACAGTACAAGATCCAAATAATTTAATTTAGTTTTGATATTTCATAATCATTACAACACGTTAAAACCGTGGCTGGATTTCGTGACAACTGTACCATAATGACGAATTAGATAATGGTCCAGATCCATACTCTCTTATCACACACACACACTATACAAGTTATCCCATTATTTTCCTTGTGTTTGTTGTCCAGTTTGACATCGCAAAACATATGGCACACGTATAACCACATCACTCGACCTTTGACATTCGACGATTCAGAGATATGGTCTATGGTCTTTTTTGTATTTCCCTTACTTTAAAGGCGACAACTTGAACGAAGAGGATATCCATAAGGGTTTTGAAATTACTGTAAATCTTTCGTAATAGTTTATCTATTTCAATCATTTCAAACCAACAGAATCCCCAAATTTGACTAGGAGGGGGAAAAGGTGATAAGCTTTACCTAAGTCTTTTATTTGCTTTGTTTAGTTGTCTGATTTTGAGAAAAAAAAAACCACCCTAGAAATTTTATAAAGAGTAAAAACTTTTTAAAAAAAAAATTATTTATATGGTTGATTCTATAAAAATGGGCCTCAATGTAATGGGCACAAAAATTGTATACCCAAAAGAGGACGTAGGCTAATTATATAACAGATTTATTACAAAAGACACGGGCCTTATTGTACATGTTGGGGGTTCAATAAAAGGTAATGCACAGATGAATTTTAGTACTTAGTACATTTGTCACATTGATGCCGGTGACAGACTCAAATCCAACCTCTTGCGGCAATTGAAGTCATTTGTCTTGGCCAATTTCATAATCATTTATCTACTCTTAATTATGAGTCCCTAGTAAATTAACATATATGGTTCGAGGTTTTTCTCCCAACTATTCTCATATTTATTTTTGTTAGTTAGTTATATAATTTACAACTAAATTATAAGATTAAGTTTTCATATATATTTTTCATATATCTAAGTATGGCGCGAAACAATGATCTAATTTTAAATATGAATTAGTTATTTACATAACATATTTAGTTATAGTTTCAATAAATGCTTAAAATTTCAGGTTTGTAATTAAAAATAATACCGGCTTTTTTCGTGTAAGGCACGAAACATATAAAGTAATATAATTCAAATTATCTTAATAAATTAATATATTTAAATTTATAACAATTACACCATTTAGAACTAAATCAAAATTTTTTTTTTTGTGATATGTATATAGTTTATTTAATATCATGGTGCGACAAATTATCTAGTAAAAATTAATGTTAACACAAATCAAAGTATTGCTAAACTAGATTATAAAAAAACATTAGATCCTAATGTAGTAATGTTTAAAGCAAAAATAAAATAAATAAAAAAGGAAAGATTGATTTTTTTTTTTTTCTCGTCTGTAGAATCCGCCTTTTGGTCTCTCTCTCTCTCTATCTTTTTTTTTTTTTCCTCTTCGCTAGAAAACTGCGTAGTAGATCATATGCCATGTCTCTCTAGATTCTCTGCCTCCCGATTTTTTTTTCCTTTTTCTCACTTTCTCTCGCGTCAGCTCACCATCATCATCCTCAAGCCCAGGCATTCTCTGATTCCTCTTCTTTCAACGGCGGCTTCTTCTTTTTTGCTAATCGGATCGACTTTTTTTCGATTTTGAGCTGAAAGATAAAGTGTAAATGTGTTGGAGTTGCTTGGAGATCGACGATCATTGTTACGAATAGTTGATTGATTGATTCCGTGAATGTATATAGCCTTTGATTGTTTCTTTGGGATTTGTATTAGCTTGAGCAAGTGTGGATTTCGCCGAGGTTTTGGGTTGATGGAGGGTTTCGATTCTGAGGAGCTTCGTTGAGATTTTTTTTTGTCTTTTGGTTTATGTCGAGAAACGGAAGGATGGCTTCGGATCTTAGTAGAGCTGGTCCTGTGGAGAGAGATATCGAGCAGGTTTGCCAATTGTTCTTCTTCTCCGCATATGTCGATGTTGTTACATGTAAATTGAAGCCATATTTATCTTCTATTGAATCATTTATGGATAGTCTCTTCGGAATTTGATATATATATGTCTGTCGGGCGAATTTGTTCATTTGGGATTTCTTAGGTTAGAGAAAGAGTGTATCCTAGGCGAATCCTTTTGAACTGGCTTAGATTTTTAACTCCAATTTCACCTTAATCATGGAGTCCTGTTCCACTTAAAGCTTTGACGAGCTTGGTTTAAGCTATGGAAACTTATTATTTGTGGAATTATATCTTTTCATTATTCGGATAGTAATTTTTATATTTCTTACCATTCAGCTTCGAGTTTTATTAAAAGCAATTATCATGGACACAAATCTGTTAGCTTCCTTTTTTTATTTATTGCCAAGACTCATACTTCAGTGTGTGCACTGCTTCTTATATTTTGTGTCAACTATTTCTTCTGATGTTACTATTTTGAGCTGATAACTCCATTGCAAAGATTCACCTACGTAGCTTATGGAATGCTATTTGATTGAATCCAGGCGATCATTGCCCTGAAGAAGGGAGCTTACTTGCTTAAGTACGGGAGACGAGGGAAGCCTAAGTTCTGCCCGTTTCGCCTTTCTAATGTAAGTCATGTTTGGTTCAATTTTATTAACCTCCGTTTTTAGTGTTAGCAGTGCTGCACGTTAATAGTTCCCAGTTCGTTATCTTTGGTTTATTCATTGATGGGTGGTGGTATTTATTTTGCAATCCTTTGCTATTACAACTTAGTTTATGTGTAGCTCGTTGTTTGGTGTTTAAGAAATACTGGCCTTTAACTTTCAGGATGAAACTGTTTTGATATGGTTCTCTGGAAATGAGGAGAAACATCTGAAGCTGAGCCATGTTTCTAGGATCATATCTGGACAACGCACTGTAAGATCATTTGTGGATGATGTGGTTTTAATTCTCTCTTGAGCTTGCAGTGAAATACTTAGAACAAATTCATGAGGACCGTAATATTCATTAATGTAACTTTTCATGTGTCAATTTCCATAGTTCAAGGGTGCAAATTCGTTTTATACCTATCTAGTTTGACATCTTGATAATTTTAGCAATATTGGTTCTTGTAGCCTATCTTTCAGAGGTATCCTCGTCCCGAGAAGGAATATCAGTCGTTTTCACTAATATATAGCGAGAGGTCTCTGGATGTGGTGAGATTCTTTAAATTATTTACTTTTTTGGCTTCTGTATTAAATAGTTACCCTGTTGTTTAAATGTTACTGTGGAGATTTGAAGTTAATTAATCTATTTGGTAGATATGCAAGGATAAAGATGAGGCTGAGGTGTGGTTTACTGGTCTTAAGGCCTTGGTCTCGCATTGCCATCAAAGAAACAGGAGGACTGAATCAAGAAGTGACGGTACACCATCTGAAGCTAATAGCCCGAGAACGTATACCCGAAGAAGCTCTCCTTTACACTCTCCATTTAGTAGCAATGACAGTTTGCAGAAGGTATTAAAATTAGTTTTCTGCCTACACTTTTGTGCATGTGAACGCTAGCTAAATATATTTTCGTTTACCTTTCAGGATGGCTCTAATCATCATCGCATTCACAGTCCATTTGAGAGCCCGCCTAAGAATGGCCTGGACAAGGCATTTTCGGACATGGCATTATATGCAGTTCCTCCAAAAGGGTTTTATCCATCAGACTCTGCAACTATTTCTGTTCATTCTGGGGGCTCAGATAGCATGCATGGACATATGAGGGGCATGGGCATGGATGCTTTTAGAGTTAGTATGTCAAGTGCTGTTAGTTCATCGAGCCACGGTTCTGGTCATGATGATGGAGATGCATTAGGAGATGTTTTCATCTGGGGGGAAGGCATAGGAGAAGGTGTTTTGGGTGGTGGAAACCGTAGAGTTGGAAGTTCATTTGAAATAAAAATGGATTCCTTATTGCCAAAAGCTTTAGAATCTACAGTAGTTCTTGACGTCCAAAATATTGCTTGTGGTGGACAGCATGCTGTCCTTGTGACAAAACAAGGAGAAAGTTTTTCTTGGGGAGAGGAATCTGAAGGCAGGCTTGGCCACGGTGTTGATTCCAATATTCAACAACCAAAGCTCATTGATTCACTCAACACCACAAATATTGAGCTTGTAGCATGTGGTGAATTTCATAGTTGTGCAGTCACTCTATCAGGAGATTTGTATACCTGGGGTAAAGGAGATTTTGGTATTCTTGGACATGGAAATGAAGTTAGTCACTGGGTCCCTAAGAGGGTTAATTTTCTGTCGGAAGGGATACATGTGTCATCTATTGCTTGTGGACCTTACCACACAGCAGTGGTTACCTCTGCTGGACAGTTGTTTACTTTTGGTGATGGGACCTTTGGTGTTTTGGGCCATGGAGATAAAAAAAGTGTTTTCACACCTCGGGAGGTAGACTCTTTGAAAGGTCTTCGCACTGTCCGGGCAGCTTGTGGTGTATGGCACACAGCAGCAGTTGTGGAAGTCATGGTTGGGAGCTCAAGCTCGAGTAATTGCTCTTCTGGGAAGCTCTTTACATGGGGTGACGGTGATAAGGGCCGGCTTGGTCATGGTAATAAAGAACCAAAACTTGTGCCCACCTGTGTTGCTGCTCTGGTTGAACCCAATTTTTGTCAAGTTGCATGTGGGCACAGTCTAACGGTTGCACTTACAACATCAGGCCATGTCTATACTATGGGCAGTCCTGTCTATGGTCAGCTTGGAAATTCACATGCAGATGGAAAAACTCCAAGCCGTGTCGAAGGTAAGCTTCACAAGAGTTTTGTCGAAGAGATAGCTTGCGGTGCTTATCATGTTGCAGTTTTAACTTCGAGGACCGAGGTTTACACTTGGGGAAAGGGATCTAATGGTAGACTTGGTCATGGAGATGTAGATGATCGAAATTCCCCGACACTGGTAGAGTCGCTCAAGGATAAACAGGTGAAAAGTATTGCCTGTGGCGCTAACTTCACAGCAGCTGTCTGCATTCACAGATGGGCATCAGGGATGGACCAGTCCATGTGTTCAGGTTGCCGTCAGCCCTTCAGTTTTAAAAGAAAGAGGCACAATTGCTATAATTGTGGACTAGTGTTTTGCCACTCATGCACAAATAAAAAGTCGTTGAAAGCTTGTATGGCACCGAACCCGAGCAAACCATATAGAGTGTGTGACAAGTGTTTTAACAAATTGAAAAAGACCATGGAAACTGATGCATCGTCTCATTCTTCGCTGAGTAGAAGAGGAAGCATTAACCAGGGATCAGATCCCATTGACAAAGATGACAAGTTCGATTCTAGATCCGATGGACAGTTAGCTAGATTTTCATTGATGGAGTCCATGAGACAAGTGGACAATCGATATAAGAAGAACAAGAAATACGAATTCAATAGTAGCCGTGTCTCGCCTATTCCAAGTGGAAGCTCTCAACGAGGTGCGCTTAACATAGCCAAGTCTTTTAATCCAGTATTTGGAGCATCAAAGAAGTTCTTCTCAGCTTCTGTTCCTGGTTCTCGAATTGTGTCTCGGGCAACTTCCCCAATATCGAGACGTCCTAGTCCTCCTCGTTCAACTACACCAACTCCCACTCTTTCTGGACTAGCTACACCTAAATTTGTTGTGGATGATACTAAGAGAACCAATGATAACCTAAGCCAAGAGGTCGTTAAGCTAAGATCTCAGGTAACTTTGTTCTCTACCATCTTTTGTTTCTCTTATTTCTATAAGCTCTCACACATTTATGGTTGCAAAAAGATGTTGTTGGTGAAATAGTGTTATTATGTTTCTGTCATTCTGTGTTTCCTGATTATGGTGAATTACATTCCGGGTTTTAATTTGTTGGTTAGATGATGGTATACAGTTTCAGAAGGCCTGGTCGCCAATTTACTTGGTTTCCTGAAGAAACATTTTTTTAAAAAAAATTTTCAAATTTAATTACTGCCTCAGCTAGCCAGTTTCTATTTATGACTTTTCCTTTCTGCTAACCAGTAAATGATATATCAGGTTGAAAGTCTTACAAGGAAGGCCCAGCTTCAAGAAGTTGAGCTGGAAAGAACAGCCAAACAGCTAAAAGAGGCGTTGGCAATCGCTAACGAAGAAACAACAAGATGCAAGGCAGCAAAAGAAGTGATCAAATCACTTACCGCTCAAGTAATTTTTAAGTTTTATAAAAATATGGGTTATGCAGTTAGTGGTTATTTCTTATACTGAATATAAGGATCAACGTAACTATGCAGTTAAAGGAGATGGCTGAAAGATTACCTGTTGGATCAGCTCGGACTGTGAAGTCTCCTCCGTCTCTTAATTCGTTTGGTTCCAGCCCTGGTCGCATTGACCCTTTTAATATCTTAAACCAACCAAATGGCCAAGAATCTGAACTGAATGGCATAAATACCCCAATGTTTTCTAATGGGATCGTGACACCTGTATTTGGGAATGGTGAAGCAACGAATGAAGCACGGAACGAGAAGGAATGGGTTGAACAAGATGAACCTGGAGTGTATATCACTCTTACAGCCTTAGCCGGAGGTGCTAGAGATCTCAAACGCGTCCGGTTCAGGTACAATAGTTTCTTATCTCCCCTAAAAAGAAACAATCAGAATTGTAATGTTCGAAGATTAGACTGTAATTTTATAATACCGTTTTGTTTTCTGACAGCCGAAAAAGATTTAGTGAGAAACAAGCAGAACAGTGGTGGGCAGATAACAGAGGAAGAGTCTATGAACAATACAATGTTCGCATGGTTGACAAAGCTAATGAGGACTTGCCTCACTGAAACTCTTTAACACCAACCAGTTCTCTATTTTTTTTCTATGCCCCGAGTCAGGTGAGTGCAGAATCTCGGGATATAACAACAGATATATATAGAGAGAGAAATTAGATGTTTTTAAGTGCTTCTTTCATTGTAGTTTGGGATTTGTGTGGTGTTGGTTGTGACAAAGTTGTAAATTCTTTATGGTGTCATGCTGTAAATCCTATAAACATACAGTGTTTTTACTCCTTAGAAACAATGCTGAGTAATTGGTTTTCAAGCAGATTTGTTTATACATCATAACATTGGAAACTAAAAAAGTTACTGATATTGTTGTAACCAAAATCAAAGCCAAGTAAAACTGGAACTCAGGTGGTGTCTTCATCTTCCTTGAGCTTGAATTCTACGGATTCAGAACGCCATGGCAAAGGTGATGTAGGTAATGAAGAATGGTAATGGATAGGCGAGTCTGGTGGTGAGCGCCATTGAGTTGAGCATTTCAGCAAATCGCGAAACTCCTCCATTGGTAATTCTTTGAGTTCATCCCAAGTCTGGCTATAATCATCATCCATCTTAGGTAGCAAAAACAGGCGAAAAAAAGTCATAAAAGTTGCTCAAGACCAGGGCTACAACAGGATCTTAGACTCTAAAACTCTAATGGCCTACCTTAACCAATGATCTTAGAACGATTCTCTTATAATTCAACCGAATCTAGATATAGGGAGATAAGGTAAGGGAAAAGCTAATCTTACCTCTTTAATATTGTATTCAGGAATCCCTTCCTTAATGTTGGTATCTGAAAAGCAGAACAAGAATAGGCTTCAGAGAATAAATCAAGCAAAGGAAGCATTAGATGGAAACATTATGGAGAGAAAAAAAGGGATTCTTTCTTCACAAACAATATTACCATGTCCATGAAGGATGATGTGTTCAGAAAAGTAGCTGTCCCACTGGCTTTGTTGTTGTGCTTCAATGCATTTGCTGTGGTCATGCAAGAAACCTTCCTTTGCTACGTCAAAGTCTACTCCCTCAACATTCTTCTTCGTCTTGGAAGAAGCTTGAGGTTGCAATTTTGACTTGTTTGTGATATCATGGAGAGCCTTGCGGCTTCCGAAACCCGCCCCATACTTCTTTGGAGCTGCTAGCGAACTCTTACCTTTCCCCGCAGCAACCACCTCTACAATGTCAAACCAAAAGAAACATCGGAACATGAATCAGAAACATAACAGGTTCCCAGGGGATCTCAACATCTAGAAACAATAGAAATCTTCAATAAAAAATAAGCAAAACACAGATCCGCGTTTGAACATACATTCTCATGCTTGTGACTCTTAGACAGTTATAACATTTTACACAAGATGGACACAAAGCTAAACATAGTTCATATACATGAACCTAAGCACATTATTACTGGACATGATTTTGATATAAAGCTGGAGCGGATTCCAGAATGTATCTCTCTCTATCTATAAGCAATAATAAGAACTAGGATCTCACAATATGAGTCCAAGAGGAAAAAAGACAGGAAATATTTGCAAGTTGGTAGGTCCTTACTAGTATAGTATTTCATATCTTTGTAATCACAAAGATCTTGCCTACCTTAGAGACAAAACGAGTCATCACAAAACACACACTGTCCAAGAAGAAGAAACCAAAAGATTAAAGTAGTGTAGGGGGAGACATTTACTTTTTCCGCGGGCAGCTAATGCATTCTCGTCCTGGAAAATCATCTGCCCGGGAGCAATTGTGTTCGCCATGATCGATCCACCCACTAGTAAATAACCAACCAAATTTTTTTATTGGGTAAATTCTAAGTTAGAAATGAAACCAATACCAAATCGCTTTTTAAGTTTAACACTCACCAGATGTCGCTGAGCGTAAAGAGGAACTTCAAATCAACAGGTAAATAAAATTCGCCCAGAAATACAGAAAAAAAAGAGGAAGAAATCAGGAAGAAGAGAGTGATGGAGAAACGAGGAAGAGAAGGGAATATAGTATTAGCGGTCGAGTTGGGCGGAGAAACATCTGTCGCGATTTGAATTTTTTTAGGGTATGCGAAAATTTTCAAACAAATCGAGCGGTTTAATTATAAATTTATGACATTCTAATAATTTTTATCTTAGTTACTGGATAACTTGATTTTATCTATTTTTTTAATCTAAATTTGATAATTTTTGTTGAATGTTAAATTTGTTAATATAAGAATGGATAATTTTAGTTGAGTGTTAATTATTTTATTTGATAATTTAGATGATTAAATTTGATAAATTTAGTTAGTTACAAATACTTCTTGAGTGGTTTCCTACTTTCCAATTTATGCCGACTTGTGTACCTAATTATCTCATATCTTCAACTTCACTAATCACTATACACTAGTATGTAGATGGATTATGATCACATGATAATACGTTTGCCCTTTGTGTCATTCTTAAATGAGATTTGCGTTTTTTATAAAATCTAAAAACGTTGAACATAGAAAAAAAAACACGTTAACACTTCTTTTCGGATGACTAGTCCCCCCAATTAAGGTATTTTGTCTCAAAACAGATAAACAAACACCCCATTGCGTAAAAACATAAATAAAGTTCCAAAATATGAAACGAATAAACAATAAAGGATTCGGAAGGACGAGACGAGACTCTGACTGACTTTAGGCCATAGAATGATTTTGAAGTATATACATATATCTGCCACTGAATGGTTCAAGTGTCTTTAAACGACTGTTGAGATCAGCTCAAGCTTGGCCACAAGGAGCTCAGTTTCGTTGCGAGCTTAGCACTCTTATAGTCCTCCCGCAGTTGAATAAACCTGCACATTTTTCATTCACATTCCTTTTCAACTCTCTCAGTTCCATTGTTTTTTAATCTAGTTATCCATATAATCTCTTTCTCTTACCTTTGTGCGTCTTTGCGGATGCTTGGACTTCCCTCGAACAAAGTCGGCAGACTATCTGGAGAAACGATGAAGACATTCGCGATTCTGCACTCACACAAGTGATTACAAGTTATTACGATAAAAATAATAAGAAGAAGAAGTAAGGTGACGAGGAGGTCTCAAGAGTGTGTTATTACATTCCCAGAAGCTCAAATTTCTCATCCACCGATGGAGCACTGAAGCTTTTAACAAACTCTATATACTCCGATATGTCACGCTTCAGCCGCAATCCTCCACTGTCAACCAAGTGTTAGTAATCAAAAAACAAAACCAGGCTCTATATTCACGCAGACCTAATGGTTTGATAATTAATGAGGTCAAGAGTTTGATGTGATCCGACAAATTTTTTTATCCCAAGAGGTGTAACTATGTCAAAAATTTCATTTATGTCAGATCAGAGTGAAAAATCAAGAGAGTCTATGTCTACTTTATTAGGTTAGGTTCCTGAATCTGATTTTATGGTTACTTTTGCAGATGTGACTTTAATAAGTAAAATAGAAAAAGACAGATCTGAAATCATACCTTGGATTGAAAGTGAACTTCTGCCAGTGTGTTAGTAGTAGCTTTTCTAACCTATTTCCCTGAAAATAATAAAGAAATCTTCATCTATCTTGATATATAGCATCATTCGAATGATGCAGAAAATAAAATTCGTTTTTAACTATTAATTGGAAGCCACAACAGTTGTGAAAAAAAAGATTGAGTTGGCATTTTATTGGATCGTTCAACTGTTATAATGTTGAACTGCCATCCATAGGTGAGAAGCTAGCAGTATATTGAAACATCGAAGATATCGTACAGAAACTATAGCTTAATGTTATTATATTCTCTAATCCGTCAATGGACAAAGCAATAAAAAACAAAGGTAAGGGAGAATAAGCATTTAGAGTAACAAGTAACCAAAAGGCTTAATGAAATCTTAGGTGATACAAATCATACCAGTTCAGTCAAGAAGGCTTGCTTATTAAGACCTTCCAAGGCAGTGAAGGCTGACTCAAGTACTCGGGAAAGATAAGCCACAACCCTAAACAAGAGAGTGCGATTAGAAATGAAAGTAACAAGTTATTTAGAAAAAAAACAAGAAAAAATGGTTTAAAGAAGAGCGGTGTAGAGACATGATCAATAGAAACCTACTAAGTGCATTAAAATAAACACTTCTGGCTTATCAAAAAAGAAAATAAAAAGGTGACCCGTTAGACCAATTAGCCGAAGGTAGTCTCAGCTAGACCAACCTTATGCAGGCATTTGTTGGGCGGTGGTCAGGTGCAATTCCATCATCAGGTGATTTATAATCGGTAGACTTCTGCTCAGATGAAAGTAGCCTATCAACCTGAAAAAGGCAATATCGGAGTCCTTAAAATGAGTCGAAAGAGAATAATAAGCATAACTCCTAAACCTGTTCAGCGTTGAATCTCATGGATATGTCTGTAGATTACACAAAAAAGCAACTAACCTCAGCCATCACAGTTTCAATGCACTGCTGAAGTCCTTTATAAGCAGCTGCCTCTGCTTTGGACAAAGCAGTTGACATTTCTTCACACGAAGCAGCATGTGCACCATCCACTGGTAGGAGAAGCCGAGATATAGAATTTGCAAAATACTGAAAGAGAAAATTATATTATTAGAATAGTCGTCAGAAGATAGCATTTCCATAGTAGAAGACTGGGTCAAACTGTTCTCAATGGTTGAGTAGCAGACGCCTTCTCATATGTAAAAAACTGATAACCATAAAAGCCACCCAACATGCCTGCTGAACTATAGCAACACTGCTACCACAACGCTGCACAGCAACCATGAAGGATTTAAAGCTACTTTCACCAGCAGCAGCAGCAGCTTCTGCCTGAGAAATAATCAAAGAAATTATAAATAACTCCACCTAACAGTTGAAATAATGCACTTTAAATAGAAGGAAAGAGAAAAGAGAAGGAATTACAGCAGAAGCAGCTGCAGCAGCCACTCTTCTGCTAACGCTTGTGCCCAAAACAAATCTCTCCCTCAATGCTGCAGCTTCAGACAGGCCATCCCTTGCCCGTTCAAGTCCCTCAGTTATGTATACACTCACCTGGAAGAACTCATCATTGCATCAGCAAAATTAATATGAATGGTTCTAGAATCTTATGAACCGCATACCTGGTCTAGCTGGCAAGTAAATATGGCTTTAACATTGGTAGCAAGTGTGGCTGGCTGCACATAGAAATAATTATATGATCAGATATACAATTCCCAATATTACAGTTTACTTATGCCAAATATTTTGGCAAAACTAAATATGTTAGATTATTTCTTTGTCAATATCCTATTCCTACATCTCTTCCCGAAATTCAAAGCAACTAACTTATTTTGGAAAAAAAATCTCATAAAGAGATTTCAGTAACCTGAGATGAAAACAGTGTGCATCTGGTTATTGCTTCTTCATTCCATCGAACAAACTCTGTCACAACGGTGACTGATATCTGCTGTTGAGAAGATGATATTGAGGCCCCTCTAGAGCGTCCTATTGTCCCAGATGACTCTGAGACTTGCTGACTTTCAGCACGTAATTCTTCCATCTGTAGAGAAAAACCCATATCTAAGCACTTTACAATAACACACAAAATAACAACTCAATCAGAAATTTAATTATTCATATTAAACCTTTGCTTGATATAGTTGTTTTAAGGAGGCCTGCTCATGCTCAGGGTATTCATCCTTGTGCGAGGAAAATAAGGACTCTGTCAAATCTGCACAGTCAAAATAAAGAGTTGTCAGCACCGAGGAAAGTTTGCATGACAAAACAAAACTTCTATAACCCAGAAACACATGAGAGAAAATGACCTTCAACATCCAGGTCACCACATCCAACAGCTCGGAGGTCTTTAGCAAGTTCTTGTGTCCTCTCATATGCAACTGCTAACATTCTAAGGTACTAAAGACAAAAACCAGGAGTTAACTTTCTTAAACCAATTCTACTACGAAGATAGACAAAAAAGAAAAAAGGAGGTATCTACACACTAGCAATAGTCCGCCTTCTTGCACAGGTGGTGGACTCATAAGAGAGGGCTTCGCCAAAATTTTGTCGAGAATACCTGTGACACGCTGCTCCAGAACTCTCTGCGTAATATACAAGAAGAGTTGGTATAGCTTATCCATCTGCCAGGTTAACACTACAATGTCCAAATTATCGGGGCCAATTACCTGAACTAAGATTGCCATAACTTCATTTGGAGCCGGGAAAACAGCTGTAATGGTTGCTGCTTCTTTGCGTACCGTGTCTACACATGCGAAGTAACAAAAAATAAGAATCTGCATAGAAGTATGTTTCAAGTATTGCATTCAGATCAATGAAAATTCGTCAGACCTGTAATTTCCTTGTATAAAGCAGAAAGTCCACGGGCAACATTGCTAGGACTAGGCTGAGAACCATGGTCACCAAGAACCAACCTAATGTCTGAATTCATGACTTCCACATCAATAAACATTGGCCTTGTAGCCACATAATGTTGCATAGCACTCGTACCCCTGTTAAACTGAAAATGAAGAAGAAATAAAACTGAGCAACGAGAAGCATAGAGAAGAGGAGCCCTACACATCCATTCCTTATGTGATAGCCTTATGTAGAATTAACAATTATATAACTACAAGATAGTAAGAAAGGCCTTCGCTCAATATATAAGATAAAAAGAACAGGTTTTCCGACGCGGAATTGTAAAGGCCCATGCTGCAGAATAAAGTATTCACCTGTGACAAAATCTTAGCACATTCTGACATGGTGGATAAATCTCTCCGCTGTGATGCAGCATCAAAACGAGATAAAAGCCTGTTCTCCAATTCTACAAAATCACACTCAAATGTCACAAAGACGTCCTCTTCAGTAGATATACATAAATAAACACAGTAAAAACAAATTTGCTTACCATTACAGTAATCTTGAAGATTAGCAACGGCAACCTCCAGTCCTCGGCCAGGGGTAGCATTTCCTGCAGCTGTACCCGCACCTTGCCTTCCAATATCTTCCTCAGCAAAGGATCCTGATATTGACAAAGAGAGCATGGGAATAAATTGCAGCCTAAGTTAACAGTAAACTTTCATTGTTCTGCAAGCGCGAATTAAATAGTATATTAAAAACTTCTGACTCTAGAGACAAATCATACGTAATTTCTGAGCAATAGAAGCAGCCTCAGCTACGCGGCTATCATCAGAAAACAAAGCGGAAAGCTCCATAAGATCCCCTGGGCTGCCGTTGAACTCCATTAGGTACTGCATTTATTGAACAAGGCTTACTTTAAGGATTCATCTAACTAAATATGAGACCACCATACAAACATAGACGCTCTCTTACCTTAATAAGATCTATCGTCTGGCTAGCAGTTTCCCGCTGAGCATCTGCACTCTGAGAAAGGAAGCATGTGTTAATATTGGATAGCTCACCAAAAAGTTTGTTATAGTCTAGATTTATTTACCTGCAAATGATCTCCTATTTTAGCAGCGGTCTGTCCAACACTTGAAATACGCCCGTCCAACCTTGCAAAGCTCTCAAACAGACCATCCACACCCTTCTCTATCTAGAAAGAGAATTCAATTACCATTTGAGGAAAAAATCGGGGCGTCAGTTAGTTATTCATCAGGCAGCCCAAAACAATAAATCAAGGCATAAGTGTTGGTCTGCCAACCTCAGTAAGTGTCTTCCGGTGTTTGGCATCTTGGGTTGAAACTTCCTTCTTTAGTGTGTTGAGCCTTCCATCAACCTTCAGAAAGACTCAGATATCAGAACGAAGAAAAGAAAAAACAAGGGCCTGTAATCAATGTAGACCCAAGACACTCACTTGCTTCCGAAGATCAACTAGCTCCTTGCAAGCATCTTTGAACAGGGACAAAAGACCGTCTACTTCAGGAAAAAAAGGAGCAGAGGACAAAGGGGCAGATTGCCCACGCGAATGCCCATTCGCCAAACCATCAACTCCAGCAATGTTGCCATGGCCATCCCCAGAATCTGCTTCTTCTTCTAGGAAAGACGGCAAGAGGTCGTTTACCAGGTTCCCAAATAATGCATCAAATGAAAAATCACCCTGCGAGTGACCAAAATACTCAAAGTCCCTTATGTTTTAAAAATTAAAAAAAAAAAAAAGCATTAGCAACCCACAAGCTGAAATCCTTACCTTAAAGTCTTCAATGTCAAGAATCAGAGGAACAGAGTTAACGGAGGACGATCTGGGTCCTCTTGCTCTGACTCCTTCTGTCATCTGATAAAACAAAACAAAAACAAAATCCAAAAATTAAAATTGAAAGAAGTGTAGAATCAAGTCTGACAGATCATATATGCAACATTCAATAAATAGGAGAAGATGAGGAAGATGCGTAGGATTTCGGATTATTCAATAATACTTTAAAAATCAAAATTACAGTAGCATATATCTTCTCAGTTAAGAAATCACCACTAATCACTGATTTCTCCGGCGAATGCAATAAATTTAGAGAAAAATCGCACGGAGATTGAGACGGGAAAGGAAAAGTACCGGATGGAGCAACAACCCGGCGGTGGACGAAGAGATCTAGACGGCGGAATCCGGTAACTGCAGGGAGAGAAAGGCGGAAAAGTTGAGACGGTCTACAATGGCGGAGTTGGGGATTTTTCCTTTTTTCTTTTTTTACAACTACGACTACGAGCTCCAGATGAGCTGAGCTGTTAATTTCATGATTTACGACTTCTTTTTTTTTCCCCCGGTTTAAACTGCGGCCGGTTTAAGTTTTCTGATAAACTGTTAAATTAGTTTGCTCGAGCCAAAGTTTGTATTTGATGATTTGCCTGAGAGTTTCAGTATAATATTTTTGGACAATTTGGCTCCAAAGTAGATGCATCACAAAGCTATTGGTTCGTTGATTCACTTACTTCATTACAGACAAGAAAAATAAAACATTTGGGAATTCGGATGCAATAATTTCATCTCATGAAACGGCAAAGTCATACATAAACGGGGGGTATTAATAGAGAGAGTTTCAGATTCACATAGCGTAAACAATCAATGAGCCTTCTGAACATTTATTTGGTCTCAAAAGTATTGTGACCTCACTACTAACTGTTATAAATAAAGAGAGCTCAAAGCAATGGAATCAACATCCACAAGTGATAAATCTGAGTCAAAGATATCTTAAGCAGAATGGCCACCATTGTTTCTCCTCCACATTTCTCCCCTGTTGAAGACGCTGAAAACATCAAGAAGGCTTGTCAAGGTTCTACTCTTATAGACTAGTGTTTCAAATAATTTATGTGATTCAAGCTTCCTTCTATTTCCTTTATTCATCTTCTTTCTCTTATTTGGGTTTTAGGATGGGGAACAGATGAAAAGGCTATCATCTCGATCCTAGGACACCGGAATTTGTTCCAGAGGAAACTCATAAGACAAGCTTATCAGGAGATATACCATGAGGATCTCATTCACCAGCTCAAATCTGAGCTCTCTGGCGATTTTGAGGTCTAGATTGTATATCCATGTGCTCTACTCTGTTAATCATCCACAAAATGTAATTTTCATGGAAATTATATTTGTTACCTGCAGAGAGCTGTTTGCTTGTGGGTCTTGGATCCTCCAGAGAGAGATGCTCTCTTGGCTAATTTGGCTCTTCAAAAGCCTATTCCTGACTATAAGGTACTTGTCGAAATTGCCTGCATGAGATCCCCTGAAGATCTATTAGCTGCTAGACGTGCTTACCGTTGCCTTTACAAGCGTTCTCTTGAGGAAGACTTGGCCTCCCATACTATCGGCGACATCAGGAGAGTGAGTAATTATAAAATTTCAGATGTTTTCTTCTTGTTTTGACCTGATCTCAACGCTTGGGGGGTTTTGATATATACAGCTCTTGGTTGCAATGGTGTCTGCCTATAAATATGATGGAGACGAAATTGATGAGATGCTGGCGAAATCAGAGGCTGCGATTCTTCATGATGAAATCCTTGGTAAGCCTGTTGATCATGAAGAAACGATCAGGGTATTAAGTACAAGGAGCAGCATGCAGCTTAGCGCTATCTTCAACAGCTACAAGGATATATTTGGCAAATCCATCACTAAGGTATACAAAAAAAAAAAAAAAAATGGACATCAAGTGATGTTATAATTGACAACTGATCTCAGACAAAGCAATCAATGGGAAACTTTTTTTGACAACAATAAAAAGACTTTTGGAATCAATTTGGGGGAAATAGAGTAATCATACCTGTATTTCTTCATTGACAATGTCTTTTCAATACCCGTAATGAAACTTTGATGGCCAGGATCTACTCAAACACCAAACAAATGAGTACCTGAGTGCACTACGTGCAGCCATTAGGTGCATCAAAAACCCTACCCGGTATTACGCAAAGGTAACATACAACAATAATTTTTAGATGTGGTCTCTAATTTATCCCAATACAACTAACTGGTAGTCATTTGTTTATCTCTTTTGCATCTAGGTTTTGCGCAATTCAATCAATACAGTGGGGACTGATGAAGATGCTCTGAACCGTGTGATTGTCACACGAGCAGAAAAGGACCTGAAGAAGATCACTGAGCTGTATCTCAAGAGGAACAATGTGAGTTTTGATCAAGCCATAGCAAAAGAGACATCAGGGGACTACAAGGGTTTTCTTCTAGCCTTGCTAGGACATGGAGAAATTTAGAGTTCATCCTCCACTTAAAACCTTAAGAAAGTAGCATTCTTCTAATTTCTAGTACGGAATAAAAATATATTCAAGGCTAAAGTAATAATAAAGTTTATGTTTGATGCTTCCTCAATCAAGTTATGTTGTTTAGCTTTTTAAGTATTTCATAGAAAAACAGGATTTACATAATTTCCCCTTAGTAAAGACATCGTTTGAAGGATACAAAGAAACTAAACAAACTCACTGAAGATCAGGGAAACATATACATGTATGGGTTCTTTCATCCTCAGCCTCAGCGTACGAAGGCTGCAGCAATACCAGCAACAAGCCCTACAGCAGTAATAGCAATTCCAATGCCGATAACACCATCTGCTTTCAAAAATCAGAAGAGAGCTAAGAGAAAGCAGATGAAGACTTAAATGGACGAGGAAGATGAATGACACAAGTACCATGTAAATTACCTTTGACAATACGGTCCTCTATAGCCTTTTTTAGTGTCTGAGCCTGTCCTGACTCCGGTTCAACCTAAAACCACAAGAAAGTAAAAGAACGCATAGATGAATACATCAACAATAAGATACTGTGGAGTAATCCATGGATCAGATGATCAAACCTCCAAACACCGTTCTATACAATCCCGGCTTCTTGAATAGTCACCGCTTCGATAGTAACCAACAGCAAGGAGATATAGCTTCTCCCTGAGTTTCATTGCACTTGAATCATTAACCACCGAAGCTGCGAAAACAAAGCCAAACACTTTGCTGCTATCAAACCAATAACATGATTCAAATCATCCCACCTTTGGAAGAATATTGTAGACATAAGCTAAATATTACCTTCAAGCATTGCTACGCCACGCTGAATATCACCAGGCATCTTTGAATGAACAAGAGCCCATGAAAGACGCATGATGCATTCCTTGGTACGTCCTTCGTCTTGAGCTTTCTGAGCCTCTGCAAGTTCTTTCTCACACCCCTGAAAATGAAAACACGTTATGTATGGATATGTCAAAAATCTAATCCAGGTCACACCAGAGATCGCATTGTGCAACGGCAATTAAAGGAAAACACTTATTTCATCCACCTAAAATGAAGCAACGCGACAAAAATCCAAAATAGCTATCGAACAATTAAAAATTCGTAATAAATCTAAGGAACAGAGAGGCGGCGTACGGAGATGATGTCGGTATCGCACAAGGGGAACTCATCGGAGGAGGCAGAGGCAGCGCGGGAGAAGAAGTCTGAGACGGAATCGAAAACCTTCCCTATGGCCGCGTCCATTTTTCCTGTCGCAGCTCCAAGAATATTGTTTCCGCAGTTTTCGTAACGCTTCTCACCCTTTTTCCCCTTGTGCAATTATTTTTTCTTTGACGAGATATTGACCGTGTGATCAAAGTTTTGCGTTAATTTATAGTTTTAAACTCTTTTCTAATGGATATTATCGTACATACATTCCCTACTAAATTACTAATGATTTTGGTTTTGACTTTAGGATGTACAAGTATCTGACTATATTGAAATCAATATACAACACATATTAACCTAAATATCTCTATTAATAATAACATTGAACTGTTTCAGTTGAAAATACAATAATATTTTTACCATATTTTTGTACCTTTATATTTATGAAAATTAGACAGATTTAAATATTTAAACAATTGAAAATAATAAAATCTACCTGTAAAAATCATCATCACAATTCACACATGTAATGAAATTAGTAGTTAGTTAAGAGTGCCAAATTTATCAATCATTTATCCTAAGGTGAAAAAGAAAACATATCACACATGACCATTGAGTCATTGACCCATTAAAAGAAAAAAAAAAAAAAAAAAGGGGGAAGAGAGTGAGGGAGAGAGATGGCCTTCTCTTCCTAACATTGACCAACCCGTCTTTGTTTCTTTCTTCTCATCACTGTGTGAAAGAGAGAGAGAGAATTCGTTAAGGCGTTTCGTTTCGTTTCGTTTCTCTCATTCTCTGTAGACGAAGAAGAAGAAGAAGTAGAAGAATTCTCTTTCTACTTTTCTGAAATATAAGAAGAGAGAGAGAATATATATCTTTTTTCTCTCTCTCTCTCTCTCTCTCTCTCTCCCCTTGCACGTTGCAAGCGTTTCTAGAAAAAAAAAAAAAAAAAAGTGAAAAACCCAGCGCTCCACCTGACTTTGGCTATGCGTTTTCTCTGATTCGCTTGTTTCGTGAAGCGAGAGCAAGCTTTTTTTGTTTGCAGCAATGGACTTGGTGGGAAAATTCGTTAAAAAGGAGATCGAAGGGATTGGGTTTTGCTCCGGGACGGTTCGATCTCGCGATTCGTCTGGATTTTTCGAGATCGTTTATGACAACGGCGTTACCGAGATTTCCGAATTGGCTGAGGTTGTTGCTCTCGTGACGGGAGATGGTAAATCTCAGGAGAATTCGGTTCCAGTGAAGAAGAGAGTTGGTAGGAAGCCGAAGAAACGGTCTCGTGTCGCCAGGATGATTGAGACCAAGCGAGATAGCTCTGGTTTGAATGAGGTAAATGTCGATTTAAATGACGGGGCTACGGAGAATTCGGGAGTTAGTGATGTCAATTTGAGAGGGAATGTTGATTTGAATTGTGGTCCTGTGGAAACCCTAGGTAGGACATGGGACTCTCTGACAGATTTGAATAGGACGGTGCCGGAATCGGATACTGGGTTTGATCTCACTACTGGGTTGGATTGGAGCTCGAATGATGGTCTAGGTTTGATTAATGTTAATATCGATTACGAGGACAAGGAGAATCGTAGTGACAAAGGGAGGAGAAATATTGATCTGAACATGGATGCGAGCTGTGATTTGGACAATGCTGGTGTCCTTGATTTAAACGCACCCAAGAGGGAGGGAGGATTTGATTTAAACGTGGAGGTTGATATAGAGAGCATCAATGATGACGATTGCATTCAAATGAATGGAAATGACTTCGTTCAAGAAGTCAACATGCGGGACGAAAATGGTGTTCAGGATAATCTTGAGACTGGAGAGTATAAAGAAGTTCATGTTGCTGAAGTATCTAGCGCTCAGCTTTTGGAGGAGATACAGAAGCAGAACATTGTTTCACTGCAAGATCTCAATACTCCTAGTTCTAACGGGCCTGAGCAGGATCATGATTTGCCTGAGCAGGATCATGATCTGCCTGAGCATGATGCTAAGCCTGTTAATGAGTCTCTCTCTGATAGGGGAAATTCAGATGAATATACGAGTGGTAGGAGGAAAAGAAGAAAAGGTGCGGACAATCCAAAGTTCACCAGTCAACCTCGGTTGAGAAGAAGCGCTCGTAGAAGGATAGCTCAATCTCCTGTCAGTAGCACTGTAACAGCTTGCTTAGCCAAAGAAGTATCCCCTTCCCCTTCAGTTAGTAGTCTGACAGAGGAGAAAACTTGGATTGTTAATAGAAAAACTGAGGATATATCTGTGCTTCCGCTAAAGCCACAATTACCTCCATCCTCGCGTCTTTTAAATTTAGACGGTCTTCCCATACTTGATGTCTTTACTGCTTACTCTTGTCTGAGGTCCTTCAGTACTTTGCTGTTTTTGAGTCCCTTCGAGTTGAAGGATTTTGTGGAAGCATTGAGATGCGTGTCTCCCAGTCTATTATTTGATAGCATCCATGTTGCTGTCTTGCAAATATTAAGAAAACATCTGAAACAACTCGCTGCTGAAGGTGACCCTTCTGCCTCTGCTTGCTTGAGGTATACTTTTATTTCCTCTCTTTAGTAGGCTAGTTTTACTGTTGTTTTATGGATATGAAGCTTCTCTTGTTTTGGTAGTCATGCTTTGTTGGTGGTGTTGAATGCAGGAGTCTTGACTGGGAGACGTTGGATGTGGTTACTTATCCCCTTTTTGTGGTCGAATACCTACTATTTTCTGGCACTAAAGACAACCCTGGATTGGATCTTACTCGGTTGAACTTTTTCAGAAATGAGTATTTCAAACAACCCGTGAATCTGAAAATTGAGATACTGGGTCGTTTGTGCGATGATATGACAGATGCTGAGGTTGTGAAGTCAGAGCTTAATAAAAGATCTTTTGCAGTGGAGTTTGAAATGGAACTTGATAGGAAGACAAACACAGAAATGCGACGCAGAAAGCGAGCTATGATGGAAGATGATCTATCTTTAAATAATGGGGTCATTGATACCTCATTTGACCGGAACAGTGATGACTGCTGTTTTTGTAAAATGGATGGGAGCTTACTGTGCTGTGATGGTTGTCCTGCTGCCTATCACTCTAAGTGTGTCGGTCTTGCGAGTCACCTTTTGCCTGAGGGTGACTGGTACTGTCCTGAATGTGCATTTGATCGGCATGTACCAGGATTGAAGCCGGAAAAGCAAATCCGAGGAGCAGAGTTTATAGAGACTGATCCGCATGGCCGAAAATACTACAGCAGTTGTGGCTACTTATTGGTGTAAGTTTCTTACTTTGGTTCTCTTATTTAAGGAAGGGTAATTCATTATCTCAGTGGGATCGATATTGTTGATTCACCACTATAATTGTTTTTATGGTAAATATACGTAAATATTTTATCAATATTAGACAAAATATTTTTTTGTCACAATTTTGGGATGAATTCTGACGAGCATTGTAGACACATGTTGGTTTTTGGTTTTAAAACATTACCCCATAGGTGAAGGTCTTAGGATTACCTAGAATGTCCAGATAACATAATAACACTGTAAAAAGTATGGGTTCTTCCTTTTTCTTGTTCGTTATTTAAATGTGAATTTGATCCCTTAGTATCCTTTAATGTATGCAGATGTGGAATGTTTTTATTATCTACTTCTAGAAACTTATTTTATATGTTATACATCTTCATAGGTTGGTTGATGCCGTCTACTACGATTTTGCAGGATAGATACAGATGATACGGGGTCATTGAACTACTATCATGTGAATGATGTGAACCTTGTGTTGGAGCAGCTAAAGTCATGCAGTAGTCTCTATAGTGGCGTAATAAGTGCAATTAAAAAATACTGGGATATCCCTGCAGGGCCAATAAGGACAATCAGCAGTGGGAACTCGCAAATGTCTTTATGCTTGGATAAGTCAGCCAAAGGAATGATTTCTTCTATTGATGGGTTTAAGGCTCCTCTACAAGCTTCAGAAAAACAGACAACATCTGGTGTTAAAAAAAAACTGGAAAAAACACCCATCAATGGATTTTCACATAATCATGGTCATAGGACTCGTCGGAAGATTTCAGATTCAGCTACTGGGCTAGAAAATCTTAATATGAGTTCTGAAGGATCTGCTGAAACTGTACAAAATGGTTCGGATGTCCAGAGACTGCAGGAGCCAGCATCATCAAGCATTTTGGATAACATGAAAGAGCCAGATATGAATATCCATTTGTCGTCCCATAATTTGGCTAGAATAAATACACGGAAAGGAATTAAACCGATTGTGCAGTGTGAAACTGGCTACAGAAACCATTACATTTTTGCTCAGATGACTACATCAGTTTATGAAGAGATGACACGTAAGTCACCAATCCGTACAAATGATATGAAATCTGATGAAGAAATAGCTTCTACCCAGGTGAAGACTATATTGATGAAAACCACAAAATTTCAATGGCGAAACATCCAAAGCCTTTACCTAGATGCGTGGAAAGAAACATGTGGATGGTGTCATTCCTGCAAAAATTCTTCTGAGGTTGCGGGTAGTGAGACAAATTGTTTGTTCAATTTGAGTCTCGGGGATTTACGGGGTCTTTCGGAAAGTGAAGTAGCTAACATTCAATCCATTGAGAAGAACAGACATCTTTTGGCCATCATATGCCAGATTCTTTCCATGGAAAGTCGATTGCAAGGACTTTTGGTTGGTCCATGGTTGAATCCACGGCACTCCAGCATTTGGCGTGAACACATTCTGAAGGCATCAAATATCTCAAGCTTGAAATATTTATTGGTAGAAGTAAGTTTTTTCAGAAGTTTCTTCCTCCCACAACCTCATTTTGCATTGGCATATAGGACTGTTTCTAAGTTGAACCATTGTATTGGCAAAAGCGCAAATATCCTAACAACCACACTAACTTGCCCATGTGAAGCTTTCATATTCTAATTTCTTCATTATGTTCCTCTGCTGTGTAGAACTTTTGTTTTGCCTCGTATTCTCCCTACTTGATAAGCTTGCAATAATCAATCTCTGTTTACCTTTATTTTATCTTGGCCTGGAATGTTGAATGTTTTGTTACTTCTCCACTTTCTTATGACTTAACTATCTTCAAAAGCTTTAGAGTATGAACTCTTGAGCACCTGATGTTTTGTGTAATGCATTAGTGCTAAGCTAGGGGTGCATCAGTTTTTGTTTCCTAATAAATGATTTTGTTAATTACCCTTTGCACAGTTAGAGGCCAACTTGCATCATCGTGTACTTTCACTTGAGTGGCTAAACCATGTCGATGCTGGCGTAGTAATGGGCTCAGCAATACATATTCTTATTGCTTCAACACGATCATGGTCAAAGACTGCTATTGGTAAAAGAAGGGGGACATTGTTGGAGTCTGGTGTTAACCCTACTGCGAAGAAAAATGGTGGATTGACCATGTGTTGGTGGAGAGGTGGGCAACTTTCACGGCGGTTATTCAACTGGAAGGTTTTGCCTCGCTTGTTAATCTCGAAGGCTGCTAGACAAGGTATACATTTTCTCTTTTGTTCTTCTACCATCTTTAACAAAGATTCTGTTCCTGTGACTTCCATTTAGTTGTTTTCATTCTCCATGCACTTTACTTTATGCAGGTGGAAGTATGACCATTCCAGGAATATTTTATCCTGAAAATTCAGAGTCCGCGAAGAGAAGCCGACGTGTTGCGTGGGAAGCAGCTGTTGAGTCATCTACAACTTCAGAGCAGCTTGGTTTGCAGGTAATACAAACTTGGTCAAAATGAATGTAATCCTTTTCTCGCTGGTATGAAAAATACCAATGTCACAGTTTCTGAGGGTATATGGGTAATACACTTCCTGATACGAATTTCTGTTTCCAATTTCATCTACGCATGAATAATATTGGTGTCAAATCTATTAATGTTTTGAGTTTGTCATTCATCCATATGATTTACTGTTACTTGGATTCTTCTTCAGCTAACAATTTAGTGATTACAGGTGAGGACACTCCAATCTTACATAAAGTGGGATGATATTGAAAATAGTCATCTTCTTCCTACATTGGACAAAGATTCCAGAAAATCTGCCAGGCTATTCAAAAAAGCAATTGTCCGTAGGAAGTGCACAGAGGAAGAAAATGTAAAATATCTCCTTGACTTTGGTAAGAGGAGAAATATTCCAGATGTTGTGTCGAAGAATGGTTGCATGGTTGAAGAATCCTCGAGTGGAAGAAAAAAGTTCTGGCTGAATGAATCACATGTGCCTTTACATCTTGTGAAAGGATTTGAAGAGAAAAAAGCTGTACGAAAAACTAGCAAGCCAGGAGGCTCTTTCAGACACTCTAAGATAGACAAAGTACGGAAAAGGTCTTCAGAGCGAAAAGGATTTTCATACCTATTTGAAAGGGCAGAAAGATCTGATTCCTCTTTGTGTGAGCAATGTAAGAAAGATGTGCCTTTGAGGTATGTACATATCAGTCTATCACATCCTATCTTGAGTGACCTTTATGTCAGTTTGCTCTGCTTGGAACCTAGTAACATGGCCTACAGAACATATCGTCCTTTACTTTTTGTTTGTTGAGTACAGATCTTTTTTAACTGTTTTTTATCTGCTTTTCTTTGATGACAGTGAAGTTGCAAGCTGCCACATCTGCAAAAGTGAGTTCCTTTTCTTGTTATTTTTGTTAAAGATTTATTTACTGCAAAACCTATGCTTGTGTAGGTGATCTGATAAGAACCATAGCCCACAATAACATAAACCAAACTCCCACAAGACATAGGTTAAAGGAACTAATCATCTTAAAACCTGACCTGCCTGATCCAACCTGGAAGAAAATTCGGTCTAGGATAGCTTATGTCACCGGTTCAGTGATTGAAATTTTAGAAATCTATTAAAAATTTCATAATGATTGAAACATCAACCTGGGAAAACAATAATATGGATATTTCGTATCATTTTCTTGAATTGAAAACAATTAAATAAGTATTTTGCAGTTTTTATGCACAAAATGACAAGATATAATTACATGTAACCTGATACAGTTTACTAATACACGTGATCCCCTTTAGAGTTTAGACAATGCAAATTTACTCCAAAGGGTAACTTGAGAGTGTGGGTGCCCTTAGAATTGTAAGCACTAGTTAGACTCATTCCCACCCAAGAGGAGACTCCCTAACATGATCGTCCATAGATACTAGTTCTTATTGATTTTATATTTGATAAAATTTCAGGAGTATTTCACAAAAAGCATATCAGGAGAGCAGAGAAGGAGGGCATGTACGTCTGTCTTCCATGCAAAAGTGAAATGGTAGCAAAAGAGCAACCCATTGTACGAAAAAGAGGGCGCCCCCCAGGGAGTTTCCGAAAAAAAGTTGGAGTTCAGACACAAAAGCGTAAAAAGGTCATACCTGCTCGCAAATCACCTCGGCTAAAAAAGACTAAGACCTCAATGGCAGAGAGAATTGCCATAAGGTTAAAGAATCATAAAAAGGTTGTTGCAAGCAAACCATTGCGACGTTCTGGCAGGCAATCAAAGCATGTTATTCGGCTGCAGGATGAAAGTAAAGTTCCTGGAGGGAGTAAGAAACGAAAACTTGAAACCAAAAGAGGCAGAGGGAGACCGAAGAAAGTAAAACAAGAGCTCTCCATCAGAAAGGAGAGAACAGAAAGGTGCTTGAGCTATTGGTTGAATGGACTCCTGTTGTCCAGAAAGGCTGGTGATGAACGGGTCCATAAGTTCCAGAGAGATAGATATCATATTCCCTTGGAGAACTCTGACTCTAATCATCATCAACCTAAGTGTCACTTATGTGGCTTGATTGAATCTGAATCTGAATCAACTTTCATTGCATGCGAAACCTGTGGAGGTAATCCATTTTCTTATCTACTTTTGGTTCATATTGCAAGAGTTGGTTTCTTTTCGTTGCTTAGCTTTTTTGTTTTTGTTTTTGTAATGTATGTAGAATGGTACCACGGAGATGCTTATGGGCTTAACGAGAATAATTTAAGTATGGTGATTGGATTCCGGTGCCATCTCTGTCGCAAACATTCTTCTCCCATCTGTCCACATATGAGATCTACTACATCCCCTGTTGAATCCTAAGCTGTGAATTTGGTTAAGGTTGATATAAGATTCTTAGGCTGTGGGGTTCAACTAGAAGAATCAGTCAGGTGAAGGTGTAAATTGCGAGATGTCTATACAATTATGGGTGAAGAGTATGAGTAGAGAGGATCAAGGAGAAGTAGAAACAGAGGAGGGTACATTTTGGTGGAAGCATGAAGTTAGTTTGGCTTGTTGGGACTGGTAACTTGGATGAGTAGGTACTAAAGTGAAGTGGTTGACTTAGACTTAGAGTGAACAAAGGGGGATTTAAGAACCAGAGTTGATTTATTTAACCTGATTTAATTTTGCATTTCAATATCTGAGGGAGTCGGGAAACAAGTGATGGTATGTAAAGAATATGTAGAATTCCATTTTCTATCAAAATCCATTGGTTGTGGTGTTGTTAACTAAGGGATGTGCACCCTTATCTAAATTCATCACAAAGGCCAAATACCTTAGCTCTCATTATTTACAATGGTGGATGCATATGCTCTGCATTCTGGTTTTTCTCTTAGTTAATATACCATATAGACCAATTTCTGTGTCTAGGTAATGTCCCTGAGATCAATAGGCAACTATGAAAGTTCTCAACTTCGCTTGACTTTATTCCTTCGTAAAATGGATTTGCTTATGTTTTCTGTTTATTTAGGCAAAAGGGTAACCAAATCAGATTCATTTCTTAAACCTGGTCATTTTCCTTGATTCAAGGGCCAATCAACGATTTCTAAACTATGTGATTGTATTTTACCAACATGCTCTAGGATCTAAAGGGAAACTTCATCTAACAACTTTATTGATCAGAAAAAATAGGATCTAAAGGGAAACTTCAGCCATTTTAGTAAGTCAGAAACTCTATAACACTACCAGATAGCACAAAGCATATTTAGTCTTAAGAAACAAAACATAGATAAACATCCAAGAAGAGGAGATTGCGTCAATTGGTGGACGTGAGCTGTCTGAGGTTGTACTTTGCTAGCTCCTTGTATTTCTCTACCACTCCAATTAAGCACACTGTCTGTAAATTGCAAAACAAAACCCAATTTGAGTTTATACCCAACCAATCTGATGATGCAAAACACAGAATTTTCTCCTTGTTTTACCTTAACAATTTCCACAACGATCGACATCTCTGGATTGCTCAAATCAACTTTGTGAGGGGCAGGAATAGATTTCGCGATTGTGTTTATTATTTTCATCCTATCAAGTCCCGTGTTTGCACGCGCTCCATACAACACAGCAAACTGCAGGAATGGTAAAAGAGAGGTAAACATTTCGGAATCTAGGAAAGAGTACGCAAAATGATCCTTATAGTAGGTATTATTACTTTCCGGGGGTTACTGGTCTCAACGGGGAAGTACTGTTCTACAAGAGGCTTGATGGCTCTCGAAATTTCTTCCTCTGAAGGGTAACACGATACTTCAATTGGTAGAAGTCTTAGGATGAACCTAAGCAACACAAGTTATATTAACAATGAACCCAATAATGAGATAATAGTAATAGAATTCTTGGTATGATGGAGTTTTTTGAGTAAGATCAAACCTTGACATATGCTTTTTTGTTGCAGCAGCAGATGTCATTGCATGCTGTGCAATATCTTTGGGACTAGGGTCACCATCTCTCCTTTTCATTTGGATGAATACCAGACCGTTGCAACCCGGATCTAACTTCATAAACCGTCTCTGCCAAAAATGGATAACATGAGTCTTACAATCCGCAAAGAGATAAAAACATAGACTAAAAAAAAATTTCAGGACAGCTCCTGTCATATACCCATAGATGATAACTTAGCTTAGCTTACCTTACTCTTGTCTCCGAGTTCTTTTAGTTCAGCTTCGATCAACTTGTCAATAGACTTCTCAGCATTTTCGTTTACTTTTGCCAATGGATTTGCTTCTTCCATACATGCCTTCTTTCTAGGAGGTTCATCTACACCGTTCTTCTGTTTCTCTTCATCTACTTTGTCTTTTTCAGCCTCAGTTTCTACCAATGATTTAACTCCACATGATCCTTCACTCGCTAATTCTTTCTCAATCACTTGACTATCACTGCCTTCAGTCACTTCTTTCTTCTCCCCATCCCCTTTGTTTTCCTCTTCCTCTGCATCATTACTCTCATCTTCCTCCCCATCCCCATCCTCATCCTCATCCTCATCCTCGCTATATGAAAACGTAACCTTTTTGTTTATTGGGTTATCAAACAAACCAGGTTTTGCTTTCGAGTCAATCCCATGCATTAGCTCCTCGAAAAACTGCAAACCCCAAAAGAACAACATTTACGAAACACTCCAAATACTATAAGAGTTACTCAAAGTTGACAGACATTAGAAAGCTCTTGAGAAATCTAACATTGGCATGGAAGATTCTCTAGGTCAATATTACTAGGAAACATAAAAAACGCAATTCGAACCCAAATCAAAGGGCTAGTTCAGCTGTTGAAGATGATCAGAAACGTGGACAATGAATCAATTTTAGGGAAGAAGCAGTGACACTAAGCAAAAATATGAACAGATAGTTGGGAGATAAAATCAAAAAAAAAAAAAAAAGGAGAAACTTTTACGGAATCAATGACGTTAATAGCTTCCTGAGAAGCTTGAAATTCGCGTCCGCCATCGCAAGAGATGAAAAAACCTTGCACACCTGGCTTCAAAGGGTAAGCTCCCTTCTTCTTCACTGGTCTCTGCAACAACAAATTAGACGAAGAAAATTAAACAAAAAGATAATTAGCAGAAGTCTCAAAGATAAACTTCGTGTCAAAAGATTACGTTTTGAGGGCGATAATGCTGTTTTCTCTTCTTGCTCTGGTCACCGGTGGCCATCGTCGGAGAGAAAGAGAAGAGAGGCTTTTTCGGAGTTGAGAGTGCAAGAAAAACACTCTTGACGACGACGAAAAAATTAGTAGGTCATGGTTACATGGGCCTTTTGGATTTGAGTCTGGGCCCATTAACCAAAAGCCTCGTTCACTTTTCGAAATACCTAAAATAATAATGCGTCTTTACAACATTTTTGTTGTACTGGATGTGATATATTTTCCAAAAGATTTGGTGTATTACTACTACGTGTTTTCCATAAATAATGTAACACTACTTGAAGAGAGGGATCCAGTGAAATGTTGATTTACCAAAGTTTGAGATCGAAACTAAAAGAGTTAGGAGATCATCAAGCACTGGTCTTTCGAATTAATAGATTTGACCATTTCAATATTTGACACTTCATAATTGGCGATTCTGATACAAAAATACACTAGAGCTGCGTGGTAAGAGTGCTTCTTATTTCGAGCCATCGTAGCTTGGGAAATTTTCAGATAAACCAATGGATCAGTTTGTAAACCGATGGATAATGGTAAAAAAAAAAAATAAAGCTAATTAAGTAGTTTCCCCATCTGCATTTTGAATCCTTGACCATCATTTCTGCCATCTCTACAATTAATTATTTGTAGTGACAATAACAGAATGGGCACCCGCCGGCCGCCGCTGATCTTATCTCATTAATAATGTCGTGAGGAAAAGGTGTGACTGAATAGCACGTAAAAATTGATTATATATTTGTGTCGTCCGAGCGTTTTGAAAATTAAATACGTACGTACTCAAAAAGGGAATGAACAATAGAATGTAAACTCCTGAATGGTCAAACCACTCTAAACCAAAACCCACGAATCCAATGTCGTTTGGTTGATCCCCCAACCAATCCAGGTTTAAAAAAAGAAAAAAAGCATTTAGTGTATGTTACCCAAAATTTTGTAAAGAAGGCATGTGAGTGTGTCCGTAAGAGGTTGGACCAATGTAAGCGATGAGATTATAGAAAATCTAACCCTTTTTCTTATTGGTCTGAAGCAAACCATGATTTATTTCGAGTCACTCCCATCCCAATATCCCATGCCGTACATTAGCTCCTCTCGAGAAACTAAAACCGAGAGATTTACATTAACACTCCAAAAGAATAATAAGATCTTATATAAGAACCTGTCATAGTTATTACTTTTCAGTTTGAGTTGAAATTAGATAGTACTCGATCAGTCATTACTCATTAGATAGTACTCAATCTACATGAAAGATATCGAAATCTATGTAATCATATATATGGGTCTGTACTGATTAAAAGGAACAAAAACAATAAACTTCTTGTAGTGACGTGATTTGATTAGTTGGTAACTCGATCTCAAGTTTAAATTACTCAACAATATGTTTTACACCAAGTGATAATATATATATAGATATAATGAATGACGATATATACTAATTAATTAGACTCTCTATGTGATAGCCGAGTCGTTTCTTAACTAAAGACGACTACGATTTGAGACTTGTATAAATCTTAAATAATTGACATTTCGTAAATACAATATTTTTCAACAACGTTGGCATTTTTCTGACCACAAGGCTTCTAAAACATGACATATTTAGACCAAACAAAACTATATCCACAGTCTCGGGATTGTAAATGGGTATCTAATATTAATGTGTCTCATGCGCCTTAGAGTAACCCTCTTTCGCAGAGAGCAGCTTTCATCTCGTTCAGTGATTCTTCCATATCATCGCAAATCTTGTGAGGGTCCGGTATGACGGTAGGATCAAACGCCAACGAGATTACCATTTTATCCGCATAACTCATGAGATGTACCAACAATGCCTATCATACACAAAATCACAGCTTTTCAATAACAAAAAGCTTATCATTTAAACTAAATTACGCAAAGGAAATAAAAATATATATAGTAACTACGTACATGTGAGTGTCCGTAAGAACTTGGAGCTATGTAAGCGATAGGATGACCACGAAAACTGATTTCTTCCATGGGGCCAATGACGTTTGAGACGCATGTCGTTGTGTTCCTCACCGGTCGATCGAATAATTCTGCTGCTACCTATAATGGCAATAGAGTTTCTTTTTCTTTATAAGTATATAAATTGTCCATAATTTTGCAAACAAATCTCAGTGTATTAATTAATTACCTTTGCGCCAAACACTTTTAGGACGATTTTGATGATAAAATACACTAGAGCCGCGTGATAAGAGTGCTTCTTTCGAGCCATCATGGATTTTGATAATTTTAAATGAACCAATGGATCTTTTCGTAAACCGATTGAGAAGGGCAAAAATATAAAGCTGAAGTAGTTTCCCCATCTGCATTTTGAATCCTTCACCATCATATCTGCCAAAGGCTTTATACACAGAAAGAAAGAAAAAAAATATATATATTTACACAATGTATATATGTCGTGTGTTAACTAATTAAGAGATTAGAATTATATTTGAGGAGTATGTGTCTAACCTTGAATCCGATGTCTGACCTTAGATTTACTGTACAAGCTACACGAAATCGCATTCCTTCTGGAAGATTATTCCGATGCGATGTCAATGCTCCATCCTCCTCATTCCTCTTGTCTTGTTTGTCAAGAAACAAAATACATGTTTCAATGTATTAGATATAAGATCCAACGTGCATTAAACTTTTCCTTGTTTTAAAACTAACTTAATTAGGGTTAGGCGGATACTTAATATAGTAAGTTTTGTTTTACACAACATATAAAAAATAAAAACTATTGAATATAATGTTTACCATATCGTCGGTTCAAATAGCGAGAAAAAGAGGCTTGTGTCATTCCGAATAGAACATCGTTGATAGTCTAGCAGCACCCGCAAGAGAAAGCAAAGATCCATTTAAAAAAAAAAAAAGACCTCAAGTTAATTGATAGCGTTCTTGATAACATACATATGTATGACAACATACCATGTCCATAGCGTTCTTGATATGTTTAATGTCATCTAATGAGATAATTCGGTGATAAAATCTCCTTGGGTTGCTCCTGGTATCCACACCTGCTTTTAGTGGCGTTTTCGTATCCTTCAAAAACAACACAGTCGCCAAAAGCAGCAACATATCTACAATTGTATTCCAAATCTGTCTCATCGTAGAACCAATGGTGATTATCGACCGTAAGAGACAGCCTTTTTTTGTAAGGTTGTGCTTGGGTCGCCGTTTCATGGGAGGAATAGCATTTGAAAGCATGTCCGGATCTGATGTTTTGTGGGTACATGCGAGAATGAGGGAAACCAAGGACATCCCATCTCCCAACGAATGGTGAGATCTTATAAAACTGACTGCTTCAGCATCAGAGGTTTTGACGTTGAGGATGTGAATGTCCCACAAGGGTTTTGATATATCAAGAGGGATCATCGTGAGACGTGACATATAATCATCGACAAAGCTTTGTCCATCTTCACCTATCTCTTCCGGATCTATGTATGGTACGATTACATGATCCTCTACGTTGACTTCAGTGTCGATCCATTTTGCACCATTTTCGGACTGTCGATTTAAGACAAATGAAAACCAAACACTATATGTCAAATCTCAAATGGAAGAATATAAGTACAATTGTTGTATCTACACAGAACACAACCGTTCAAAACTATTAATTCTTACACATTTTTTAATAAAACGAGTACATATATTTAGAAAATTTAAAGGCTCAAACTATATACGGTTTATATTCACTATTTTATTATATATACAGAAAGTAAATTTTAAATCGGTTATCAAAAACAACTATGCATAAGAACACGTACGTGCATATATGTATGTAAAAGTGATTAAGTGTGTACCAATATGCTAGAGAAACGAGGATGCTTAGAGACATTTTGCTTCAAAGCATCAAGAACAACGTCAGGATTAATCTTGGTTTTGAAACCCACGATGGTGACTGCACATAAGTCTATTCTTGGCGACTGGAAAACTCGAGCCATCGGGCTGACCGGCTCCTCCTCCTGATTCATCATTCTACCACCTCTCCTCTTCGATATTTTCATTTCTTCTATCATGTTCCAATGTTATTTATAGTGACGTTATGTTTATATAAGTGGTTCAACGAACACAAAAAAAGAGGAAAAAAAAAATACAAGTCGGGAAGCAAAAGTATTAAATTTTGTTTCCTCACTACAGCAAAACCATATTTAATGTAACGTTGATATTGACGATCAGCGTCATGTCTCAATAATAGAATTAAAAAAGTTTGTGGCGTCGGAAAACAAAATACTATTTGTCCTTGAGTCGCCCATTATATTTTTAGTCGTTTCAGACATCGGTCTGGAGTTAATATAAGCAGGCTTAAGTGGCTGTGTAGGTTCAAATTGTTAGATTAGATATGAATATATCCAAATTTTTATAGTTATATAGTTTATATTTGGTAGTTACGATATCTTTGTATACTATATATACTTTCATCAATATAATTAATTGCTCAAGAAAATTATATACTCATGAGAGTTTATACAAATTTTTACAGTTGTATAGTTTATATTCGGTAGTTACGATATCTTTGTATACTGAGAAATTAATTATATTGATGAAAGTTTCTATAGTATACAAGGATATCGTAACTACCGAATATAAACTATACAATTATAAAGATTTAGATATATTCATATCTAATCTAACGCACATATGTCCACATGTCAAATTTGAAGATAAGTGTATATGAGAGAAATTCCTAGAAAATCACCTAGAAAAGAAGTGTTATAAAACAAAACACAGTGTCTTGAATACAAATTAAAAAAAGCGAGTGCTTCAAAATCCGGATAGATCCAACTACTCAAAATGGTAGATTTTTATAAACTAAATCGGTTGTTTGGTTAGTCCGCCAACCAATATAATTGAGTTTAGAATCATTTATTGTTGGTTAGAAATAAAATGAAACTTAACAAGAAAAAGTCATATCTTATGACCTCATATTTTTCCTTTCCGAATTGGGTTTGACATTATGGTTCCATTTATTTCAATTTGTATTTAATAACTTTTGGAACATTTTTTTTTTTTTTATCTTAGTTATTTTCGGTCAAGATAATTCAAAAAGCTTTTATTAGTCAGAATGTAAAAAACCAAAGCGAGGCTTGGATGAATATGAATCTATGCATTACATGCATCTGATGAATACAATAACAATATTATACAAACTATTAGGCTATGAAATGAAAAAATTTTAAAGTCAAAATATTTGACTTACTATTTTCTTTTGACAACTAGGACAGGTCGAGCCTGATATAATTGACTCCAACCAATATCAGAAGATATTACAAAAGGATTTAAAGCTTCTTAAAACATAACAATTTAGACCAACCAATATATGCCCACAAGTACGGCTCATGCGGCTTAGAGTAATCCTCTTTCCCACAGCACTGTTTTCATCTCTTTCATTGATTTTTCCATTTCATCACAAATCTTGTGAGGGTCAGGTATGACGGTAGGATCAACCGCCATGGAGATTATCATTTTCTCCGCATAACTTATGAAATGCACTAACAATGCCTATCAAAGACAAAAACATATGTGCTGGGAGATATCATTTTTTTAGTCTTTTCATTTGATTGAGCACACAAAAGGATTACATACATGCGAGTGTCCGTAAGAGCTTGGAGCTATGTAAGCGATAGGATGGCCACGAAAACTGATTTCTTCCATAGGACCAATGACGTTTGAAACGCATGTCGTTGTGTTCCTCACCGGTCGATCGAATAATTCTGCTGCTACCTATTATGACAATAGAGTTTTTTTTTTCTATGTATTAGTTTTTCCAGAAATTTGCAAACAAATCTCATATTATTTATTACCTTAATATTTATGGACTTTAATATTTACCATATTGTCCGTTTAAATAGTGGGAAAGAGATGCTTGTGTAATTCCGAGTAGAACATCGTTGATAGTCTAGCGCAAGAGAAAGCAAATACAGTATGTACTATTCGTTAAAAGTAATTAAAAAAAAAAAAAAAAGAGAAACCCTCAAGTTAGTCATGAACATATATAAATCATACCGTACCATGTTCATAGCGTTCTTGATATGTTTAATGTCATCTAAGGAGACAATTCGGTGAAAAAATATCTTTGGATAGTTCCTGGTATTAGCACCGGCTTTTAGAGGTGTTTTTGTATCCTTCAAAAACAGTATAGTCGCGAAAAGCAGCAACATATCTACAGTTGTATTCCAAATCAGTGTCATTGTAGAACCAATGGTGAGTATCGATCTTAAGAACCAGCCTTTTTTCCTAAGGCTATGCAACACCTCGCCCCGCCGTTTCACTGGAGGGACAGCAGTAGAAGACGTGCCCGGGTCTGATGTTTTATGGGTACATTCCAGTAAGAGTGAACATAGGGACATTCCATCTCCCAACGAATGGTGAGATCTTATTACACCGACTGCTTCAGCATCTGTGGTTTTGACGTTAAGTATGTGAATGTCCCACAAAGGTCTTGATCTATCAAGAGGAATCACTGTGAGACGTGAGTTGTAATCATCGACGAAGCTTTGTCCATCTTCACGTATCTCTTTTGGTTCTATGTATGGTACAGTTACATGGTCTTCTACATTGACTTCCGTATCAATCCATTTTGCACCATTATCAGACTGTGAAGTTAAGAAAAATAGAGACCGAAAATTATGTTTCAACTTGAATCTCACGTAGGATTAAAGTACGCAACATATATACGAACCACAAAAACCACTATGAATATATAAGAACGTGCATGTGGTATACATGTTTAAGTTGGTTATACCAGTTTGCTGGAGAAACGAGGATGCTTGTAGACATTATGCTTCAAGGCATCAAGAACAACGTCGGGACTAATCTTTGTTTTGAAACCCATGATGGTGACGGCACAATAATCTATTCCCGGCGATTGGAATACACGCGCCATCGGGCTGAGCGGCTCCTCTTCCTCATTTGTCAATATTCTTCTTTTCATGATAGATGCATGTGTTCTTCTCTCATGTTCCAATGTCATTTATAACGTAAAAATTATAATTGGTCATTAACAAAAAAAAAAAAAACCAAGTCGGGACAGAGATATACTAGTTGTTGTTTTCACGATAGTAGTAAGATTGCACTTCATGTGGTATATGAGTGACGACAAGGTAATAGAAAACAATTGTGGGGCTAAATTAAAAATACCTATACAACTTCGAACACCGTTCGTCCATAAAAATAACAAGTGTTTAGAGAGTCTATTAGAGGTAAAAAAAATAAAAAAATTTATCACTTCCATTATGCATTAACTCAATTAATTTAGTAGCTGGTTTAGTACAATTGAGACAATTATCCAATCCCCTTTACTATTAATGATACTTTTTTTTATAGTAGTAGTAGAAAAAAGTAGTTGCTTCCAATTATCACGCATGCATTTATCTAAATGAGTAGCATTTGTTGCTTGATCTAATCATCACGTGTTACATATATACTGTATAAATTAAAACTATGATTAACTTTTCCAAACAAATTTGTGAGAAACTTATATCTAATTCAACTGATAATTTTCTTTTTGATATCTAGGGTTAATTTTTTAGCTAATGTATGATATCTAAGTCATCGACTCGAGTGGTGTATATATCTACTTTTATAAATATATATATATATATTACGTAACTTTCTTATCTCACTCACATCTCTCTATTTTCTTATCTATTATCTCCAAGACAGCTAATCTTTTAATTATTTATAGTTATCAAATGCATGGCGGCTTATGCTCTTGCTAAATTGTGGTGCTGCATGCCAATATTATAAAGGTAATTCATAAATTGTGAGTCTTAAAATGCCATCAATGTAGGTGAGACTTTGAGAGATCAGACATTATTATTTCATTTGGGGCCTTATCCTCGTCAATTGGGAAGCTTTTCTTTTTGGTAGACCACCTACATTTGGAAATCAAAATACTAATAAAATTGGTTGACGACAAACGATACCGATTTTAATATTAAACAAACATGAAAAAACAAAACAAAAAGACTTTGATATTTTCGTCCACTAAGTTTAACGATGTTAAATCATTGGGTAATAATCTGCATATATATTAGAGTTGGAATACAGTTTAATCATACAAAATACTTAGTAGTAGATAATAAGTAAAAAATAAATAGGCTGACCAACTAGATTTATAATTATCTGTATAACACATAATGAAATACTTATTGGTGGACTTAATTAAGGCTTGCAAGGCAATTGACTCTTTCGAAAATGAAAGGACTAGTCTGAAAAAGATGAGTTGTTGTTATCAGATTTCAAATACGTACCGCTAAACCAAAAAGGAACGCAATGAGACTCAGTAAGAAGGAACACGATCTCGAGTCTCGACCTGTCTCTTCCTCTACCACTACCAGTGGGCAGTATAACAAAAGGAAGCAAATGATAATGCCACAAACAATATAAGCGCATTAGTTGTCTACTGTTTCTACTTTCTAGACATGAAAAATGTGCATATGCCTTAGTAGGGTCTGCAAAATCTTTACAAAAAAAGTTGTTTGTCTCTAAGGTCCTAAAAATAACTATGAGATATATGTTCGTTTCAATTTAGTTTAATGATGCAAGTTGATTTTTTTTATAGGACATTCAAACTCACCCAAAAATAACTATGAAATATGTTCATTTCGATTTAGTTTAATGATTGTGCAAGTTGATTTTTTTTTTATAGGACATTCAAACTCACCCAAAAAAAAAAGAACAAACAAAGCTAAGATTTCAATAGAACAAAGGCTAAAGCTAAGATTTCAGCTTTCATGATTTTACAACAGAAGCTCAACACTAAACGTCAATTCTGCATCCATTCCAATGGCAAAAAATAATAATGAAGGACTTTAAATTACAATTCAAACTGAATAGAAATTTCCATTGTTGTAGTCTCATGAAGACATGAAGACTCCATACAAATTTATAATTATCTTGAAAATTTGTTTACATTAAAATGAACAGTTAATTTATATATAAAAATGAAAAAGAAAGAAACACGTATCATATATTTGTTTTGAATGCAAAATCAAATCTATATGGCTTTTTTTTTTTTTGCAGAAATCAATGAATTGAGTGAGAGATGAGATCTAATTCTACAATCAAAACTCAAAAGGGTTAAAACAACAGGAACTTCAAACGAGAGAGAAGAAATAAACTTTATAGATGTCGTCTGCTTCAAATTCCACTTTACGTTTCCTGTGACCCTGTACAACCTTTCTTCACATGGAGACCAATGCAGATGTCTCTGCCTCACAAACAAAACGAGTATACATTTATAGAGAACTCTCCTTTTTCTCCATCACTTGCGTAAATTTTGTGCAACTCGTGTGAATCGGACCATCTGATAATACTATCCAGCGCCTTACCAGCCTGAGTATTTGCAGGAGACTCAACTTTTGCTGCTGAGGAATTTGGTTAAAGATGTCTTCGAGATGATTACAGTTACAATGGGTATCTGTTTGATCGGCTTGGATCAAACCCCCTCGGACCTGATGGGTCTCTACGCGAACTCCATCCTTCTCTCCAGTTTCTTCTACTGCCTTTGAATGGATAATTAACATCTGTGTCGGCTCCAGATGTGCTGCTTCCATCACGTCTCTTTTGCAAATTTTGCATCTCTTCTTCAAGATCATACTGGGAACGCTGCAAAAGCACCACAACATAAAAAAAAACTAAATATAACTATAGGAAACACTAGGGGTGCACAAATCCTTTAGAAGAGAAAACAAATGTCGTATCATTGAAAAACTTTCATCACCTTCCTTGGACCACTGAATACTATTTTCTTAAGGAATATAAAAACAGAGCTGAGGATGATATCGGTTCAGATAATTTACCTTTGCAGGGTCTGAAAGCACGGCATATGCTTCCCCAATCATTTTAAATAATTTATCGGTATCTCTGCGCACTTCTTCTCCTATCTCCTTCCATAACCTCTCATCTTTAGTCTCATTTCTTGTCAAAGACTGACCAGCCTTCAAATAATGATAACAAGATAAAAGGTAATTTTAGGAACTTATAATTGTCGGTAGCTATTTGCATTCCGCATTTAAATCGATTTTAGCAGAACCGCAAGCATGCGGAGTTGACATTTTCAGCATATGAAATACCTTGTCGGGATGATGTTTGAGTGCAGCCTTCCTATACGCCTTTCTGATATCTGAAGCCGAGCATGATGGTACAACACCCCTGCCACAAAGTAAGTCCCGTTCTGATTAACAAGTTTTGACACAATAATCACATCTGTGCCACAAGGTTCTCTCCATATAGTCACCCAAGTTTCCCTGAACATCCATTCACCCGCAAAAGCAGAATGACAAAGGAACAACAGATTTGTGCAGTCTAAACCAAAGGTCTTTGACTCTTTTTCCAACGGAAATGAGATTTTGGCATGCTTCAATTCATATAAGAATTTTAAAACTAGAGAACGTAATGGAGCCATTAGTGGAATAAAATTAACGAAGGATAGTCTACTTACAGGACAAGGTACATATCCAATGAATTTTCTTTCCTTGACTTCTCTTCCAGCTCAGAAAGTCGTGTACGAGCTTGTCTTATGTCATTGGTCATACTTGTGAATCTGTCATGAATTCCAGAGGTCTTCTCTTCAATTTGCTTGGTTAGAATATCAACATATTTCTCCATATCACTTGCTGCCTGTCCATAATCCCTAATCATCTCAAACAACATGGCCCGTCTAGAAATAGCCTGATAATAAAGAAAAAGTTTAACAAATTAAGTGACACAATAGAGTACTTTTTCAGCCAATCAGACAGAAACGTCATCTTGATTCATAAGAGAATCAATGCCAAAATTTTCTGTACGTATAAGATCACACTACCTAGGAACAGGGGAGAAATGTTGCAGCTTATGCATATGAAACGTAAATAAAAACACTGACATACAGCTGGACTGAAACAAATTTACTTCTAAGAAAAGTTGTTTAAATCCAGTGTTATACGAAAGCGTTGAAACCTTTCAACTATATCCCGTGGAAAGCAGAACAAAACAAAAGAAGCCAAATAATGATATGTGTTAGGATTGAAACCTTTGAGTAATTTTGGTCAAGAGCAATAGCAAGGCTGCAGTCTGCAATAGCATCAGAAAATTGACCAAGAGCCTTATAGGCTGCAGCACGATTACAGAAACACACAGCTGTAAAAGGACGTGATTCCACATTGCAAGCCAGGGCTGCTGTGTAATGTTCAACTGCTTCAGTGTGTCGTCCAGACTGAAAGGCTTCGTTCCCTGCAGACTGTGATTTGGTGTAGAAATATCAAAACGGTACCAAAAATGAGTAGATAGTACAACTAATGTGTACTCCGCTTTTTTCATATTTTTTAATTCCTTTAGAAGTACAAGTAATTCACAGGCAGTTGGATTCTGACAAGGAAATGTAGGTTCAGAACAAATAGATGTCGCAGAAGAAGGCAATACCTTAAGGCCCAACAACTCACGTATAGTAGCAGCCAATGGGATGGAGGATTCAAGAGTTTTGTTTCCGTCTCTGTATCGGAGTGACAAACAAAAAAAGACCAGTCAGATTTCGCCTCATCTGACAAAAAGAAATGTAAAAGTTGTAAATCTAACTCACCTTTTTGTAGCAGATAGTAGTTGTTCTTGCTTCTCTAGAGAAGCAATCGCTTCCTCAAGCTTTCCCATATGGAAATATGATTTAAGCATGAGATGGCACTGCCAAATTCTAAAGTTTATGTCCTTGGGAGTGTCATGAGAATCTGGAAGACAATTCTTTCCAGCCAAATCAACTATCTGCTCACAAAGCTTTATTGCTGCTTCATACTTCTCAAGCTGCAGCAAATAAAATAAACAGGTTTCTTGATCTGTTCCACTAAGACCTTTTCCTACTCCCAGTTAGCAGAAGGTTTAAATATTAACTTTCATACCATGAAGAGCGCCTCCCCCTTCATGGTGAGTAACTTTTCAGAGTATGAACTTATCAAAAGAGTTTCTTCCAGTATTTCCAGAGCTTTCTCAACATCAGTTGATGTTCTAAGTTGCAAACGACGGCCAGCTTCATGCATGCATTCAGAAACTCTCTGCAAGATAAACAATATAATATCAAAGAAAGACACAAACACTCTTGATTAGCCAGAAAGAAGAATGATTGTCATTCTTCAGATATGGAGTAAATATTAAAATACTAACTCATATGAATAACGTAAAGAGAGAAATTCTGGAAATATTTCATATTCTGCTCACAGCGACTGAAAAGATGGTCAATCTCTATCAAATAGCAAGCAACAACTAAAACAGCACAGCATTAAATAATCCTATCGACCCACATCTCAACGAAAAAATCAGCCATACAATTAGTACAGTTCAGTCTGAAGCTTATTATTAACTAATGAAAATTACAAAATCCAATACCCAGATGAAGGACATGAGAAGAATAACAGTGCAACATGAGTCCTGTTATCATGTGCTACAATATCCATAATCTATAAGAGTTTACAAAGAACACTATATCTCTTTAAAAGAAAAGAGAACTCTACCTGTGCCTTTTGTAGACCTTCAGAAGCCTCTACAATAATTTTACGGTCCACACATATGTCACTTCCGGACTGCAAGCATTTTTTGAAATACCTGGATGCATCTTCAATCTCCCCAAGTGAAAGGTAACAACTACCAAGACAAAAAGCATAAATCAGCCAATAAGACATCATAAAATGGCAAGATATTATTAATTATTGCTAACTGAGGAAGAGCATGAACTAGCAAGCTATCCATAACAGCTCCAGCTTAGAGCACAAATGAGAAAATATCACATACATTCATTTCTCAGTTTAAGCTCTCGTATTGAAACTAAAAGTCACTAATATGATTTTTATCTCGGCTCATTAGAAAGTAAAAGAAGTTTAAGGAAGGTCGATCTTTACTTTCCAGCTCTGACTTGAACTTTGAGGAAGTTGGAGTCTATTGAAGAAGCCATCATACAATCTGCTATTGCTTCTCTCATTCTTCCAAGGGCCATGCGGGTTGCAGCACGGTTACTGTAGCAAAGCATTAGTGCCCTGAGACAGTTTCTAGAGGTTTCGGTGGTAGGTACTGAATCAATCCCCTGAGTGTAAGATTCCTCAGCTCTGGAAAGATCTCCAAGTTTATAAGCATTGTTTCCTCTGGAGGAAAGGCATTAAAAAAAAGGTCCATTAAATATAACGACAGAAACTAAGCAGGCAACAACAACAACTAGACCCTTAGAACACTACAGGAACAATAAGTAGAAGAATTTAAACGGCATGGAAATAGCGGACTTGTATACGACCTTAGTCGCCACTTTTCACATGCTTCTTGCGCTACATTAGACACATCTTTTTCCACAGGTTTGTGTAGACGAGTAAGCAGATCCCTTTCACTGGGTTTCCCAGTGGACAAGTGTGACTGCACACCAATTAACGGAGAATGTTGTGAAGATTTTAACGGTAGTGTTGCAGTTGGAAGTAAGATATATGGATCCTGCCCAAGTTTAACTGGGTTTTTCTTCCTATTGATACGCTTTGAAGTTGATAGTTGCCCCTGTACTCCCGAAAACGATGAAGCAGAGAAGGTGAAGCTGGAGCTAGCAGCATCTGTATTAGAACGGGAGTGGTCATCATTTCCTTGCTTATCAGACTTATATCGTGAAGTAACCTCACTTTCTGAAGCCGTAGCAAAAGTTTCACTACTAGTTTCCATCTCTTCCGCTGCTGATTTAAAACTTTCAGTCTCAGCTCCAGATATAGAATCTTCAGCAAACTCTTCATGATCAGCACATATCCCAGTATTACTGTCTTTAGCTTGATGGTTATTAACTTCATCCCCCTCATTAATTTCCATCCGCTCAGCTACAGCAGCTAGCTCTGCATCAAACACATCATTTGGAGTAATAGGTGGTATATTAGACGAGAAATGACCTTTGTCAGAATTCAGAAACTGATCTGATACAGCAGCAGAGTCTCTAGAATCTTCTGTCACCTCATATGGTGATGTATCCATTGGTGAATAAGCCTCAGCAGCATCACTGCTTTCATTAGGAAAAGCACTTTCTGCAAAAGCAAACTCACGTCCAATATTTAGCTGCACTTTCACAGGCTGTTTACCTCCTTTCCTTCTAGCTCTTGTGGCACCAACATTGTCCTTCTTCGCACTAAACCCCAATTTCTGGTCCAAACTAGAAAATGGGTTTACTTTCGAATTGGGGGTCTTAAAATCCATAAAACCTGTCCCCCCACTATCTTGTTTACTCACAAAATTAAACTCGGGTGTTTTTACTGTGGAGGATACATCATGAACACTTCTAGGATTCAGATGTTCACTTGGCTGTGTACCTACAAAACTAAAGTTCATCGGACATGAACTGTTAAAATCATGGACTTTCTTCTCATTCACACTCCCCTGAACTGAATCTCCAGAAAGGTTCTCATTAGTAGTCATACTTCCAACGCTTAACTTTCTGGTCAATTCATCAGATAGTATCTTCTGCCCAATATAATCCATGGACTCTTTGGATTTGACGTTATTATTTTGTTTCTGATCAGTCATACTCTCTGAAATATTCAACTTCTCCATGCTTTCCTGGATAACATGTCCTGTACTCCTCGAAGAAGAAGAATCAATATTCAGTTTATTACTTAACAGAGTTGGAAGTTCATCTTCCACATTTTTACTCGCTGCAAAAACAGAGTTGCTTCCCTTTGTAGCACCAAAATTAAAGTTCGAATGAGAATCCTTGATATTCAATTTCTGCATATCTTCAGGAAGCCTTGAAGCCAAATGTTCATTCTTTTTAGGAAAACCCTTTCCTTCACCTTCAATGTTCAACTTTCCCATCTCCTCCATAACTCTTTTCCCAATGTCTTCACCAGAACTGAAGTTCCCACCATCAGTTGATCCAAACACAAAACCCTCATTGCTGCTCCGTCCAAATCCGATCTCACTTGGAATTGGATCACCGGCGAAAGACCCACGGAAGTGAAACGGGTTGAAACTCTGACCCGGTAAAGCATCAGAGGTCCCCGAGGGCTTCAAATTCTGAGACTTTACTTGCCTTCTCACCTTAGAGAACCTGGGCTTAGAGAGACCAGAAGAGGAGCGTGGAAACGGCGCTGAATTGAAACCCGCTTCAGGGCTATTGCTGCTGCTACGACCCGCACCAGAGAAGGCAGGATTCAAGTCCCCGAACTTGCTCATTGTTTTATAGATTCTCCTTCGATTCCAATTGAGGAAACCCAAAAATAAAAACTTTGTAAGGGAGAGAAAAGTGAGAAAGGTCAGGTCGGCGACATGGGAGAAAGATAGAAACTACAAAGTCGTTAAATCGGAAAAGGAAAGCGGATATTGAAGCAGATACGATTGAATCAAAACAAGGGTATTGATAAATGTTGACTCTTTCCCCAGGAGATGGATCGATCACAAGAGAAGAAGACGAAGAAATCAAGAAATTTTCAAATTAATGGCTGATTTAAGAAAATTGGGTCATCGTCCATTGTTGTTCCAGAACACAAGAAAGCAACAAAAAAAAAAAAAAAAAAAAAAAAGGTTATTTAAAAAAAAATGATTGCTTTGATGTCGCCGTCCTTAGTTCGAGTTCCCTCATCATCCAAATTGTTCTTTCAAGACCTAAAACTAATTCAAGGAGATAATAAACCATCATCCTCATATGGTTTAACAAAAAGAACGATACTTTTACTTCACATACATCTTTTAGTATTGTTATTAGGATTGTTCACGGGACATCTGTTTCATTGATTTTAGGTTATCAATATAGTCGCAAAAGTTGCATTGTATGGTTACTATCCCAGGTGATCATTTTTTTGTTTTGTTCGTCTTTTGTGTTATAGAATACGTTTGATTTTTCTTTTTCTTTTTTGTTATTGTAGTGGTGTGTGGTAGTTTGGGTGGATAAACAAAGTTCTAGACAGCCATTGTGTTTTTTTTTTCTCAAGTCAACCAAAACATTATCACTATAAAACTGAAAAGATTATGATAGATAGGTCTATCAAAACTTTATTCATTTCAATGCCAAAGAAAATGATGTTTAGCTACTTGTTATTTATCACATAATTATTTTATTTTACGTTTATATCTCATACCATCATCTATATATATAAAGTTAGTTTTTTCTCTCATGATGCCACCTAAGCATCCACCTAAGCCACATTTTTGTTTAAACATTAAAATAAATTTAAAACATTCATTTAGTGCATATTTATATTACTTATTTAATTAATAGAAAGTTTATATAAATAAAAATAAATTATGTAAAAAAATGAAATGTGAAAATAAGAAAAACAATACTTTAATTTTTTTATTAGTGATAATAATATAATTCAACTTTCATTTTAAATTGATCATAATTTAATATTTTAAATATGTTACTGAGTTTTAGAATGGAAGTAAAATTTAAATTTATGGTAGACTAAAACAACATTTATGTAATTGTATATATAAAATTATAAAGAGGAAAAAAATGAAAGTGACATATTAGTTTATAACATGATAAAAAAGAAAAAAAATGATATTTCATAAATTAAATCAAATGTTTTTGATCCAAATTTGAGTATTGAAAGATAATAATTAAAGAGAAAATAATTATAATATTTTTTGAAAATCAATTAAAAATAAATAATAAAATATCACAATATGAATAAAAATCAACTAAACAAAATCAACTGCTAGTTCTTACCTTACGTTTTTCGATTTGTAACCACCAGCTCACAGCTCAATATGGTAGGATATATATATATACTCCAGAGTACCTACAAATTACAATTACATGGCTACATTGCACATTTGCATTGACACTATTCTAACGTGCAAACATAAACGAAGCGCACAAGAAATATTCAACGCCTACAGGAAAACTCGAGCAACGATGATTTCGAAGAACTACTACGGGCTGTACCGCTGAACATGGAAGATATTTCAACTTTCAAATATATGTTCAAAACAAAAGTCGAGATTTCTATAACTATGACTTGTAAGTTGTAATGTAGATGCACAAAGGAGGATCCGTAAATACTTATATATAAGAAACGGCTTAATATAACGTTACAGAGCTCTCTACTCTTCTCAATACATAAGAGACTCTTGTGGCACACAAACCGGAACAACCACATGAGCAACCAATACTAGAAGCAAAGAGAAACTAAGCAGAAAAAGAAAGTTCTGAAAATAGATCTGTCTTTCAAGTATGTCTTAACCATCCGTTTGTTAGTAGTATAGTATCACCTGAGGAAACTTGTGATCTTCATACTATATAATCATTCTCCTACGTTCTTTCTGTTCTCCATATTATATATATATATATATATATAACTTAGCTATACATATACATCATCCTACTTCCATGTGTATGCTTGTTTACTTTGTCTGCACACATACAAAACCAAGAACAACACATGAACATCAACATTAAACACTACAAACTCAATCCCGGATGCTTAGATTTGAACAGAAGCTTACCTTTATTACATACACTTTGGTAGCCTCATCTTATCCATAAGAAAAAAAAAACCTGCATCCAAAATAAGGGCTTTGTTATCCATACGTATAACTTGAAAGACAAATGGGGAAGAGATTAGAGAGTAGACTAACCCTTGGCATTTATGAGGTAAAATAGCCTACTGAATAAGATTATTGGTCGTGGCTGGTGGTCCATGGTCATTTGCATCAGTAGAGGAGAATCCAACTTTTGCATTAGTTTCAGCAGAGTCATTGGTTTTGTGATCATCGGTAGATGATGCATAACGGAAAAGGTTACTAGGAAGAACAAGCTCGATAGTGCTTCCAGTGTCAGGTTCCAGCATTTCACTCTTCTTAGTCCCTTCTTTTGCACCGTTTGAGTGATTATTGTTAACAGTCATTGGGTTGATTACTTGGTAAGGATGCAGCTCAGAGGTATCATCAACTACTGTCACAGCACGAACCAACAACATAAATGAGACAGGAGAAACAGTTGATCAGCAAGAATATTGACCATTTTACATTCAATGATAGCATTGTTCATTTCACCAACCTTCTAAAACGTCTGCACCTGTGAGTTCAGATTGATAATCAGGGCTTTGGTTGATGGCAGATGAAAAATAGCCAGGAGACCCCACAGAAAAGCTACGGTGGTGATTCGGTGTTATACTATTCTTGAACTCAGGAAGCTGCAAATTAATGAAACGTCTTCTTTCAAGTTCAATAGCCCTCAGGAGATCAGTCTGCTCCATTTTCCTTCTCATCATTTCACGTCTCTCATACAATATCTTCGAACCTACCACATAAAACGAAACAAGTTACTAACCCAAGGTGGAAATTTAAACTCGTTTTCTAAAATAAATATACAAGAATACTAACCAAAGTGGAAATCAGACTGTTCTCTAGGATCAATCCCAGATGGACTGGAGCACGGGGAGTAGTTTCCCCTCTCAATCTGCTGTTGTAGCATTTGCTGCTGCTTCCTGTTATCATTTGATTTACAATGAGTAATTGACAACCAAAGAAGAAAGGCTAGAATGAAAATTGAAGAGAAAAAACAGGCACCATACTTGTCCAAGACTTTTCCTTTTTCTTTGTAAGGTTTGACAAGAACACGTGAGTCGCAAATGAAATGGGGATTCCCTCTAGCTAGTACAACCTTCACAGTCTCAGGATGGGCAAATGAAACAAAGCCAAACATACGCTTCTGCTGGTAAGGGATCCGCACATCTTGCACTGTTCCAAAAAGGCTTCATAGACAAAACAAATCAATAACCGTTCTTTTCTCAAAAGACAGCATCCATGAGTTTTCAGACATCAAATAACCAATAACACCTAATTAATCATTACTACTTCTCTGTTGATTCTTCCATATAAATCTATAAGCAACATCATCTTCATCCAGCATTGTTTCAGAGAGACGGGTGTCCAAGAATACCTGAAATAAGTTGCAACGTCCTCATCCTTAAATGTGCTGTCAGCTGGGAATGTCAAGTAAATCTGTCTAGATGCCGAGTTTGACTGATCACCAAAATGCATTGCCATTAGCTCCATCCTCTCAAGCCGTCCTGGGCTGCTGCTCCAATACCTTTCATCACCAAAAGGTAGTCCACCATCTCTGCATCAAGGAGAAAGCATATTAATACTTGAAGATAATAACAACCATAAAACCCTCCAAGACACAAAGTTGCATCCGTGGAACAAAAGCTGGTAAAACAACCGAGAGACAAATAGATAGTAGCCATAAGAAAGCGCCATGCAACACAGGAAGACCAACCACAACAAATCAGACAATTGCCAGCAAGGATTAAGGACGTTAGATAAACATCTGTAGGTACATTCCTTCAAGCTATATCAGAACCAATTCAGACTAAACAAGCAAACTGGGATTAGTTGTATTTTACCTTTGAGCATGCTGTTGCAAGAGAAAATCAATTCTTTTCTCGTATGGTAACTGAGGAGCCCTACCCAGGATTTGAGAAGCCAACCTCTGCTGCTGATAAGCCAATTTCAACCTCATCATCTCCTCGTGCTGCCTCACAAAGTTTTCCATCTTCCTAGGTGAATCAGCGACAATGCCATTACCATCAACGTTATCCGGATATCCTCCGTGGATGAACTTGCAGCTGTCTCCGTTCTTGCACAAACCTCGAGTAAAATACACACATGGTTTGCATCCAGCACCAAATCCATCATCTCCGGACCCAAAAGACGCATCTGCGGAGAAACTTCTCCTGTGCAGATGGGTTTCGCCATTATCGACGGGGTAGTCGAAAGGAATCCTAGGATCCAAAGCATCCTCGGTTTTAGAAGAGGAATCGTCGAGAAACGAGAGGTAATCACTTAGCTGCTGATCATCCAGTAAATCAGCACTAGCACCAGCGTCAGGGGCAGAATCTGTAGCATTGTTCTGGTGAGGGCTCAAGGGTTTCGAGATCGGAGTATGTCTGGGTGAAATGTGGGGGTTGGTGTTCCCATTAGCAGAGGTGTTGAGTGACCAAGGAGAGGCTGAAGAAGGAGAAGAAGAAGGAGAATTTCTACGGAAATCCATAAAGCCATTGGAGTGAGAGGTTAGTCTTCCGTTAATGGGTGGGCGAGAAATAGGGTTCAACGGAGAAGGAGACGTAGGAGTAGTCGAAGAAGGAGAAGAAGACGAGAAAAGTCCCAACTGGCTCTTGACTCTGATAATGATAGATTGCAAGATAGATTCAGGACCGCGAGCCAGATGCATCAAGTCTCTCTCCCCAAAATCCTGTAAAAGCAAATACCCAATAATCTTGGGAGCATAGTCTGGCTCCAAGCTTCGAATTTTCGTCAAAAGCAAAGCTGTCGGGTCACCGGAATCCATGGTTACTTCAAAACAAAACAAAAAAGGTGAAACCTTTCTACCTTCTTCCCCCCAGAGTTGGAAAAACAAAAAAAAACTTAGATTTAGGGTTTGAAAAGATTAGGGATTTTGGAAAGCAAAGTTGAGATTTTTAAGTAGATAAGAGAAAGAAGAAGAGGGAAGAAGATCCTCTCCCTCCTCTTTGCTCGCTTCTGTTTTGATTTTTTTCCTTTTTTTTTTTTTTTTTTTGAATCTCACAGAGACAGAGAGAGACACTGTCTCTTCTCTCACTTGCTCACTCCTATCTTTATCGCTCCAGTTGGTGCTCTCTCCTTACTGGTAAAGACCACTTGGGGAAATGTTCTGCTTTTAATTTTATCAGACTAGTCTTGGTCATGGATTATTCAACTTTCTAGGAAACTGTAAATTTCCCATAATTTTTATTTTGAATTACGGGAAATGTTTGATGCTCTTGCTTAATTTATACAGACTCTGTTTAGTAAAATATGGATTCTTTTCTCTTATTACATGATGGACAAAAATGATAGGTTTGACGAGTGATATGGACTTTTTTATTTTATTAGATCAAAATTAAATAAAAAGTGAGTGATTAAGCAAATAATATGCTGTCGTTATTAACGTATTATTAACTATTTAACACCTCATCATAATGTGAATATTCTATTCTTTGTTTTGTCCTACATGGAAACCCACGCATTTTGATCAGTTAATACGGCCCCAAAAAAAAAGAAATTTAAATGTATTTTGAATTAACATTTAATAAGATTACTAAAAGATTTTGGGTACATGTTATTCCCTATTTTAATTAGTGATTTATTTTCGGTTTAGAAGGAAAATTAAGATGCCTTTTTTTACAATGATGGAAAATATAATTGCTTTTAAGGAAAAAAGTGTTAAAGAAATTTTTTAAAAAAAAGTATTTATGAGATTATGATGATAAAATCTACAAGTACTGTTAAATCAGTGTCAGAGATAGGGAAAGAGACAGCTTTTTTTATTTTACAGGATAGTGTATTTCACCCGCGCGCGCGTGTGAGATCAATCTCTTTTTTAACCCTTTTTACTTTCTTCGAGTGCAGACAACTTTTTTACTGCGCCGTAAACATTTCTTTTTCTTTTTCTCGTATATATGATTGAATAGTAATAAGTAGTAGTATGAAATAATCAAATCAAACGGTCGTGATTATCGGAACAAGAAGATAATAATTGGGTGAGTTTTGTCTCCGATGATCATGGTCATGTGTGCGTGTCTACTTGGGGTCAAGCGGTTTATTTTTGCTGTTATAAGGTTTACTTTGCTTCCCGTGGGGACCTTTTCGAAATGGGTCATTAGGCAAACAAGTCAATTACAATGACGATCTTATGTGTGTCGGAGAATTTTCATCCTCGTTATAATAATGTTTCTATTGAGGATCGAAATAGCCCTTTTCTCCCTTCTTGTATCCTTAAACAAAATATATATATATATATATATATATATATATTGTTTGAGGGATACAGATGAAATTGGACGTGTCACAAAACAAACCTAAAATAAAATTTAAGTAGACGACAAAAAAAAAATTAAAAAATTTAAGTATATATGGCCATGTGTATGTGTTCTATGGACTATGGAGTGTGGGTGGACTTTAGTTTAGTCCCATTTATGGGGATCGGTACAAATAAGATGTAGAGCATGGGATACAACAAGTGAACGTTCCGGTTTTTGTTATGGTTCGCCATAATATAGTTTCAATATATTCATTTCTACGTTTAGATTCTCACATATAACCCTTTTTTGCTTCTATTCATACAAATAACTAAACTTCCATACACATTTAAAAAAAAAAAAAAAAAAAAAATCTGAAAAGAAAATATAACCCATCAAATTCTGTTGCAAACTAGTTTAGCCTTTCTAGTCTAAATGTGACTAGTTTGAACTTATACATTTTTATTGAACTTCCTGATTTATATATAAGTAAAAATAAATTACTGAAGTTACTAAAACACATAACCAGCAGTCTAGTATTGTAATGACTAATGACAGTCAAAAAGCATTTACAATATGAGAGAGAGAGAGTTCCCAACAGTTAAACTCAGATTTTTTTAAGTAAATGATATTAGAAAGTTAGAATAATTATCAATGTATTAGAAATCAGAACCAACAAGATAAAAATGACGTAATGTGCAAAAATATTTATTATAGGAGTACATGACAATGTGTATATAAAATATAAATAATAAGTTAAGAAATACGCACCCACATGGAACAGGAAGGACATATGCACTAGCTCGCATATACGAATTTTCATGGATTTTTAATCAACCACTCACCCAATAATAATAAAACAAAGTCGCAAAATATGAGACAAAAGAGTCCTTGAGAAGTTCAACCTTTATGCACATGACCATGAACCAGCTTTTTGCTATTTACCATTTTCAGCAGCTTTTGAAAATATTTGGCTACTCCAAGATCATTCATACATTGGTCTCTTTTTCTCTTCCTTTGCATCATTATTTGGTGTTGATCTAATACGTCATTAGTTTCCATATGTTATTAATGTGTGTAGTCATCTAGACCTAAATCAACTGCCAACACTCCAGCTTACATCGCACATGAAGTTTATTTCCTAAAGAGAATATGACGGAAGGTAATGTTACTAATGTCTTCAATGGCCTGATCCTTATTTTCACTTTTATTAATGAAACTTTCTTTTTGGTGATGAATCTGTTATGTAGCTTGCAGATGTTTGGCCATGGTGGTGTGACTCTTTGTGTGATGTTAGTTGGAGGTTACTCTCGTTTGCAGACCCATATGATCCGAGAAACTACAGGTTAACTAATCCGCAAAATTCCTCACAACACCAAAACCGTTAGATCCTTAGTATTTTGAAAACAATTTTAAGACTTGTTTTCTAATAAGTTTCTTTTGATATGCGTCTTTCAAATATTGGATGGACATAGTCAATAATACTCTCCATTTTGCGGGTTAAACAAGTGACAACTAACTGATCTTAGTGTAATCTCAAATTCCAATTCTATAAAAACCTAAAATTAATCAAAGGAATATATGAAAATAAATCGAGTTTTTTTTTTTTAAAGTAACAAAAAATACATTAAAATATAAATAGAGGCAAATCATATTTTAACTTAGATTTTACTGTTTTGATCAATAGGTTCAATTAAAATATTAACTTCAACCGAACAAACAGGATTAAATTGAACAAAACCTTGATTTGAATTTCTTCCGGTGTTGAATGAAGAATGTTTAAATTGTTTTTAAGTTTTAACTAAATCCATTAAAAAAAATTGAGATAAACCGAATTTTATCCTTATAGAATATTGTTTTGGGAAGGATACAGATGAAATCGGACGTGTCACAAAAAAAAAAAAAAAGAATGGTATGGCCATGTGTTTGTGTTCTATGGACTATGGACTGTGTGTGGGTGGACTTTAGTTTAGTCCCCATTTATTTATTTATTTTTATTTTATTTTTTTTCCCATTTAATTATGGGGATCGGTACAAATTAAATAGGAAGTAGAGCATGGGATACATACAAGTGACCGATCCGGCCTTTGTCATGTCTCTACTACGTTTAGATCGAAATTAAACCATATTTGCTTCTATTTATACAAATTATACTATACTTCCACAAAAACTGAAAAGAAGATACTACAGTCCCAATCATCTCTGTTGCAAATTCCAAATGTGACTAGTTTGGTGGACTTATACAATTTTATTGAACTTATATATATATATATATAAAAGTTATTGTAACACACAACAACACATAACCAGCAGTCTAATATTGAATGATAGTCAAAAGCACTTACAATATCAGAGATAGTTCCCAATAGTTAAACTTGGATTTTTAAGCAAATGGCATTAGAATAATCATCAATGTATCAGAACCAAAAGAATAAAAGGAGGTGATGTACAAATATTATTATATACAAGACAATGTGTGTGTATAAAATATATATAAGTTAAGAAATAGGCACACCCACATGAATCTAGGAAGGACATATGCACTAGCTCGCATACATATATATACGACTTCATGGAGGGATTTTAATCCACCACTCACCCAATTAGAATGAAACAAAGTCGCAAAATATGAGACAAAAGAGTCCTTCAAAAGTTCAACCTTTAGCACATTACTAGCACGCACGAACCAGCTTATTTACATCTTTTTATTTATTTATTACTTTTACCATTTCTTTCTAACGATTATTTTCAGATATCTTTTATGACTTCTTTTCTTGTTTTCACGAAATGAAATTTCTAATCAAGTAAACAAATGATCCTTCAACAACACACTTTTCTCACGGTTCGATTGGTTAGCACTTAGCAGAGACAACCATGACCAAATTGTGGAAAATTTCGGAGACACGTAATAAGTCTTTATCGAGTTACCTAAGATTATCATTGCAACCATGTAGTACGTTTTGAAATTTCACACTGAGATTCCTTTATCGGATATGCAACCAGCAACCATGTAGTACGATTCATGGAAAAGCTCTCTAGTCACATTCATCGTAAAAGCAAAGTTCTATATTCATGTCATGTGCAAACTATGTCGTCTCTATCTCTAATATGAAAACAAGCAAAGATTTCCTCAATGAAAAAAATCATTACATTTTGGGACACAAAGTCTTGAGACTGTGATTGAGAGGGCATAATATTGTGGATCATGAAGAAAATATAAGTCGATTGTAGTATTTGCTTAGGCCAATTTTATGTTCAAAATTATAAAAGCCTGACATTTTTAATTTTTGCCACTTACAACTACATTCTGATAGCATTTACAGAGTCATGAATACGTTTTCTTAGCTACTTGTAAATTGCTTGCATCTCAAGTTGACTTTATTTTACTTTTATCTATCCTAATGTCTCTTCCAGATTCATTAGCAAATTGTGTGTCTTAAGAAATCATGCTTCACACTTTGCTCATCCAAATATATATGATCATATGCCTAAAGAAATCATGCTTTACAAAGCGTTATCTTTAAATCTAAAACAAGAATGATACATAAACAAACATTAGCCTGGAACAAGAGTGTACCTATCATTCTGAATAGCTTGGATAATGGGATCGTCAGAGAATGGAAACAATTTGGAGACTATAGCAAACACAAATCCAACAAAGGAAATGGAGCCAACGATGACTAAGAAGCCTCCCCAAAACTTCACTCTCAGAGTTTCATTCAAGCATTCTCTGTGTCCAAGTAGCATCATGTAACTACTCCTTATGTCCGGTAACAGAGATAATATAGACTAGTGATTGAGATGATCTGAATTTAGTAAAGGAAGAAGTTGAGGTAACAAGTCGTTATCTGAATATATATAGCTAGAGTAACCATCATCAATTGCTATAAAATCCTAAAATCTAATAACAAAAATCATTATCATATTAAAGCCAAAGTTTCTTAAAGGCCAGTCTTTAAAAGACTAAATTGTCCTTCCTTCCGTGCAGCAGAAGCTACTCTTATTAAACCCCTTCCCTCCCTTCTTCATTCTATCTTGATCATCCAACAACTGCCATTTTCCCTCTCACTCTACAAAACACGAAAGATTGTTTCTCTCTGTTGTTCCTCCAAGAACAACGCCGTTTCTTTTTTTTCACTTCTCTTCTTCGTCGAAGAACAACAGTTCTGTTTGCTCATCTCTCTTTAGTCTCTGCACACGACGATGGAACATCCGGATTCTCCCAACGCAAATCATCGGGGTTCTCCTAACGCAAATCATCCAGATTCTTCCGACGCTACTCCCCCTCCTTCGCCGGTAAGTTTCCCGATTAGGAATCGATGAAAGAAAAGCTCTTAGCTTTGCGTGTACAAGATTTCAATTTTCAAGAATTCTTATAGGGCCAAAGTTTTGTTCTTTCTTTTTTTGTGGAATCGAGAACCGGTTTTTAGGGTTTGTTTGGGCCTGAACTTTCCAATTCTTTATGCAGTTTTAGTTTTCGGGCCTAAAGTTTTCTGTTTTCTTCTAGGGGGCAATCGCAAATCATCCCGATTCTCCCGACGCTACTCCTCCTCTTTCGCCGGTAAGTTTCCCGACTAGGAATCGATGAAAGAAAAAGCTTTTAGTACTTTTTTTTTTTTTTTTTGAAACACGAGTACAAGATTTCACGAGTACAAGATTTCAATTTTCAAGAATAGTATAGAGCCAACGTTTTGTTCTTTCTTTCTTGTGGAATCGGAACCGGTTTTTAGGGTTTGTTTGGGCCTGAATTATCACACTGTTTACGCAGTTTTAGAATTTGGGCCTAAAGTTTTGATTTTTTTTCTTTTAGGGTGCAATCGCAAATCGAGCAGCAGCTATATTACTGGACTTTCACAATACAGAGTGGATGCCGCGTTTACTCCCTTCGATGAGAAATTTTCGGCAGAGATGCGCTCATATAGGATGCATACTCCCAGTTACCATTGGTTGTGGGTACTGCTGTTTAAATCACAGTAATATGGCTTCTACTTCTTATGGGAGTTTATCCTTCCACTACATTGGCGGTTTCACAGATGCAGATGAGAGGCTGAGGACGTGCTGTCTTTGTCTGTACAATCGACGTAGAGGGTTACAAGTGGGTGTCCCAAATCTTTCCTAGGGGAACAATCTTTACCACGGTTCCATGGCAACAAACTCGGGTCTTCCGCACAGACATGGAATCAACTACTGATTGGCTATTTTTCACCACTCCACCAACTAGTTACGCGGCAATGAGCAACTCAACCTTGAAGTGGCACGCAAATCAGCGGAGAGTGGTACACATTGAAGGTTACGATTCTGTTTTTCATACTATTCACAACCTCAGAACTACTTCCAAAGTTGAAGATCCTGATTTGGCGTCGACGTGTAAGGCATGGCATCTGCATCTATTTCAACGTGGAGACCACTCTCTGTATTGCCTTTCATATGGCGGAAAAGTAGATGCCGAACCATTGCTTCGTAGTGAGAGATGCACGAAAGATTACCATCTTCCTCCAGATAACACTCCTGATGATTCTACTCCACCACGACCTCGAGGCCATCTCGTTCTTGTAAAGAAAAAAAGAGATGATTTGCCAAGGGAAACCCAAAAAAGCTCTTCGGGTGTTTGTATTAAGAAGTTCTTGAGTAACTACGGTACTTTGCCTATGAACTCTCTGTCCAGTTTAAAAACGTTTATCAATGTCCAGTTTAAAATGATTAGTATTTAGCAATTAAAACAGCAATGAATGTTTTAAATGTGCAGGCTTTAACATTGGAAAGGAAATATATTTCCTAGGAACATGGGGTAAACATGTGAGCGGATGTGGCAATTGGGGTATAATTGTTCAGGTAAGTACGCTCTACTGTCTAGTATAGAAGCTTATGCTTACGGATATGGTTATTTGATTATAGAAGCTTATGCTTACTAAATATTGGGTTCTGCTAGCTCTTTCCTTCGTAATAATGGCAGTCTCCTTTGTGAAAATATTTTTGATTTTAATTTGAAGTCAGCAGTGCATAATGCCCACAAAGAAACAGATCATGTATTCATTCACACCTTTTTCGGATGCTAGTTAACACTGCCATATCGCTTGTATTATCTTTACATAACATTCAGAAGAATTGGAATTTGCAGGTGGTAGTCAAATAGTTTTAAAGCATTGATTTGATGATCTCATTTTTCATTGTTTATACAGCTCAGGGAACTTGAGAGGGGAGTTAATATCTTTGTTGCAACTCCTGGCCGGTTAAATGATTTGCTAGAGAGAGCTAGAGTCTCCATGCAGATGATTAAATTCTTAGCTCTTGATGAGACAGACAGGATGCTGGACATGGGTTTTGAACCACAAATCAGAAAGATTGTTGAACAAATGGACATGCCTCCACGTGGAGTGAGACAGACAATGTTGTTCAGTGCTACATTTCCAAGGGAGATCCAGGTTGGTTTTACTTGTCCACGAAACACCCTTTCCTTGCTCTTAAATTATATTTTATCGAAGTAGCATGGTAGTTATTTGTCAAGAGGATAACAGAGGTCTTTCTTTTGTATTTGTAACTTTGTTCCTAACCAGATCCATGATGGGGAACCTTTAATGATTTAGTTTTAGAGTGGTCAAATGCCTTATGAGTGTTATGTTTCGTATGTGAGAACAGCTGCATAAAGCATAATATTCAGCACGCACAAGACTGATCAGTTCTTAACGTTTCTTTTATTAATACTTTATTTGTTCTTGTACAGAGACTTGCAGCTGATTTCATGTCAAACTATATATTTTTGGCTGTGGGAAGTGTGGGTTCAAGCACTGATTTAATTGCCCAAAGGGTTGAGTTTGTCCAGGAGTCTGACAAGAGAATCCATCTCATGGACTTGCTTCACGCGCAGAGAGAGACCCAAGACAAGGTATTGCGACAGTCACCTTCTGTTGTTTACTTATCCAAGATTTATTATCATGTCACATGAACCATAATTTGTCACGCTCTGACCAATGCTGGCTTTCTTCTCTTTTTATAAACAGCAATCATTAACATTCCTTTTGCTCTAGTTTTCTTTCTGGTTAAGCTCACGTATTTGATTCTATCTTCATAGCTTGTGAGAGGGAAGGAGATGTGTATTACTACTGTGAACCCGTGTATCACAACTGTGGATTACATTCGAGGTGAAGGTAAAACCATACTAGTTTGTGAATTGTGATGCTAAGATCCCTTGTGTTTTATTTATTGTTCATTTTCAATATATTTTTGCAGGTTTGCTGAGTAATGGTGGGAATTCTATTGGTACCATAGTAAGCAAGATTAAGGGGGGATGTTGCAATTGGTGTTTGGTCGTTCAGGTATTACCATATTCTAATACTCTGCGGGTATATGTTAGCTTTTGCTCTGTGTTTTGTGGATAGAAAGGTGTAATATTCTGATATAATGGATCACCCAAATTTTTTGCTATTTGGCCACAATTGTGTTGTCTGCATCACTTGTAGAGTACTTTTCTTGTTAAGCTCACGTGTTGATGCTATCTTCTGAGCTTGAACCTTTGTTTATGAGTCACTGTTGGTAAATTAATGGAGATGGAATGTGATTTATTGTTATACAGGTTGACACGGAGAATACTGGATATTTGCATGATAAACTTACCTCTAATCAAAAAGCAAGTTCTTCAGATACAGAGACCGTCATGAGTAACTACGGTACTTGGTGCATGACTTCTCTGTCCAGTATAAATAGGAAATATGGTTTAATGTTAAGCAATGATCCCTTCTAAATGTGCAGCCTTTCATGTAGATGATTTTGAAGAAATATTGAAGTATTGCTGGGGTAAACAACTTGTGGGAAGGGAACGATATTTCCATGGCAGCGGTAAAAATGTGAGAGGAAAGGACCCGTGTATAACTACTGTGGATTACATTCGAGCTGAAGGTAGTAACATTTCTAGTTTGTGAATTGTAATGCGAACATTATCAATCCCTTTGTGGTTTATTTTTTTTGTTCATTTTCAATATTTTTTTGCAGGTTTGCTGGGTAATGGTGGGAATGCTATTGGTACAATAGTGAGCGATTTTAAGGGGGGATGTGGCAATTGGTGTATGGTGGTTCAGGTATGTTGGTATATGTTGGCTTTTGTTCTGTGTTTTGTAGAGTATTTTTTTGGGTTACGGCCACTTGCTTATGCTATCTTCTGAGCTTGTATCTTATCTTTGTTACTGGGTTACCATCGGTAAATCTCTGAGGATGGACTGAGATTGTGTTCTGCAGGTTATGGATAGTTCTGAAGTTAGATTTGGATGGAAGGTCAACAAATCTCAGGCGAAATAAGAATATAGTGAGAGAGATAACCAGTCACTTAGCATCTTTTGAGGAGGTTTGTTGATTTGTGCATGCATTATTTTTTTACTTTTATGGAGGTTTTATATGTGTATACTATGTTTATTAACCAACTCCGCAATTTCCTCTCAGGTTTTCTTTTTTACAGCAAGAGTGGATGTGGCCCTGGATTAGTATAGCGGATGTGGCCCTGGATTAGTATATTGTTACTTTTAAAAAAACATTACATGTAAAATCATTTTGTGGTGTGTGGTGCTGCTTTCTAGAAAGCCGCCTCCATATTCGTCTTATTGGCCGGAGAAACATTGACTTCTTCTACATTGACTCAAAAAAATTTCTGTCCTTTAATTACCATCTAATTGTCTATGATTTAAAAAGATACTGGCGTTTGTTCTCCCGCAAGTAAATAAAATCAATCTTTGACCTACGTGAATCAGGTTTAAAAGAAAAAAGAACTACGTGAATCAAATTTTGGTTTTGTGGTTTCTAAATATTAAGTAGTTACTAGTTAGACTCAACACGTTATAAATTCACTAATATCTGTAACAGGACCTAATTTACAAGGCCAAGCCAAAAATATAGGATTACATATCCTTAACACATACTAAACAAACCCACTAGACCAAACTTCAATGGGTTTCATCAATTGAATATAGAACGAAATATAGAATATAGAACGAACAGAAACCTATTAGAGAATCCGGTTAGCAATCTACCTGTTTATGAGGTATCTTTGGAAAATTCACTAAATTAGATTAACGTACACAATTTTCATGGCTATTTTGAAAAATCACAAAATAGCCCCACAAAAGTCGCCAAATCAACCGAAATCTATACTATAAAAAAGTTGAAGCTAAAAGCTCCTTAAGTCGTCCACATAGGATATTAAACAACCAATCGAGATTAGACATCTCAATGTTTAACAATTTTGAAATTACAATAATCTATAGTAATATTTTTTTTTGTAAAAAGGAAAATAATAATATGTATGAAAATAAAATATATATAAGCTCTTTAATTTTGAAATTACGATAATCTATAGTAAGATTTTGTAAAAAGGAAAATAATATATATATATATATATATGGAAATAAAAGATATATTTTTAACTATGAAAATATTTTTAAAATTTATATTTCATTTTCATATTAAATAAATGATACCAAACTAATCAAAATAGAAAACTTTCATTTTTGTTAAATTTAAAACGAAAATACTTGAATTTTAAAATTAAAATACTTAAAATTTTATTGTATATACTGTGTTTGAGTAAATTTCAATTTCTAAAAGTAAAATCCAGTTGGATAATTAAGTCAGTTAACCCTAACAAACCAATTATAAATATAGAGTCTCGACATTTACATTAGTATATGGTTCCATTAGTTTTATGGCTATGATTTTTTTTTTGTGGTGTAGTATTTTTGGTAATATGATTTTCTTTGTATTTGCGTTTTTTGAATTGTTTATATGATTTGAGTTTTCTATCATCCGTTTATGATTTTGTGATTCCATTCAAGGTCATAATTGTGTTTCTATAGTGTTGTATTATTTTGGTGTGTTTTGATTGTTTTGTGCAATTCTAATTTTTTTGTTTGTTTTGTTATGTAAAAGGAGTATTGTCTATATTTGGATATTTGTTCGGGAAAATCTTTCAATGAACTAATTGGAGATGATGTTAGGCAGATGATGATATCTTTATTTGCATTTTTTTTAAAGTATTTATGGATATCTTGGTTAGTTAATTTGTTTGTTTGTTTATTTGTTATGAGTATTCTGAAAATTTAAAACTAAGTTATATATGGTAGAAAGTAAGAAAGGTAATTTCGAGTTTAGGAGTTTAGAGGGATATCGTTGTTTCAATTAGTCAATCATTAATATATCGTTAATTCATTAATCGTTAATAATAAATAATTTTTACCAAAATATATCGAACATACCCACGCGTAGCGTGAGTTCAAAACCTAGTCTACACTATATAAAAGTTGATGCTATAAAATTTTGAGAGCGTCCACATAGGATTTTAAACGACCAATCGAGATTAGACATCTCAATATTTGACTTTTTTGAAATTACGATAATTTCTTTATTAAGTTTTTAATGTAAAAAGGAAAATAATAAGATTATGGACATAAAAGATATATTATAAAATATGGAGATATTTCTAAATTTAATATTTCATTTTCATAATAAATAAATGATATAAAAATAATCAAAATGCAAAAATTTAATTTTTGTTAAATTTAAAAACGAAAATACTGAGTTTTGTTTATTAAATTACCTAATAATTTATTGTGAATATTGTGTTTGAGTAAATTACTATTTTAAAAAGTAAATTCGAGTTGGATAATTATATTGGTTTAGCCCTAACAGTTCAACTATAAATATAGAGTCTCGACCTCTAAATTAGTACTTGGTTCCATTAGTTTCGTAGTTCTGACTTTTTTTTTAAAAATAATTTTTTTGTGTAGTTCATATTTTGATAATATGATTTTCTTTGTATTTTTGTTTTTTCGAATAATATCTATTATTCGAGTTACTTATCACCCATTTATGAGTTTGTAATTCTATTTCAGGTTATAATTGTGTTTTAATGTTGTATTATTTTTGCCGTGTTTTGATTGTTTATTGCAATTCTAACCTTTTTAATGGTTTATGTAAGGAGTATTGTCTATATTGGGATATTTGATCAAGAAAGTTTTTAATGAAGAAATTGGAGATGATGCTAGGAAGATATATTTATTTGTTTGTTTGTTTGTTTATTATTTATTTATATCTTGGTTAGTTAGTTTGTCTTTTGTTTATGAAATTTGGTATGAGTATTCTTAAAACATAAAACTAAGTTATGTTAGAAAGGCATCTAACTTTGAATTTAGGAGTTTAGATGGACGACGTTGTTTCAAGTAGTTAATTCATTAGTCGTCAATCATAAAAAAATAAATGATATAACACGAATCGAAATATATAATTGAACTTTTATTAATTTTAAAAATGAACATACTTAATTTTTTGTTTATTTTTATGTTAAAGTATTTCAAAATTTATTGTGAATATTGTGTTTGAGTAAAATTTTCTATTTTAAAAAGTAAAACTAAGTTGGATAATTATGCAGTTAGCCCTAACTCTTTTTATTTACTTTACCTTCTCTTTTGTGAGAAAAATTTCTCACAAATTCAACAATAAATATAGAGTCTCGACCTCTACATTAGTATCTGGTTCTATTAGTTTCGTAAACTGATTTTTTTATTGTTGGTGTAGCTCATATTTTTGATAATATGATTTTCTTTGTATTTTGCGTTTTTTGAATTGTTTGTATTATTTGAATTGCTTATCATTTGTTTATTTTTTTTATTCCATTCGAGATTATATTTGTGTTTTTAATAGTGTTGTATAATTTTTCTGTGTTTTAATTGTTTAGTGCAATTCTAACTTTTTTTTTTCTTTTTTATGGTTTATGTAATAGGAGTATTGTCTATATTGGGATCTCTGATCGGGAAATTCTTAAAATATAGTAATTGGAGAGCCGATGATGCTAAGGTAAAAACTACAATCCGGTATCTTTATTTGTTTTTTATTATTATTTATTGATATCTTGGTTAGTTACTTTGTTTGTTGTTTTTATGAAATTTGGTATGAGTATGTTTGAAATATAAAACTAAATAATGGTAGAAAAGCATATAATTTCGAATTTCAAATTTTAGATAGACAATGTTTTTTTGAGTAGTTAATTTATTAATCGTTAATCTTAAATAGTTTTTACAAAATTATATTGAATATAACCATATATAGTGTGAGTTGAAAACCTAGTAATTTATATAAAAAGTTAGCTATGGTAAACTATTGCCATAGGTGTTTTACCCTAGCTATAACTTTGTGGCTGATTATATTAAGATAATGTATACAGGTAAAGACAGATTTGACTTCATCGAATCACTCCTACAATCTTTTACATTTACCGTATATATCTTCTTCCCTTTCTTATGTATTTCTTATGTATTTTTCTATTAAAAATTTTGATTTTCTTTGACAAAAATATATTCTGTTATTAATATTTTTCCTAAATAAATGTATTTGTCAAATATATTTTCTTTGACAAAAAGAGAAGTATAAATTGGACAAAAAATTATGTGGCAAATATTATTGGTCGACTGATTTGTGCTTTATTTGATTGAAAAGAAAAGAAAAGAAAAGAGTTGCGGTTCCTTTCTCGTCGCTCTCCCGCGGCTCGCAGATTCCGTCGTCAAGCAAAGCAAAGCAAGGTTTTTCTATTCTCCTTGTCTCTTCTGACGTCGTAAGTATTTCTCTTCCTCAAAGTCCCTTCTTTTACGATTTAAAGGATCATCTTTGATTTTTTTGAGATTTGCCTGAATTGTTGTTTTAGGGTGTAGAGTAGGTACAATTTTAAATTATTGGGTATGAGTCGTAGAGATTCGATCAGCAATTTGCCAGATGAGATTCTCGGCAAGATCCTGTCTTTAGTTCCGACAAAAGTGGCTGCTTCGACATCGGTTCTGTCCAAGAGGTGGAGGAATCTGCTGGGACTTGTAGACAACCTCTGTTTGGATGACTCGATAGTTTTTTCGTGTCCTGACGAAGAAGAAGCAGCAAAAATTCGCTTTCTAGATTTGGTAGACAAAATATGTGCTCTGTTAAGCAATTCTCCCATGGCTATGATCAAGAAACTCTCTCTGTGCCATGTGCCTGTTACACCTTGCCGTAAAGATATACAAGCTTTTGTGGAACCTTGCGTCAACCGTTTGATTTGGACTGCAATGGACTGCGGTTTGTTGGAACTGCACTTGCACGGCGACCCCATCCATTGTGGTTTTTTTCTAGATAGAGCTTTTTTAACGAGCAACACACTGGTGAAGCTCACAATATCCGGTGATTATTATCTCGAAGTGGATCGTGTGTTTTTCCCAGCGCTCAAATCACTCTCTCTCTTCTGTGTTATGTTTGATTGTTTCAACCATGCTAAGTTCCTTGATGGCTGCCCTGTCCTAGAAGAATTATTCATAACTGAGGCAGATCAGTGGTATCCGCCATGTTCCAGTGCGTACGTGTTTAATGAATCCGTCAAGCGACTTGTGGTTCTTATCGATCTTCCGGATTCTAATCAAGAGCATCACTATCTAATGCAGATCGATGCACCTAGTCTTGTCTACCTTGACTATTCTGGCTATGTCTTCCCTGAGTATTCGGTTTGTGATTTGAATTTGCTTGTCGAAGCCAGGCTGAGTCTCAAGCTATGGGAGTCAACTAACGATTATGATTACTCTGATACTGATGATGATGTTGATGATAATGATGAAGTTGATTTTTATCTTGATTTTTATGATCCTGTTCCAAAGGCGGCTATATTTGGCGATGTTACAGCTCTGGTTGCAAGTATAAGCAACATTACGACCCTTCACCTGTCTCCTGATACCCTTGAGGTCAGTTTTGTCTACTCGTTCTTCTTCTTCTTCTATTGATTGTTTTTTTTTGGTCGCTTATATATGGATTTTGGTTGTGATGATCATATATAAAATCAGGCGTTTCAGTTCTGTTGTAAATTCATGCCGGTGTTCGACAACCTCCTCAATTTATCTATCGAGAGTCACAAGGAAAAAGGTTGGCAAATAATGCCTCTTTTGCTCAAGAGTTGTCCTAATCTACACACATTAGTTTTCAAGGTATTATCATAAATTTTCATTTACGGTGAGACTCTTTCAGTTTGTTGTTGTTAGCGTTGCCACACTATACATGTCAAATTGGTCTCTGGTTTCAGGGTCTTTTGCACAAAGTAACAAATAGATGTGGAGATGCATGTGCTTGCATCCCTAGGAAACAGAGGAAGATTGTCAATGAGGAAGAGGAATTATGTTGTTTATGGACATGTCAAGTGAAGATTCTAAAGATTTCAGAATATGGAGGATCTTTTCAAGAGCTAGATCAGATGAGACATTTCTTGGGAAAGTTGGAATGTCTTGAAACTGTGAAAGTTGGTGTTGGCGCAGACAACAACGACAACATTACGGTCTTGCGAGCTAATCTGCTGGCTCTCCCCAGACTTTCATCAGAATGCAACATTGAATTTATCTGACATTTTCTGACCTCTTATCTTTCTCGTCTCGTTTTGATGGCAATGTGAAAGTAACTTAACATTTAATATTTTATTACAATCTGCTTTCTAAAGATAGATAATAGCAGTGATATATCCCGGGTTACAATATTGAATCTTTCGGAGTCTGCAACAATGTAGTAATCCAACCGTGCTTATAACCATTCTACACAATCACCAGAAAATCCAGATTTCATGTCTCTAAAAGACAAATGTTAGGAAATCTGGTTAAGTTTGATGACAGCTTTATTAACAAAAGATATTGATCTCTACCAAATTCAGCGGCAATTACAAGGTAAAATAAACTAATAATCATCCCCAAAGAAACTAGTTCTCTGTATTAGCATATGATTTAACTACAGTGGCATTTCAACCTAATAAGCCAGTAAGGTAGATTGGAACTCTGAATCCTACCTTGGGAGTAAGATGTTGCTACGTGTATCATGCGTGCTTGAAGAGCTTCATGCTAAGCCAATGAAAGTAAACAGCAACCAGTAGAGCTGGTAAAGTCAATGGAGCCAAGAAGCAGTAGTACCTGGAGAATATAAATCATGAGATGACATACAGATAACAGATGTCAACAAGATGGAACAAGAGTGTACCTATCATTCTGAATAGCTTGGATAATGGGATCCTCAGAGAGTGGAAACAATTTGGAGATTAAAGCTACAAAAACAAATCCAACAAAGGAAATGGAACCAACGATGACTAAGAAGCCTCCCCAAAACTTCATTCTCAGAGTTTCATTCAAGCATTCTCTGTTGTCCAAGTAGCATCATGTAAACAACTACTCCTTATGTCCGGTAACAGAGATAATATTGAGAGGATCTGAAAATTCAGTAAAGGAAGAAGCTGAGGTAACAAGTCGTTTATCTGAGAGTATAGAGGGTGTGTAATCATCAATCACTATAAAATCCTAAAATCTAAAAATCATTATCACATTAAGCCAAAGTTTATTTCTTTCCAATGGATCCTTTAAAATTTGATTTCTTTGGATTTTTAGTATTGTTGTTAGCTAAATAAATAAAATGGAAGCCTAATAAATCTCCCAGAATCATAAGAAAACTACCAAAGGCATCATCGTAATGAATACGAAATCCCTAAACTAAAAAAAAAAGCGACACGACTTACATCGGTTGAGAAAGAGATTCCTTTTGAAAGAGAGCAGACACCGAAGATTGCAAAACCAGACAAGAAGCGGGTAGAAGAAGTAGAAGAGACAAAACCGGTGAACCAGAGCAGCAAAAAAATAGCCAGCAGATCAAAATCGCTAAACCATTATTTACCCAAATCGGACTGATTAATCAGTCAAACCGGTTTAATCTCAAACATGTCCGAACCAGCAAACTAACTAATATAATGCTCGAAGTATCAATCTTCTGATTAGTCAGAGTACTTACAAGTGTACATGTTTCAGCAACTAAGCTGACTCTGAATTCATGTAATCTGATATATTTTTGTGTCCCCTAGTATTATCTCAGCTAGTAAAGTTTATACTGAATCACTGATGTAAAATTATATTATAGAAAAAAAAAACAGATTTGGAGATTTAACTTCTAACTCTCAGCTTGAACAAGGTGAAGAGCTGGTGCATTGTGTTTTCATAAATGAAATGGTTTTTAGACTAAGGTTTAACTGGCTCAAGATCAAACTAGGTTTGAGAGTTAATTTAACTTATGTTAAATGTGAATTTTAGAAATAACAAAATATATATATTGTACTTTCTTCAAGTGAGTGAAAGAAAGAAGGAGTTTATAACTGCATATGTTTGGTAATGTGAATAAAATGGTAACATGCGATAATGCATAGAAGCTGCATGAAAATTGTTTCATCATCCCTGTTTTTGGCTTCTTTTGTTACCTTTTTATCTCTTTATTTTCTTTTTCCAAAAACGAGAAATTTCAGAACTTTGTATGATTAATTTGATCACATGTTTTATGCGCATTAGCTCATGATCAACATCCCCCTCTACTTTAGTAACCAACTATTTCTATACATCTATATCTCTGGAGTAGTCAGACACATTTCCTATCAAATCATTTTTTTTGTGTAATTTTTCTGAGTCTCTCTCAATGGCATTTGAGAACAACAACACCACCACCACCAAACTAACCAAACTGAGTCATATCTCTCAGAATCTGTCATTATATACCTTATGGAAGTCCTTAGCGGTTTCCGGTGCTCTGCTTTTCTTGTTACACACTTTAGCGTTTGACCAACCTCACAAAATGATAACCCATAAATTCTTTGCGCCTCTTGACCCTAGTTTCTCCTTCTCTTCCTCTTCCTATGATTCAGCACCATCTGCGGCCTTGCAAATGACAGGAGAGTCTCCTACAGATATCAGCCATCTATTTTTTGTCATCGTTGGTAGTACAAAGACTTGGAGATATAGGAGAGGCTACATAGAGCCTTGGTGGAGACCAAACATCACGACAGGGTATGTCTTCCTCGAAAGACCACCTGGTCGTGATCTCTTGCCTTGGCCTAACCAGTCTCCTCCTTTCTCTGTTAACAAAGAATCCTTCATCACAAACAAATTCAAGACTCAGATCCGCCTTTTCCAATCCCTCCATGAGTCGTTTAAGAAGGCGTCCAAAGAGACAAGATGGTTTGTGATAGCAGATGATGATACTCTCTTCTTCTTGGACAATTTAGTCGAAGCTCTCGACCGGTATGACCACAAGAAGCACTATTACATCGGGATGAACTCGGAAAACGTTTGGTCCAATGCCATTTTCGCTTTCGACATGGGATATGGAGGCGGCGGATACGCATTGAGCTATCCAACCGTAGTAACACTTCTCAACAAAATGGAAGAATGTATCGGAAGATACCTTGGCGTTTATAGCGATCTTCTCTCATTTCGTTGCTTGGCCGACTTGGGGATTGATCTTACTTTGGAGAAAGGCATTCACCAGGTACGGATCTTCATTTCAGATTTTCAGTTTTAGTGTCTACGAGTTTTGATTAATAGTTACCAAAGTGCAAGTACAATGTGATATAATATGGATCGGTTTGTAGTGTGACCAAGAAAGTAATTCTTGTGCATCTCTATATGTTGACATAACTCTCATCACTTTGTCTTTGCAGATTGATCTGCACGGTGATATATCAGGTCTCTTATCAGCTCATCCTCAATGTCCTCTTATCAGCCTCCACCATTTCGATGTCATAGACCCGATTTTCCCAGGCATGAACCGGCAACAATCCGTGAACCACCTCATGAAGACCGCACAAACCGACCAGTCCCGTGTCTTGCAACAGACAATATGTTACCAAAGGGGAAATAACTGGTCAGTCTCTGTCTCTTGGGGATACTCAGTCCACATTTACCAATCTATATTCCCAAGAAACCACCTTAAACGCCCTCTCGAAACGTTCCGGCCATGGAAGGATGTTCGAATACCGTCGTACACGTTTAACACCAGACGGGTTACTAATGATCCGTGCGAAATGCCTCGTCAGTTTTTCTTTGATACGATTGTGGAGGACAAGAACCAAAGCATGGTAACCACTATGTACAAGATGAGACCTGCAAGAAGATTGCCTCCTTGTTTACTAAATGGCAACCATTCTGCTCGTAACATTTCAGAAGTCCGAGTCATTGCTGCTACTATGCACAAGATGGTATCAATATATCCTCTATAATCTTTGGAAACAAATTATAATCCATTTCCATATGATCTAAAACAACTTGAAATATTCAACAGGGTGAAGGAATTGAATGTTGCGACGTGCAAAGTGTTGACAGTACGGAGACTTTGGAAGTGAAGATAAGAGCTTGTCACAAAGATGAAGTTCTTGCTTAGGCTTTGTCTTCTGATACATTATACATTTGTCACTGATTCTCTATTATTATTGATTTGAAGTTGGTTTTTCATTTGTATGAAAACGAACCTATCATTTATTCATATGCTATAAACTTCTAGCTGCAGCCAAAATAGACTGTTGAGAAAATCAATCCCACACTGTGGAATCAAGAGGTTTCAAACCCAAATGCATAAAAATCTTTGTGCTTCGTGAAAATAGCCTTAGTTTGCATGGAAAAATCGACTAATTTTCTAGAAATAGGACCAAAGAAGAAAAATCGTATGAAAGACAAAGTAGTTTGTGTATACATAAGTCTGAAGACCAAGTCAGAATCCAGCAGCACATCCGGTTCTTATTCTGCTTCATTAATGAGATTTCTGGATACCAATGAGGCGTGCATAATCCACCCATCTGCGACACCAACAAAAAGAACATGTGAGTAAAAAAAAAACATACGACAGAGAGTTAAAAACAAGGTGTGAGTGTTAAAAGAACTTACAATAAGGAACCCAAGAATGTGTTTCCTGTTCTAACTGCGAAACACAATGCACTGAGTGCAAGTTTGTGTTGGTGTAGCATTGGCTCCAGGAGACGTTGTTCAATCACACCAGCCACTACTTGGTACCTGTTTATTTCAAACCACACATCTCTTTACAATTATCCAATCTAAATGCTAAAATGCGCTATTCGAGTTTGTTTGTCTATGCTTTTTTTTTTTCCTTTTGGACTTCTATAGTAAGCTTTGGTAGAAAGAAACTCAGTACCTTAGGTTGCTAGAAACAGCCATATAGACGCCATATGCAACACTTGTGGAGACTATTGGAACAGTTTCGATTTCACCTTCAGAAGTTTGGTCCACAGCTAGTCGTGCTTTTATGAATGCATTTGTAATAGCAGTACCAACCTGACCAATTTTGAAAGATGGAGAAACGAAATAAGCCAAGTCAAAAGAATGAAGAAACGAAATCTGAAGGAATTAATTACTGGGAAACCAGTTTTGCAAACAATCAACTAATCCATTTCCAGGTAGATATGTTTCGACTCACCAGAGATGATGTGGTGCCAACTGCAAACAGCTTAGCTCCATTGCGCTGCATAACATCAAACAATACATTTTATCCGGAACCAACTATTGTGCAGTACACTATTAAGATCATAGAGTAAAAAAGTGATCTAAACCACACACCGTTATAGCACCTAGCCTTTGCAAGAGAGTATATGAGGTTCCAGAAAGAGCAATCTGCAGTAAGCACATTGCATAATTAGATGAGAACAAACTTTTGTAAACTTAATCTGCATGTGCTAGAACAAGTCTTTTACAGAAAAAAAATTGATACCTGGAAGGCATTGTCTGGGCAGTTGTGGAAAAACTTGGATATACCTCCAGCAGTAAGTGCGAGAGGTGGTCGAAGAGAAACGGTAGGAGCAGGAAGATAAACTAACATGAAATCGGCAATGATAGCCATCGCCTAATAATTGAAAAAAAAAAACAAAATGAAAATAAGTACGCTTAAGCACAACAAAATAAAATCTAAATTCCAGCAGAAGATCGCCATGACATCAGGGCCAACTTCTGTGTATTGTATGTATGTATTTGCCATATAGTTCAAGGACCTTTTAATAACAAAGTGACAAAGCAGCAAACGGTGACCCCTTTACTTTTATTATCTCCAAATTTGCTATTTGCACAGTTCAAAAATTTGGTTCTTACCTCAGAGACAAAGCAAACCTCAACTACTCTCATAGTCATGCAAAACTAATGGTGAAAATTTGCAGACCCCATCACAACCACAAACTACCCCCAACCCTTCGTCAACCCGAATAGGTCATCTAAAAGATATTTGTTGACAAATTTCTCATCCATCTCTACCATCTAACAATTTCACAATTTCTCATAGAAAGTTCCAACGATCTGACAGGAACACTTAGAAAAAAGTCACCACGAGAAAAGAATGATTACCACATCGGCACAGACAACTTCAAGTTCGTTGAAGAAGTTTTCTCTACGCCGTTCATACTCAGCAGCAGTCTGGAACAAAAGAAGCAACACATTCCCAAACATGTTAGTTTTAAACTTTGTAAAACTACAAAGAGAATTACCAGATTTGCTCTTTTAAAATGTTTTAAAAGGAATAATTCAAAAGGTGCTGGATTCGTAATTCATGATTGAAACCAAAATCAAAACATTCTCCCGATGAATTCTCCAGAAACCACCCAAAAAAATTCAAACTCGTTATCAAATGAAAAGAAAAACAGGGGAAAACAGAGACCTTGGTGAAGATGCCAACACCACATTCCATGGCGAGTTTAGCCAAGAAGAGATCATCAGCCAACAGTCTTTCTCTGAACCCAGCAAACTGCATCAGCCACCGCATCACAGCCGATTTCTGGAGCTCCAAAAACCTGGTAATAACCGATCCAGGAATCCGACCCGACTCAATAGCAGCCGCTAGATCCTTAGGAAGAGTGTCCAATCCAGTCCCGGACTCCGTCAACAAAAGCATCGCCTCGTTCCTGTTCCTATCCCTGTCCTCGCCACCTTCTCCATCTCCATTGTTCTTACCTCCATCGCCACCGCCACCGCCACCATGACCTCCTCCGATGTTATCAGAGCCGCCGTTATCAATCGATGCGGATAAAACAGGGGTGATGGAGACACGGCGGTTGAAAGAGATGGACTTGGCAGAGATTACACCGTTAAAAGAGGATGAAGAGAGTCTAGGAAATGAAGCGAGGTGAGGCCATGTGAGATTGGATTCAGAGATAGATGTATTCGGGGTAGGAACACAGAAGAAGCAAGACGCTATTGCCATTGATGCTACACAAAGAGAGATAGAGAGAGACTTGCTGACTTTCAGAGATCTCTCTGTGTGTAGGTTAAGGTAAGCGGTCGATTGAGAGCAGAGGAGAGTCAGCGAAAAGCAAGATTCTTTCTTCAGAGTGTTTTAAGGGTTTTTTTTCTTTCTTATTCTTCTTAGTTTGTTTATATGTGGTGGGCCTCACGATAGATTCCAACTGGCGCGTGCTTTTCACGGTGCCTCTTACACCAGACCAGAGCAGCTTATTAATGTGTGCTTACAAAATTACAAAGGTAGCTCATTCTTTTTGCAACTTGCGAGCATATTTTTATAAAGAAAGAAAAATCACAAACTCATCTTTGGTAACTCAGAAACTCGTTGACATAATCATCACATCCCATCGCTGTCCAAGGAAGAAGAACTTTTCAAACAATTGAAAAACCTAAAGCCCCTATCAATCATTACCGTGTTAAAAGCTTTATAGAAGAGCATATGATGTCTTTTTGACATTTTCACATCAATGCTGATGCTTCTTCTACTTTCTTCTTTTTGTCTTGCTTCTTAGGTCTCGCCTTCTAATTGCAATGAACCATCTCTCATTAACTTGAGGCTCAAACTGTTGAATCTTTCCCGGGAATACTGCCTTGACGCTTTTCTCCAGTCTGTCCCAGCTTTCATCATCGCAACAAACTCTTCGTAGCTTATACGCCCATCCTGATCAGAGGAAAGAAAGATGTGTTCTTTATCATCTTAAAAGGAGTAGAGAAATGTAGAATTGTTAATTACCCTTCTGAAATGATTCAGATGTGTATGCACTTAAACAAATGGGTGGAAAGATCTTATTCTTTTGGGTGGTTACCTTGTCGGTGTCAACATCTTGCATGATGGCTGCAATAACTTCCTGACTGCTAGTATCATCCAGTTCATCATTCAACGCTTCACGGAGTTCTTCAATCTCTATGTAACCACTCTGGTTCTGATCAAAGAAGTTAAAAGCTTTATGCAAGTGTTCATCATTCGCCATCTTCTTAAGGTGCACCGAAACAGCCACAAACTCGCCATAGTTCAGTGTCCCATCCCCATCAACATCAGTCTGCAGGAGAAAAAATGTGTTTCATTTATCAGAAGTAATGTAGCACTTGTTGCGAGCATAGTGCTTTGAAATAAATGTTTCATACAGCTTCCATAAGAATCTGAAGATCGGCATCAGCAATCTGTTGTCCAGCTTTTTGAAGTCCATATTTAAGCTCCTCAAGATTTATCTTGCCTCTCTTGTTCACGTCCATCATTTCAAAAGCTTCCTTTATCCCGGCTGCTTCTTCCACTGACAAGTGTTCAGCTATCACCTAGAAGGGGAACACAAGTGTACAATTTTATTTATGCTTCTGAATCAGATTGGAAGCAAATCGATAAACAGTGGCATGGCTTAACAGAATCGTACTCGTAGAGCTCGTTTCTTGAGCTTATTCATAACAGAAAACTGCTTGAGCCTTGCTTTCACAGTCTCCCCAAGAGAGACATTTGGAGCCTTCTTTGCATTCAGTATCCAAGAATGTTCTGCAAATAGGATATTCCTTCATGAGTATACGATTTTTAAAAACTTGGTGCTGCTAAAAACGGAAGCCTACCAAGTACTTGTGCAGCAGTAAGCCGTTTTCTGGGATCAGGCTCAAGCATCTTTCTCACAAGGTCTTTAGCGCTATCAGAAACTCTTGGCCATGGATCTCTCTTAAAATCAATTACTGACCTAATGATCGCTTGAGCCACCCCTTGTTCAGTCTCTGTACCAAAATTACAAACAACGAAAATGTCTGCAAGAGTTCTTAAGTGAATAATCTAGAGGAAAGAAGGAGAATACGGTCACAAACCGGCCCAAAATGGCGGGACACCACAAAGAAGGATATAGAGGATGACTCCTGCGCTCCAGACATCGATCTCAGGTCCATAGTTTCTTCGCAGCACCTCGGGTGCCATGTAATAAGGACTTCCAACAATCTCATTAAACTGCTCACCTATTACAGTTTAATAAATTCGGGTAAAGTAAAGATACACGAATATATATGCTCCATTGATACTCATCACAATTTGATATTATAAATATACCAGGTTTGAAGAATACAGATAATCCAAAATCAATGGCCTTGAGAGGTGCCGTCTCTTTCTTATTTGCAAAAAGAAAATTCTCTGGTTTAAGATCCCGATGCATCACCCCCTGCTTATGGCATATCTGTAATGACAAACCAGGGATGTGTGAACAGAAACATAGAGAAAACAAGGTAAGGATAAAGACACTGTAAACACAGCTATGAAACCTGAACAACTTCAACAATAGTCTTCATAACCGCGGCAGCAGCACGCTCAGTGTAATGACCTCTTGCAACAATCCGATCAAAGAGTTCCCCTCCTTCACACAACTCCATAACTATATGCACATCATCATCATCCTCAAAGGCATCCTTCAAAGAGACCACATTTGGGTGTTTAGGCATATGCTTCATAATCTCAACTTCCCTCCTAACATCCTCTATATCAACTGCTGTTCTCAGCTTCTTCTTCGATATGGACTTGCAGGCATACTTCTCACCTGTTTCTCTATCAGTACACAAGTAAGTTATACCAAACTCGCCTCGACCAACCTCACGTCCAAGATCATACTGCAAAGATATATCATGTCCTGTAGGATTTTTCAGCACAGAGAGCTTAAACCCAGCTCCAGATCTATCTGCAGTGTATTCATTGCTGTAAAAAGGATTGCTTTTGTTCTTGGGTTTCCCTTGTTTACTCTCGTTCGTAGCCGAACTCGGATTGCCACAACAGTTCCCCATCTAATCAAATCTCAAGATTCCTGAAAAACCCAGAAAGTTCAAAACTTTGAGCACTGTTCATCAAGTTGCCATTAGTTTCTTCAGCCAGGAACCATTTCCAATTAACAACATAGCTGAAAGCAAACATGAACCCCTAATATATTAAAAACCCTAGCTAAGGCCAAAGAAAAGGGAAAAGGGAAAAAACACAGACCTTCAAAAGATAAATGGGGAGAAACATATAATAGTAGAAGCAAAAGAGAGAGATGCAGAACGATAAATTAAAGGGAAAAGTCATCATACGTTGTGAGAAAAACAGATGCAGTGATAGGGAGAGAGAAGAGAGGAAGAAGAAGACGAGTCAAAGTCTTCCTCTTTCTCTCTCTTCTTCAAAATGGGAAACACACAAATTGACTCTCTTCTTCTTCTCTCCAGTGGATTCAAAGAATGACAATGCTTAAAAATATTATAATTGTGTGTTTCCTGAGTTCTTTCTCATGTGCTCTTCCTGTTTATTTTGTTGATATAAAATAATCAATCTTCCCGTTGTAGATTAAACAAATTCTTTTGTTGTTAGTGATTGTTACTGTCGATGAAATCTTGTTGTATGTCAATTTTCCATGAGCAGAGTATGCAATTTTCGTAAGATACTTTTATGCTTGTTACCATTAACAATAACAAAAAAGGTACTATTAATTTTTATGAGAGCATATGATTAGCGAGTTTCTAATTATTCTCCTCGGGTACAAAACTGTGTACAGCTTTTGAAGTTGGTCAGACATGAACCATTGCTATAGGCTTTTGTAGCTGTTAACACTTTTGTGGTCAGAATTGCAAACGATTAAACAAACGTATTCTTTCAATTTTGCAAAATAAGAAAAAAGGTTAAGAATAAAAAAAACCAAGACCTACTTACTATTCCCCGTCTCTTGTCTCCATCTAACACCTAACATGACCCGCTCTATGTACATTCATAACTGCAAAACCACACAATATGGGACTCTTGACAGAACAAGTAACAAACACAGAAACCAAAAAGCCAAGAATGATTTGCCGGTTTGGGGCAATGGATATATTAGCCAAAGTGTGTCTCTTTTCCCTTTCAGAGCTTTGGCTTTATTATGGTGCGCCTGATGAATTCAGGGTCTCATTAGAGTCTGTCTCAACTTGTTCAGAGCTTGATGAGTTCGTTGCTGAACCCCTTTCTCTTCCTCTTCCTCCTGCATCTTCTGCTGCTTCTACCTCGCTTTTCTTCGCAAACCGGCCTCCACTAGCTCGTGCCCTTCTCATTGCATGTTTGTGTCTAGACTCATGAAGATATGGCTGTTGCATTCCAAAAGTAAGCAGTGCACGTTAAATGAGTTACACACTCAACTTACAAATTCATAATATAACTCATTTTCAGTCCTTCATAATATATAGCAAGGGTACAGTTGGTTTTTATGATATTTGACCTAAGATATAGATGACTCTACACATCCTTAGATTCTCAGTATCTCTTTGATTAATTCCCAATTACCAATCAAATTCAATTTCCATCAATGCAAAAAATACCTTTCTGTCCCTGATCACTTTCCTCTCTAGCTCTGCCTTGGCACGTGCTTTTCTACGTCTTAGAATTCCCTCGTACTGTTTCGCATTCACATAGACGGGTTCTTGTGTCATGTCAAGTGGCAGAGCTGTTCTCTCCCGAGGCATTCCAAGATATGGACGGAATCCCTGTTTAGACCATTGAACAAGAAAATGTGAAAAATAAGCTCAGATAATCGAAATTACTCAGACTCGGAGGACCCTGAGAATACCCAAAATTAGTTTTCGGTTATTGAAGACATGAACTTTCAAAACATATCACTGACTCCAGAAAACAGAATGACTCAACCCAGACACATTCCACACACCAAACACAAATAACCACGGAGGTTAGTTAGTGGCAAGACAAACATACATCAAATAAACACTGCACCATATGGAACTATTGTAGAGATTGAGAGAGGATTTGGCAAGATACCAATGGCTGATGACCATATGCTCCCATCATTCCCCCATAATATGGATCCTGATATGGATTTGGGACACAAGCCTGTAAACAAAATAAGAGTTTATCATACAGATGAAGGGTGTTATACAAAATAAATCATTTCTAGGGACCAAAAAGAAGTCAATTCAAAAGCTCAAGAGCCGACACAGCATATACAATTAAGGAATGAGAGGAAACTGCATACAATATAGTGTCCAACAAGCTCTGGTGGTTGTACAAGTTGCTGGTCATGCAGGTTACGCATAGAAAGCGCAGGATCATTCCCTTCCATTCCATGATTATCTACTGAAATTGAAAAGAGACACCATTACAGACAAAATAAACAAATAAAAATGCAACAGCTCAGTGACACAGAATCTCCTTTACACGGATAGCAATACAAAACACAAAAATTCCAATGCAAGTTTATATCAGGGACCAAATGTTAACTTTATGACTTTGACATGTCCTACAGTGCCGAATTCCTTCTTAATTTTTCCTGCCTGCTTGAGGAACTTTACCCAATTGCAAAAATAGACATCGAGAATGACATCACTTGGTAACCATTTAACAAGTTACTGTAACCCATAAATGTCAAAAGAGACAAACCAGATCATGCAGTAAAAGTGATACTGCAGAAGAGTCAGAAAACCAAAGTAGCCAAGAAGTGAAACCTGAACGGGAAGAAGTAGCAGCTTGGGAATCCTTCCAAGTGGCATCGTTCTCACCATTCAAGGCACCATCTTCAGAGGCTGAATGAACATCGTTTGACTCAGAACCACCGTTGGGGCAATCCAAAGAAGAGGAATTAGATGGAATCCCAGAAGGTCTGGCATGAGGAGAGACACCAAAAGAGTTGTTTTTCCACCAGGGCTCTGGATACATCATCGGTTGCTGAGCAGCATGGTGATTCACTTCCTCTTCGTTTTCTCTTCCCGGTTTCGATTGCATCTCTTCAAAAGAAAAAAAAATCAGGTCAACATACAAAAGTAACCAGCTCAATATCCAACCAAGAAGAGAATTTTAACACTAAAACCATGGACTAGACAAAAATCTGAGCTTATAAACCAATGCAGAAGCATGCAAAAAAGAGACGAAAACGGATAAAAATTTCACAAGGCTCGAAATTTACAACTCAAAACTACATAAAACGATTATATCCTGAATCCCCTACACGATGATTACCATCAAACAAAAATTCAAATACAGACACAAAAAAGGAAAGAAAAAAAGAGAGAAAAATTCAATATACCAGAGGAGATTCACAGCAGAGAGCTCTCTAGAAATCCGCCTTCAAAGAAGATAACACTTGTTCTTTAAGGAAATCAAAACCCTGAGAGTGAATTATAACCGATCACGATTTTGCAGAGTTCAGAGAACAAAATTGGCTTCAACAAACGAAAAAGTAAAAGGGAAGGAACTTGGTGAAAGAGAAGCGACTGAGAAACACCCGACAGGCGGCAGGAATCAAACAGAATTTTCGTAGAAGAAAAAATTGAAATTGGAGAAGAAGAAGAAGAAGAAAACCCTAGATTTTGGGGATTTCTTTTTTTTTTTTGGTTTCCAGAAATTTTAAATATATAAATATTATTAAAGTATATTTATTAGAGCTAAGTTTTTTTCTACCGGAGGAAGAACACAAAAGACCGAGATTTGTTTGATAAGATCACCCACGAAAGTGAAAAACTTTTGGACACGTGGCGAGCTATGAAAGATGCCAGCGCGCTCAGATCTGGGATCTTCTCCGGGTGACGTTATCATTTCATAGGTTCCCATTTTATTCATTGTTAGTATTTTTTTTAAGTGTATAATAATAATAAATTAAAAATGAAAGACATTACACTATTTAAAGAGAGAGAAAATATTGGGTGCAAGTGACACGCAAGTGATCGGCTGGGACGAAGGACACCTGTACATTGTAGGGACCTCATCCCCCCTATATATTTAGGATAAATTATTCGGAGAAATTATCACAAAAAGAATGGTGTTAGTTCAGTTATGTCAATGATATATATATAGAGTTAATAGTTGTGCAAGTGTTGTCGTGGTTTCAAGCATGATCAAACCCGTATCGTTGTCTTGCGTTGTGTTGTGTCGTGTCAGCATCGTCTTAAGAATCTACGAGTTTTTAGTTTTTTTCTATATATAATTCAGCACTCGGGAGGGATTAATGTTAAGTCCTCTGAGCACCAGCTATTCAAGATCAACACAACTGATCATATTTCTGTTTGCCATAATTAACTTGATGTTAAATGTGACCATCTTTATCTATTAGGAGTGGAACACATTATCTTAATCTTAATTGGTCGAATACTTAATCATATTTTTCTCTCCAAATAAACTTTTCTTTAATTTTGTATTTAAGGAGGGAAACAAATGAGAAACAGAATTGACAAAGGAGAGCGACGTAAGGTGACTCAAGCAATATTGCAAATGTTGTTCGTCTAAGTAATGCAAATACGTTTTTAGAAAGGGAGACACTAACTCTTCACTGTTCTTGTAAGAAATCATGATATTATTTATGGAAAACTACAATACAGTAAATGTTAGGTTTTAAGAACCATCAAAGCCTCAAGCTTTCTCTGACTTGTCAAGAAACCAAGATCTTTTAACAGAGCAAAACATATAACCGAGAAGAAGAAGATAGAAACAGAGCAAAAGGAAAGAGAAGAGGAGCACACAAAGAAGTTTGTTAACCCAGTTCACTTCCACAAAGGGATAGCTACGTCTGGGCCGAGACTCTCCTCAGAATCCACTAGAACAAGCAAGTTACAAAAAAATACAAGAGAGAATCCCTCTGAGAAAGAGACTCACACTTGAGCTCTCTTCTCTATATCTCCTCTGTTTTTCACTCTCAAGAGAAACACCAAAGCTTACACCTTTAATGGCTATCTCTCATACTTGCTTACATCTCTCACATTGTGGCTTTCTCACACACTCCTCTTCTGGCCGCTTGGCTGCGACACCCTTTATGTGCCTTAGGTTAGTGCTTATAAAGAGACACTCCTTAGACCTAATGTTTCTGCTGGATCCACAAATGGACAAACGATCCTTCTTGGACAGCAACTGCAAAGACACCTTGTGGTCCCAAAAAGCCATATCCAACCAGAGTTAATTTACTTTAACTCTAGTTACCATCTTGTTTGCCTTTGTGTAGCACTTGTGTAGTTGATAAACCTTGTTCATCAAGTTCTCATCCTCACAAATCTCCACCTGAGAACATGATGATCAAGACCAAACAACCTGCACATACTTGAGATAGAGAGAATGCCTTCTAAGCAGTTTAAACACCATAAATCTGCTTGCTTCTTCCTGCATCAAACTTACATTTAATACACCTTCGCTGTAACGGTTAACCCCGCTGAACGAACCTGAGCCATCAACACTTTAGAACCTTTTAACACCAGTTCTAAAACCTGCAAATTCTTAAAGGCTCTGCATATTTCACCTTAATGCAGACCAAACGCCCAGCAAATTGATTTCTTTCCAAGACCTTCAACACTTCAACGCCAAACTGAGTTGTGAAAAAATAACCAGCCTGAAACACACACACTTGTGCTTTGGCTTAACTCTTATTGACCTCTTCATGTCTTTATAATCTTGATACCAACCAATCAGCAAATTCCATTAACAAGTTCAAGTTTCAATCAAACCTGTTAAATAACAACAGAATTCTTCATAAGCTCCACCACTTATGACTTTCAAGTCAATCAGTATCCTCTGCAGCTTCCGTTCATACCACAGAACCGTTATAGTGACTGAAAAAAAAAAAAACCAATTTACCTTCTGCAAAACTTGATTCTCTTGCTATAGTTTCTTAGGATTTACTCATGCGCATTGAGATCAAAATCCTTTGAATTCACTTGAATCAAATGCAGAAAAACTGAATCATCTTTGCTTCAGACTTGAAGCTCTTGATTCACCATGTAGAAAGTCTCACTAACCGGTTAAATATCCAGTATAACCTGAGACTGAACCTTTTCTACAACAATCTGTTTCACACATTCTGGACTTGAACATAAACCTTGTTCAATCCCTTTGTTAAAACAAACTCATCACCAGCAGATTTTAAGCACTACCAGCAACCTTTACATGTCTCATATCAACAACTCCTTGTGATAACCATGAGACAAACATGTACAGCTCCTTCCACACCAAATCTAGAACCCTGATGCTTTCATGCTGTAATTTCAATCTGCTATGCATTGACTTGCATGCAAACTCCACCAAAACTTAGTACCATCATCACTGACAATTTTCAGACTCTAACTAGAGCCTTTGTCTTCTTTATGACTCTTTGATGCTTGAAAATTACTCACTTGACTAACTTGCAAGTGATTCTTCCCTGAGAAGATACTTACATAACTCCTCCTCTTAGAGCTTCTTTTCATATTCTTGAAGTAATCAACCTTGAGACAATTCCTGTATCGCACTTGTCTCTTTCAGTTTCTTCTTCTAAGATTCTCACTGAATCACTTCAATAACTAGCTCTTAATAAATTTCCAGAAATCTGTAACCCTTTTTTCAAGGAACTTGCAACTCTTTCAAGAGAAAAAACTTGCAGCTTGATTTCTTACTCCTTGTTAACAACCAGTTCTAAACCAAATCTGTAAGAATCATTTTCAACTCAGATTATAACCGTTGAACTTGTTGATAACCACCTG